CTCTCTCTTCCTTTCTCTTCCTCACATTCAACCTCGACTCTCATCCTGAAAATAGCTCAACCCTCGCCGGTGTTCTATACAGCTGAAACCCATTTTCATCTCGAAGTATCAATTCGCTAACCGAATACCTACCACATTCCCTTTCCACTCTACGAACAAATCATTTTCCGACCGTATCCAATATCCCAGTCTCTCAGACCTTGTCGCAATATCATTACCCTCCATTCCCAGCGCATTTTTCTCAAGTTCACCAATGTGTTCTGACACAGAGATCTCGAGATGTAACCCAGCTTTTCAAATTTTTAGAATATTCTTTACCAAACAAATAGACCAAAGGTACTATAAAATCATCTCGACGTACTCCTTACAACAGCAACTCATACTCAATATTCTATCTATCTGCAATATAACACCCCCTCCAACAACCCCTCCCACACATCAAGACATCAACTCATGAATTTCCCACGTTACTTCCTCCCATCTATGCCTCACAACCCATCACCATTTCAAAAAAGAAGAGAGACATATTTAAATTAAAGCTAAACGTTACATGCATAAGCCCAAGCCTTTTAATATAAAAACCGTATGGTGTGATGTTGAGTTGCATATCGTATTCTTGTTAGCCGAGCACGCGAGGTAAGGAGTCAGAGATGGGTTCTAGCGTTTATCGCCAGAACGGACGTCGGGTTTGAGAGATTGGTTTTGGGATGAGGGTTAAGTGTTGCGCGGTAAGGTTGTTGGGTATGCTGATTTGGCTAAATGTACTGAAGAGATAGAAATACTTATGTGTTTTGTGAAGTTGTGTAACCTATCCCAGCAAAGACGAACAGCGTAGCAAGAAATAGTTCACAACCGGATGTACCCAACATATTCGTAAATCTCAGGGTGTTTACGGCCAATTACGGTAGGTTGTGGAATTTCCATTGCGCCTCATGGATTTGATCGAATTAAAGAGGAACTTCCGGGTCAGTGATCTTGAGCAAGGCTACATTTGATACTGGTTATAAACATATTTCCCAGTGAGTATTTACGTGTTGAGTATGTTACAGGGGCATATATCTACAGCTCGATGTTATTTAGGTACAGTAAAATTATAGATCTATATAAATACATAGAAGCCAAACATAATCCACAGCCGGCAACATTGCTCCGTTAATGACACCCACAAGAAGCCCACTGAATGCCGAACGCTATTTTAAATATCCCGCGCAATCGAAACCGATATCCCATGTTTGCAGGAACAAACAAGATAGTCAAGCCGACATCGATCGTGGGTTCCTGCGCATTGGGGTAGCACAGAATCTTGACATATCAAAAAACAATTGGTAGAGAGTGGGAGCTGAATGTGGACATCGGCGAGGTGCCACGTGTATGATGCATGAAGTACCAAGCTGCTGGTTTTATGTCGTGCGATCGGAGGGTGAAACATATGCTTGTTTTTGGGCTAGACAGCGTGGGAAATATTTACCCAATTAAGGCATATTATTAGACACCGGTATACGGTCTTCGGTGTGAGCATACAGACATCGTTTCGACTCACCTCGGTATTTTGGTGTAATGGGGTTGATTAACATCATTTAGATCAAGTTTGTATATAGCTATACCATTGGCTGTCGTAATGACTGTTGGAGATTCTGACTGACGCGGCGTTGCTGATCAGAGGCTTCGCAGTGATGACCCGAGAACGCGGTGGTGCAAGGGAAATCTTAGCTACATATTTACGAGTAGATCTAGTTCTCATTTATTCGACACAGCTTCTCAAATGACAGCTGCTGCTAAATCCAGAAGAGGAAAAGACCTAGCAATCATAGCGTGAAGCAAGGTAGTTGAGGGGGAAAGTGGTAGCCTGAGAATCTTCGCTGGGCTCAGCAAGCCCCGGTATTTGCCAATGCTTCGTGAGAGGCTTCCAACAACAGCTCCACCGTATTCCAGGGACATCAATGCGAGATGTGAGTCCTACAGCTTTCAGCGATATTAGGACTCTGCCATGGACCGAACATGGCAAGATGCTAAGCCTCTCGGGCAACGAAACTATCTATGACATGAGGTATGGGTATACCCACGCTAAATAGCTATTAATTAAACACCACTGCCAATGAGGTTGAATACCGCTTATGAAGACATTAATGCCTGCCCGGCCAGCACGAACGCCCGATCGGTATGAGTATCCCAGCGTGAAGCGCATTGGGGATGTTGTGCTTCGCCTGGTGGACTCGGACCGACTTTCTGGAACGCGGTAACACAACTAGGAATAGACAGTAGCTGGACGGTTTGCGTTATATGAATACACGAAGCCGCGTGGGGGTGACTACCCCGAAGGATGCCGTATAGAAAAGGAGTATCAGGTTATGGTGAAAGCCTAACATTACAACGTGAAAGAGGGCGGAAGTCGAAGTTACAAGGATGAAAATAAACTCGCGCATTTGGCAAGATGAGCCGCAAATGAGGATGGTGAGAAGCCAGGCTGATTGAACAGAAAGCTTGCTTTGGAAGTGCTGTATGAGGGCAATTGGGAAAGGATGTGTAACACCAGAGCTTCAAGGTAAGCTTTTATTGCTCGTTCAGTCTAGCAAACTTATGGGCAGCGAACAGATCTTTACTGCGAATGTGCCAAGGTAGTACGACTGAGAGGTTGGAGACAAACACAAACAGAAAAGTGTGGATGACAAGACGAATTACGAGACGACAACAGGCAACCAACTAAACAATACCAAACTCTGTTGGTCAACTCAACACAAGTCCCGCAATGCTCGTAATTTAGTTTTCAAGATCAGAAGATCCTCGTTCCCCGTGTTAGACTGCGCCTTGATATAACAATGAGCACAACCGAGTCCAGTCGAGTTCAACGCATAAGTGCGAGTCATGGAGTCTGGAGTCAATCATCGTCGACCCAGCCGATAGGGCTGCATATTAATTTGCAGTCGCACGAATCAGGTGAGCACACTTGTGCGGTCATACTGTGGGGGGGCTGCATCGGACTAGACCGTTATAGACCGCTACTTCAACGAGTCTTGGCTTCGTTTTGATAGTAAAAAGAATCTTTAGAGCAAGTGCTGTCCGATAAAGAAACGGTCTGGGAAGTACCAGCTAACGGAACCGATGATACGCTACAGGTGAAGACCGATGCGAAAGAGAAGGAACTGGCAGAGCCGAGAGAAGGGGTAATGGAAGTGATAGAAGACCTCGCAAAATCAGCCTAATCATTGAAAACTCCGCGGAGTGCAATTGTTCGCTGTCACGACACCGATGCAAATGGGTGGAGGCTCAGAATAGCTGTAGAACGCTGGCCAGGTTGCTTCAATTGTTCTGCCTCACTTTGCCAAGATAAGCAACTTTTGTTGTCCGCTTGGACGGGTTGACTTTGTAGCGCGCATGCTAGAGGTATCAGCAGATACGTTCCGACGCGAATGTTCCGTTTTTGAAGCACACCATCGACAATCCCGGATGTGGACTGAAATACTCATTTCAAAATGCAACGAGCAGGGGATACCAACTTGCTTGGAGGCTATCTCCATATTGTGTGACAGACTGTCGAATTTTGCGCAACAGGCAGATAGAATACCTGCCTCTGCTGTCTGTGTATAATGATCGTCCAAGGCGTAAAGTTCGAAAATGAGGAACTTAGACTCCAAGAGTAAATGGCATGTTGTTGAACCAGGCCAATCTTTTCCTCAAGGGTTCAGAAAGCCCAATTGCAGTGGTCTCTGCAACACTGCCTCTTAGATGTAGTGGTGACTGCGCGTTGTTTCCAAAAGGTACCACAGCGTCTTCGATGGGCAACAGGTGTAGGCATTTTCTATTCGAGGTTTTGTTTGTGAACATCCCGACAGCGACGTTGTCCGGCAATTACTTTTGGGTCTCCGCCAGACATAGGATGTGCTCTCGCATTCTTTTCATAGATCGTGAAGATTCTCTTTCCGAAGCAAAACAAAAAAAGAGCAAAGTGCTATCTGCAATCGAGTATGGCTTCAAAAGCTATCATCTGCGGTATGCTCGAGAATGATATTCGTCGTTGAACGGGATCAGAAGGGGTCTTCGAGGGAATCAACATATGGCTTGTTCAAGTTGTGTGATTGTGTGCGTATTCATGATCGGAATCTGCATTCAATGTCAATTAGCTGCCGACTATGAGTATTTGGGGAAAAGTACACAATTGCGCTCGCTTCAATGCTATTTGCAACACCATACGTCGTCGGTCGATTGGCTCCCAGCCCCCACGGAGCATATATTGGAAGAGTATATCATTCGCGCCTCGCAAAAGAAGGAACTTTTATCTGCGAAGGAACATTGAGTTCTTAGATAGTATTGTTGATCACCGCCAAATTGTTGGACTGATGATGAAATGTCGAGACGTTTTTGTGAAGTGATTGAGGTTTCCTGGTTTGCCGAGGTCGTCGCGTGACGCGTCCCATCTAAAACAATCAAGGAGATCACATTTTCTTCTTCTTCAACAATAATACCACTTCACCAAGCTTCACACCATACATATATCAAGTGATAGAAACGGAAACATAAGATGAGAACTTCAATTTCAAACGGTCTCATCAGTAAAATATCACAGATTTTCTGCAACACTTCCATGCTGTCCCATATCGATCTTGCATCTCTTGCTCGCAACTTTTTTTTTTAATTTTGAATCTTAGTCTTATGATCTATTGATATCTGCTTATATATGTATGTATTAAAACTTTGGTTTCCCCTATTCGTACCAGATGCAGTTGGTGAGGAAATGTGAGGAAAGAGCCATCAAGGACTCTTCGACCTATTGAACGACTTGCACTTCTCCTTTTGCTGGGCCTATCCCATCACTACCTCACCCCATTTCCTATTATCACTCAATGGTATCACTTCAACAGTATATCCTAGTTTCACCTCGGTCTACATCATGAGCAGCCAAACCGCGCTCTAGGTTTTCAACAAGAGTCTGCCTTGTGCAAGCATCTTCACAAAGTATTTGTGCAGAGACTCTTACTCCGGGCATCAAGACCTCACTGTTAAACATGGTACAAACCCGAAATGCAGACAACCAACGCCTGAAGCCAAAGCAGATCCTAGCAAACGCCGCAGTCCAGAATCTCATCCAGTAAGTCTCTGAAATTTCTTATTTCTTTATTTGCTGAAAGCAACAGTTACTATAAACATCAACATGAGGGTCCCAAGAAACTTGCCGACGATGAGTCCTCCTCTTTCAGGACCTGCATGTCACCAATACTGGAATCGCCAACCCCGGGCTCTCTTTTTACGAAACCTCCAATTGATTCGACCCGAGTTCCAAATAGAGCCGATGACAATTTGTTGTATCACGACCCGACTTTGACAGCATTTGCGCAGTTGGCAGCGTTCAAGCTTCAATGCAATCGTGCCATTATATCGCTGATTGATTCCAACATCCGGTACATACTCTCCGAAGCTACCAAGAGCGTATCTCTCAAGTCACCACACAGAGCTGATAGCGGAGATGGATTGTTTCTCGGTGCTCGGTTTCTTGATCGCGCTTGGGGCATGTGCCCTGAAACAATAGAGTTCTTCCAGGATGAAGATGGCAGTGTGTCTAAAACGGAAAGCTTTAGTGAGTCCTCATATTTCTTGATTATGATCTTGAGATTGGCGCTGACGATGTATTCTTTTAGTGGTTGTTAACAACAAGTCTGTTGTTATCCATGACATGTCAAAAGCCCACTGTTGCAAGGACAAAGAGTACATTTCCGGATGGCCATATTTTCGATTCTTCGCTGAGGTTCCAATTAAGACTAGGTCTAGGCTGGTCGTAGGTTCTTTTTGTTTATTAGACAACATTGCACGACACGAGTTTGGGGAGGAAAACCTAAAAACCCTTCAGGAAATTGCTTCCACGGTTGCTCGTCATCTCGAGCTCGTCCAAGCACAGAAGAATCTCGAACGATCAAAGGACATGGTCAAGGCTTTGGGGCTGTTTGCTGAGGGTAAGCCTACTCTACGGCAATGGTGGACAGATGCGTTCAACAGAAGGGCTAGCGTTGTAGAGGCTCGAGAAGCGCAGAAAGAGGAGCCTACCCCAGAATTTAAGTAAGTACAGCGTCAGCTCTCTACTACCCAGGTGGCTGTAAGAAGCCATGTCCGGCGTCCAGCTTCGCAAGTGTTTTTAAGCATCGCATCAACATTGTCTTTGCCTTTTCCCGAAACAGAATGCGATCTCAATCCGAAGAGATGACCACTAATTTTCTTGTCTAGTCAAGATCTTGCTACTGCTTCCGAGCGCTTGAAGGCATTCTTGCGTGCACCAGAACCACTGCCACCAGACACTAACCCAAGCGACTCGCTTGGATCAACGTCTACTCATATTGACTCTGCAGCAGCCACCGGGTCTCACACATCCGCCAGTCCGCGTGAAGAAGAAGTGGCCCAATCCGGAAGAAATCAGATCTCACAAGGGTCTGATTCGAAGCAGACTGACTCAAATCCTAAATCCCGAAAAAGACAGAGCACTCAGCAATCGGGTCTCCCCTCACACGAGGAAACTTTGTCATATGCTGCGATCAAGTCTTTGTTTTCTCGGGCGAGCCACATGATTCGGGAAGCTAGCGACCTAGAGGGAATCATCTTCGCCAACGCATCTCTTCAGGATATAGAAATTGGCCGGGGTAAACTTGACAGTGAGACTTGGACAACACAGACTCAAACGGAAACCCAATCTGGAACCAGAAGTAGTATGGATGTATCAAACAGTGTAGATACAAAAGTGGAGCGAAATTCGTCGAATGGCCGATCTTTCAAAATGTCTATCAACAAGACTAATTCCTTCGAGAAAGAGCCAAAAGTTTGCGAGATTCTAGGTTACTCTCTGAGGGATACCCCATGCGGATCGAATGCTGAGCCCTCGTCAACGCAACTTGGAATCTCGCAATCTGTTCTTAGAGGTTTGCTGAAATCATATCCGCATGGCCAGATATTTATGTTCGACCAATTCGGATTACCTATCCATCATTCAGACATAGACCCACGAAAGTTCAGCAAGAGCAGGAGAAAGAAGCGCTGGACAAATAAGGAGAGGAAATTCGAGAAAGAGAAGGAGCAGTTGAAATCCTATCAGTAAGTCACGGAAATATCTCTTCCGAAGAGGAACATTAGGGGACTTGTCAACCAGTGTTGTCGGAGCAATGAACCGGGGTCGGTACGGTACATCCGATTTCTAACGTGTTTACAGGTTACTTGACATATGTCCAGGCGCCAGAGCCGTTATCTTTTTTCCATTGTGGGATCCACAAAGTAATCAATGGTTTGCTGGTAGTTTGGCTTGGACAAAGGATCCCGGACGAATTCTTCAGTCCGAAGACGTTACCTATCTGGCTGGATTTGGCAGTTGTATCATGGCGGAAAAGTCTAAAGTGGATGCACTTACAGCAGACAAGTCTAAAGCAGACTTCATCTCATCGATAAGCCACGAGCTTAGAACACCTCTCCATGGAATGCTCGCAACACTGGAAACCATGGAGGAGACCTCTAAAAACACCCAAGACGAGGAAATGATACGTACCATGACAACTTGTGGAGAAGTCTTGCTTGATACCATGGACCACATGTAAGAATTCGTCCGCCCCTATTCTATTATGAGACTAAAGCTGACGTGAATTAGTCTAGATTATGCTAGAATGAGTAACAAGAAAGGACTAAAAGTCGGCAGTGTAAACGGACAATCGGGAGGAACAATGATATCATCTAGTAGCATCACAACTTTCGATCTGGGTAATGTGGTCGAAACTGTTGTTGAAGGTATCCTTGTTGGTCATGGTTATCGGTCTCAGACTCGATCAAGGACCTCTGGTGGAGACGGTCCTTACTATCCGCGGCGGCGAAGCCGCGTGGCATCGCCGGGTGTAAACAGCGATGTTTCTGTAAGTTTGAGAGATTATGATACTTTGCTTTGCTAGTATTAATACAATTTAGGTAGTTTTAGATATCGAAAAACGAAGAAGCTGGCTCTTCCAATCTCAAATCGGAGCTTGGAAGCGAATCCTAACAAATCTCTTTGGCAACGCTCTTAAATACACCAATCTAGGCTTCGTGCAGGTGTCGCTAAAAACGGAAACCATATTGAATGGTGATACGGACACGACGCTTGTCACGATGGAAATTCAAGATTCTGGGATCGGAATGACACAAGATTTCTTGACAAACCAACTGTACAAGCCCTTCGCTCAAGCCAATCCACTCTCGGTTGGAACAGGTCTAGGCCTAAGCATTGTTAGACAGCTCGTGAAGGATCTGAATGGTTACATCGAGGTCGAAAGCGAAATTGGATATGGTACTTCAATGAAAGTAGCCATTCCGTTGAAGAACTCAGATATCCAAGATCCGAACGATAGCTCGGTCCCTGGGAGCGCGACGATCCGAGATATTGGGGCATTGTCTAAAGGGCTGACCTTGTGTATCATCGGCTTTGATTACTTGCCTGAGATGGATGAAGCTTCGACTGGGATTTTGAGCGTTCACGCCCGACGCATGCTTGCTTTAAGAAGAACAATCGTGTCATTCGCGACGGACTGGTTTGGCTTGAAGGTGGTCGCGGCGGCTTCTATTGCTGAGGGCGCAGGACACATATTACTTGGGTTACAATCACAGATCAATCAGACTGAGATGATGTGTAGGAACGAGCCACTAATTGTTTTAGAGGACGTCTTCCGAGGACCTCGTCTGGATGACAGTGGAGGGATAATCCACTTATCACAGCCGTAAGTTCAACTTGCCGTCATTCCTCGGTAATCGTTTTCATTTTCGATGTCTGCTGTGGAAAATACCATGTTCGTCAGTTGTTAAGGTGCTAATACTTGAATTTAGTTTTGGACCGCACAAGTTTGCAAGAATACTTGGGGTATGCTTAGAATATAGGTCCTCATTCCACGATTCAACGGAAACACCAGCAGTGCCGAGCAAGCGGGCCAGATCAAATTCTTATGGATTTCTAGACAGCCCGCAAATGTCTTCAGCCAACGTTGACACGTCGCCGGGATCAGAACACACCATAATACCGCCAAAGTCACCGCAACTTTCATTGCGAATGCCCGCTCCGTTACTCACATTTCGACAAGATCCGGGAGCAAGTCAACGGTCGACTCCGCCCGAACCTGCAAGTGACACGCCAGGGCGATCTGTGGTTCTTTTGGTTGAGGATAACTTGGTAAACATGAAGGTAACTCTAAGACAAATGTTTGCTTGCGGTGCAAAGCTAACTATGTAACTGATTCTCGTGAACCACATGAAACGTGCAAAGGAGACACATATATCTGCCATCAATGGTCTCGAAGCCCTACACAAATACCAAGCGTCTCATCAGTCTATCAAAATTGTTTTCATGGGTATGTGAAACATGACTCCCAGTCACGAATGCCACAGCTGACTCGATCTAGACATTGGAATGCCCATAATGGACGGAATTATGGCAACGACTCGTATTCGAAAATTTGAAAAAGAGAATGCATTGCCAAGGGTGCGGATAGTTGCATTGACTTGTTTCTCCTCAGATGAATATCAACAGAAGGCTTATGATGCTAGTATTGATGTGTTTATCGTTAAGCCTGTGTTGATGAAGGGTTTGAGGACGCTGCTGGACATGAATCCGACGGTGGTTGTTCCTCCTCGTAGTCCTAATGGCGAATGAGAAATTGAAATTTGAGAAACGTCTGAGTTGTGGTTTTTGAGTGGTGATTAGTAGATTGAATAAAATAGATGACAGGTGAATATGAGCTGAATGGACTGTTGGTGTTAACAAGTAATTGACATTGGGGGAGAGGGGGGATCGACAAATGGAAAAGGGGGGTGAAAGAGTGCAGCCTCCGGGTGGACATGATAATAAGTGGCTGTCGCAGCACATGTTTGCTTATGACAATTGACGAAATCTACTATAATTCGATAATTTATTTGAATAAATATTCTTTCAAGTATATAATAAGTTTGTACATTATCAAGGAGGTCCTGATATCTATTAGATTAGCTCGCGGAGGACAAAATAAGTGTTAGTTACCTGCCTACTAATTTTGGGACTTAATAAGTCGATTTCGAATAGAGCTTAAGAAGTTTTATTTACTTAAAATAATTGACGAAAAAAGTCATATTGTTCCAAGTTAATCCACTAAATACCGATATTTTGTCAACTTATTAATCGAAGAAATATCGTGCTTTAGCTACCAATTATTTTGTCCACCGCGAGATTGGCTACCTCCACTTATGGCGAGGCAGCCTAGAGTCACGTGCTCAACGCCACACTTCCGCGCCACGCAACGTAGATGGTGAAACCGCGTCATTATCAGCAGCTCAAGCCGCCCGGCCCCGCGACCACAAGAACAAGTTCACTACCACCAGTTGAAGTACCTACAAGATGACCTGAGGTCTCAGTTAAAAAGCTCTACTCACTAGAGCTTCCAGCACATTATTCGACCGAAGCAGTATCGTTAGGAATATATCGGTCAAACGCATATTTCCGAATAGCGACTATGACGAAATCAAAGAACCCCGCCAGCGGGGGAGAAGCTGCGAAATCCACAGAACCTACAACATCAAATCCAAGACCGGTCTCGCCGTCGAATAGCTTTTACGCACTCAGCGACGATGAGGAGGGCGACTACAATACAGTCACGCATATGAGCAGTGGGAGGGGAGTTAAATTATTGTTTTCGAAGAGCAAGGTAATTCAATGACCGGGTTACGTGGTTGGAAAATGGAGGTACTGACAACATCTTCTAATTCAGGTCTATATCCATCCCACCCCGTCTGCGAAAGACAATATACCCGGCTACATCGCTCTTTTACAACAAAAACCCGCGCCCGATTCTAGACCTACATCGTCGTCTTCCACAGCAACCGCGCGCAACAAGGCCGCCTCCTCCCTCCTCCTAGCATGGCTGCCGGAATCCTCTCTTGGAGATGCGCTTAATACATATGTCAAGGTCGACTTATCCGACGGAGACTCCCCACCGAGACAATCCTACCTCGTTCCTCCACCTCCTACTTCTACCTCGCACTCCGGGTCCAGCGGCCATTATGCCTTTGCCATTCCCGTCTCCGCCATTTACAGTCTTCTTGTTCGCCCGCCTAGCTTGGGTTGGTGGTTTGGCAGTGTTATTATAAATAGCCGTGCGGGCGACAGTTTTCCGGCGCTCTTCTTCCACGACTCGGAATGTCAAAGTACGATTTTGCAGAAGAAGAGGAGGACAAGAGAGCATTTTGATCCGTTTGGGGCGGATGGATCGATGTTCTGGGGCGGCGATGAGGTTTTGAGGTGGCTAAAGAGATATGTTGAGATTGAGAGGAGTGGTGCGGAACCTAATATATACCTGGTCGAACCGAGTCTTGAGGATAAAGAGGGGTTTTCGAAGCCAGTGACCGCTGCTGTGGTGAGACGAGGGAGCCAGAGTGGTGCAAATGTTAGCGGCGCTGCTGGATCTAGTTCGAGAGGTGGAAGAGATGGAGGTATGGATCCGGTCACTAAGTTTGTGAAAGAGGCGGGATGGAATTTGATGGAGAAATTCAGTAAAGTCACGACGTTTACGAGACGTACAGCCGAGAGCGTAGCGGAGAACAAAAACGTGCCACCGCAAATGAGGAGGTTGCTTAAGAATCCTGAGGTGCAAACTATCCAGGAGGAGTTTGATAGTGCGAGGATTTATCTTGCGAGGTGGGCTATGGGAATTGCGGAACAAGGAGAGCGTGATCGCAATAACCGGATATGGACGGCGAGAGATGTCCTGGAAATGGAGGAGACTGATGTCGGGGAATTTGAATTGCTCGATACTGAGATTGCTGGACTTAGTCTGAAAGAGCAACGGAAGACAGTAACTCTAAAAGAGTGGAAAAGCTTTTTTGATCCAAGAACTGGGAGATTATCGGTCACGGTCGAGGAAGTCAAGGAACGAATATTTCATGGTGGACTAGATGCGGATGATGGCGTTAGGAAAGAAGCATGGCTTTTCTTGCTCGGTGTTTATGAATGGGATTCGACTTCAGACGACCGAATAGCTGAGCTCGCGAGTCTGAGAGATGAATATGTCAAGCTTAAGGGCGCATGGTGGGATCGCTTGATAGATCTTGGTGGTGAAGGAGAGGAAGGAGAATGGTGGCGAGAACAAAAGGGTCGAATAGGTATACCATCCTGCTCAAACCCCCTGACAGAGTACAAATTAGCTAACGTGTCCCATTCCTTGGGGTCAACGCTGTAGAGAAAGATGTACACAGAACCGATCGCAATGTCCCCATTTTTGCTGGAGAGGATACTGCTCACCCAGATCCTTCTTCACCATTTGCAGATGTGGGAACAAATGTTCACCTCGAACAGATGAAAGATATGCTTCTAACCTATAACGAATACAACCGCGATCTTGGCTACGTCCAAGGAATGTCCGACCTCCTCGCCCCCATCTACGCAGTCATGCAAGACGACGCCGTTGCTTTCTGGGGATTCCAGCATTTTATGGAGCGCATGGAACGTAACTTCCTCCGCGATCAATCTGGCATGCGCAATCAGCTTCTCACTCTGGACCACCTTGTACAGCTCATGGATCCAAAGCTTTATCTCCACCTTCAATCCGCCGATTCCACGAATTTCTTCTTCTTCTTCAGAATGTTACTTGTATGGTATAAGCGCGAATTCGAGTGGTTCGATATCTTGAGACTATGGGAGACGTTGTGGACGGATTATCTGTCTAGTAACTTCCATCTATTTTTTGCGCTTGCGATTTTGGAGAAGCATAGGGGTGTTATTATGGAACATCTGAAGCATTTTGATGAGGTTCTGAAATATGGTATGTGCCTCTGCCGGATTTAGTTTGTTGTTGAAATACTGATTTTTGACAGTCAACGAACTATCTACGACAATTGATTTAGAATCTACGCTCATCCGTGCAGAAGCACTATTCCGTAGATTCCAGAGAACCGTCGAAGCCATCGACAAGAAATCCAACTTCCCAGCTCCGAAATTACGGCAGCGAAAAGTCGAGGCACCTAAATCACCCACGAAATCTGCTGAAGGTGCTACAGCAAGTACGAGTGGTACTGATACCGTCACTTCCGGATCTACCAACAACGGCGCTTCATCTTCCACTTCGCCACCGCCGGAAGATGCGGGTAAGGGAAAGCAGAGTCCCGATAAAGGAAAGGGTAAAGCAAGTCCAGGTGCTGAAGCATCTGCTGGACGAGAACTTGAGGAACAGAAACCCAAGGTTATCAGTCCGGAGCTTAGGGCGCTTCTGAGTAAGAAGGTGGAGGTTTTGCCGCGGAAGGTTGTCAGGAAGGAGGGGGAGGGGTTGGCTAAGGTTGTTGGGAAGAAGTAGGTTTGTGGGTTGTTGAGTTTTGAGGTTGGTGTTTGGAGTTGGGTTTGGAGTGGGTTATTAGGATTGGGATCAGGAAATGAGAATAGGAAATGTGATTTGATAGCATAAATATATGGGATTAGTGCGGCTTGTGGAATGAAGCCAGTGTAAATCAAGTGTGCTCACATATGACTTTGTGGTGGCTTGGTGACCTTCAAATTGTAAAATCTTTCTTGAATTGTCATGTCTTCTCGATTGCTTGTTGGTTGTAAGTTGGAGTTTCGTTCTTGGGGGTTGTTGTCCAGGCTCCAAATACGCGCCATAAGAATTCAACCAACGCGTTTGAAGGGTTGAGTTCCCCTAATTAGTTGGCTCCCAATCTTCGAGACGCCTCCTGTTGTCATAGACAATACGCCGTCTGAACTGCCCACAAAAGAGCCCCAAGATATCGTATGAGTCTACGATGCTTTGTTTCATGGCCCTAAGATAGTCACCACATCCCCGAATCTTTGGAGGAAGATTCGTTGAGTGTTAGGATTGCTGTTTTTGAGCGGCTATTCCACATGCCGAAGTGGCTTTCGTCCTTTGGAGTCAACGAATAGGGAGGATCTTGTGACAGTAAATCGATGTTCATGATCAGCTATGCGTCAGCGTCATCCTCAGAAGTGAAAGCCATGAAGTATGCCTCGAGTGGTTGCGTAGATATCTCCTCCACAATTGGGTCTGGCATTGGAAACTCTACTTGATCCAACCAATACTCCAACTTACCAACTGGATGTTGCAACAAGGAGAAGTGCGACCGGTCTTCGGTTCTTGAGCGACTAACCTGCACACCGATACGATTTCCATCGTTAAGACCCATTGAAAATCTGGTTATGATATATTTTAGGGATCCGGTGACAGTGATTATGATCAAGAATTCTTCGGCGTCGCTGACAGAACGATATGCCTTCAATTATGCCTCGAGAGATTCCTTGACAAGTGAGCTTATGATTTATAATTGGGGATTGGAGTTCTTCAAAGAGTTGAAAATACTGCTTGGTCCAATGAATCGTTTGGCAGACCAACTAGATGTTGTAACAAGGACGATGGTGACTGTGAAAGAGCGCTTTCTCTAACCGGTGAGCTTTATAACTGCCTGGAATCGCACAATTCTTTGTCCATGTGGAAGGAGAGAGTGAGTATATGCAACAAGTGACTGAGTTGAACACAATGAATGAAAGCAGTCACCGAGAGGGGGAAAGGGTATAAGTAGATGTTGAAATCCGCAGGAATTTAGAGAATCAGAACTTGACAAACCACTATCATAATACACAAGCAAAGAGTCTTACAAAACCGCAAGCAAAATCACCTCCAATTTCCTAGTAAGACCACCGTCCTACAACTCCCAATTTCTCTCCTAACATCTCCACAGGATCACAACAACACCTCAAATCAACCAAACAAATACTACTACAAAACTCAAGCATCACCACCTTCACTCTCCCAGTAAACACATTCTCAATCCACTTCCAGCTCCGCAATTAACTCCTCCACAGACACAACCAAACAATAACACACCCCAAATCAACAAATCAACCGCGCGAAAAAACAATGGCACCAACTACTTTCTCAAAGCAAAGCATTCGCTTCAGTCGCGGAGGCTACAATGGTCCCTCCTCTTCCTCCGAAGACGAGGATAACTACCATCCTTCCGCGCCTGTGAATTTCAACAAGGGAATCAACACTCTCCACGGCGATAACGATGATGAGGAAGAGGATGGACGGGGAGGGTATAATAAGGGTGGCAAGAATAAGCGGGGGGATGATGATGAGGAGGAGGATGGACGGGGAGGGTATAATTAAGGGGTATTAGAGAGGGGTGAGGAGGATGGTGGGTGGAATATTGAGATGAGGCCTTGAGCGGGGTTGTAATGGTGGAGGGGAGATTTTTTCGAGGGTATAGCGGTTTGATATTTTGGATTTTCATTATACACGCTCTTTAATATGGCTTCACAAGACGTTGTGGAAGTTATATATTTTTCAAATTTTCAAATGAAAAAGAATTTGATTGATTACTGAACTATTGTGATATAACTAGTTCTAAATGTCGATGGCAACACGTTTAATCAACCTCACTTAGAAAAATGTAGCAGCATTGTCACTTGAAATGAAAAAGGCAGAATTCACAATATCAAGCCGAAAAATAAAGCCGACGCTCTGAACTTTCTATTAATATTCATATTCTCTCTACTTGAGGGGAATGTCTCGCTTTCGTGGGTGTCTAATTCGATGCAATCTTTCATGAACTGTGATCGGGAATAGCTGTTCTAAACTACACCCAATATAGTTACAGAATAAAAGACTTTTAAGATTAATAAACTTTTGTTTTGTTGATTAATATTTTAATTAAATAATTAACCAGTAGCCCTGTGAGCGAGGCGATTTTCGTTGCTTATTCTCGGTGTTTTTACTGGACATTGCTGGGGTGTTTCATCGTCAGGATTCCTAAGTATGACGTGGTGTAATAGCCATTTTGAGGCTGCTAATAGTGGCTTGTTATAACGGTAATTTGGAATCAACAAAAATTTAACCTTGGAAACATCTAGGTTGCTGATAGCTTTACACTACGGGGTGGGTAGCTAGAAACAAGATCAAAAAAAATACCTTAACAGTAAAATACCGATCCTAGAGTTTTCTGATAACAAGCATATAATGTTATGACAATACACCGTATATTAAGATTTAAAATTGTTTGTTTCCAATTTTTTCCATTCAAGTTACATAAAATGGCTAACGAATGTGTGATGCTACAAGTTAAATCACTCCTGGGTGTTCTTCCCCTATTTTGACTTTTCTGTTGCAGAGCAAGCTGTCCAAAGTAATATTCAAATACCCCACTGCTTCTCCGATGTATTTTTATTTGATTTACACAAAATAGTCGGTGTAGAAAACGTAAATTAGTCAAACTAAAGCAGAGAATAGCGTGAGATTCTGACTTCTGTGATAATAAAGATGACGTTGTAGATGGCGGGTGATAGAAAAAGGAACGGGGCGGAACATCGATGTTCGCCACTTCTATCGAAGCAATATATATTCTTGTGAAAAGACCATCTAATTACTATTTCTTCCCAGAATTTTGCCTATCTATCAATTATTCCAGATGGGTAATGACTCTGTTTAAACTCAATTTGTGTAAGCTTGCATCTTATGGGATTGACCTCTTGATGTGAAACTGATTCTCCATCCGACTTAAACATGCCTGCAAAGAACTATGATATATACATGTGATTATATATGCGAGAGCGTTAAGTTCAACAGTCGAACCCAATCAATGTTGTAGAGAAAGAGGGTCCGCCCTGATCTTTGGGTCGTATATATAACCAACCCATATGACACCCTTCATAGACTATACTCGAATTCTGGACGCTCGTTTCTTCACGTTGAAAGAATTTATGAGAGGTTGGTCCAATCCAAATCTACAGATGTCTGCTGTTGAGCGGCATTTTGAAAGGTTGTGTACCAAATCCCGGTGAGGAGAAAGGGGGGGGGGTTTAGAAATATGTTCCCGGTGCTAAATGACTGTTGTTAAGAACCATGGTGGAAAGAGTTCCAACTAACGACGGAAGGCAGACGAGGTGTTGTTGTACCCTTTACCTCTCAGAGTATCCCATGCCTCAATCGTTTTTGCTCGAGCTTCAAGGCTTTCATGACTTTCATTATTTGCCCAGCGGAGAGTTTCCTTGGAAAGATCAAACTTCTGATATCTTTGAGCCCCAGGTGAAGGAGGAGGATATGAGTCGCCGCCTGAGTAAGCTGTCGACTGACTAAAGCTGCTCGCAGTCTGGGATTGAAATGATTCGTATTCCATTCGCTCTGCCGTGGATGCTTTTGACATCAGATTCGGGGGTTGTCGTGCGTAACGTGCGGCTTTCGTTGAACACAACCATCGTTGGAATTCTGGACTCTGTAGAAACCGAGATCTCGTTAGAGAATGATAAGATGAAAGAAAAATCTGATTGATTAATTCTCCTGACATGGCGAAACAGTCCCACCCAAACACACAATCTATCTCGAATATCAAATTCAACATCTGGTAAACTGTAACACCCACATCCATAGTATAATTCACGGACTTAGATTCGGCTACACCTTTCGCAAGGTAAAGACAGAAAGTATCAATTCCATTGGATCCTTCAGATGAGTGTGCCACGGTCTGGTTGATACTGTTATCTTCCTTCAATGCACATTCGTAAAGTTCATCCCTTAATTCCACACAGTAGGTCAAGTATATATTCCAATAGCTTTGATTGATGAGACAGTCTGTAGACGACAAGTCCGGGTCTGGTTTGCAATTGAGCTTCCCGATGGTGATTTGAAGCACATGCGATGCATAAACAAGTCTTCTCGTCACGTTAGCCCAAGGCGATATTGAGCCATACGATCTGCACATAGTCGCATGAAGCCAGAGGGTGAGCTTCGAATCTTCGAAGTAACTGCCTTCATGACTGAGCACCAATTGTGTTGTCTCCCACGGATGTACGTTATAGTGAACCGGATGTTCTCGTTTGGCGCCAGTCTTTGGCTGAGATGCGCACGAGAAGCACGAAGTATAATGTGCTTCTGCCATCATCTCGCTCAACGGAACTAAACTATTACAACCAAATAATTTGATGGAGTTTAAGTAACTTTCAGCCATAGTAAGCTCCTGTAGAGGGTTTAAGTAACCACGCAAGCAGGCGACTTGGCTTCCTGGAAGTGGTGGAGAAGGCGACGAAGTTGGGGAAGCTTTTTTGCTTGCAACTGGCGAGGATGTCTGCGGTGGTTTGTTAATCGTACTAGACTCTCCAACCTTCTCTCCTTGTCTTGCTGAACCTTGCAAACTATAGACTCTTCTCTCTCTCTCAAGAGGTATAATTTCATCAGCTGCATGGCTGGATGAACCGAAAGGTTGAGATGAAGTGCTGCCTGTTTTCGACTTTTCTGACTCCGTTTTGTTTGTCGTAGTTCGACGATTTGATCTGCGTTGTCCAGATGATCTTTTCTTCCCTTCTCTTTTGCTGGACGGACCGGGTTTCAGAGAAGAAATCATAGCACTTTTATCTCTTTCTGGTATACTAACAGACTTTGCAGGTAAATTGACGGATATCGAATGACCTGGGCCGGGAGTATCCGCTCGACCTGTTCTTGCCGAGTTCAAGTTATGGTTTTGAGGGCCGCTTTCGTCACGCTGAATCTTTTCATCCACGACGTGATGACGTTGCGTTTCTGTGGAGTTTTCCTGCGAGATCTTTGGAGTTGAACTTGGTAAGGGACTGTGTAGTCGACGACTAGTTTGCTGTTGCAGTGACTTAGCTTCGGAAACTGTTGTCTCCGGATTGGACTCGACAGAAGTGGAATTTCCTTTCGCAACATCTTCCACATGAACTCGACGTGACGAAGGGTGGCTTTTAGAAGTAGAAGGAAGCTCACTCTCAGATTCAGTAAGGTCTGCTTTCAATACACTACTATCGGTGAGATCTTCGACAATGTTTGATTCTTCTCTCTTTTTCTCAAGCGATTCACTTGAGACCGAATCACTGTCGGATGAGGACAACGACTTCTCTTGCGGTTCACTAGCTTCTGCATCCAACATACCTCGCTCACCCAGCTCATTGATATAAGCCATGATCAACTTCTCATGCTTCCTTAATTCTCGGTCGGTATAGCCTTCCTGATAGAGACCCCGGCGAAGACGTCTCCAGAACATCTTATCGTCATCGGCGTAGCTTGTCCAGACACTGCCTTCTTCAGTTCTCGCAGAGAGCTTGGCAGTTATATAGTTAACCGATTCGCGGATGCCACGAAGATCACCTCCAAGTGATTCAACTTGATTTTCAATCCTGCCTTGACCTTCCGAGGAAAGTAAGTTGAGATTTATCGTGATTGAAGCGGTATAAGTGGCCATCTTGAGCCTAACACTATCCAAATCTCTTGCCTTGCCATTTCCGAACCGAATCTTCTGCATCAGCTTCCCGGCACCTCCCCCCTCTGTACTCAACCCATTATATTTCACGATAGCATCTTCGATATCTTCCAGCAATCTTTGGGCTCTTCGCAGGATCTTGCTAAGCTCGCGCTTCCTCTCGTCCTTTGCCCGATGAAGTGCAGATTCTGGCGAGGCGATCTCGCCGCGAAGTCTTTCGAAGACTTGACCAAGGGAACGAGCCTCTCTCGTCATTTCGCTGTATTCGCCACAAGCCTTTCGAGTCCCTTCGACTGTTTGCCAAACTAGTTTGGTGAGCATTACGCCATCACCGATCGAGAATCCGAAGCTCATGGTGAGACTGCCCGTGGTCGTTGGGACCGCCAACGACTTGGAAGACCTCGCATGTCAGTCGGAGTTGTAGCGACAAAATCTGAAGATAATCCGCATGCAGAAGAACTGAAGTAAAGCGATCAAAGAACCTAAGTTGAGTGTCTTGGAAAACAAACATGTTGATGTGTGTAATCGACAAGGCTCCAGACTCGTGATAACGCCCGGTTTGAGAGGTGGGCTGCGAAATATTCGTGCATATTGCGGGGTACTGGCACCGCAGCGTAATATGTTGAGCTCCCGATAAGCATCGAAGTGTGCCTTGCAGGTCGCCTATTTTGTCTTCATCTTTATGTTTGAAATTGAATCATAGCCTCGGTTACATGAAGAATATTTTGAAATTATAGGTTGAGGTAATTCGATGGTGGTATGAGCAAGGGGCTAGGAAGCAGTGTTGGGCCTTGTTAACAAAAAAATAGTATATTTAAACAAACAGTACCATTAGAACATCCAGAATTTCAAGAATAGTGACTAGATCTTGAAAGTATATACAGCGATGCAAAAAAAGCAATCGAGATTCCAGATCAGTCATACACAAACCAAAATATAGCACCTTCGGTGTCTCTCCACGAAACAAAAAAAGTCTACTGAGGTGATCTCGTTCTCACCGGCGTTCCAGGTGGCAAAGGCGTCAAACTCCCCATCAAAGGTGTCGAAAACGTTGGTTCTGGCGAGCTTGCCCACGAAAGATTTGTTTCCGTCGCCGTATCAGTACCAATGAAATCCGTCGCAGGACTGATAGCCGGAGTCATCGTTCTCCTAAGTTGGCTCCACCCAACTACCGGAGATTCAGGACTGACGATATCAGAAACACTTTCATTTCTAGCCTTCTTCTTATTCTTTCTGTACCCTCGTGCGGAAAATTGACGATTGACGTTGTTTGACATTTCAATCGCGACTTCTTCTCGAGCGGGCATCTCGAAAATCGGGTTGTGTCCACCTATTTCAACTGGCGGATCATACTTCTTGGCGTCTACTTCAAATTTCGGATCCGTAGGGCTGATAGTCGAGCCGTAGAGCTCGGGTTTGATGACATCTGGGTCGTTTGTTGGATTTATTGTGCCACTGGCCTCTAATTCGGCAATCGCTTTCTGTTTTCTTCGCGGTTTGAGATAGTAAAACTCTAGTAAAATACAAGAAATGATGATTAGGGCAGCTCCGCCAGCGGCTATGCCAGATATAACACTCTTTGAGATCTTGCCACCTTCTGATGTCGTTCCTGTCGTATCTGACGGAGGCAAAATGGTGACAATTTTTTGAACTTGATTTGGAGTCCAATTGCATTGCGATACAGAAAAGTTTTTTCGCTCGAAGTCAGCAATGATATATGCTTCTTGGAAAAAGGTTCGCCCAATCAGGTACTGTGACTCGTTGTTTGCGCGTCTGAGCGGGAAATATCGAGTTGCTATCGGAGTAATCGGGGCGGAAGAGATGAGATCAAAGGTGGAATATGGTAACGAGATATCCACTGTAGAATCCGATCCGACAGGGCTAACCGTAAAAGTTATGGTCGGATTTTGCGTCTCTAGTGCTCTGTGCTGCGTATCATTTAATAAATATAGATTTAAAGTTTCATTCCACACAAGTCCAAATGCACTTTCGAATAGTTCACATGTTGAGTTCGGTAACCAGATGTGCGGAACTGTCGAGTCAAGAGTCGTCATTATCGAGTTCGAGAGTAAGGATACACTGTTATTAGTTGTAATTCTTTGGAGCTGGAGAACGAGCTCGTCACCGCCACTAATAGGGAATGAAACGTTATTCGGTATAAATTTGGAACTGTCGTATCCGCCCAATGTTAAGCTCCCCGACACCTTGTTCAGCCCTAACAACACCGTTGGTGTTAACAATGGGGAACGTATAAATAACAATCAAAAGAGAACATAAACTAGAAGACTTACGATACTGATTCCCTGCTGTGTAGCCCCAACTAGAACTTGGTATCAACGTTTGATTCCGGAGGCTCTGCATAATACTAGGAAATGGGTTGTTGTAATTTGTAAAGTTTGTTGCCCGAGGGGTAAGGCCCAGCAATCCCATAAAAAATTCCTTGGTGGCTATTCCTGCTACAGTGTGATTTCTGATCACAGGACCCCCACCTCCTTGCCAACCTAATGTAATATCATCGAACCCAAATCTGCCCCGACCGGTGTATCCAAGACTTGACTCGAGACCCAAACCATATATGCTACTCGATCTGTTGACGAGATTCGGGGAGTAGGTAGACGACTCGTTGTAGTTGAAGAACTCTCCCCTCAACTTTTTACAGTCAAGAGAATCTCCGGATGTACAGCCTTCGGGAGTTACGGCGAACAGTTGGCTCGCCGAAGTCGAGATCTGAACTTTGATCGTCTGTGGAGGGGTCCCTATCTGTAAAGCAAAGGTAGACCAAGGTCCATCATTGCCATCCCTATTGCTTTGGTCAATGTCTTCATCATCATTTCCAGTAGGAAAAACAGCTCTTACCACTGGTCCGTTGCCGGAAAGACATAAGGTGCTGGAACGGTATTTCTCGAATTCAGTCCCACTCGATTCGATGCCGTTATCAATGATAACAGAGAACATATGGCCAATACTGTCGTCACCCATGGTGTATCATTTCTAGCTCTGCTCGATACAAACATATCGTTACGAAATGGTTAACGACATGGAAACGGGACCTGTGAATATGGTCGATGAGGGTGAATTCGGATCAGACCAGAAGGAATGAGACAATTACATTGCTGCGCACAAAATTTGTGAAAAGTGATGGCAGGTGAAAACCAGGGCTGAGCAGAACACTTCCGAAGCCGTCGTCGCGTATCTGGCTAGCTCCCCTAGCCCAATTGGATTGACAGCCAGCTGGCATGCACAAAATAACTTGTATAACAAAGACGATGATTCAAGTGTATCGAAGATGCTTAAACTTGAGATTCAGCACCACTCCTCTGCCACGAAGACGCAACAGTAGCTCTTCTCGGTCAGGAGCCATCCGGAAATCTCGGTGGCTTCTCGGGCTCAATATCATTGGGAGCAGTGCTATTGACACCTACAATGGCGTTTCCCGGACAGCCCAGAGTCATTGAATGTGGTGTCTTGTGTAGAACACCAAGATTGGATGTATTTCGAGTTGTGGCTGAGGCTGGGTAGTCTTCGCCCGAGGAGTTGCAGAGACGTCAATTTAAGCTCGCGGACGAACCAATCAAATTGTTTCAATTCTCGCTTGTAAAATACCCGCAGTGAGGTCAGACAAATCAGACGACATCTTTCGTGACCTTCATGACTCCACAGTACCACCGTTTAGCTGGCTACGCATTTGATTGGAGTCGGCGGCGATGTCGTCGTGTCACTGTTTCACGATGGACGAGAATACTTCTGCCAGCCTGGAAAGGCCTGGAAAAGGCAAAACACACGGAGCAGACACCGCCAGTGGTGGCTTGTCCAAGCAGTCTAGAGAACCATTCGTTCCTTGTATGCCCAGACGGAACTTTGCGATGGTCCTGGTAGCCGGAAGATATGCTCTGGTGCAAGGCATTCTCAGCCCTAAATGGCTTTCCTTTTCTCGCGCCTCTTTCTCCAGGAGTCAAACCTCGAAAGTTTCTTTCTTTATGATGAAGTTCATCATGCTCGTTAATTTGCAGTAGCTAACACAGTCGTTACATGGTTCTCAGCATGTTTTTGAAGTTCGGATTTCTTATTTGGAGCTTACTAGCCATATCTACTGGTGCAGCTATCGACCCGAGTGGTCAGTACCAACGCATTGTCGTCAAGCATCCTGGCTGACAAAATTTAGTGAGCACCTCCACTACATCATCAAGTGGAAACCGGAATAAAACTACTAGCAGCACATCTTTGATCTCAACATTCGTGTCGGTTTCAAGCGCCAGCAGCTTAGAATCCTCTTCCAGCAATGCCTTGTCGAGCTCTTCTTCCAATGTTGCGGGCAGCACAAGCAGAAGCACGCCAGGCTCAAGTAGCACCCCTTCGACTTCAACCAGTAGCTCTAGCAGTACACTGTCTACCTCAATCTCAACTTCTAGTTCTTCTGGTTTACTCTCGAGCACGACGGATTCTTTGTCCTTGACAACAAGTGGCTCACGCACGTCATCTGGGTCAACCACAACTTTCACATCCTCACTATCATTGACTTCGACGTCCGGATTATTATCCAGTAATAGTTCAAAGTCAACTCCAAACTCGCAAACTAGCATTTCTTCCTCCACATCTAGGTTATCAACGACGACATCGAGTTCGAGCTTCCCGAGTTCCAAACCCAACACCATCAGTAGTTCTACCCCTTTTTCTCTTACCACTGCAACGACAACAAAGCCAATAAACTCGACGACTACCGCTGGAAACTACACGACGCCTCTTTGTGGATATGTTGTGCAGGATGTGGTTTCGGAAGAGTACTGGCAAGTGTGGAATTACACTACCGAGGTGAAGCTCGTCAACTTAACTTCAATGACCATCTATGTCACCAGACTGCCCAACATAACGACTACTTACACAATCAACAATACGTACACAGTAAACGCAACTCAAACCTTCAGTAGAGATATCGGCTATAACCCATTGCGCTTGCGTCACAACGCGCTTCCGGGCCCGACTGAAACTGAGCACAGGAATGAGGGCACCGGTCCCATCATCACAGCTGGAGTCACCGTGTAAGTAAGCCTCGGCCATTACTCATACCACATAACTCATTCGCTCATATATTACCAGGCCCTACAAGCAAGCATTTTATGTTTACCCAACGGTCAAGGCCATAATTGTCAATGCAGAGCGGGATAACGACACAGCTGGATCTTTCACTTGCGGTAAATATAATGCTAATGCGCAAGGTTATTTTGGCGGTGTTGGCATATCAGACGTGGCTGGGGAAACCATAACCGTCGATGTGTTTACCACGATCACAAGCACCATCACGAGACGCAGGTCTACTATAACCAGTACATATGGTACTAAATCCGTCTCCACAAGCTACTCAAGATACTACGTCAACTCAGATGGAAGCTCAGTATCAACGCCGTATATACCAGCCAGCACTGTCATTACATTGCCGACACCATTTATACACACGCCCGTAACTGGTATAGAGGACGAAAAGACAGAGACGCAATGGGACACCGAAGCGTTCGGCTGGGTTCCTCAGAGTTTGATGGTGTATTTGAATGCTCAAAGTGTGTTACCAGAAATCTCGGGAGTGACCACCTACCAAGCTGGCGGACCATCGATTTCCCCGGCACCAGTGCCAGTCTCTTCATTCTCATATCTTGAAAATCAGGGGACTGACTTGACATCTGCCACCATAATATACGCAACACAGAACGATATTTCAGTTGCCACGCCGGCCCCAAATCCAGTCACAAACCCGCAACCTAAGCCTGAGCCCCAACCAGTTGTGAATCCGGAACCTCAGCCAAACCCTCAGCCTACACTACTTCCACAACCAAATCCAGATCCTCAATCAAACCCAGACCCGCCGAGTCCAAATCCTGTGCCAGTTCCACAACCAGTGCCTACCCCTGAATCAGGAGGTGGGCTTTCGGGAATTGGAAATGTTATAAACTCTATCATCGGGGGTTCTCCAGCTGCTACGTCCGGCGTAACTCCAGGCTCAAATCCGGCAACCAATCCTGCGCCAGGTACTGGAACGAATCCAGGGACAAATCCAGGTACAGGTACTGGAACGAATCCAGGGATGAATCCAGGTAGTAACCCGGGGAACGACCCGGGAACGAACCCAGAAGCAAATCCGGGCAATCCAGCGAACAACCCAAGTAACAACCCAATTTCAAACCCGTCACAACAACCACCCCCTCGGCCTGTACCCATAGTTGTAATACCAGCACCGACAACAATAGCAGCAGAACTTGCCCCACCTGGGCTCGCTGGAGTAAGAACCATGATTGGCGGCGCTCCTTTCGTAGTTGTCCCGGCACCTACAACTTTCGCTGCACTTGGCCCAGTGCCGTCGCCTATTCCAGTGATTCCAGGAGCTAGTGCAACGTTTATAAACTGTGCGCCATTTATAGCTATACCAGGAGCCACAAACATACCAGTGGCTAATGCACCTGCTGGTTTGGTTGGGCCCACTACAGTCATCAACAACACGCCTTTCATCGTGGTCCCCGGCCCTACGAATATTCCAGTACCAGGCCAGGCCCCGAAAGCTGGAGCTGGATCCACCGTGCTCATTGGAGGCGTACCATTTGTCGCCATTCCAGGAGCGACTGATATTCCTCTAGCTAACGCTCCTCCTGGGTTAATTGGAACCTTGACTATCATTAATAACACCCCATTTCTTGCCGTTCCTGGCCCAACGAATATTCCTATTCCAGCAGCGGGAAGTGGTGAATTCAATACAGTGACCATCAATGGAACACCTTTGTTGACCATACCTGGACCGACAAATATCCCAGTAGCAAATGCGCCTCCAGGTTTGCAAGGCGTGACAACAACGATCAATGGTGTACCTTACATAGTTGTTCCTGGACCTACGAGTCTTCCACTTGCTAACACACCATCAAATGTCGCTGGTGTTGCGACGACGGTGATCAATGGAACTCCTTTTCTGGTCTTCCCATCAGCAACAAGCATTCCACTTTCTCTTGCACCAACAGGACTTGCTGGTGCAACAACAACGACGATCAACGGAACACCCTACCTTGTTATTCCAAATCCAACCATAGTGCCTCAACCGGCCGCAAACAGCAACATACCTGGCGTTATCACCACCACCATAAATGGTACCCCAATGCTCGTCGTCCCCTCCGCAACAACCATACCCCTATCCCTCGCTCCAACCGCTATCACCGGCGCAATAACCACTACCATTAATGATACACCATATCTCATCATTCCGGGCCCGACTACTGTCCCCATAACAGGTTCACAGCCGACAAATCTCCCCGGATCATTGACCGTCATTGATGGAACAACACGATTAGTCTTGACCGGACCAACTACGATCCCCGTGAACCCGAATTTCTCGGTCTCAGGCAGAACTACAGTAATCGGTGGTACCACTATGGTTGTACTGGATGGAGCTACTACTGTTCCTGTCAGCAATACTGCTAGTGTAACGGGGACGAGTGGCTCAGCGACTAGTACGACATCCGGTTCGGGCACTTCTGCATCCCGTACTAGCATCGCGACTCTAGCCCCAATTCCACCTGCTCCACCGGCTGAGGCGTCTAGTAAAAGTGATGCAGTCAGAGAAAAATATCTCAGTCTCCTGTCCATCGGACTTGGCAGTATACTAACATCTCTCTTATTAATAAAATGAAACGCGAATTGATTTACGAATTTATGGACAAACCTGAAAAGTGGTGTTTAATGTGCGGTCTCATGAGACCAGCTTTACATTATGCTTGAAAATGAAAAACATGAAGGCATAGACACACCATTATTGAAATAAGTCTTGTTTTATTTCTTGTGTTGGAGTAATAGCATGTTGGAGTTTATTAGCATATGATCATTTTTAATGTGGCGTGTAGGAGACTGAAGGGAGCTGGAATCTGCTTCATCTCAGGTAGCTTTTAGAAATAGAAATGTATCCAATCCTTAATATGATCCTTGCGACTTGTTGAAAGAATAACAATTGTTTTGATATTTGTACGGAATAAGGGGGTTTGGATCTACAGCCGAAAGCGGGGCACGCTTCCCCACATCGACAAACCGAACCTTTCCACAACGTTCAACCTCGAATGGTGACCTCACTCACTCACTTTCTCCCATGAATACGTATACAATCTCCTCTCTTCGTGCTAATAATATGTATCTACCCAAACTATGCTGCAGCTCGACCAACAATCTTCCGCAATCCTCTCGACCGAAGATTATAGTCTCGAGATGGTGTCGTCCATGATGGATTCTAGATGATGAACTTGTCAATACCATGCATGGGAACTCGTAGGTTCAAATTATTATCTAGTAGGTATATATATTTCTTCTAGTCTCTTTTGCGGTTTCCTCTTTCTATATTTCCTACACAAATCAATTCAATATGAAGGTACTTTCGCTATTAGCTTTGACCAGCATCGCCAACATTGTATCAGCACAAAACTCAACAGCTTCTCTTCCATCATTAAATAGCACACTCGCAAACAATGGCACCCGGAGAGTACGATATGACACCGGAACGTACGGACCCGAAGTCGAGGAAGTCCATTACTTCTACGATCAATGGCCAATTGGTCTCGCAGTCTCGAGCACCGGTCGAATCTTCACCTGCTACACACGCGGATCATACGCATACACATTAGGAGAGGTTGTCAACACAACAGCAGAAAGAGCGTACCCATCACAGGAATTGAATACCCCACCATCTGGGCTTTATAGCACGATCAATGGCATCCAATTCGGGAGCAATGATCCAAACTACTTCATCTCAGTCCAAGCTCTGTTCGTCACACCAGATGATACACTTTGGGTTCTCGATACTGGTCGTCCTACGATTAATGCTTCCGAGGCTCCAAGCATGCCATATGCCGTCCCCGGCGGTCCAAAACTCGTCTCGATAAACCTCTCCAACGATTCAATCTCGCGAACGTACACGTTTCCGCCAGACGTCCATTTCCCGGATTCATATATGAATGATCTTCGTTTCGATATGCGAGAGAACGTGACGGAGTCGGGTGGTGGAATCGCATACATCGTGGATTCGAGTAACGAAGGGAGAACTGGATTTATAATGATTAATCTAGGCACGGGCGAGAGTTGGAGACATTTGACGCAACATCCAAGTACGTTGCGCGGATACGCGGATGTTCCTAGTTACCAAGGAATTCCATTTTATTACCGCTCTTTGGGCATGCCGGTTGGGTATCAGCAAGAAGGGCTGGATGGAGCGGAGTTGAGTCAATATGGCGATGTGAGTCCTTTTTTGCCTGTCTAGAAAACACCATACTGATACAAAATGGCGCAGGTCATGTATTACTCCCCACTGACATCAAACTACCTCTACTCAATTGAGACATCCTACCTCCGCGACAGCCCTTCCAATGGTAGCCTAGCCACTATCCGCGCATTCAACAACGTCAAGAATCTTGGCCAGCGAGGCGGCGACGCAAATGGCTTCTCCGGCGACAGTCTCGGAAACGTATATATGCTCATGCCTGAACAAAATGCGATTTACATCTACAAGTATTTCACCCCTCTCCACCACCTTCTCCCCCCTCTCACTTTCCTCTTCCTCGCCTACTCGCACTAACACCCACAAGTTCCACAACCCTAGAAACCGTCCCCTACGTCCGCGATCCTCGGATCCTCTGGCCCGACAGCGCGAACGCTGGGTTCGATGGATACTTGTATTTCACGATTAATCAGTTGCCGTATCAGGCGGATTGGAATTATGGGGTTGATCGGAGGGAATATCCGGGGTTGATTCTGAGGAGTAGGATGCCGGATGGGGCGAGTAAGAATTTGTTATTGGGGAGTGGTGGTAGTGGGAGTGGGAATGCGACGAGTGGTTAGGAGGTCGTAGAAAGTGAAATAATTCTAAAAAGCTTTGTAAGTCGATGTATGTATATAGAATATGGAAATAGGCAAAAGAAACATGCGTTTAGAAGTCCTCAATTTACTCGCTTAATCCCTCTTTCCTGATCTCCTCATTTATATAGCTTGGCAGACTCCATGAAAGATACATCAACGATGGTATCGAAAGTCCAACACGACTTAGAACGAGTCACGCTAATACTTCTCACAAACTCCTCCCATCCTGCTTCCTATAAATCAGCTTGTCCAAGTCAACACCATCCAGCATCCTAACCTACCACGAAAGTCAGCAGACGCATTCAACCCTCCTCCCTCCTCTCTTCCCACAATCCTCATATCTCTTCAGCACTCACATTTACCCCCCGTTCCCCCTTCTCCCTCGCCCTCCCCCCATCCCTCCCCTCCTGAGCCTGCTTCAACTCAACGAAAAGACTACTCCCACACCCTCCACAAAAAAGATGCGTACAACTACTTCCTTCCCATTCATATCTTTTCAACTCCTGCTCTCCCTTAACCACCACGTCGTCTTTCTTGGGATAGACAGTTAAATAGCCGTTCTTTGTGCAGATGATGCAATTACAGTTGCATACTTCTGTTTGGGAGAGGGGTCGAGGGAGGACAACGGTGAAGGAGACGAGGTGGCAGTGGCAGGAGCCTGTGTAGGTGTTGGATGACATTTTGAGGGGGATAAACGGGAAACAGAGATATAACGTGAATTAAGGGGGGGTCAGAGAAAAGGAGAAGTGGGATGAGAGGGTGTGTGTGGTGGAAATTTAATACGAAAGGTACGCGGTAGCACGTGATATAATCAACCTGGATTTGATGTTTTTGATTGGATCTTATTATACGTCATGATGTAGCCTGCAAGTGCAAGTCTTAGGAGTAGTCGCTCACTGCTCGCTGGCAATAGGAGGCGGCCTGGAAATAAGATTCCAAGCGATTGGACTTGGCCTATGATATTGATCTTTTATTGCAGCTGCCAGAGTCGTTGGAGTACTCTCTTCCAATTTCGGAGTTTCGAAACACTTTTATGTTCGTTATATCGTTCTTCCTGTTATCGGAATGATTGTCATCACCTATGCGGTGCGCTGTTCGTATGGCTGCGTTGTTGATTTGCATGAAGTGTGATGCATGGATCAATCACAACTCTGATTGTGATATTCATTTATCAGTAGCGCCGTCTCTCGTGGTCCCGATTACCATCCCTTCTACCATGATTTCGCCGATCGGGAGATGGACTTCTTCGAGGGCGGTACGATTCTTTCTTTCTATCATCCCTTAGTTTGTCATCTCGTTGTGAATCTCCTCTGTAGGCCTCTCCTCTGTATGTACCATCTCCGTTCGAAGCCCGTGGTCGATCCGGACTTCTCGCTCTGTAATCTCGTTCTCTTTTTTTAGGACTTCTGCTTCCGTTTGGCGACCTATCTTCGCGCTTCGGTGGCGGACTCCTCGCTCTATAACCTGGCTCACGTCTTCGAGGACTTCTGCTTCTCTCCCGTGCCCTGTCCTCGCGCTTTGGTTTGTCTCGATATCGATCCGGACTCCTTGATCTCCGTCTGTGCCTCTCACCACTCCTCGAGCGATGTCTGCGTCTGTGTCTCCGCTCACGACTTCCACTCCTCCGTCTTTCGTCCTTCTTTCCATCCCTCTGTCTTTCTCTGCCTTTCCTAACCAGTCCGCCTCGTTCCGCTTCTTTTGGTTCACCAAAACCACCTTCAGGATTCATGACCTTCCCAACGAAATCGCCAAATCCTGTGGCCTTGCCCACGTCTTCTTTCTCGTCCTCATCGCCAACACCAGCTTCCTTGACCATTCGATTGACCTCACCTACGGATACAGCATTCGCGCCCGTCACGCCGCGATCAGCTACTGGCAGTCCTAAGGCTTTAGACATGGCGTCTTCTTCTGCCTCTTTGATCCTTCGAATCTCCTCTTTTCTTTCTCGAATTCTTTTCTCGTCGGCGGTCTCCCCATCTTTGCCTTCTTCGTCGCCTTTTGCGTACCAATTTAAATCACGACCTTTCTGCCATCGACCGACCGGTGCCATGAGCGAATGTCCCAGATAATTTTCGCGGTGTTGAGATGTTTGGACTTCATCCCAGGAGAAGTTGACACCTCCCCGGGAGCCTGATTTTCGGATGGAGGAGAGAAGATCCATTGAGTTTGGACGACGGCGATCGTACCTGCCCTCAAGTCTAGTAAGAAACTGCAATTGAATTAACGTATCGTTGCGTATCAACCGTGAATGCTGTTGTTTGATCGATGTGGGGAGAATATCATGCTGCAAGACGGGGAAAACAAACCAAGCGTTGGGGAAGTGGGTCTTCTGATTAGATTAGATTAGATCTGAAAACACTGGAAACACCATGTGACTTAAGCATTATCTCGTTCTGCAGTCTATAACAACAGCTTCTGGACAGTGGAAGTCTATAAACTTAAATCTAATAGCATCAAGATCACTCTGATATAGTCATAAGCTGTAACCTTCATCTTTTCAATTTAATAAACTTGGCCTTCTTTAGCGCCTTTTACCCACCATTGATAAATCCAACCAATGACTGATTCTAATCTTGCAAGCGTCACTGCAATAAATCTGCTTCGAGTATATAATAGTTATATTTGAGTAGATCATATAATCTCACGAAAATCTTCTTTTTCGCATTTCATAGTTTAGTATTCATTGCTAGCGCAAAGCTTAGTAATAGATAAATAGCCAAGAATGATCGGCAATTCTACCCACTTTCCTCAAGCATCACTTCTAAACATTTTCATCAACAACTCCATTCTTAAGGAAAGAAAATAGCACCAATGTTCTTGGCTTAACTCTAATCATTACCGTCGGACTCCGACTCATGATTCGTTTCCGCGAGCATTAGCAATCAGCCAGATGATCGCTACTCGTATATCAGACAAGACATCCACGCAACTACAGTGCCAATTTCTCAGTAGTGGGGCAAAGAGGTTTGGCCACATTGGCGCGTCAGTCATCCAGCTCTTGATGGTTCAGAAATGTTGGAAACGACATCTTTCGGAAGAAATTAGTGCCTAAACAGCGGGCTTCGGCCGAGTGAGGAACTGGTGAACATGGAGTTCTTGCTTACAAATGACAATTATGAGAAATGCACAGATAGTTTGTGGTCGCGTATAACAAAAACCTGCTCGCCAAGAAAGAAGGCATTACGAGCTGGCCAGTAATGATGGATGATGACTTGCGATCGAGACTTCGGTCGGTAAGGTTGGTGAAGTCATGGCCTGTTAAGGAGACATTAAGTACGTCTTCTACTAACTGAATGATCCATGTTTTCTCTGAAGTATATAATCTTTAATCCAAACCTCTTTAGATCTAAATTTTCAGAAACAAGTCATCGCCAGTCTTCCTCGTTTGAATATTTTTCGACAGACGTTCAAGACAACGGAATTCGGGTTTACAGTTGAACCAGTTTTCAAAATACTTACCCTATATTCAACCATGTCTCACCTCAAATTCTACACTCCTCCAGGGGTACCGGAGAGTATGTTGGAATCTCATCACTACTCGCAAGCCGTAAGAGTAGGAGATCTCATCCAACTGTCCGGTCAAGGTAACATACTTACCTTTCTACCCACATCCTCTTCTTCAGCTAATTATATTCTAGCTGGAATAGATTTCTCTACTGGTGAATGGCCCTCTGGGATCGATGGACAAGTCGACGAAGCATTCATCAACGTAGACAAATGTCTGAAGTTCGCAGGCGGCAAAGGGTGGGAGCAAGTCTTCAAGGTCAATTCCTACCATATCCCTCTGAGCGAGGAGATGATGGCTGCTATGATCCGCAATTTTAGGAAGTGGATGCCGAATCACCGGCCTCTTTGGACTTGTATCGAGGTTCCGAGGTTGGGGGAGAAGGGGATGATTGTAGAGATAGAGGTACAAGCGCATGATCCTGAGGGCGCTGAAAAGACCAAGTGAGAACGCATTTGGATCTTGTCTACCCAAAATGTACCATTGTGACGGATATTATGGCGCGGAACCTTGAAATCAAGTCTCCGCCAAAGGATCTCCACTGAAACATTTTCGCGGGCTTCATGTTGCATTGGTGGTGTTTTGGAAGCTTGGGTGTTGCTATTTCAAGATTTTCAAGACAAATTCGGAGAAGAAAATTGTCACTCGGTGGTCCTAGATCTCTCGGCAGCTCTTCATGCATACCGAATCAAAAGCTATCGGGCATTCTTCCTCCTGATCAAAATGTTCCAATCCCGCTCTTGCATTTCTCAATTTCTATGCCGTTTCCAATCTTCAACATCACCATCATGCAAACCATCCCGTAGTGTAAGCCGAACCAAAATATAATCGCTAAGAATAGCCATCCCGCGGTCACATACATCTGTGCTCTGCAGATGTTGTTTTGCCCGAAAAGAGTTTCAGCCGCAATGCCATTCGTCTCGCTAAACCCAATCAAGCGACGATCATGATGGTTTCGGTGTGTTCTAAATGTAGAACTGCCATGTTGATTGGCTACCGGTGTGAGAAAATACGACGTTGCTGATTCGGATGACTAATGTTGTTGCCTTTGCGTTTCGGGATTATTTATATCTATCAGAGTCAGGAGTATTTTATTCGTGATTTTGGACTTTGGATTTCTGATCGAAGACTGATTTGCGAATGAAGAGTAGAAGGTCACGATGACACTTATCGTCAATACAACATTTAAGCCGCAAAAAGAGAAGGCTAGACAGGCGAAGTCACCTCCTGGTCCAAGTGAAGAAGGGCTATTTTCCAAGCTCCATCTCATACAAGACCTATCGCAAAACAGCTCATATGGCTATCATCTCAATCCCATATTACCACCTCAATACCAATTCACCGTCGGCGCAAACAAACCCAATCTCCCAAACCAGGAAATTCCAGATCATTACACGCTCCTCGGCTCTGGTCTTGAGGGTTTAGAAGAGGAAACGAGGAATGAACTCGCGAGTTGTGTTACTAATGGTACTTATCTGGGTACGGAACATGAGGAGGGCTTGAATATGGCGGCAAATGTCGCGGTTACGGTGGGAGTGGGTGAGAGGATTTTGTTGGATCTAAAGTGGTCGCTGGATCGGATTTCGGCGGCTTGGTGTATGGAGGTGGAAGTCAAGGAGCCGGTGGTTGATGCGGAAGCTACGCCTACATCATCTAGTTCTCCAACCACGACCGGCATATTGACACCCACCTCATCGATTTCGAGTCCCATAGATGTCGGTCGCAGAATCCCGTCACTGAGTATAAACGTCATCTCTACGCCTCCGCCGATTAAGAGGCTTTGTACATTTCGGTGGTTTCAGGCGAGCCATACGAACTTCAAACTTCTCGCCTCTTCCGATACCTCGGAAAGTATTTTAGTGGCCGAATTCGTCGCCGAAACGTCATCCGAGAAGAGAGCAAGGGGATGGAAGGGCCAGTTGCTGTTTCGAGATTATTTTGGGAGGGAGTGGGAGGCGGTGGTGCTTTGTTCGGTGGGATTGATGGTTGATCTGAGATGGGGTGAGGAGGAGGTTTGGATATAAGGATGTGATGGATGTATGAATGATGGTGGCTTAAATTAGCTTGATAGATGTGATGAAGCGCGACAGGGATAAATGTTTGGTGTATTCTGCTGATGACTTAGAAGTTCTAGAGAGCACAGTGATGTTGCTGTTCTTAGATCAGTTGTAAATCAACTCTACCGATGTGAGCAACAGGCTATATCAACGGCTTCTTTATAATGGACGATGGCCAAAATCTTCGGGGGTGTCTCGGAAAAACTCCGAGGTCTGCATGATTCCTGGTATTACCAGTGCTTGTGATAATTGTTGTTATTTTCGGCTGTTGCATGACTCTAACATGAGTACTTGCTCGCCTACCACGGAGAAAGAGCAGGTTATTGTGTAATACCCACTCTTGAAGTACACTTATCAATAAAAGCAAATAACACTCATGTATTGCGCCAATACTCCAGGTGCATCTGACACGCATGTGATCCTTTGCCATCCAAGAGCACTTGCTTCAGGTCTCTTACTATTATCTCTCTATCATTCTTCCCCGGTCCTACACTAGTATATAGTCTTTCCTCCTACTCACGTCGTGGAGAATAGCTAGATTGTGATCCATGCTGTCTCCGCTTTTCTTCTCCCGATCAACTTGGAAAGTACAAAGACCCACGCGCTCGAAAGCTCCCTCACAGTTCATGCTTGGACAAACGGCCAAGCCCAATACAAAGAGACTCCCCTCGGGCCAAATCTCTATCCCAGTAGGAAGAAATAGTTCGGGCTGCCTTGTGTCCGTACATATGTCAAATATAAAGGCCCCACGCCCGGATAGAGGAAACTCGTCCACGTCACATTCATGACGTCCTATATTCACTCCTATGGGAGATAAATAGCGAAGCTTTCCTGCTATGCAAGAGACTAGAATGGCCAGGGGATGGTCGCTGGAAGAGTCTGTATCTGCTTGAGAAGGAAGTAGCTCAGTAATTCGTTGTACATGCGCAACGCTACTGCAAGAGACTCCTAATTTTGCATCAAAGTCCGCCCAGCCAACGGCACCCGTTATGGCGATCCAAGACCAACTTGGCTGGAGGCCTGTAAATTTGCGTGACTCTATTGACTTGCGGAGTACCTTCTTCCACAGGAGCTCTTTCCATAAGAATGGTTCCCACAGACCCGCCTGATTCGTCCATCCTGTACAACTGTGAATGACAGCAATAATTCCAGAAATAGCTATTAGCCGGTCTGTGGGTACCGATAAGACTCCATCAGTGTACTCTGCAGCGAGCCTTCTCCAGAGTCCAAGAATTTCTTTATTCCGCTCTTTCGAATATTTTTCGGATACGCTATCACTCAGGACGATTTCGGCGAAGCGCTTGCTTAGTGCAAATTCCTCTCGATAGTCCTTTTGGCTAATGATGTTATATTCCTCATCGATATTTTCCTGGCATTGCCAGATCAGATATGGCCCAAAGTTGAGAGTTCTGGACGGTAAAATCCTCTCCTGCATTACCCAGCCGCGTTGGTGAAGTGGCCATGCCATGTGAGGATCACTGTGCGATGATGGCTCGGCAAATACATGTTTCCCTTCCTTTGTAGAGAACAAACTGCATGCAGAATATAGCAACGGGTCACGGATTGCAAACAACCCTTCGTCACTATGTGCTGCCGCCAGCGCGGCTAACGAGAGGAAGGAGTTCTGGTACACTTGACACATTGTTAAAGCCTCGTCATTCCAGTCTTCTTGCGAATCTTGAATTATGCATAAAGAGTCGACCCAAAGCCATCGCATGTTAATACTCTGTGTAAAGTATATGGCGTCTTGAATGGTTTTCGGGAGGATTTGAACGCCCACTCCAGATGATAAAGCTTGCCCAGTTGACTTTTCCAGTTTGAAAGTTGGTGTCGAACCCCAGCAGTAGCTCAGTACAAGATACCGAATGTCATCCGGACATGGAAGACTCCGAGTTTCTGTTACCCTTATTTTACCCGTTTGACGCAAGGTTTGGACATCAATAAGTCGTGTTGGCAAAAAAGATCCTTTCGGTTTGCCACATTTTGAATGGAATTTAGTGCATCTAGCTATCCATTCAATGGCTAGGTTAGCAGTAGCAACAGTTGCAGTCGAAACATGTATTGAGGATAGGGTTATGGGCGACTCGCTCAGATGTGTAGGTGGGCAAGATGGTGAGGATGTAAGGAGTATTCTTCTACCCGTGATAGCAAATGAGTCAACTTGTCCGGGCATCGTCCTCAGTCTTAGATGAGCTTGCTCTGGTTGGTTCTGTACATATATAGATCTGGAAACCTTCAACTGCACTGGTGTTCCGTTTGATATATCATTCATGGCTACCTTCCGTGTCCACATTCTGTCGAAGTTGTCAATCCCTTCAGGGTTAAAACTATCCAGAATTAAATTGCACAGATGGCATCCATAGAGGGCAGACTGTTTCAAATCTCGACTATCCTGGTAGTGATCTAAAGTAGGAGAATGTTCTAAGGTAGAATAATGTTCCAAAGTAGAAGAATATACTGAATCTAGACAGTTCATATCATCCAAATATTTCGCCAGCTTTCCGCGGATTCGTTGGCATTTTGAGCACAAAATCGAAGTTTTGATCCGCATGCTCGACATAGCATATGTGTCGCTTGGCGAACTCGGAAAAAAGTCACCATAACACTGCAAGAGTCTCTGTGGCTTCTGAGAAGTAGTTGACCCATGAGATACACCGTACTCAGATACGTCGCCAGCTGACTCCTGTCCATCGCTGAGAGCTGATCTTTGCAAGTCTCTTGTTAGCATGCGAAGACTTAAACTTCTGAAGTTCCGAGAGACACTCACACGAGGTTGTTTTCACTCATTTTCAACCTAACTGAAGGTCTTGTGCTCGGGTGTTGAACTTGGCAGAAATAACACTGGGCAGACGCATGTCGGCCAGGCTGCAATCTCAATGACCCTTGCACCTAGATCACGAGATGCGCACTGAAACGGGATAATGCTGAGGAGAGGCCAATGTTGATAATACACTTCTCCACAAATTGATTTCATTTAAAGTTATTCACTCACGCACAAGGGGATGTCCGGTCTCATCGTGTGGTGTTTCAAGCACAATTTATGAGAAAAGCTCAATTCTCACTCATCCCCTACTGCCGCCATTTATACCCTCAGAGGACTTAACTAGAAAGCTCCCGAATGCAAATCACGACCTACAGACCGCTTCTTATGCGGTGCCGTGCTATTCCCAGACGCCGTAATCAAAGACGTCGCATTTCCAATACTCTCGACCAAAAACATAACATTTTCAAGCACAACAGGCTCCTCCACCCTCTTCCATCCCAATTCCGCTGGCAATTTCTCATTTTCTATCGCACTATCAGCTTTGCTTCAACAATTGTCAACCAGGCACATGTCTTACCAATCCAAAACTCCACAAGCGTTCTGTTCACCAGTCCATTGGTTTTATCTCCTAGAGCCAAGAAAGGAGCAGCCATCTCTCCAAGAGAGAAATTTTCAACCGATGCACTGAATGAGTAATCTGGGTTTGTAGATCGCGAGATCACTTGACGGAATACTTTTGCATCAGCGATCATTCGGATGGTGATTGTTTCGTCTGTGAAGAAGGCTTTGGAGGTGTCAAAGACGGTCTGGTTGAAGACGTGGTTGCTTCCGAAGTGGGCGTCTGAGCGACTTAGACTGGCGTCGTGTTCGAGAACGCCGTGGGGATTGAGGTCGTTGCTGAGAAGGAGTGTTAGCGAACATTGGGAGTTGGAGCTTTGGGTGCGTACAGTGTAAAAGCTGTGGCATTTGGGCCTGCGACGAAGATGGCTTGTTCCCACATGATACCTGCCAGTACGGGGTCGAAGTTGAGACCATTGCCCAGACCAGCGACGACGGTTTCTTTGGTCAAGTTCTTGCCGTCATGAGGGAGATAGCCATGGTTCGCTAGGGTATTCATCATCGGGCAAGGGCCGCGAACTTCACAAATTTAGGTTTGTTATCTTCAAAGTGCGGAGAATACTTTCTTACAATCATCTGGTCCTCCTGGTGCCCATTCCTCGATCGAACCTGTACTGTACGCGATGCTAAAAGTCGCAGCTGCCGAAAGAATTGCTGAGGTCTTCATATTGGTCAAATTTGAGATAGAGAAAACTTCTGGTGAAAGTGATTGTTGGAATGGTAAAAGGTAATGTTGAATCTGGCTGAAGAAAAGCACATCGACTTCTTTATACGTTGCATGACAGATTTAGCCACTTCGGAGTCGTCACATAATGCAGGCTTCGCGGCACTTAGAACGCTCGATACGACGTTGTCCTTGTTCCCCTAAATGACTGACTCTTTTGGTGGGATGATGTTGTGTTAATTCTCAGATCGACATCAACCACACAATGAATGCAAGGGGGCTCGGTTAGAATCTTCTATCTCCCCTGTTAGACCCTGTTAGGCAACCGAGTTTATGGAACTCCAATCAAGCAGAGACAACTAGTAATGATACTTCTTATCAGATAACTTCCCGATCCACAGTGATGTGATCTGGGCTCTGCTAATTCGTGGGTGGAACAAGAACTGTGCAGGTACAGCCCTTTTCGGGGAAGCATGTAGTACCCCGAGCATTCAGAGGCCGCCGATAGCAAATAACGATTGCCATTCCTAGTACTGTGTATGCACAATGCACACCGTCTAATCCTCCGAGTCCGTTGTTCTGCAAAGCATTGCGAGGCTAGCGGGGTTAGGCTCGGTTTCTTACCCCTATTTCACCTTGGCATGCTTTGAGTCCCGGATAGTGGCCTACAACTACCGAAGTGGAAACCCCTCAGGATTTTGTTGTTAATTGCAGTATTCTTATTCGACTTACAACAGATGATCGTCCCGGTAGTCCTCAATCGGTGTGACAAGCTGCTTGTAACAAGCGGGATTGCCTACTCGTTCGGACACATAAGTTCGTACTCGGTACGAATGCGAAATATACGAGTACGAGCTACATCAGCCAGTTGAACTGAGGTGTCTACATCAGAAGACATAAATACTGAAGAAAAGGTCACAAATGAGTGTAAAAAGATTGCACGACTCATCTGATCGATGAAAACCGTACAAATTAAACAATACTGATAAATCAGTCAACTTGACAAGACTTCTTTCTCCCTCAACGCCAGTCTATATCCTGCAAAGCGATCTCCCAAGTCTTGTGTACTCAGTCAGCATATCCCAACAGCCTTACTTATAGTGAAGAACATGGTCTGCATATAATAGAGAGACTTTTCGGATAGGATTACCCTCCGACTTCGTCTCACAATGGGAGTCAAGGGAATCATCTTCTCCCTACAAATGCGAGAGAGAATGATTGCCTTGAGAATCCGTGGTAAAGACCCAGCAATTCAGAAGCACTCCTAATCTCAGCTGGAGGTGCGTAAATGGCGTCGAAGGCGATGAAGTGCGCATAAATGCTTCACTTAAGGTAAAGAGTCTCGAGCATCTTGCCTTGCTTAATCGACATTAACTCTCGGATTCGTCGTAGTCTTCTTGTAATTAACGGAAGCTGAAAGGATTCACTTTCTTGGAGCTTTTTCACGTAAAGTTGAATCATGTCAAATGAGGAAGCTGACCTTTTGTTGGTGAAGATCTCTTGTGAACACTCTAGTGAGTTGGACCCGAGGTGTGTCTATTAGCTGAGTAAAGTTAGCTTATTGCCTAGCAATACAGATAGATTTTAGTACTCAGTAAAGACAAGACACGAAGAAGGATGAGTTGCCACCCTTCGAGTTCGAGATCATGCCCGCACATGAGTCGCAGTGTTGTTTGTCTTTGCTGATTCTGGATATGGTGCACAGACCAGTCATAGAAACGCGCTCATTCACGCAATCACATGACTAGAGAACCTATTGTCGGCAATAAGGTGAAACTAAAAGCTTAAATCCGACGATTCACGGGTCGCCTTGACGTTTCCACGCAACCAGCCGCGGTGTGTCTGCTCGTTCATGTTATATTCTGTTCGTGTTTAGATCATAACGGCGGTCTTGGTCGTTACTTAGCACGCTTTATAGATTCGGTCTAGATCTTTCTTCCGCCTTTTCCGCATATTTTTTTGGTTGACTACCTGCGTAATTACTTTGGGGAGTTTTAGTGGCCACTGCTCGTTCGCGTCACCGCAGCCTTCCGTCAGCCTCCTCCAGATCTCTCCTTCTTGACATTTACGCCACTCCTGCTTTTCTACCGACTTCTAGTACTCTGCGAATATCCAAGTATCTCTGGCACATACTATAAAACTTAAAATATACTTCCTACGCCTTATGCATAATCAGAGCAGTGGCACAACAATATGGATTTCACGAAGCTGAAAGCGGCGGCTTTGAAGGATGGAGACGACGAAGAGGCAGTCACGGTCAATACCAGAGCACTAATAGACAAAGTTCTAGCCAGATATTCGGGCGAATGGACAACTCTTCGAGAGCTATTACAGAACGCCGCCGATGCTCAAGCAACAAAGGTAGCGATCAAGTTCGAAACTCTACCCTCGACCTCCATACCTCTACTGAACACGACGAATCAGTCCGAAGTCCTCAAACATGCATTATTACACCACACTCTACGGCGGCTGGTGGTCACGAACGATGGTCAGGCATTTGGTGTCAACGACTGGTCGAGGCTGAAGAGGATCGCAGAAGGTAACCCGGACGAGACAAAAATCGGAGCGTTCGGAGTTGGCTTCTACAGTGTGTTTGCAGACTGCGAGGAACCCTTTGTCAGTTCTGGAAACGAAGCAATGGCATTCTACTGGAAAGGAAACTCTCTATTTACCAAAAAGCTGCAGTTGCCCGCAGAACAAGGAAACCCAAATACGAGTTTTGTCCTCGAATACCGAAATACCACGACACCGATGCCAAATCTACTCTCGATAGCCCAGTTTCTGGCGACGAGTCTGACTTTCGTAGCGCTTCAGCATATTGAATTATGGGTAGATGATTGGAAGATTATATCGTTACAGAAGAAATCGGCACCTAGTGTTACGGTTCCTCTAGCTAGAGATGTGGAAACCAAAACCAAGGAGGGTTTGATGAAGGTTACAAGTCTTGAGCGAGAGAGTGTGCAAATGGATGCAACTTTTATGAACGTGGTCGGTTGGAAACCAACGGTCTCCAGTTCCGTTCCCAAGCCGGGGAGTTATGACAACGGTTATGGCTCCAGCGCAGATGCACCTTCATTACGATCGTTTTTCTCCAGACTAACAACATCCAGCTCTCATACCGCACTAAAGACCAAAGCGATGCGGGAGGAAAAAGCACTCCAAGATCTTGTTTTGGAAGACTTGACTGCCTTGACTACCACTTATGTCTTCTTGCGTGTGACAACCGCTGCAGTCAGAACCTCTGTCAGTTCTTCATTCGCAGCAGAGTTGGAGCGGGCCACAAAAAAACAGCCACCCAAAACAACGAAGCTGGCAATCCTGACATCTTCTTTTGACGAGGAAGCCGCGTCATCGAAAGATAATCTCGTCGCCAATAGTGTCGACATCTTTTCTTCAGTCCTTCCAGGCAAGAAACCGGGTGGTCGCATATTCATTGGATTTCCAACCCACCAGACAACCGGAGCGGGTATGCATCTCTCTGCACCGTCGGTGATCCCCACGGTCGAGCGAGAATCAATAGATTTGAATGCTAGATGGGTCGTAACATGGAACAGGGAGATGCTACGTGTGGCAGGAATTATGGGTAGACTCGCATTTTCTAACGAAATGTCAGACTTGTCCGTGAAGATCAAACGAGCTACGGAGGCTAATGGACACGGTAACAAAGTCACAAAAGATGAAATTGCTAAATTTCTGCCCGAAGCCCTTCATATCCTGCGAACTTTCACTTTTCGAGAATCGACGCCTGCTTCTCAGGTTTCCCAGCTCATTGAAGAAGCCTTCTGGACTGCCTATAAGAAGCCTTCTATCGAGATATATAGCACACGGGGTGTCCTCCCTACAACCACTGTTAGGTTGGCTACTGAAGATCTGAGCGGGTTCGTTGAAGGTATTCCAGTTGTTCCCGAGGAAATTGCCAAAGGAGATTTTGTTACCAAGCTCCGAGACTTCGGCCTCATTACTGAAATCACAATCGGCGATGTAAAGCAGGAGTTATCAGCAAAAGCGTTGTCTAGAGAGCAATTGAAACAGTTTATTTCATGGGCAGGCAAGAAAGCAAGCGTAGGTGATATTGACGGCGCTACTATTCATTCGCTACTCGATGTGGCTGTCGCGATGACTGGAGACGCGGATGGACAAGGCGATGTGATCGCTCTTGGAAGTATCAAGAACTACCTGAATGTCAGCAAGATCCCAGCAGAAGTTCCCATCCCGCCTACAACTATTCCTTTCCAGTTCACCATAGGTTGCGGAACCCATGAACTCAAAGCGCTTGGTTGGGACGCTCTAGAGATTGTGCCTTGGCTACGGTTTTTGATTGAAACCGATTCTCATAGACCTGCAGCGCAAAGCTTGGCATCTTCGGTACCGTTTGCTGCCCATGTGCTCCAGATACTTTCGAAAGCGTGGGATGGACTGAGCCCGCACTCAAAAGAAACCGTCACACAACTCCTACAACCAATCACCGTCGTGCCAACCAAATTAGGCATGAGGAAGCCATCAGAAGCTTTCTTTGCAAACGTCAGACTCTTTGATGATCTTCCGACAGTGGCCTCCTGTCCTGGTGTAAAAGAAAAGTTCTTTGCAGCCCTTGGGGTCCGCAAGACGGTTGATCTCACAACTATCTTCAATCGTCTATTGGCTCCGAGCGCCGAAAATAATGATGGAAAACCGACTACCGGTGCGAGGCATATGGAACTAATTAAATATCTTGCCTCTGTCAAAGATGATATCCCGGCAGACGATATGAAAAGATTACGAGCCACCCCAATTTGTCCTGCTGAAGCTGGGCCAGCGGGCCGTGAGTCAACTCAAGGAACTGCGAGGCTATACAAGATATCTGAACTCTACGAACCTAAGGAGGCACTCAGGGACCTTGGGCTGCCAGTTCTCCAGTGGCCTGGACCGCCTGGAAGTTACCGACCCGGCAGCTTGGAAGGAAGATTTTTGACTGCCCTAGGCATTCAATCAAAGCCTTTCGTACCTGAGCTTGTTGATATGATGGCATCTGATGACCTTCCGCGCCGGAGCAAAGCTATGACATATTTCATCGCGAATCATCACATCAATGGTTATGGTTCATTCCAACTTGGGACTTCGACGAAACAATTTCTTCCGCTTCAAGGAGACGAGATAAGATATGTTAGCCCGGCGGAGTGCTTCACGAATGAGCGATGTTCTGTCTTGGGTTTCAGCATTTTGAGAAAGGATCTTCACATCCACGCGAACAAATTTGGTGTTGCTGTGGATCCCCCTTTCACCGAGTGTGTTAACCGATTGATTGCCAAACCACCTCAAAACAAGCGCGATGCATCTACCTTGTTTGGATACTTTGCCAGTCGTCTGGGCGAGATAGGTCAGAATAGTGTTGCGAAACTGGGCGATGCTCGTATTGTACCCATCAATACTCGTCACCAAACGTCGAATGGGTTCATTAACGAGAAAGCCTCGGAGCAGACAAGTGTGCAACATGTCACACCGCAGCAATGCTATATTGGTAGCTCTTCAAACTATGAAGAGATATTCGATTTTGTTGATTTTGGTGGTGACGCAAACTCTTTCCTGATTAGATGTGGCTCGAAAAACGAGCCTACAATATTCGAAATTGCAGCTTTGGCTTGTAGAGAGCCCGCAAGATTGCTCGGTATAATGAAAAGCCCGGAAAATTATCTTGGCCTTCTGAGGAAGCTTGCCGATGATTTACCAACACTGAAGAAAGATAAGCCTCTATTCAAGCAAATGAAAGCTTCCAAGTTCCTATTAGGGGCGATCGAAATACCCAACAGCAAAGATGACAAAAAGTCGAAGCGGTCGCAAGTAGACGGTTTTACGGACGATATCGCTGATCCGGGCGATGAGGACGCAGAGGATGCACCTATCAGGCAATATCAGTTGGCAGTGGCCTCTAGTATTGTCGTCGTCGATGATTATATTAGCTATCGACTTTTCAGAGCGAACTTGATGTGTGCTCCCTTCGATGAAAGACTCGAAGAATTTTACCTTGCCTTGGGATCCTCACCGCTAGGTAATCTAGTGCAAGAGGACTTACGGTTAGGTTCAACTACCGAAAAGCAAGATTCTGGGCTCAAACTTCGAAACCACGTTCTCGAACGTTCAAAGCTCTTTCTGCACGAACACGATAAGCATACTATCAAGCATGATAGTCGATGGCTCGATAAGAATTTATCCGTGAGAACGGTCAGCTCTATCTCGCTGCGAAGATCACTTCGCGGCCACACTTTATCACATACCGAGAAACGATCGGCAGCATCCACGAATGAGCGTGGGACAGGCTGGATTCTGCTTGTCACTGCTGGAACTTATGATGTCTATCAAATCAGTCTTGCGATCTGCAAACTGCTGATTGATCGCCCTACGCAGCAAGACTATCTAACATTCGAAACATTCTTGAAGTTGAATTTGTATGAGCTGAGAAGTCGTGGATACAACGTGGAGAGGATTTTGAGGGCCAAAGCTGCCGAACAGAGAATTGCGGAACAGGATCGACGAAAGCAACTTGAATCTGAGCAACAGCAGATTAAGGAGCAGGAAGAGCAGTGGAAGCAGCAGAATCAAATCGTGCCTGTGACACCTCGCGGACGTGAGAACATTCGTAAATCGGAAGCTTCCATGCCAGGTGCTTTTGGTTCTGATTCTCCAGAAAACTCCCCCGAACTACCGCCGAAACAAAAGTCAAAAGGCCTCTTCGCAGGATTAAGTCGACGTCTGGGTCTCGATAATAGTAGCAGTAGCAGTAGCAGCGGCGAAGCACAACAACAACTTCAAAACTTCTTAGGTGGAGGCTCAGCCAGTGAACCACAACACGACAGTCCTCCTGCTTACAATGAGATCGACAAGGGAACGGTAACGAAGCCGAAAGGTGGAGAAAAGGTTACTTCTCCAGCAGCAGTCCAGCAAAATCTCATGAACGCAATTCAGTCGTCTCGAGCCCACGACTCTTCCGCCGTCTTTTCCCCACCCTCAACCACAAACGTCAAAGAACAAGCATCATACTGCGATGCTAGTCCCGGCCAGAACATTACCTTCCTCGCCTCTGCCTCAAACAGCATGCGAATCTTCGTTTCTAAAACTCTCACCATTCCCTCCACTGATTTCTTGACAACCAACAGTAGTTCTCTCAACACCTTTGCAAACCTTCTCTTTGACGTCGCAGACATCTACAGCCTCTCCCGACAGGCCGTTCATATCTTCTACGACGAGGAAGGCGGCACTATTGCATTCAACAGAGACGGAAGTATCTTTTGCAATTTCAGATTCTATGCGCAGTTGCATGCGAGGAAGACAGAGGGAGAGGGCAAGGTCGAGGCTGCGGCGTATTGGTGGATTGTTATGGCGCATGAGCTCGCGCATAATTTAGTTAAGGCACATAGTGCTGATCATAGCTATTATACGTAAGTCTCCTCTTAGTTACGTTCACGGAAATGTGCTAATAGATCATAGGGAAATGTTGGTTGCGAACTATTTCCCGAGAATGATGACCAGATCGGTCACGTGGGTTAACGCGGCGGGAAGAGTTATTGAAGATGCGTCGGCGGAGCAGACTAGTCTTTTGGATTAATCATTCTTGGAGTCTGTCGTTATATCATTGTTGGAGTGCTTCTCGATGTATAGATCTCAACTTGTGTTTCCTAGCATCATTTGAGCGAATTTTGACCTGGTCTGGCATGGTGTTGGGGATTGGTGCATTAGATGGCTGTTCATAGATGGTGTAATTCGAAATGGGAGTTGCATTGTTACTTTTTTGCATCTTGAAGTGCCGGCTTTAGGTCCTGCACGCTTGTACGGAGTAAAAACTCTGGCAGATACTTTCGATTTTACAAGTTGATGAAGATTGTAACGGTACTATTGAACGAGCACAATAGAAATCCAGATAGAAGGGCACCTTCTCTCGCTTGACAAGGCCCACATCCCGCATCCCCCTATTTCCCGCGAGTAAAAATAGTAGTCCAAGCGCTATGTATCCCCGATCGCTTAGCCCTTCCCGTACATCCATGTATTGTTTCAAGAGCACTCGCTGGGCACCATGAAACATTTCAATATAAGATTCCCAGAATGTTGGTTCACCGGGGACGGAAGACGGCAGGAGTTACCAACCTAGCCGTGAGCAACAATTATCTAGCATCAGCGACGTTCAGCAGAGTCGATTGACACGGCCGCTCTACTTCATCGAGGGCGGTAGAGGCCCAGAAACGGCCGGCGGTTGCTCGTTCTGGCATCAGCTGCAATCTGCTAAAATTGTTGCCAACACTGGTTGGTGACAATATTTCAGAGAAGAGCGGCCGTCCGGTCGCAACCATGGGCGCAGTCTTTTCCCCTCGCACTGACAGGCTGGAGGCTTCGCTTCACTATTCCCGAACGCGTTCCCCAGCGATGGCTTGCTAGATGTGTTTGATGTTCGAAGGATGCTATTCCTTGAAACAAATTTCAACGTTTATTGGACTGCAGACCTTGAGGCTACTGGACCCCGGCTGTCTTTTCAACAGCGTTGTACGAAACAGTTATATGTCGAGCTCGCCTCAACAATCACGATTATCAGAGTAATTCTTCAACTTTAATTTCATAATATAATATAATGTTCTTTTTCGGAAACAATTCTCCTCCGTGCGCAGGACGCAATTCAGATTTTTCACCCGGCACAACCCATTCCTCCGAATGGGACATTCTTGCAACTTTTGCGACAGGCGAGGCGCCAGATTTGTCGTTTTATCTATGGATAGCAAAGCAACCAGAATTTCAGAAAAGATGTACCAAAGAAAGCGCAAGGAACCTACTCAAATGCATAGCAAATTTGGTGGACCACAGTGAAGCAAACAGAGTCAAGGTTTTGTATGATAAGCCTCGTCCAGTCCATGAGATTGTTCGCTAACTATTCCAAGCTCTGCTTTTCAAACCGACAAATTACTTTATGTTGAAATGTCTGGTAAAATGTGTTTTGCATCTCCTAGTCAGTGTGTATGGAGAGGACCGCAACAACTTCGCAATAAGGCAATCCTTCAGCCGATGTATGATCAGGAGCCAAGCGTGAGTCGCCTGATCAACACTGTCCTCAAAATCGAAGATACCTCGATCGAAATGGTTCTTGAGGATTTAAAACATGACCCATCAGAATTTCATGTAGACCAATCCGTCAGATATATAACGCGTCAATTACATTCTCGTAATGACCGGAAGACATTGGAGCTCGTTCGGTAATTTGGTCCCCATCATCTCTAGCATCATACACTTATTTCTATTTTCAGAGACGCTTTCAGGACGAACAATTATAGTTTTCTTCTCCTTCCTTCAGGTGTTCCTTTTACTCAGTGTGTCTGGGGCGGGGTTAATCTTCCCAACAAAATCAACCTTGAGAGTTTCTATCGAAACGACAAGGAAATGCAAGAATTTTGCTGCGATTTCCTGGGTATCGGTCCCCCAACCTTTGATGATTATGCGGATGTGTTAAATCTTTTTCCTCGTTCTTTTGGTATTTGGGGTGAATCGATTTACTCATACATCTCTGAGAATTTCACAAGCTCGGAAATTCGGTGAGTACTTTGACAGCACGGGCTCTCCCGAACAGAGAACAAACCTAACATTACAGGGATCGATTCGAACGAGATGTATTGGTACACACTTGGGACCGCTCTCGTCGCCTACATTCAAAGAAAAAGCCATCAGACTGTGTGTGGACCGCACCTGACTTTCTCATTTGCAAACAACCCATTGCTTCACTGTACAAGCACGCCAAGGATTCTGTTATAGACTTGTTACAAAACACACTCGTCATTAAAGATGCCACCGTCGATGATTATATGGCTGATTTAAGAATTCTCAAAAGCCGCGACCGAATTGTTGATGTCGATTTGAGATCATGGTACAAAGCTATTGAAAAAGAGATCGAGCAAAAGGAGCAACAAGCCGCAACTGAGCAGGTTCAAGGAGAAAGTGAAGCAAAGAAAATAAAATTTCTATATCGGGGCGTCAAACTTAACATCGGCGAGTACAAGAACCAAATCAGGTATTTGTTTGCTGAGTTTTGAATTGATCTTTGACTTACTCTAGGCAGACAAACTTTTGAGAAAGAGAACTTAATTTACGATCAAAATCATGAACCACCGCGTTGGGTTACGTTGAAGGATTGTGTATGGGGTGGCGGAGAATGTCTAAAATGGAGTACTGACCTGGCCGACCATTACTCATCACTTGGAAACCTTTTCAAGAACTACCTCGGTGTCACAATTACCACACCGGAAATCATCATCACTAAACTTCTCTCTCTCATTTCGGACTTCGATAGCCAGGAAAGGTCGACCAACAAAGTTTCCGAGTCATTGGCGCGCACAGTCATTGAATGCCTTCTAGCTATTAACAACAAGGGCTATACCTCATCGCCTTTGATACGAGAAGCTCTTCGAACTGAGAAGCTCTGGCCCTATCACTCCTCATTAAGCTTAAGTTATGAACTCAACTTCGGTCGCCTGACGGACAATATTATCATTCCAGACAATGAGGAGTATTTGGCTTTATTTCGAGAGAAAGCCTTAATTCTCTACTTGACGCCTAAAGAGGTGCGATCGATGCGCTCACTTTTTCTAATGCTTGATCTCAAACACAATTTTCTCTCCAGTCGCATAAACTCTACAAGTAGTTTGGATGGTGCGTCACTGCCTTCTGCAAGTTTGTCTCGCTACATAGCTCAAAGGGCAGAGGCCTTATTCTGGTGAGTTTGGTGTACACATCACTATGCGAATTAATCTAACAACACATAGCTGCCATGAACACTTCAACAAACATCCCAACCCAACACCCGACTTAGATTTACTTCAATCGCTCAAACAAATTCAAGTATTCCGTGTCTTTGAGATCTTCACAACATACACACTCGAAGCATATGGAACAGAGATATCGGTGAAGACTAATAACAGTATGCGTTTAGATGAGACGACCACGGGCAAGCTTGAGCTTCTTGTCCCACATGATGAAGACGCCCGAAAAGAGATATTTGTTTTACGCTTTACGAAGGAATTGATTGCTTTTTTGAGATTACCAGAGGCCAAATCGTGGCAGACTATCATGGCAGTTATGACTTTAGCTCCCGAAAAGGCAAAATCATTTTTACACCAACAAGATATCTCAACTAAGGATGTCGTCTTTCCTTTTGATTCATCTGATTTCAAAGAGAATCAGTGCAATCTGGATGGCAATGAGCTGCATACAACGTTTGGAAGATTGGACTTGAAGCCGAAAGAAGCCGAAAGTAATTCGAAAACTGGCCAGACACTGTCTGCATCACGTGCAGACATTCATCGAAGCGTATCGCCCACTTTCAAAACTTCTGAGAGTAAGAATAAGTCGCGCGATATAACTGATCTTAATCCACGAAAACTACAAATTCCGCGCAATGCTGTCGAGAGGTCAAAGCCAAGCCCCCACCCGACAGTCCCCAGTTCTGATAGTTTCAATTTCGCTATCGCTTCCAACGGAAGAAAACAACAGAATTCAGACAAGGACCAAATCAATTCTGAAAGAAGATTTGTTCTCTATAGCTCTCTCGAGAAGGGAGAAGCTCGAGTGCATGAAGAGGTGTGGTCGAGCGGTTCTGAAACGCTCGTAGCGTTTTAGTGGATGATATCTATAGACCGACCATCACTGTATTATTTTGGTAATATTTATCAAGAATATCAAGATAAGAGCAATTAAAAGTTGTGACTCCTCGTTCATTGCCTCTCTTGAAAAGTAGGTAAACTGGTGAGAATGTGAATTTTAGAAAACGTTCATGACGGCTAATTATCATTATTAAGGGTTATCATTCTCTTAGAATTTCACGTTTAGCAGAATATTGGCAAGTTTTCATGAAGTGAGTCTCAAGTAGGTATCTAGGCTTGTCAGGTACAATTGGTATCACGTCACGTGGACAATGCATGTGATGTATTGCTTTTTTGCGGCTGAGAGGCTTCCTTCGCCACTTGACTCACATCTCAGTTTCAGAGTTGATTCTCCAGCTTGCGTTTGAATATGTATTTAGGATTTCTTTACATAATTTAGATAATACCATGGTCGTTCTATGAAATCATGGCTTGCCCCTCAGTCGACTGTTCTTTTAACAGTAATTCCAGTCTCGCTCCACCAGCCTTGGAACCAAATCCCGATATCTCAGGCACCGGTGTAAGTAGCACTGTTATTCTTAAAAGTTGTTCTCTAACTCTAGGTTAGGTACTTATTGGTTTCGTGGGAACGGCTTACATCACCCTGGGCGCTTTGATTCTACGATATCTGATTGGATTACCAGAAGATACGAGTATTGATGACCAGCCGATAAGCAACCCGGTGGACGATAGATTGCTGAAATTGATTTGGCGGAAAGTAGGACGACCACCAGAACGCTGGGCTCAACCATTGAAAAATGTAAGATCCTGCCAGTAGCCTGACTTGACTTTCACGATGCAGAGCTAATCATATCAATCAGTCCGTGCTTGCTTTAAGTGACACTCAATTGGTCACAGGCTTATCCATTCTCGCAAGTGGATACGCGCAGATAAAATGCTGTCTTTCAATATTTCATTGGCATATCGTTGTGTTTCTGGCTTGGTTTTCATCAGCGACTCATCTGACCACGATTACATTTCTACGACGATATATTCACGATAACCACGGCCTCAGGAATATCAGACTAATTTTGATGTTCTTTCTGGTTGGCATGCTTGTGGTGGCCCTGATACCGACTGGCGGTGACTGCGGACTGTTCTCGGATAGCGACGCGTTACTGATGGCATATATTGGACTCAATAGGACTTCTAAGTTATACCCAGGATACCCAGCTAAATGCTGTTTTGACAGGATGCACGATGGCAAGTTCATTGAGAGCAAAACCACTGAGCAGTTCTTGTCAATGATAGCTTCCGAACTTGTTTTGCTGAGTGGAACTATTGCCAGAGTCATCAAGATGCATCGTGGGCCTTCTAAATGGTCTCGCCTCTTGCTGCGAGATAAACCATCAAGATTTTCGAAGTCTTTCTTGGCAAGATTAGAGAAGAGACATGAGGAATCATCTTCAAAGTCAATACGTGCTGTCTACTCTGTCTTTCATTGTAGCGGTGTTACTGCGATCATAACAGCCCGAGCTGCATATGATTTAGTAGAGTCACTACTGTGGGAGGTACGTCACTTCGCTGAGATTTTAAAGGTTGCAATTGACATTTCTCCAGATATCTTGGCTCATATTCTCTCTTGCTTGGGGCACAATGCGCTTGTTCACGACCCGCGGGCTCGCTGTTCAAGATGCAGCTGCGGAGAAAGGGACAAAAGATCAAGTAGCTCTTTCCGAAAACTTTTGGGGATTTGGTCAATGGACTCCCACATTACTCCTGATTCTACCGATCTTAGGCTACATCGAGGGTTACATGGGTAAGCTCTATTTTACCTCTCTTGAGCGCCAACTTTAACATCTGATAGACACTGCCAAGATTACCAGGGACAAGAGCCTTTTGGAATCTCAGGAAAATGAATGTGAGGAAGCCATGCAGCCATCCAATGACAGATCCAGAGAAAGTTTTATAGTGGGCACGGGTTCCCATTCCATTGAGGGAAGAGTGTCCCAAGAGACGATGATACAACTTCACGAAATGGATATAACGTCTAGCATGAGCTCAGCAAGGAGAACTGGCACAGATCTCAGTTTAATGGAGTATAATGTTGGAGTGGGAGGTTCTGTCAATACTACCAACGGAGTCATCTCAAACCGTCGCTTAACCTCTAATGATGACCAACCCCCTCAAAGTCCCCATGGATCGTCCGGAGATTCGATGCAAACCTTACCCACGATATCAAGACCTGGTCTATGGCCATCCGAAAGACTCTTCCAACATGACTTTTATAGCGAGAAATGGTTCCAAGAATTGGTTTTTGCGCTCTATACAGTCGTAGTAGCATCCGGTATACAGCTTATTGCCTTCGCCGCTGGGGTTGGCCAGACGACTATTTTCACTTTCCTACAGCTGTTCATAACATATTATGTGTATGCCTCATTTGGTTTTATTCTACTATACGCGATGATATGCATCCGACTTCAACTGTATCCCGAGAGAGTTGATAAGATCCCCAAATGGTTTCGCCAAATTCGGCACATCGGGCCCAGCCAGATCTATCAGGGTCTCCGGTGGCTGACGCTTGTGGGAATTGTTCAAATAAACATGCCTGGAACTGATACATTACAGTTAGCTGGTGTCTCAATAGCGGGAGGTTCGTTGCTACTCATGCTGATTCTCTTTTGAAGTAGTGCAAGCAGAGGTGTGAAGAGAAAGCTAAAGCGCCAAGATCGGTCGCATAGGACGATGCGAGACCAACAGGAATGGCCCTTTTAGTACATTGTCTTGGAGTACGGCTATTGAGAATACAAATTGGATATCAAGAAGCTTTGAATACCATTTCGTTTCACAACACAATGATTGAAAAGGCCAAATGCCGGAACCAGTTTTCAGTGTTCGGATATTCTCATGATTTGTTCTGTGGCCGACCACACACTGAATAATCTTTCACAGAAGCATGTTTCGCGTTAGACACGCTCCATATATGGAGAAGAGTTTAGATTACCGCATGATCACATATTTCTTGATAGTCAGAAACCCGGATGCTATGCAGCAGCCGTGAACAAAGCCATCAACGGGGACTCCAAAATCCATCAGCTTTATGGTATTTCTACAAACCTATTGCCTTGTCATAGCCGAAAGAGCAGCCCTTTCGTGCTCCGCCATCTCGAGCCCGGAAATAAAGCCCCATCTACCACCCAAAGCCGTCCTCAATTTCTCAACATCCTATCCCACTTCAGCTCCTCTCTCACAGATCAAAATTCCTGTAATTTTACTCGACTCAACAATTTTTTGAGTTCTCGGTCGACATGCTTTATCGTATGCTCGAAGTGCGGCATCAAGCTTTTGAGGATCTCGAACTTTACCAAAAACGGTTTCCAGTATCATCGCATCATCAATAGCTTGACCTGCACCAGATCCTTGCCTAGCAGGAGCTGCATATTTTAGGATCATCCACTGGATTTTGCGTTGCTGTAGCTTTGACCTATTTGGATCATGCCTCCAGCTATGGGTGAATTAGTCCAGCTTGAACATAACTCTTCAAGTTTCTCCGGGTTCGACAGCGATGCGCATTTTCTTACGTTCTGAGTGGAATTTATGATTGTGGTAAAACTGAAGACTTTGCTTAGCTACTTTTAAGTCCTAGTGTATGAAGGGTAGATGTAACGTTGAAAGGCATCAAGAGTGAGGAAACTAAGCAAAACTTACATACATCAACGCTTGCGTTAAGAGTGGAGTATTGTGCCTTTCAAGTTCCACATTTGGCGCAATTTGTAACCTTAGCCTCTTTCCTCGTTGGTTGCTTCGTTTTATGAGTTCGAATCAGTAGTGGTCGGAAAATTCTTTGTCGTCGGTTATGCCGAAATGATAATGAACTGTTCCCACTTGAATTCTCTGCTTATATTTCTTTATGTTACAAGAGTGATAGAATTGGGGACTCAACGTATCGGAAAATCGGCTATCTCTTTTAAAATTGATGATAAGCATATATGTTCTACCTGGTTTGTCAACACCCCATTCAACAGCAGCCTTGCTTGGCACCCCCCCCCTACATAGAAATTTGTAGTTCTGGTACAGTACTCTTCTCTTGACGTATAGGATAGTTCAAATCCACTACCTTTATGAACGGGATGAGAAAATGGATACCCAATTCATGAACATGATATGTTGATAGACGGGATGGACCATATACCATAGAGGTAGTTGTCAGGTTTGATTTAATCTCAATCCTTGATCTCTAAATGCCACAAACTCTTAAATGGTTTGTTTGTATATGTTCTTGTTTACGCATGAATGGGTTGAGTATCAAATTCGTTATTGAGAATATAAGTTGTGGCGTTTGTGTATTCACTAGTGTTCTAAAGCTCAAAAACGAATTATTGTACTCTGATAAGCTTAAAGATCTATTCTATCTTCGGTAAACTTGGTTGTAGATCTCTCCGTTACTTCATTGGTGCCTCCCAAAACAAGAGATGGTGTAATCTACAGCGGTCGTAGCTGAAAAATCTTTACTCCTTGTGCATTACGAGAGTGTTAGAACTTGGCTCGTTCCTCTTCCAGTCGCTAAATCGCAGTCAGATTGGTTTATTTACTTCAAGAGAGCCTTTACTACTAAAGGCTCTCTTACAATAAAAGCTTCGAAGAGAGCCCTAAATTTCCGCCGTGAAAATCGGCGCAACCTTCGTAAGACAGAAAGAATCCATCGGACTACTCTCGATTTCCTCCAAATAATGGAGCAAAGTAGTACCATCAGACCACCAAAGATGATGGAAGTCGCAAAGAAAGCCCTCCAAGATGCCCCAGAACCGGTAACCTCGGAAATGTTCATTCCGAAGATCGATGTTACGAGAGACAAGGGCAAAAATATGAATGCCAGGACGGAGATTCTTCCAACAGAGTTTGCTTGTTGAATTGAACGGCGGGATTCCTGCAAAGCAACGCCTCCGATGTTTAATTGTATTGTGTCGCGGACCATCGCCTCAAGACTGCGACCACGGGCCAGTAGTTTCTGCTGTACTTTGATTGACCTGGTCATCTTTGGTGCTGTTGAGCGTTCCGAAACAACTTTTTTAGTTTCAAGATCATCGAAGAAATCTTCAATTTTGTCCAAGATCAGGCAGAAATCTTCTAAAAATGCGCGAAATACTAGCCACCGTTGCAAAAGATCGTGGTCAAATTTCGACATTTCTGCGGTTGAGAGCCGTCTCACAAGTACTAGCCATTTTTTATGGTCGTCATCCATCTCTGAGACTTTCCATCGGAAGAAAGACGTCAAAGAGTCCAAAAATGGTATTAAAATTTCTATAGGGTTCTGGTCGGTATCGGCAGCCTCTTTTCCCCCGATTTTTTCAGAAATCTTTAACAGAGAATGTGGGTCTTCTTGTATATTCGGGTCATGAGTGTGGTGGAGTGGCCAGCCGCTCGGTCGACTGAAGACTATGATTACTAATTCAACGGTAAGATCATCGTTTTATGAAGCTCATCGTACAAACTTACTCGGACAATCTTCATTGCTGACAGCTTTTGGTAAAAAATAAATCCAGACTCTCGGGGCCATGTCTTCGCTACTTGCACTGTCAAAGCCAAGAACAAGAGTGCCGATATCGCAATTTGTCGTAGTTTTATATTCTCTGTTTAATTCAACCCTTTTACATTCTCCAGTAATTAGATGTTCCTCTACGGTAGAGATCATCTGTGTGAAGAAAAGTGGTGGTATGTTGTAGGCGAATCCAAGGGTTTCGATTAGCTCGGCGCTAGGCATTGATGCCCACGTTATAATATTCTTGTTAATTAACACCTCTCCACCAATCATGGGTATAAAATCTATGGATGGCGCATCCCCAGGCACAAAGGCAGTTTGTTTGGACTCTGACAGTGCCACATGAATCAAACGAGTATCAGTGTCGGTAGGTATGTAGACCAAAGTCTGGCTCCATGATCCATCCCCACTGTCGGGATCCCAAAGAGCTGAGTTTGTGATAGTACCTTTTTTGACATCAGCAACAAAGGTTTCGTCCTATTAGCGTTAACGTCAAGCATGTGCTCAAGTCTTAAAGTCTTTACAGCGCATATCAAATACCCTCTTCTGGAGAAAAACCCATTCACCAAGTTTACGAAATCTAGGGTGGAATCGCTTATTTTTAGGTTTTGAGGCAAAGTTATCTTTAACTCGTCCCGCATTTTTATAGCTAGGGTTTTATATCTGTGAAAGTTACTATGATACTTCTTGTTAGGATACATTTCCTAGATTACCTCGGATCCTCCCGAGCAAGGGCGCAAATTTTGAGGGTATACGGGTAATCTGAAGCTGGTCTATCCGTCGTGGGCTCATATCTCATGTTGATGGGTTCGCCAGTCCCGACCGAAGGACCAGCCTCAATATCGACAACGCTTTTTGAATGATCCATTTTGCGTGTTGGTATCGTCCGAGGATGATTATCAGATTGAAAAGTTTGACAGATGCAAGATTTCTTCTTGAGAGCTTTATTCAGCTTTCAGCTGAGAAGAGGTGGCTGCGGCGCTTAAATGAATGGTTGGGGTCAGGTTCTAAGCGAACTGCAAGAAAGCATGACCTTCATGATATGCTTCAGGAAATATTCAATCCCGATTGTCCTGCGAATAAGATAGCTTTAACACTGAGTTGAGGGATTTCAAGATCCAAAAATTATAAGACGTAAAGCGTCGTTTTGAATTCGTAATGCTTTTACTATCTCCTTGTGTTACATCAACCGCCACGGATCACGTGTCGGGTTGCTGTTACACAAGATACACTCTTTAGGAGTAGAGTTGCTCGTTTTTCATCTTTGATGTTTCTTTTCGAAGGTGACTACATGTTAGGGTTTTAGCTTTTATTCAACTCTCACACTTGAAGTTTATGAATCGCCTGAGCAGATCTAAGGGGCTTAAGCGAGCATTTATTTTCAATAACATGTAAATATCATAACTATCCTGTTAACAATCCTCCAAATTCAAAACAAAAGAACTAGTAACACTGCATGAACCAATTTCAGTCTCTCTCAAACAATAATTAGAATGAAATACGCAAAATCTAATCCTTCCCTCACAAAGTCGTTGGTCATTCAGAATCATATTCAAATTCGACGAGCCACTCATAATCATAATCAAGTTCTTCGAACACGGCGCTGAGCACCATGTTCTTTCCAAAGATGCTCTCTGAGCTTGTCAGATCGGGAGTATCCTACACCATGGCTTTTAGGACATGTAACATGAGGACAAAGGTGGCGGCGGCGGTTGATACCGTGTACAGAACTCAAGTGACGCGGAAGATCTGTTCTTCTGCTGACGGTTTGCGTACAACCTGGCTGGGTGCAGGGAGTACGCTGATATGTCATCATGACGGGAGCGCCGGTCATGGCTTCAGGATTGATATTTGTAGGAGCTGGTGGTGCAGCACTGTACCCCAAAGAAACTGGTGTATCCCAAAGGGTAGTCCTATCGAAATCGTTCATTGAAAAAAAAACCACCATCAGCACTCTCGAGGTCTGCGACAAAAGACGAATCTCTGGGCAAAATATCCTCAAATGCATTCATGCCAGCATGGATGGACATAGGACCAGAATTTTCGTTGTCCATGTTCATAACACCGATAGCATTTGAGTACACAAGGTTCCGCTCGAAGTGGTCCATCGGCGGTCGCTGTATGGACCTGAGACTGAAGAATCCGTTGTCCAAGAGTCCAGTATCAGCTAAGCGCAATGATGCGACATCATCGGAAAAAGCATCGCTGATGTGGTTCGTCGCAATTCGAAAAGGTTGGGAACCTGAAAAATGTACACCAAAGTTGTCTTGTTCGGATGGAGCAGTAGAGGCGTCAATTGAACCCAAGTTGTTATGAGTGCGATGGAGACCAGTACCATCATGCATATAATGGGCAGGGTAAAAGTCATGATGAAGATTGGGGGCCTGGGGCGTCTCTTCCGATGGTTGTTGGTTACCACTCAAGAGAGCTGCTCTGAAGAGCCGCCAAAAATTAGCGCCCGAAAAAAAAAAAAGACTCACTCGCCCTCAGCGCCACCAAATCCCTCATTGGGAAGAGGTACAAGGCTGAGGTGAGGATTTTCCTCCATCTCGTTTGTCCAATCCATCGGGTCGAAATTTGGTTGCATGAGGGCGAGGTGAGGACGCTCGCTTAGGGGCTGTCGATAAAGGTAACACACACGTAAAAATGCGTGAAGATGCGGTGAAAAGGTAGGAATTTGAAGAGAGGGAAGGGCCGTGGTCTTATGCTCTTTCTCCTTCTTCGAAGGCTGGATTTTGTGGCCAGGGTAGATGGTTGGTGGCTGATTGTTGGGATTTGTGATGTATTGCATTACACCCGGCCATTTGCTTCATTTTCTAGTAGAATTTTTGTCTTAGAGTGTATATTTCGTATGTATGTAACCTCGTGAATTATGATTACAGACACGACCGTTATCGTCGGCCTCATAAATTTGGAAAATGAATGAGCTCTCCATCTTTATAACTCAAAACGCCATCCACCCAAAGTTCCCCGCCGTAGGCCACGTTCCAAGCTTCCAGCATGATTGATGGTACTTGACCAGTAAACGGCATTGTCCGGGTTATTTCTTCCCATTCCGGTCCGCGAAAAAAGTCGCCCTTTACATTTATTCTCCTCCTCACGGCGGCTGCTTCGCTCGTCGCAGTTACGTTCTTCCCGTGGAGGAAATGGTACAAGGCCTTGTTACGTACATGTGCCAACCTGGCCACTACCTCACTCTTTGTCCCAACAAGCTCACGTAGCGAGGAAGATTGCCATTCGGCATCCCAAACTTTCGATGGTACATTAGCGATATTTAAGCCCCTTCGCGCGTCAAAGTTCTTTCTGAATTGGTTAAACTGTGCGGTGGTGAGTTTCAAAGGTACTGTATGAAGTTGCACTTCTAAAGTTGTGGATTTCAGGCTCCTGATATATGTCCAAAGATGCATGGCTGTAGCTAGTTCATTCATACAGCACTTTTGCACCAAGTTGTCCGCATGGACATGGATCAAGATATGTCTTATGTGCTTTAATACCGACAAACTCGGCTCTGAGTATGTTAAGAGCGGCTCAAATTTCTTTTTCGCCCAAAACATAGCTATACAAGGCTCTTGAAATGACAGTGTATTCCGCGACCCAAGTATCGCCAAAGACTCTTGTCGTATAGCCTTGCTTGTCCGAAAAATGGCGTCGCTGATGGGCCGTAGGTAACACCCCCAATCGACACATTTTTCCAATCCATACGAGCTGTAATGCTTGGGATTCCACTCCAGATACGTATAAAAGCGGGAACCCCAATTAGTCTGAGCGAGAAGCTTCCACCTCCAATCATCGAGACATATTTGTTTATCATGGTCTCGAACGCCCATTGTGATGAACCCTGTTGGTGACACGAGAAGATGCTCGTAGATCATGCATCGAATTTCAGAAGTAAGCGTGGAGAATGTGATCTTCGGCTTTGCGGTTGAATCGAAAGGGCTCGGTGACGGTGCAGCCAGGTCGGAGGGACCAGTAACGGCTTGACCGGTAGATTCAAGAACACGAATTTGTGTTGCGCTCATACTGATTGCCGGATGATTATGCATTTTTGGTAAGGGAAAGGATGGTGCATTTATGTGTTCTCAAACTGCGTTCGTCGTTCTGGCAAATTGGATCAGCACTGAATTAAATCATGGTCAAAATGCTGCCACATTACTGCTTACCTTTTCTCACCAGAAGGTAAGAAATGTAGTGTATAAGTCTGGTAGATTTGGCAATTGAGACCGCACCGCAGAAGAGTTGACGCAAAAGTATGGTATGAAGGAAGAGGAAGATATCGTAAGGAGTAGGACAGGGGGGCTGGAAAAGAAATAGAAAAGCCCATCCAGAAAAAATGTTTGCAGATACCATGGATGACTGGTGACTGACACTAATAGCCTCGACTTACACTTAATGGTCCATAGTCTAGACTCCAAATCAGTTGGTGTGCTAACCGTCGGTAGTCGAAGTGGATCGTCTCCCTACACTAGACGAATTCCGGGCCTTCACATGAAAAGATCCTTTTTAGAGTACAGACTTTGCTGCGAAGTCTGCATCATAATGCCTTTTTAGGGTCGACCTTCCAGTGGATCTAAGAACAGCCATAGCCCGAGTAAGGCAAGCATTATTGCTGAGTGCATAAAGCCGATTGCTCAGATACACATAAGCAGCAGAACTCAACAGCAGTTCCATCTTCAATCAGAGAGAGCAGCATTGGAATTTTAGGAACGGAGGCTGGCGTCGCAGTACATGCTGGTGCGAAACCCCCGGGGACGATGTTCTTCAGAATCTCAAATGCACCCAAAATAATGGGTTTAAAGTGCCGGAACTAGGCCAAGTCGGGTCTGTGAAGAACTAAAAATAATTTTAGCATCATAAAGCTTTAAAAATTAACGTGAAAATAGACCTGATGTTTTCAAACCTAGAAAATGAGACATTGTGATGCTGGTTGGGTAACGTTTTCGGGAATGGAAAACCCACGGTGAAAATTTCGATGCAATATCGCGATTCTTCAAAAGATCGTGCACCCATTGTGGTTTGCATGGATTTGTATCGAGGAGGTTGTAAAGATGACATCCATGGATGTCGTTGGCATTATTGAGATGTCAAATTTGCATCATAAATACAGGGATGTTCAGCCTGCATCTCGTTTAATTTAAGCATAAATGTAGCGGCTCGACATACCCTGCAAGTCTTTAAGCTCCAAACGCATCTCGCATCTGCAACCAAGCTTTAAACAATACTCAAGAATTTACATCTCCGCACCCCTTTACTGTTTACACCTTTCTACGACACTCCAACATATCTACAGAGATTACAGTCTGTGCGACGACAGCGAACCCTCTTGCACTACATTCGGAGGCACCGCAGACACGCAACCTTTGAGCGATCCGCACGATGGCCCAAGAACCTCCCCAAGACGAGATCCAATGGCGCTCTCCACCGCACGCCCAAGAGTTTGGTGGCATACATTCAAACACCATACTCTTCTACTTCGCGATATCGCCGTTCTTCGATCAGACCTCGAACAACCACACCGTCTACACGCAAGCCTTCTTCACCGGTCAGATGCACCTGGTCCAGACACGCGAAGCATTCGAAGGACGACTAAAAACAATGACGGGCCTTGAATTCATGGTCGCGCAGGAACCAGCAAACATGGTGAACGGGACGGGTGTTTGGGTCATCAGGAAACAGCATAGACAGCAGCGGCCGGGCCAGGAATCTTTGTTGACCTTGATTTCAACGTATTTCGTGGTGGGCGAGAACATCTACATGGCGCCCTCCATGGGCGATGTCCTGAGCAGCAGATCTGTATGTCCTAACCCCCAACCACCTAGACATCAGCTAACAGCACCAGCTCTCCATCCTGACCTCCCTCAACAAATTCTTCACCAAAGCCTCCACCCTCCCAACCTTCACCCCCGCCCTCGGCACAACCTACATGCCACCGCCCAGCACCAAAGTCGCAGCCGCACATTCCCAACTCGGACAAACCAGCAAAGAAAACACACCCCTCCCAGACTCCCTACAGACCAAAAAGGGCCCAGGACCCTCCACAAACAACAACAGCTACCTCAGCTCGCGCCTCCTTGAAGAAACGCTCAACATAACACTAAAATACGGCGACGAGTTCATGGACGAGAACCCGATTACAGGGGAACCAGGCGCGTTTCATCTCACGGGGACTGGGAGGAAGGAGAAGGATGTGAGTAAATTAATGGTGCCAGCGCTAAGTAAGCCAGGGAGTAGCGCGGCGACGAGTAAAGCGCCTACCCCGGCGCCGCCGACGCTGAAGACGGATATTGAACCTGCGCCAGCGAAGAAGAAGGGAGAGAAGACGCCGACGAAGAGTCCCGGGGGTGGGAAGCTGAAGAGGAGGAAGAGTAAGGTTGGGTCGGGGGGTGGAGTTAGTCCTACTACGTAGATTGGATATGGGATGGATGTTTGTACTTGGAGTTGGTGGTATATACCCCGGGACACGGCGTTTAAATAGAACCTTCATATCAAATCAATTTAAATCTTCTCTACAACATCTACCTACTCAACAACCCACCCCCTCCCCCCCTCCCTCCTCTGCACCACCTTCCTAGCCGGCAACGCCCACCCCACACCCCCCATCCCCTCCGCCCTAAAAGTAGGAACACACCAAACCTCCCTCTTCCTCCCCTCCTCCCACACTTTCACCTCCTTAATCGGTTTCCCCCAACTAATCAACGGCGTCCCCTTCGCCAGCGCCGCTATCTGCGCTCCGCTGATATCAGTAAGCGCGTGCATACGTGTTTTCGGCGTGCGCTCTGGTTGTAGCGGGTTTTCGAGGGATCGTTGGAGGTAGGAGTACACTATGTATTCTGGACATTCGCGGGTTGAGAGATGGGATAGTGGAGAGGAGGGGTGGATGTACACTGAGGGTGAGTCGGCGTGGGTTGGGAGTAAGGGCAGATACGGGACGTCTATCGCGCGCGTTGCTTTTCGCATTTCCGGTGGTACGGGGGCAAGATCAGCGCGTATGGCGATGTGATCTATAAACCCCGCGGCGACCATTTGTTTCAGCGCTTTCACCTGTTTCGGTGTCGGTGGTGGGAGTTTATCTTGATATGCCAAGGTTGAGAAAGCGGGGATATTGGTGCGTAGCAGATCTGTGATTTGTTTCCGCAGTTTCTGGATCTCGGTGAGGGGTTTGAAGCGGACGAAGTGCGAGATACACCATGTTTCTGTGGGTTCGTGGGCGAATTCGCCGACTACCTGTAGGAGTTTTATGGCGTCGCTTTTGGAGTCGAGGAAGCAGAAGGATTTTTGGACCGCGTTGAAGTGCCGGCGGATGGCGGCGGCGCGTTCGGATTCGGCGTGGTCGAGGGCTGTGAGGTAGGTGTCTGGTTCGAGCGCGGCGATTTGCGGGATCGCTTGGTTGGAGGGGATGAAGATGTCGGCTGCGGAGAGACCGGCTACGAGGGCGATGGTGTAGGGGAGACAGTCGTGCAGGTGGCCTACGAGGAGGATACGTGCGAAGCGGGGTGAAAGTGGGAAGATTGACATTGTGGCGCCGGTGGAGGTGATTTGGCCAGTTGGTGAGATGGCGGAGAGGTATGTGAGGAGCTTTTCTGAGGACGCGAGACTTTGTCGGTCTGGGGGTGTTGGGAAGGGAAAGTTGATTACATGTTGTAGGTTCATCGATTTCAATTGCAGTACTACGCCCTCAATTGGCATTCGCAATATTTCTGGTTCGGCAAACTCTTCAAAGTCTCTTTCATAGACAGCTGAGGAGTAAAGCCTATAGCAATGACCTGGACCAGTACGACCCGCACGACCAGCTCGTTGACTTGCACTAGCTTTGCTAATCCAGCTGATTTCAAAACTTTGGACGCCAGTGTTCTTATCATACTTTCGTTCTTTTGATCTGCCACAATCAAAAACATAGCGAATACCAGGAATAGTCAAACTTGTTTCGGCAACATTGGTCGCGAGAACAACTAGTCGAGACCCTTCTGGTGGCGGCTCAAATACGCGCAGCTGTTCTTTTGTAGGCAGCAATGAATATAGTGGTAATATGTGCATCTTCGCGGGGCCAGTTTCTTCCTCTTCTCCTTCCAGCTTGAACTCCTCGTCCTCTCCCACATCAATGTCAGCTTCATCATCTTCATCGAAATCATCGTTGCGATCATCGCCAAAGTCACCGAAGTCAATGTCCTCCGTCTCGATCGGAGCATCCTTTCCAGATATCCGGACTTGAGGTCCTGTGGAAGTATGGCCCATTCGAAAAGCCTCCTTGAGCTTCTTGCTCAATTGAGTGATCTCATTTTGACCTGTTAGGAAAACAAGAATTCCTCCCGGTGGTAATTTCTTGTGACCTTTGCTGATCTTTTGGAAAGCCTCTTCCACATAATCATGATTTGTTCTTCGGGAAAAATGAGTCGTTACTGGGTATTGACGACCTTCGGCTTGCAAAACAGGCGGAGGTTCCGAGAAGAGTGTTGTATTTTCTGTGAAATCGGTGATCCTTAATGTTGCAGACATGATGATGAGCTTCAATGGCTTTGTAGACTGGTCTTCCTGGGCCATTTCCTGACGTAATTTAACGACTCGACTTAACATTCCAATAAGAATATCCGTATTCACGCTTCTCTCATGCGCTTCGTCAATAATTATGGCCGAGTACTTGCGAAGAGCAATATCTTGCGCAACCTCTCTTAGTAGCACACCGTCGGTCATGAATTTGATTGCGGTATCTTGGCTTACAGTTCCCTCGAACCGAATCTGATATGCAACCTTTTTGCCTTGGTTTCCCATCTCGTCGCCCACTCGCTTAGCCATACTGACCGCCGCAACTCTTCGAGGCTGCGTCACACCAATCATACCGGGGGTAGGTGAGCCTAGAGAACCGTAACCGGCTTCGAACAAGAACTGGGGAACTTGGGTCGTTTTTCCAGACCCAGTCGCACCATAAACGACCACAAGATTGCTGTTGTGTACAGCTTCCATGATTTTCTGTTCTTCTGCAACTACTGGCAGCTGAAGCCGAACGGTCTGGATATCTGGAGACCGTTCGACTGATACACTGAACGCTTTCCTCCCAAGGTTAGTGGTAGGTTGTAATTCGACAGGCAATGGGTCTTCCTCCAGGGCTCTAGGCTCGAATCCCGCTATTTTTGGTGTCTCTGTCGCATTCGGAACATTCGACACCGACTCATAACCAAGTGCCTCGTTCAATTGCTGATTTGCCCAACTCTTAAACGCCGACGAACGTTCCTGTCTTTGTGGTGTTCCTTCACCATCATCACTCTCTTCAGATGAGTCCTCCGAGTCATCCTCCTCCTCTTCATCACCACTGCTTTCTGAGCTATTGCTCACATCCTCATCCACCTTAGATTCGTCTTGCTCACTCAGCATTTCGTCTTCCTCCTCTACCGATGAATCGTCCTCTTCTGCACTAGATTGTGAACTCTCATCGGTATTACTAGAAGCCTCAGATGCCGATTCAAAACCCTCCCACTCTGGTTCCGGTGCTGGATCTGGCATCAACTGTACTTTCGACTGTACACCACCTCTTCGCTTCCTCTTCTTCAAAACAGGTCGGCCGTCATCGCCAACTTCCAAGGGTCGCTTCAGACCCCCACCAACAGCATAGGACTGTTTGGCAGGTAGTTGTGCCGTGAGAGAAGTCTGAAAGAGTCCTCCAGCACTGGCCTGCTCTGGTTCATTTTCATCTGAGGAAGGTTCGTCCTCCACTTCCCGCACAATTCTTTTCTCAAACAGAAGCTCGTCATTGTCCCCGTCGATATCTATACCAGCCTGCTTGTCCCTCAGAGCTCTACCCAGACGCTCCCTTTTTGTCTCCCGACCTTGTCCCAATTTTCGACTGCTCTGAAAAAGGCTTGTGTCTGTTGTCGCATGCGCTAACTTCGCAATGAGTTCTCGATTTTCGTCTTTCCGCAATTTCGTGTCGATGTATTTCTCGAGTCGTTTAGCCTTTTTACCGCTTATTTTTTGTCCCTCTTTCTTCAACTCCTCTTTCAAGCGCAGCTTCTTTTCTTCCAATTCTGATTTCGCCGCGGGGATGTGCTCCACTACGTTGGAGTCCACAACTTCAAATTCTGGTTGTCGGCCATTTCCTTTTGCCCTGGCGATGACCTTATGTTTGCGCTGTCGCGGTACGAATTTGGGCATGTTGAAATAAGCAAATATTTTCAATCCATCTTTCCGACTATCAAAAATGGCAAATCGCTCGTGGACAGAGAAAGTTCATCGGGAACTTTTTCTGCCGGGGCGGTGAGGTTCTAAAGCGGGTCTCATTGAGCGAGGCTGTATCCCACGCGCTCAAGGCTGAACCAAACATAAACACAAACCACAACCATCATCCCATGATGGCTATTCCAAATTTGACTAATGACCTCCAAGGTATCGATCTGGCTGGTGGTGTTGAGCCGTCGCCTTTTCCCGCAAAGACAAAAGAGGTCGCAGGACTTGTCAATGGCGTGCCAACGGATTTAACATCTATGTACTTTTCAGACAAGATTCTAATCACTATTTCACAAGGCGGCCGGCTGGCACAATGGGTACGAAAATGTTTTGGGGTCTCGACGTAATCAAAGCTGACATCTGTTAGGTTCAAGTACCATTATCGTCGGCATCTCCAACTTCATTCGATACTGCACTACCCTCCGAGGATTCAGATATGTTACCCATGGCGCACATCACCCCAAAAACATTACTCGGTGCTGGTGGTGACCAGCGAGAAACAAATGGACACCTTTATGCCAGTCAAATTGCAACGGCTATTATGAAGAGAAATCCTGAAGAGACACGTACCATTTTAGTTGGCTTTGGACTGGAAAAGGTTGACACCAAGCGGGAAACGTTTTTCGATTTGATTGAGCTGGTGCACAAGGTTATTTGACTGGGGGATTACGTATGTTTTCCAGATGGGATGTATTCATGGTCCAGGTTCTCATCTCATTTTGCATCATCTATGGGATGTCTCGCCTCACCTCCAACCTCCAACCCCCAGGTGATTAGTTTCTTTTTGCGCCTTCACAACAATCACACCCGAGGGCCTAATACCAGTAACATTGGAATTCTACGCATTCTATATTTATTACCACAGGGAAGAGAGTAACGGCCCGAATTTGAAGCTCATGCTGCAACAATCAGAGCACTGGGCGCTTGGGCTGCAATGCCGTGTTTCTTCTTGAACTCATCGCTTTCAAGTTTGAATCTCAATTGACACCCTAAGATGTTGTGAGTATATGGTTTTTTGTACCGATGAGATTACTACTTACAATCTCCACATGACATGGGTTCATATTTTGGCGGGTTTTCGGGTGAGGTGCATGTTGGTACAACGCCCTCGACACAGTTGAAGTTAAGACCTAAGTCGGTGTCAGTTGAGCCAATAATAGATTTATGAGGGCAACATACCGAAGAAAAATGGCATCGATACTCTCTCGACGTTCGATGTGTTGAACACTCGATGGACAGTGCTCTTATATTTGTCATTGCAAAGTCTCATCATAAAGTCACCAATGTTGACTACGATCGTGCCTTCAACAGGTACAGCCTTGATCCATTGGCCATCTTTGTTTAATACCTGCAAGCCTCCGATCATATCCTGCCAGAGGAGAGTGAACAATTGCAGATCTGTGTGACTTCCGAGTCCAACAGTGTTCTTGGCCTTTTCTTCTTCGGTGGTTGTTGGATAGTAGTTGAACACGCCATCTGCACCGGGATATGTTGTCCTGCTGTCGAAGTAGTCCTCTTCCAAGTCAAGGCTTAGTGCGAAAATCTTTACAAGCTTTCGGGACAACGTCAAGCAGCTCGCCCAGTATGTCAATACCTCGTCCTTGAACCCAGGAAGATGTGAAGTACCTTCCCAGACGAAGTCTTCGCCCCTGATCCAGGGCTTCACTTCTTCTGGTATAGCATCAAGCGGTTTTGGAATTGGGTCGTATTGAGGGGAGTACCGCCACCCCAACTTTCCTCATGTGTTAGATATTGTTTTTACTAGGGGAGGGAGTCGTCTTACAGTTTCTTTAACATCTACTGTCTCGCCAGGACTGATAAAAGTGGTTCTTGGACCCTCTATCTAACTGTCAACTTCCCTCTTCTGCTTCGCTTTCGTCATACTACACTTACTATAACCGTTAAAGTATTTGGATTTACTTTGTGTCACTTTCATTTTATCTTCAGTTGACTGCTTGAAGAACCTATTCATGTCAGCCTTGTTGGTGCTTAAGAATGAGGCCAACTCACGACAAGAGCTGTTTCTTTGCATCGGCAATGACTTCCTCTTTGATCCCATGATTCTTGATATAAAAGAAACCAGTATTGACGGCTGCGACTTTGATGGTTTTGGCAAGTTCCACACGGTCTTTCAAATCATCTGAGTAAAGAGGACTCAGGTCGATTATTGGAATCTCGTCTGGTGTACAGTCTCTTGGCGGAGTGCTAAGCACATCCCGAAAGACAGGCCCATAAGCGGTGCGAAGCTCCAACTTAGTTGTCTTGGGTGTTTCTGTCATTGTAGTAGACATTTTGGCGGTGTTATGTGTTTCTGTCTTAGCAGTCTGCTGTGTATTCAGTTGGAGTCGATACGGTTGATATGTCGTATTATATTGTGCGTTACCGAACTGCGAATGGACACTTCCTTCTGGTTTCTGCCTCAAAGGTAGTTTGGAGAGATGATCAATCACACGAAGCCTGCACCGCAAACTAGAGAGGCTCTTTTGTCCTTGCTTCACTACAACGTCGGGTTTCGGCGTATACCGCAAAGATCCCAAGATGCCAATAGGTAGAAGATAGCCGTTCAGAGTGCCTAGAACTATAAGATATCTCTTGTGATATTTGATGTGGTTGGAGTCTGATACGCGCGGGGTCGGGCAACTATTTGAGCCACTGAGCATCACGTCCACCTAGCCACTTACCCCACCTTTGGTCATGCAAGCCTCCTTATCTGATTCTTGGGTGTCCCGAATATGTGGGCACGTATGCAAAATTCCCGAACCCTTCTGGGCTTCACACGATTGCGTTCCTTGAGCACCTTTCTCTTGGCGAGCTGGAAACATCGCTTGGCATTGACGATGTTTAACGGCTTCCCACCTATCTGAGAGCTTGTGGTTTCTATGTTCTGGGAACTGGCAATAAACTTCTGGGTTTTATCTTGAACTTTGAACGTTGCTGCACCAAGACATGGGACATGGTATTCAAGGTTTATTATGGGATAGTGATGTCCCACTATTGATAGGAACTGTGCCACCAAAATCACTGTATGCTGGTCTACACTGGTGCGCTAGTCTTATATTTGGCGATGGACACTCGAGATGTTATCAGGAGAATGTGCGGGGAAGTTTACTTTTCGATAACACGCAGCGGGTCTCGTTTCCGATCGCTGGATTTTGTGTTCTTTGGTAGCATTATGCCTTCCGTTCCTAGCCCATCGACGTGGATGTCTTGTACCTGTCCCACTTATCAGATATATTGACAAGATAAGGGTGGCACTTGAAAGTATAAGTCTACTCAGGATGTACTACCCCCTCTGAAGCGAGCATTTGCCCTCTTGACTTAGGCTCAAATCACTACACTCCTGATATCTTTTCGAGATGGCCAGCAATCTCATTCGGAGATTCCGCGATGCGGTCCCAAAGCCATCACTCAAGGCAAAAGGAACCGAGAATGTTCATGGAGAAGATATGTGGTTGGACAACGACGATGTGCGACCTTTAAAGCTCGCTGATCGGACTTGGAATCTCTGGACATATCTTACTTTCTGGTTCTCAGCTACAGCAACAGTATCAGGCTGGTATGCTGCCGCTAGTGCACAGGCTCTAGGCCTAAGTATGTGGGAGTCGGTCGGTACTGCATTTGGCGGTCAAGTTGTCATCGCGATTGTCATTGTTTTCAATGGTCGAGCTGGAGCAAAGTACCATATTGGTTTTCCAATTCTCAATCGAGCATCATTTGGAGTGTTTGGTGCTTGGTGGCCCACGTTCAACCGAGCTGTTATGGCTATCGTTTGGAATGGTGTGAATGCGGTTCAAGGTGGGCAATGTGTCTATGTGATGCTTCACGCGTTGTTTCCAAGCATTGCCACTATCAAGAATGTAATGGGTGAAGGGTCTGCTTTGGACTCCGGTGGGATGATCGGATTTGTCGTATTCTGGGTTTGCACTTGCTTTTTCTTGGTCATCCCTATTCCAAAGGTCAGTCAAGTCCAGCAAATGATGAAGCTCATGTACTGACATTCAAGTAGATGAAAGGCTTGGTTTACGCAAAACTTATTGTCTTTGTCATTTCTGCAATCTCCATGCTGGCATGGACTCTCACCAAAGCAGGTGGAATCGGTCATGTCGTCTCCCAACCCGGCACAGCTAAGGGGTCCGAGAGGACCTGGCTCATGATTCGATTCTTTCTACTGGGAGCAGCAAACTGCGCAACCTTCGCGTCCAATGCTGCCGATTTTCAACGCTACGCTACCAAACCAAATGATGTGATCATAGGTAACCTAGTAGGCTTCCCCGTCGCCAATCTCCTCGTTGCTATAGTCGGAAATCTGGTCGCCGCATCCTCACAAGCCATAACTGGTGAACTGATCTGGAACCCCATAACCTTCCTCGACACCCTTCAATCCTCCTCCTACACCCCGGGCAACCGCGCCGGTTGTTTCTTCATCGCAGCCTGCTTCTCCTACTCCGCCATCTTCTCCTCCATCTTCGAAAACAGTCTTCCGGCTGGAAACGATATCGCAGCGCTCTTCCCTAAGTACCTCACCGTCCGCAAGGGCTTCTTCATCTGCGCCGTCGTCAGTTTCGCTATCAACCCATGGTATCTCCTCGGCTCCGCATCAATCTTCATCTCCTTCCTCGCATCCTACCAGATCTTCCTCTCCTCCATCACCGGCGTGCTACTCTGCCACTACTACATCATCACGCGTGGCTACCTCGAAATCGAAGACCTTTACACCTCTCGTAAGGACGGCGTCTACCACTACTTCCACGGCTGGAACTGGCGCGCCTATCTCGCCTACGTGATTGGCATTGCCCCGAATTTCTACGGCTTCCTGAATAATATGGGCGTTGATGCGCCGATTGGCATAACGAAAGCGTATTATTTCGCGTATGAAATTGGATTGTTTTTGTCCTTCTTTACGTATTGGGCTGCGTGTACGTGGAGTCCGCCGGCGCTTACGGTGCCGTTGAGTGAGTGGAGAGAACCGAGGGATTATGTTAGGCCGGAGGAGAGGGGGGAGGTTATTGAGGGGGTGGTTGAGGATGTGGAGTTTGGGAATGGGGGTGGGGAGAAGGGGGTTGGAGGGGGGGTTAGGGGGATGGAGAAGAGTGAGAGTATTGGGTAGGCGAGAAGTTGTGAAAGTCAGATAGAATTTTGATCTGTCCGAAAGATAGAGGAATTGACTATTCTTGTAATAGACAAAGGTTGACCTATAGTATCCGCCAAGATGACGAAAGCCCGTCCTCCGATCTCAAGCCTAATCAAGAGTTCGAGATTTCTTTAGAGATGTGGATTTTTATCCTTTGGCAGAGCAAAGGGAACAATCGACGAAAATGCAACTCTGGGTGCACTAACCGGACCTTCAGGTACGGACACGGTCGTTTTGAACCCTCGAAAGGATGAAGTAATCTCTGCAAGCATTATCTTTCTCCGAATAGTGTCTTTCAAAGTACCTGATTATATCGACCGCCTCGCTCTTCCACTCATATCGGAATCTGATCAGCAAGCTGTCTCCAAAACCCACATCTCGTCCCCAACTCCACCGTCCCCCCCTCATAAAACCCCTCACTCGCAATCACAAACTCCTTCCCAGTCCGCCAATTATCCGGTACACCAGGCACAGACCCATCAGTCAGTTTATGCGCGTTAGGATCGCCGGTCTGGAAGAAACTTGCGAATGCCCCGGCGAAACCTTTGTAGATCAGGGGTTGTGTTTGTTGGACTGCGTTTACTTGATTCCACTTTTGTTTATGTTAGGCGGAGGGGTTTAGGAGGGATGCTTTGGGGTATAGGAACGTACATAAGCAGTGTCACTCGCGTGTTTAGCAGGACTTATAATATACTGCGCTACGTAACTCTTCTTCTTCGCAGCGCGCGCCGTCCAGTAGGCTGGACATGTTAAGACTACATCGCGGTATATCAGTCCTGCGCGGACGTAGGTCGTGTTGTAGGTTAGTTCTTCGGCGGTGCCGGACACGGGGTAGAGATCTAGGACTCGGCCGATGTTGCGGGGTGAAAAGCCGGGGAGAAATCCGCGGAGCCAGGTTTCGAAGGAGGTGGTGCTGGAGTTGAAGGGGGGCGTGCCGCTGGAGATGGTGTTTTGAAAGCCGGAGGGGATGAAATTCTCGCCTGGGTGGGGGTTAGTGATGGGGTGTTTTTGAGGGCGGAAGGGGGATTGTACCTTCGTGTTGGTTGTAGACGCTGAACCCGTAGTCGATGTTCACCTCTCCTTTGATAGTAGCTTGACTTAGCGGCTGTGTCAAAAATACCCCATCGATCACTGGTCCCCAGGTATATGAGGTTGTGTTATAAGTGTGACTTGCTGATACAGCCAAAGAAGCAGTTCGCAACGTCTGTAAATCAGCGCTTTTCAAACAAGCTAATGAATTCGGACCAGAACATCCTGCTAAAGCTGCGAAATTATCGTAGACCGCTTGAGTCTCAGGCGAGTTGTATTTGTAAGTCTTCGGCCAAAAAGGAGAAGAAGCAAGTGCCTTATTGAAGAGCTTTGGTTCGGTTTTCCCTCCATTCGCAATAACCTGCGCAACCACACTCCCCGCCCCAGCCGACTGACCCCAAATACTAACATTCTTCGGATCACCTCCGAATTCCTGAATAGACTTATTCGTCCACCTCAACACCGCCTGCTGATCCAACAATCCCGTGTTAGAATCTGAAGTCGGAGATGCTGCGATTTCGGCGCCTGAGAGGAAGCCAAGGGCGTTAACGCGGTAGTTGGGGTAGACGAAGATGAAGTTGTTGCTGGTTGAGACGTTGAGAACTGGGTAGCCGGCTGGTGGGATGCTGAAGGAACCGCCGCCTTGGATGAAAGCGCCGCCGTAGAAGACTACTACGACTGGGCGGAGGGGTTGGGGGGCGGTCCACGGGCGGGAGAAGAGGCCTAGGTAGAGACAATCTTCTGTACCGTTTACCTAGTTGGATCATAAGCACTTGAATCTACCTTGAGTCGTTCTCTCGAACCGTGAAACGAGATGTGGAAGTGTACTCACAGTTCTCTGAGGACAAAAGTCATAGCTCTGATCCGAATTATACGTTCCATTCGTAATCGGAATTGGTGGCTGCGGTGCTCGAAACCGATTTTCGCCAACTGGAGGCGCCGCAAATGGAATCTTTCGCCAATAGCTGATGTTGTATCTCGCATTATATGTTCCCTGAAATGTTCCGTAATCTAAGCTAGCGAGGAGGTCTTGAGCTTGACATTGTGCTATCAAGAAATTCAAGATGATATAGATAAGTCGGAAAACCCCCATGATTCCGGTAAGCAGTTACCTTTCCAGAGAAAACGAGTAAACCAGGAATTGAAATGATGCTTTTTCCTATATGTATACTTATAGTGCCAAGACAAGGTGCCGCGAAATATACATTAGCGCCATCTACCCCAACTTGCGGGGTTTGAGTTGTGGAGAAACAACTGGTAGATTTGTATTAGCCGACCAGTCAAAAACATTGGATGGAGAAACAAGAAGGTGTCATGAAATAGCAGTTATGGTACCTGCAGTGGTCTTGTTTATATTCGGTAACTGTTGTGCCGAAAGGTTACAATTTTCCGTCCAGGTGGGAAGTATAAATTTAGGGAATTCGGTCGAAGGGGATGGAGAAAATAAAACTTTCTCTTAGGATTTCAGAGGTACAAGTTGATGAAATGAAGTTCATCATGCTTTGATCTTTTTTTGGTCCACGAATCTAGGACCGAGCCACATGATCGTCTTACCTCCTGTCCCTAAAAAGAGTAGCGTCGCAATCGAGGTTTCAATTTCCTTGCCTGAAAGTGCTTTTTCATTCGAGACTTAATTGTAATAGCTGTTGCGAGGACTTTCTCAGGCAACTTCATACTGTACGACGAGCAAATGTGACATGGCTTGCGAATGATAGCAGTGTCCGAGAATTTAGTGACCCCGACAATGATGATGATAATAAAAAAAATAGAAGAATTCCAGTCCCATTGCAAATATCAACAACTAATGTGCATTCGAGCAATTTACAATACACTGCTATTTCTCGTCCATGAACATATTGTGCAAGAGTGGGATGATGACGACAGTTGCAACGGCGTGGAAATGACAAGCTTCTGCGAGAAGAAAACATATTGACTGTAGCTCCGCATTTTTTCTGCGAGTTTTTGTGCATTCGATGTACTCTAGTAGCATGCGCAGATAATGTCCAAGTGACGAGCTGGTAAAAGAAATGGTATCATTGGCATGTCTCTGCTGGCTGACCATCATAAAGAAATGAAGATGTCCTGCACCGCTCACAATTCGTCGATTAATTCCCTGCCTATAAGAGTTTGACTGTGGTTTAGATAGTGATCCGTCATAAAAGTTGATCAAGTTGGGAGGTGTTGCTCGTGAAGTTCATGTGGTCGTTGCCGGATTTTGACACAACGAGGAAGACGGCCCGACTCGGCCTTGACATCGGATTGGATCTCCGCTCCTCGAACTGGAAAGCCGTTACAATTGTGCTTCAGGTAACTATTTCTCGTATACGCTATTGACGGCATCATTGATGTCTAGTATCATGGGCACTAAAACATAAACTAGTTAACAGTGTTTCAACGCCCAAGAACACTCCTGACAAAAGTCGCTTTTGCACAACCCGACCCTTTGCCTTTCTTTCGGATTGTCTTTCTGAGCGAGCTCGACCAATTTACTGCTGGAGCTATGTCAGCATAAGATAGTATGACTCGCACCGAAATTAGTTTACTATCCAGAAGGTAGATAGCTATGATATACCTCGGCATGTGGCAGACTGATCTCTTTGCACTTTTTAGGAAAGGGTTCTCAGTAATTTGTACACGCGTCAATAGTACTCATCCCTACTTATACTTCAAGTATTGAGAGGTCTAAGTCGCCCTATGTGTGACTCAATTCCATTTTCGAGTTAATCCAATCGCGAAATACGAATATTGATACATTCCTGTTTTGATTCAATGATTTGGGAATCTAATTAAGAGAAACGAAAGCTTCTAGAAACTGTCTATCAGTACCTTAGCTCGCGGAGGACACAATAAGTGGCAGTCGAACCAGAATAGTTCTTCGGCTAAGGTGACGAAATATCGTAATTTAGTGGTTTAACTTGGAACATTGTGCCTAGTTCGTCAACCGTTTTGAGTAAATAAGACTTTTAAGGTCTATTCGAAGTGTACTTGTTATTTAGTCTAAGATTTACAGGTAGGTGACTGCCATTTATTTTGTCCTTCACGAGGTTAGTAAATTTAGTGTAAGATAAGGAAGAGTCCGATTATCCGGAAAGCATGGAAGGTCAAATTTATTCAGGGGAATAAGAGGGGCGTTGAGCCAAGTCAACCTATCGGTTTGACCCCTGAGAATAGTCATGCTTAAGCGAGACAAGCTTTCGACAAGACCCCACTACACTGTCGTCCACCACCTTCCTCTTTCGACAGCAATCTACAAGATAACTTCTTTCTACGGACCAAGCTTGAACTTTTATTTTCCGACTTGACATTCACTCCAATAAACTAAACGCAATATGGAAGCTGAAGAAAAACGCGGCACGAACATGGGGGTGAATCTCCGTCATGATGTAAATGTACCTGGATAGTGGCGCTTCCCCAGCACGAGAACCACAGGGCCGGAAACATATAAGCTCTCGCAGCTGCCACCCCAAGCCCTTGGCCAGCTTTGAGTTGTTGTCTTACACCATAGCCAAGATGTCGGCTCGTACGATTCGCCTAGCTCTAAGCCTCCTGGTCTTCAGTGTTCTGTTGACTTTCGTTGCTGCGGGAAGATTGGAAGATGTCGCCCCGCATCGTGGTTTCAACCCTAAACTGAGGAAGAGAGGGATTGTCGAGGAGCCAGCCTATTTACCAAGACCCGTTGCTAAGAGAGCTGCTGCAACCAGCTCTGTCTGCACTTCGGCGCCTCCTCTAAATCCAACTGCGCCGTAAGAAGGTTGTGCCCGATTTGAAGATCGGTTAGCTAACAGTTACAGACCAAGTTGCGGAGGAAACAACTGTGTCAATGCCTTCAACAAGCAATTTACCGCAAGCTTGGACAACCTCGAGGGATTCTGCAGCTCATGGACATCTGGATCATCAGCTACGTTTTCTGCAACTGGCGCGGGAGCCTTCGCTGGCAACTGCGTTGGTACCTCAACAGCAGCTTCTCTGCAGTCGGCAGTCGCATCCAAAGTCTCCTCCGCATGCGATTGTTTCCTCCCGAAGCAGACATCATGCCCAACGAGTCCTGGCAATGGCTCAACTGGTGGTTACCGATTCTTGAATGAAGACACTAAGCGTAAGCACCGTCCGATAGTCCTTATGAGCATTATACTAAAAATACTTAGCATATCAAGTTACCTCGATGCCTGAGGTCGACTTCGATATTGGTGAGATGTACTCTGGTATGATGCCAATCAACGAGTCCGATCCATCCCGTTCGCTTTTCTTCGTCTTCCAGCCAACCGACGGCCCACCAGTCGACGAAGTTACTATCTGGCTTAACGGCGGACCTGGTTGCAGTTCATTGGAAGGATTCTTCCAGGAAAATGGAAGATTTATCTGGAGCTGGGGTCAATACCAGCCAACCTTCAACCGTTACTCATGGGTCAACTTGACAAACGTCCTATGGTATGTTGTTTAAGACTCCAAACGCCTGGAACATGGAATACTGATTATTCATATAGGGTCGAACAACCGATTGGAACTGGTTTCTCAAAAGGAAAGGTCCTTGCAAATGGCGAGGAAGATATCGCACGAGAATTCGCGGATTTCTTCAAGAACTTCCAAAAGAAATTTGGTATCAAGAAGTTCAAGATTTTCGTCACTGGAGAATCCTACGCAGGAAGATACGTGCCTTACATCTCTGCCGAAATGTTGAACAGAAATGATACCAACTATTTCAATGTCTCTGGTGAGTTGGGGTACTATGATTTAACAAGCATTTCTAATTTTCTTTAGGTGCCCTCGTCTACGACCCTACCATCGGCGCAACCACATACACTCAAGAAGAGGCTCCAGCGTACCCATACGTTGAGTACTACAACAACATTATCGGATTAAACGCAAGTTTCATGGCGACATTGAAGGGACTTGATGAGTCTTGTGGATATGCTGCGTACAGAGAGAAATACTACACCTTTCCGGCGGCGGGTATTCAACCTCCTGCACCAAGTGTCTCCAACGCCTGTGACATCAACGGTCTTGCTAGCAACGCTGCTTTCAACATCAACCCATGTTTCAACTCCTACGAGATCAACACTCAATGTCCAATCCCATCTGGTAAGACCATCTTTATATTCTCACATGTGTATTGTAACTAAAAACAAAATAGATCCACTTGGCTTCCCAACGAACTTGGCGTACTCCTATCCTGCCTTAACACCTCTCTACTTTGACCGAGCAGACGTGAAAGCGGCCATGCACGCCCCAACTTCTGTGCAATGGGAGGAATGTTCCGGTCCAGTTTTCGTTCGACGAGACACCTCTGCCGACCCAATCCGCAAGGTCCTTCCTCAAGTCATCGAAGCTACGAACCGCGTTCTCGTTTCAAACGCTAACCTTGACTTCGTCATCATGACCCAAGGAACTCTTCTTGCCATCCAGAACATGACTTGGGGCGGAACCCTTGGCTTCACATCCAAGCCCGAGACACCAATCGTCATCACCCTTCCTGACTTGCAATATCAGCAAACTTTTGTCGATAACGGATATCCTTTGGGCTTCGAGGACCCACAGGGTACGATGGGTATTCAGCATTATGAGCGAGGACTCATGTGGGCTGAGACTTTCTTGAGTGGACATATGCAACCGCAATTCCAACCGAGAAGTAGTTACAGACACTTGCAGTGGCTCTTGGGTCATATCGAGGAGTTGTAGATGTAATTGAGATATTATGTAGTTTCAAAACAGCAATGAAAGGAACAATTAATTTCCAAAGAATGGCTTTCACAAGTACCATCAAACTCTAGTCCTCTCAAATGCCTTCAAGTGTTGAAAGATTCCAAAGCTGCTTTCCAAAAGTGATTGATGTCAAATAGAAAGTGTAAGGAAATATCACCTGACATCTCTGGATTCTTTGAATGTCTTGCTGCTTAGTTGATTTTCACTTACCTTCTGGTCAATGGCTAATCCGATATTCACCTAATATGATTTAAGATGATCACGTAGTTACGAGATACAAAAATATATATAACCCTTATTTGAATGATGTCTTCATATTTATTCTTAAAACAAGTCGTATTCGACATTGTGATGCTGAAAGGAGCGCTGGAGATATGGTGGTTATCGGGCCAAACAGATCCGAAGTCTTGCTGAATCATGCTTGCTTGGCATTATCCACCCTGGAGGGGGCTCTTATCTCAAGAAGCTCCAGATTATCTTCCTTCAAGCCATTACATCTCTTCTGAATTTTTCCTAACATTAATAATTCCTTATCTCTATACTAAAACCTTTCATTACGAATGTGGAGGACTTTATCCATTCCAAACCCTCCGTCTTACACCCATCCGTCTTCCTCGAACACACTTCATACCACACTAGATTGTGCAACCTTTGCATACAATGCCACTAGCACGATGAAATGCTCGAAGAAGAAGTTTCCAGGCGCTGTCAATGTCTTTGTGGAAGTCTTTGGCCGGAAAGTAGGATTGTGGACTTGTGAGCCACGTGACGCAAAGGAAGAGCAGCGTTTCGCTGCCAACATCGCAATTGATGCCAACCCGCGTTTACGAGCGCAGTATGGTCATTTGCGTTCGGAACCACCACCTAAAGTTAGCGGAGTAACTATCAAAAACGAACAGACACTCGCTCCTAGGCCAGTAGTGCTTCAAGACGAATCATGCTTTGAAAACCAAATGGATTCAGATCGAATGCTCTCGCTGGCAACGCCACGTATTGGGAGCTTAGTACATCCCGACAGAACTGCTCAGCTTCTTTCGGCCCCTACTGAGCCCAGGGCTCACAGAAAGCAACGAGGAAAAAAGTCACCACCAGCACCAACACCGCAGTCAATCGTGACCTTGAGTACGCAAGGAAAGCCATCCAAGCCAGATCTTTTCCCATCCATGCCTGTAAACCAACCCGCAGAGGTAATCGAGAACAGTCTGCAATTTTCCAAAGCAAATCCGCTCCTGGACTCCTCAACCAACCAAAATGTCCAGCCATACGCACCAGCTCGAATCAAGCCAGATAGCTACGCTTTTCCTTTTTCAAAACTTCGTGAAGATAGAGAGAATGAGAAACGGATGCAGGAAGAAAACGATCAATTGAAGAAAGAAGTCGCAACGTTGAAGCGAAAAAGAACTCCGGAACCCGTGGACGATCAACTCAAAGCGGAGAATAAAGATCTGAGGAACAGGATTGCGGAAATGAATAAAGAGCTTCATTTCACACAGAATTTACTGGAAAACGAGAGAGCTCGTGTTAGAGAACTGCAGTTGCTAGGGCTGGTCGAAAGCAGGAGCAATGTGTCTGCGAATGTTCCTGAACCCAATCAACGAAACGGATCCAGTCAAGAGCCTATAGCCGCAATCAAAGTTACAGAAGTACAATTAACTGTGCCACTGAGCACAGAAGATCCGAATCAAAATGAACAAGTAAATTCGTCTGACTGCCCAGTGGTTGAAGAATACACCAATCCTAATGGAACCTTGTCTGCAGAAACCCAGGATGTTAACATGACTAATAAGGAAAGCGCCGACAAAGACCAAGTACCAAAAAGTTCCGGCCCGAAAGATACTATCGCGGTTGAAAGTAGCTCAAGCGGTCTGGTAGAGGACAATGTGTCATTCCCAGTCTGCCCTGTGCTACCATTTGGAGAGATCACAGTGCTCACGAGCACTGTTAATGACCTTCGAGAAGAAATAGGCATGAAGCGTGCCACTATCGCAACGCAAATGAAAACAAACATGGATCTTCAAACAGAACTCGAGTCGCTTCGTAGGGATCTTGCAGCCTTTCGTCAAGTGAGCAGACAAGCAGAGGAAGAAAAGAATGCACTCATCTTGGCACACGTGGAAACGGAAACAGAACTGAAATCGGATTTTAGTTCACTTCAAAAGGATATTGCAGCTTTCCGCCAAGTCGGTAGACAAACTACAGAAGAGAACATTCTTCTCAGAGATTATGTCACTATTGCTCGCCGGGAGAGATTTGAGCTCATGGGATCTATCGAATCATTGAGTAACACACTTAGTATTGTACGAGAGGCATTGGGCCAAGGAGAGCCGGTATTTCAGATGACAATGTCCAATTTCGAGGAACAGCAAAGTTCGATTCTAGAACGCCTGGGTATTCGCGATTACTACTAGATGCCTCACCTTATTATCAACCAATTGTGGAAATTAACAATTTGAAATAACCCTCTGTCATTGGTCGAAGTTTCATGAAATACCTGACATAATTGGGTGTATCTCTTGGCTACAGTATTCCGATCTCTTGAGACTCCAAATCGCAAATCTTGGGATAGCCTTAACAAATATAGCAACACATCAGGGCTGAGAGATCCTATCCTCCATCGTATGAAAACATATTCTTCATCGTATCCTTCACCAGTACACTACGTCCTTGAACGTCGAGTCCTAAACTTCAAAAATATGCTCGTTCCACCGCAACTCAATGTTACAACAGCGGAAGCAGCAGTCACTCCCAATTCAACCCTTCGCGTCCGAAGCCCTACAAACACTCCCACCAGTAAAGAAAACAACAAGTTCGCGAGCACCAACAGTAGGACTGCAAAACGGCTAAGCTTCAGCCCTACGACAAGTACATTCTTCGTAATGTTGTGGCTTGTGCCAATCTCAAACTGTGGAAATTTGTTGGAGAACTCAGGTGCATTTACGAAAATCCGAGGATTACGGAAAGCATGAGTGAGCTCTACGTTTGGCTTGCGGTCTGTCACGAAGACTCGACATGTGTCTTGCTGTGACTCGAGGTCTGTCGTACTGTTCTGAACAACCGACGGTTAGCTGGGACTATTCTTCAGTACTGCTTGTCAATAAGGTCTTACTGAGGAGAGGACACCATCTTCGACCACAGGTACCCAAAATGGCAACGTTCGATCAAGGTTGCCGAAGGCTTTCCCTGTCTTCAATCGCTGAATCGCATGGTGTAAGTCGGTCATGACAGTTTCGCCATTCTCATTTGGTTTAACTTTGAAAATGCCCAAATACGTTTTTCCATGCCATGTCTCCACAACATAGCGCCAATACTTGACTTGGTCTCTGTTGTGTTGGAGTTGTCGGGGCGCCTCTGTGCCGTTGAAAGTCATTTTTCGGGATGATCAATAAGGATGACAGTGAATGAGCCTTTGGTTCGCTGAATGCGCAACTAGCAGTATTCCCCTGAAGCGACAGACAGAGTTCTTATACATCTTTTCGACTACGAAGTACACCCATTTGGACCCTAAATTGATGGTACATATGGGTGTGAAAGAGAAGTTTAACCTACGGAGAACAGTTGTTACTCGGAAACGACCCTTATCCCACTGGCTCAGGCCGTTTCAATTGAGTATGTCATGGACAAGTCTACAATAACACCATCGAATGGCCGCCCATCCAATTCTCCTCAGTTCAGGGAGTTGCAGAAATGGGTATAGCATGCCATGGCCAAACCATGGTGCCGGGAGGCTACCCAAGTCAACCAGAATTATCTGCCACGCCTCTACTTTTCTTCTCTCCTCCGTTCTGGGAATTGTAATGACCCGAAATTTACTTCTTCCTGTAATGGGTCGTCAAAGGGGACGGCACGTGATGTGTACCAGACAGCAGTGGCTATGCATGCATGCATGCACCCAACGCGACCCTTTCACGACCCACCCACCCATTACTGCCCGCCGACCCATTCTGTTTGATGCATGAGATTGGGCAGGACTTGTGTCCCTGTTTCGCCCAGCTGGAAGCCCGACGGCGACCGATATATTTCATCGAGAGCCTCGCGGAGCATGCTTCTAAAGCTTCTTACATGTTTCTTTGCCATCTTAGAGTGTATTTGTATCAGCAGTGGATTCTGGCAGCACAGTATGGATAACGCTCATGAACTGAACACCTCGACATCAGAAAGACTTCAGGCAGGATTTGGATCAGAAAATGAAACACACGCGTTTTCACGTGACTCGGCATATTATTCTTATCCACCCAACATCGACCCTGTACTTGATACTCCTACGAGTAACTATCCAGTACTGTCAGATCAAACATCAGCCAACTTCTCAGAAACATCGTTGGCCGCAACCACTATCCCCCTTTACGGAGCCGACTATGGAGCATCGAGGCATTCCGATCAGTCGGGGTCATACCTTGAAGCGCAAAATGAAAGTCTAACTAGATCATGGGTATGTTCAGACCTTGTTCCCCAAATATTTCTACGATGACACTCATCCTTCCAGGAGTTTGGAGGCACCGAAACCCAACCCACGAGAACTTTTTACAGTCAACCAGTCTCTAGCTCAACGCGGCATCAATCCTTAGGCGTGTTGCCCTCTAATACCGATTTCCCCTTTATACCTGACGCAACCTCTCAAGATCCACTTTCGCCCAGACTCATCGCTGACGACTGTGTTGCGGTGTGTTATAACAAGCTCAATGGCAGAACGCCAAATAGAGAAGAAATTGAGCTGTGTGCTGCATTGAGTTATGTTCCCCTGAAAGTCATGGAAGATGCATTCAACCGACATCAAGAAAACAAAAATTTGCAAACTGGCATCACTACATCTCAATCTGGCAGATCTGCAACTGATTTTGTGGAGAATTCTGTGATGAATACCTTGGAGATTATTCCGGACGAAGTCCAAAAAGCCGAGGCTAGCAAATATGTGCAACAACTTCCAGCGAAGTGTCTCAGGCGCAATGTTACGCTTCCTCCGCCTGGGACCCCAGCGAAGCCATACAAATGTCCTGATTGCGGCAATGGTCTGGGATCATTAGATTCTTACAGAAGACACCTAGCTGCCCGATACCCAAAGGAAGCCTGGCTATGTCTTCTGTGCTCTGAGGTTCCAATGAACAAGCCCGGCAAGATATCATTTCGACAAACGCATTTTCAGGAACACTACGAAAAAAAGCACAAAGGTTTACCATTTCGAGAATTTCTTGAACGTGGGCACTTCAGCGTAGAAGCACGGCCGAGGACCATGTCTGAAAGCCACTGCAGAGTGTCTCACGCTGAACGATGCCACGAAGAAAACAATACTTTGTCCCTGTTAGACATGGAACAAACGTCTTTTCCACCAGAAGCAAACCCATCAACAGCATCAGGAATGGCAGCAGCCCTACACCACAACGAGGTCGCGACAGAGCCAGATATTCGGGCCACATCTCAATTGGTGGTTAATTCACCTGAGCTGTCGTCTACAAAACCAACGCCTTTTTCACAACACCACACAACAACAGGTCTTTCGAATATTCCTACTCCATGTCATCACACAACGAGTTCCGATGAGCTTCTTCCCAGAAGCTCTCGAGACACAGAAGAATTGGCCGCGGGAAGCTCTCTGGCGTTAGAACCAGCCAGTACTTCAACTAGTGCAGTCTTAGCAGCACTTGATGAAACCCCAGCATCCCGATTACCCAAAGAACAAGCAGTTGTCCTACAAAGTCGTGACAACGAGCCTGTAGCCTCTAACGCTCTCTGGACACCTTTATTACCCGCATGTGTGTCAGTATCTCCACTCTTCCGGCTGAGCCAAGTAGGTCTCAAGCTTTTATCTGCGGCTCGAACTATTGCAAGGACGGTATTAGTTGCCTCATCTGTTCTCCGCAGGAGTTATCGGATTGTTAAAGCTTGGAAACCGAAGGTATGTTTCCCGTAATGCGCTCGGAAGCTAAGGTAGCTAACGGTCGCAAGCAGCCACCTTTTATGGTCAACCATAAATATCTTCCATCAAGACAGCATCGATCAGCCCGGCTTGATGGCGTTTTGTCGGAAATTCAAGAAGCAGCGCCTTTGAGAAAAGATTTCACTCTTGGAACATCGATACCACTAAAAGTGACGAGCCGGCCGGCCACACTAGCAGACAAGCTTTTTGACTGCCGTGTTCAGACAGGAATCGAATCAAACCAGCACTTCATTCCAGTGAGCTCCCTCGATCATTGCTTGAGTGTAAAAAATATACGTCAAGAATTGGGAGAGCTCGAAAGTAGTATGTCGGCAGAAGCGTTCTCGCTCCTGGTCCATCAAATCCACACATCTACGAGGCGGATCTTCGCTATCCTGGTCATTATAGAACGCCCAAAAGAAATCCCTCATTTTATTACTCATGGGATATCTGATAAATGCCTTCCCTACATCAAACCTCTTCAAAATAACTCCTCATCCAGAGACGGTGTCTCAGCTCGGTCTAAGCTCAACATTTTGCTACAATCGTGGCATCCAAGAGATGCTGAAGTATTCAACCAGGTGCAGTGGACTGTGTTGGCGCCTGTTTTTACCCCATCGTACGCACACTACACGTTCTTACCTGAAGTTATTCTTCCGTTCCGTAAAACTGGAACCGATATGCGCGGTGGATTTAGTGAGGTCTGGAAAATCACAATTCATCCCGCGCACCAGACCTTTTTCTCTAAGAATATGAGCCATGGTCAGGAACCGCGTTTGGCAGTCAAACAGCTCTTGTCATCTGATCGATCTAGTTTTGACAAAGAAGTTGAGATGCTGAAGTCATTGAACACCTCAAATCATCCACATATTATGAAGCTGCTTGCCACTTTTAGACATAAGAATAAGTATCATTTAGTCTTTCCTCTTGCTCAAGGAAATCTACGGGAATATTGGAAGACTCACCAGTTTCCTGACGCAAGACCAGCTTCTGAAGAATCCATGAAATGGGTTCTCTCCCAGATGAAAGGCCTTTCGGAAGGTCTTCAAACGATTCATTGCTTCGGCAATAATAAAGGTGGCTTGGGTGGAACAAAAGTCAAATATGGTCGTCACGGAGATCTCAAGCCAGACAATATATTATGGTTTTCAAAAGAAAATCATAAGAACGAGGGCGCTCGTCACTCAGACGGTGTGCTTGTCCTAGCAGATTTCGGTCTCGGCCAGTTCCATCGACGAGAGACTCGATCTAGGATTAGAGCAGAATCTATTGGCGGCTCCCCAACATACGAACCACCCGAATGTGCCTTGCGTAAGCCGGTCTCTAGGGCATACGACGTATGGTCATTAGGCTGCTTGTACCTCGAGTTTTTGACGTGGATTCTCAAAGGTTCGAATGCAATTGACAAGTTTGCTGATGCTCGTGGATCAGCAAATACCTCGGGAATTAACGGCGACGAGTTTTATGCCGTCCTTCCTACAGCCAATGGTGCATTCAATCGGAAAGCTGTTGTCAAACATTCTGTTACACGATGGATTGCTGATCTTAAAGCGCACCCAAGATGCTCTGATGCTATTGTAGCTCTGTTGTTGCTAGTAGAAACCCAGCTTCTCAGAGCAGACTCTGCACAAAGATCCAACATAACACAAGTTGTTTCATCGCTCAACAATATCATAGAGCGAGGGAAAGCGGACCCTAGGTATTTGTGCAAAGATGGGCGCACTATCAGTTCTTTCAACCTTTTACAGCCGATCCCCGCCATGGGTGGGGTACAGGATTCAGTGTCTAGTGCTTACCACAAGGTCAAAAGCCCTCCGAATATTGAAAGGCAGATTCTAGGGAGGAAGACACTCGAGAGCCACCACTTCAACGACTCGGACAAAGAAGTGCAAAACCTTTCTCCCAGCAGTGGTAGTGACACTTCCTATCTGAGAAAACATGGTGACGAATCAGCTGTCTCGCCAGTCGACTTTCAGCATCTGCTCTCAACGCAAAACAAGGACATCACTCCTACCGTAGTGTCAGACTCCCACCGTTCCGCTAAGAGAACGCACGAATCCACAGATGATGATCATACACCATATCACGACTACAAACGAGCTAAATGGCATGCTACGACAAAAAGGTCACCAGTCCCGGCAAAGTCGTGTAAGTCAGATTCGCGGACCGTACCTTCAATCAATGAAATATCGCCGACTACCAAAATACAGATCGTGCATCCAAGTCTGCCAAGAAAGAGAGCAAGTTCGCTACCCTTGGAATATCTAGAGAGTGTCCCGAAAAAGCCAAAGCTTGGATGACTCTACCGTTCACTACCGAGGACTCAATCTTCCAAAACGCACTCAGCCTTCGGATCGAGAATATTTCTGGCGTCGAACTCGCTTGAATGAAGAAGCAAGCCTGTTAGCATATCCGCGTCTGCAACTCAATTACTCCTTACTGTTTGGCCTAGCAGACTCAGCTCCGCTGTCTTACACCCAACTTGATCAATCACATCAGGCAGCATAATTCGGCTGGTACTTAATGCGAACGGAAGAAAGCCTTCAACTGAGGAGACGAAGGCCGTCTTCGCGAGGAAGTCCTCATATGCACACCACATGTTAACATTTTCATGCACTATGGATATCTTGACAAACTTAATGCTCTACACATAAAAGGCTTTACGAAGAAGAAAGGTTCAGTGAACAGCTGAGCGAAGCACAGCCAATCAATCCTCTTACCTTTCTTCTCAGAACGCAAACCGCTCCTTCGGACAGCGTACCCAGTGGTGACTACATCATGTCCTAGGGTATTCCCAGCTGGACGGGCCACGAGGATGGGTCACTGGGGAACGAGGCAGATCGTATCCGTGCCGGAGATTATAATATCGCTCAGGCACGAGATCGGGCTCATACGCTTTGCGGGGTTTAATATAACAAGTCAATATATTTCCAAGATTCCGCCATTGGCAGGAATGCGGAGTTTCGTTCAGCTCGGAAGAACCCGTTGCATGAATACCTCTCATTGGTGATTCAGTAGTGGAAAGCCGTGCAGCACCCTCGCTTAAGCTCGCGTGGAACGCCTTACGAGCTATAGGGCTGCGAGTCTTACTATAAAGACTGTGTCATATCGGTGTTCTCTTCTAGAGTTCTTTTTCATTCGGTGTCACCCACCATGTGGAGAGAGAAGAATGAAAGTTCTCCGGCGACATGAGTTAAGCGAAGGTAACCCATCGACGATCTCGGATGTCTGTCGACCATTCTGCAGAGCTTTTGCTGTATACATGCTGGGATGAAGCTATCGCGGCTTTCTTGGCTTCCTCGTTAAGAGAAACAAACGACACATTTATCGAATTTGTTCGCCAGCCTCAAGCCACTTGCTTCTACTCTTTTCCACAAAAGATATATCTATATAGTACCTATCATTTGGTATTGGTACTGATGCGAGGAGATGAGTTTCGGTTTGTCATAGCTCGCAGTTGGGGATTTTCAGGGGATATATAAGTCGTGGTTTTTACTCATGTCTGCTCACTTCCATCTTGATCAGGACTCATTCCTCCCCGAAACATTTTAACATAACCAACTGGTAAGATACGATCTCTTCATGGTTTCGGATATTCCCTTTCTATTTGCCGATAGTTTGAATGGATTCATCTACATTCATATCAACAAGCCCAGCTATTCTACCAAGCACGGCTAAGGAACATTACATAGATCAGCACAATTACCTGTATCCTCTGAAACATGAGATTATCTTTCATCACCGGAGCTCTGGCTCTCATCTCCAGTGTCACTAGTTTGGCACTACAAGTCAGAGAAGAACCACCAGCTCCCATATCAGGAAGTGGCACTTTCGCAGCTGCTTTACTCGCGAAAAGAGCGAATCCATGGGCAGCACGCCACGGGCTCACCACCGCTCAATACCAGACTGTCGCCAATGATTTCGCTTCCCAAGGATACCGTATCACCTGGATTAGTGGCTACACGATCAACAACGTGGCTACCTACGCCGTCATTTTCGAAAAGAAACCCACTGCAGCATGGGTATCCAGGATCCAAATGACAGCCGCCCAATACCAAAGCAACTTCAACACGTACATCGCTCAGGTATTTCATCCTCCTCTAACTTCCACCTCAAACTAACCCACACCACAGGGCTACCGTCCAATCCTCGTAAACGGCTACAACGTAGGCGGAACAGACTACTACGTCGCCATCTGGGACGCTTCCCCCGCCCCCGGCGCCTGGATCGCCCGTCACGGCCTCACAGCCGCCGACTACCAAACCCAATTCACAGCCAACACAGCAGCAGGCTACTACCCCTTCCACATCTCCGGCTACTCCATCGGACCAGACGCCACTTCCTCTCCACGCTACGCAGCCATCTGGATCAAAATCCCCAACGCCCCCGCCTGGGTCGCGCGCCACGGCCTCACGTCCGCGGCGTACCAGACGGAGACGAATACCTGGGTGGCCCAGAACTACCGCACGAAGATTGTGTGTGGATACCAGGTCGCGGGCGTGGTTTATTATGCGGCGGTTTGGGATAAGAGTGCTGGTTCGGCGTGGGGTGCGAGACATGGGATGACGAGTGCTGGGTATCAGGCGGAGGTTAATACGTGGGTTGCGGCTGGTTATGCTATCACGCTTGTTAGTGGATATAGTCAGAGTCAGAGTGATCGGTATGCTGCTATTTTTACGAAGGTTTAGTGGGAAAACTGAGGTTTGGGAGGTGGGATGAGGTGGAATGGGTTGGTGATTTTTGGGATGGAGATATTGTGTTAGGTTTTGCATTGAGGTGTGCGAAATGTCGGATTGAAATTGATTAAGCGAAAACGAAGTCACTCGTTAGCTGAAAATTAGGAAACAGTATCAAAAGCAGCTGAATCTGTGAACTACGGGATAACTCGTAACTTACGTATGACTCCTCTACACTGAAGCGCCGTTTTCGGGCTCAATATCCTAAGGTAATCACAGCTCAGATGCTAACAGACATCCGTGGACGAAGTGGGAACTGAAATTCCTTCTTGTGATCTTGACGGTGTATCAGCAGGGAGGGAGGGATAGCCTACTCGTCTTTCTCCCCATCACAAACCCATAGAAACGCGGTCGAGAATTTAGATCCAGGTAACCTCACCTCATTGAAGCACCATCGTCGTGTTTTAAAAATAGATACATAATAATCTACATCACACCCACCACCAAGAAATAGTCATAGCATTTCCTCTCTAGATAATAAAAAAACGTGATTTGGTTTCCATGGCTGGTGAGTGTGGTGTGATGACAAGTATTTTTGGGCTTTAGGGGAGGTAAGAGGACGCCCGCTTTCACAATCAAAAGAGAGCTTGTATGATAGATATGTGGAAAGTAGAGCAGCGAGAACGAGAGATTTGTGGGGAATTGGGATTGTCAACAAGGTAGTAATTGTGGTCAGATGGAGACGTCTATTTATTTCCACTTGTACGTTTGTAGTATTGAGCGATCCCCATCGCAATTGGCATCGACAAGTATTTATTTCCCATCACCGTAACTGCCCAACCCCGATCTAATGAAGACAGTAATTTCCGCTTAAGCGGCCGAGATTCTACGCATTTGACCTCCACAATAATCTAGCTTTCAACCTGAATTCCGTCTAACCATCTTGTACTGTGCGCATATTTTCGAAGAAGAAAAGTCCATGATGAGAAATATTGCGAGCGAAATCACGACTTGAAAACAATCGTTGGACGTGGCGAGGATGGAGGGTTGGTTTAATCTTCTGGAACGAACAAAGTACCGTGATCTGTATCCGTATCTTGCATGCCGGAGTCGTGGTTGATAGGGCTGATGGTTCCACGAGGTTCAGTGAGAGCATCGATCTTGGTTGTAGTTGCCGATGTAGCAGATGTCTTTTTGGAGGATTTCTTCTTCGTAGCGCTGTTCTTCGCAAAATTGCCAACTCTTCCAGAAGCAGAAGGACCCGATGAGCTAGACGAGGCAATTTGTCGGGGGACCTTAGGTGCTCGAATAGTGCCGTTCATGATGCCACGGTGGTGATCACTGTCGAATCGGCGGCGATCTCTGCAGCAGAGATTGAGAAACCAAGGTCCATAGTTGGGATGCGTCAAGATCTGAGCTATACTGAGAGGAGAGACGCCTAGAGTTCTGTCGCCGCCGTTGTAGACCTCTCCACGGATCACTATACAAAGTCCATCAGGCCCGAGAAAAGCTCTACCTCGATGAACCCGGCCCTTGGCGATTCTATCATTTCGGGCGAAAACATTCGGGAAATGATCGCAGATGTCTTCACCCAAGAGGAGAGATTCGAGATGAGCCCAGAACAAGATCCCAAAGGCGTGGTCGGAGAAGTAACAACGACGAAGAGGAATGACGAGAAATATGTCTCGGGCATGCCAGGTACCGGGAAGCGGATCGAAGAGAGGCATCTTACGTGACGAAGCGATCCGAGAGGCGAAGGCTTCGAAATTGGAAGATATTGAGTTGGGTACTTTTGTGGATAAGCGACTGAGGAAAAATATGCTCGACAACAACAGACCCACCAAGCGAGTTGAAGGCGCAAATGGCCACGGAGAAGCCAAAGGAACTCGAAAGCTCGATCTTTAAAAATGTCAGCTTGGGATATGACCACATTCAAAAGGAAGATGTACTCACACGCATACAGCACGTCAATTCGTATCAATTAATAGCAAGTGTGGAGGAAGATGAGAGATTCGAAATTATAGATCGCCAAAATAAGACCCATATCAATGGAATTAAGCGATTATCGTTTGGAAAGTTCCACCCGGTTCTTGCGCTCTCGTTGTTGTCACGCTTGAATAAAGAGGGCCTCAGCTTCAACGTATAGATCTGTTCAATCATAAACGTTTGAACAGCAAGAATAAATGGCATGGCAGTGACTGTGCGCACTCTACAGGCCCACAAAAACCGCGAAGACTTTTGAATTTTATCATGATCCTGTGGGAAGTGACGTTATTTGAGAATTGGGAGGATTGAGAGGATTGAAAACCTGCGTGCTGTAGCTCGCAATGGTGATCTGAAAAACAGACCCCTCGCAAGTAACAATTCAGTCTTAATCTGGACTCGTCCAAGGGATTCAGGCCAACAATTGAGCCCAAGTGTCTGATAGATACAGGGTCTGAGTTGCCACGTCCGCCTTTATCTCTTTATCTGATTGATCTGAGAATATCATAGCATGCTTCACGGAGCTGGTGGTGTCGACATCCGATCCGGCTCATCGAACACTGGTCGATAAGACGTATTTGCAACGTCGTGATCTGTAGAAACAACAATAGCTGGGGATCTCTTGACTTGAGGTGGCGTAATTCTCCGAGTGGGACTCGGATGAGCTTGTGTAGGGACCTCAAGGGTATCGCGTCTATGCCGCGGCCTTCCAACATATGCTGATGGCCCCGAGACATGTCTTTCAAGCGATCCATGCTCCGCAATTGGGGAAGTATTGGCACTTTCCCCGGTAGGTGATGAACGGAGAGGTGATCGGATTGAATGCGGCGAGCTTGATCTAGGAGCCATTGAAATACCTTCGATGCCGAGCCCAGAAACGAAGCTACCATTTATGCTTGGTGCTCTCGAATGAGAGAAATGTTCGCGCGCTAGTGGAGTAACGTTCCCGTCTTCATCCCTACTCGGATTGTATTGCGTTCGAATACGATGCAGTGCCTTGTTTCGGTGTTCTTCCCCAGGAATTTCTGGGAAGTCGACGGCTTTCCCATGCTTGAATTCAGAATCATCGAAACGATCAAGGGCTGGCGTCCCTAAATAATCAGCAACAGCAGTCAATCCTTGAGCTACCTTGCGCCTGTTCCCTGTGTCTGTCGTCCATGATCTCCGAGGTTGATGGCTGGGCGTTGGATGACTAATTGTAGGAAACACCGGTGTATCATCAGAGTTTCTGTTGATGTCGTGTGTAGGGCTCCGGGGATCATCGTTGATTCTGAGTGTTACCACAGAGCGAATCGATGGTGTGTAAATATTGGTGTCGACTTGCTGCATTGAGTGATTGCTATGCTGTAGAGAAGCATTCGAGTTGATCTCCTCTTTCGCGTTATCCAGATCAGTCGCAAGTAGCAAGTAAAGAGAACCTATCGCTGCTAAACCAGTACCCACAACGGGGGCCCATTGGCCTTCATTACACACTCATGTTAGTAAATGTCATATTTCCAGACCAAGAGTCAATCACGAACCTATACTGGCTATTGGCTCAGTCTGGTATCGAACTTGTTCGCTGAAGAAGTTCCTTTCTCCAATGACAAGAATTGCAAGAACTGCACCAAAGAACAATGGGATTTCTACAGCCCGAAGCCACTTTCTTATGAATCCGTCAGCCCGCCTCATCTCGCCAATCGTCGCGCTGTCCTGGTCATCGATGACCTCTTCATTTCCTCGACGACCAAACCGGGCCGTCCAGTTGATCTCCAGAATCCTATTCCACATCGACAGCAATGACAGAATAGCAGGGATGCAGCACGCAGCCGATAGAAGTGTAGCGGTCGAGAATGTCAGTCTATGGGGTTCTGGGATGACATAGATATTGTTGGCGGACCCCCCTCTGATGGGAGAGAATGGACCTCGCTCTGTGTCACAAACGAGGCCACACGTGGTATGGTAAGAGAATTTTGATGCGTCGGGCGATACTGGGTTTCCAGCGTCATCAAACTCACATTTGGATGAAGAGAGACGAAAAAACTCAATGGTCAGACTTAACAGACCTAGACCTGGGTGTCAGCGGTCGTAAATGACATCAAGGTGATTAGAACTATGATTTACCACCAAGCACAAGTCCAGTCCATAAGAAAATAATATTGCGACCCGAAATTTTATAGAAGTAGGTTGTAGATAGTCTTACAGCCACAGGAGCTGCTAAGATACCGATTGAACATAATTGGAATGCGCCATATATGTCCATATCAACTGCGCCTGTAATTCGTCAATTTTAGTGACAATCAGTAAACTCGACAAGATAAACATACCTTCAACATGGACCGAAGCTAGAACGATCCCGTGAAGAGCGGCTACCGCAGGAAACAGAAGTGCAGCGGCTAAAGTCGCATTTCTGAGCCATTCTGACTTTCGAGCCAAGACACATGCTGCTATGAGAACATAGAATCTGTTAAAGGGGATAAAGAGTCAGAATTGACAATGAAGAGGTGTCTTTAGAGTTCTGACGCTCTGGGGCACATCTCCCACAACAGCTGGGGAAGCGGGGAACTCACAAAACCCGTGAGCCAGGTCCATATTGGCCAGAGACCGGCCACGCACAGATGACTTTCAAGGTATCATTCTGAGGTGCAACGAGGGATGAGTTTGCTACGTTGCGAGCAATGATACTATTCAGCTGCGAGGTTGAGGATAGAATTGGCATGACCCATGATCATTTGTTGAAGATGTGTCTCTTCAGCGCAGCAGATGTTGGCGTAGATATACGGACGGGAGAGTTCGTGCTGCGCGAGAGGTACACGGGAGGCGAGGAAGCTGACCGAGCCGTCATTTTTAGAGGCATTTTTGGTGACCATCGGAAAAGGTCAAGAACCAGTGTGAAGCCTCATTTTCCATGGTGACTCTGGGTGAGGCTGAGAAAGGAGTCCCAATGTGGCAGGTGGTCAGCAGGGTCACCAGGCATCAATTGCAGTGAGGATTTATGTCAATCTGCAGGTCATAGTCGGAGCTCGCCAAATGCCTCGATTTTGAGTTTCAGATTGAGCGAATAGTTGGATAGAGAAAGTTGATACCTGGATTTCATTGTGATCGACAGCGAGCCGTCTGTCACAATGGGAATAGTCTAAGTGAAGCAAGGATCCGGGCGGGACCTGGCAAATGTCAACGAAGAACTGGCGCAGAACTTGGTGGTTGACAGGCCTCGGCACTGCTTGGCTTGCGGAAAAATGTATCCCCGCTGAAGACGGTCAAGCACTTAGTCATCACTGGGTTTTGCCCTGCCAATCACAAGCAGCACGTGGGGCGCAATTGGGGCTCAGTACGAAGCTTGGATAGAGCTGGAGTACAACACGATGTTTTCTGACACTCAAAATCTTCACATTCATTCTTGCCCTAATACATGACTGCGCCTCTTTCTACTGCGTTGTCCGGGTTTCGCAGTTGGTTCTGAATCCTGCATCTGCATTCACAACATATCTGACAACCAAGATCATAATGACAGTTTCGACCCGGGGACTTGCAACTCCAGCATCATGAGAGTAGACATCTGATGATCTTTGGAAATATATCACTAGGAGTGCGGTCGCTACCGCTCTTGAAGAGACTCATTCCACAGCCATAATGGTCGAAAAAGAACCCATAGATCTTGATACCAGCAAGATCAAGGAATGGAAATCCATTGTGACACTTCTTGTCTTCATCATTACGAGTAAGTTTCCAGGACTGATACGGATCATGCAAAACTAATGCCACTTGCTCATTTAGATCTCATTGTATTATTTCCGTTTCATGTTCCCATCTATATTCCTCGAAAGTTGTCAAATGCCTTTTTGGATACCTGTAGCAGACTTCGGATCATCTCGCCAAGACAAGACCCTCATCATGATCACGAGGATGGCCAACACGAGCAGCTCTCAAGTCTTGTACGACTAGAGTTTCCTATGAACTTTGTCACCGCGCCAATCATAGCAGACCTCTTCTTGCTTGCTATCATAGCCATTGGTCGCAAAGAGGTTCACGATGGCACGATTGGAGCGAATCACATTTCTCCTATTGAGATTATGGCCTTCTTCCTCACCTTGGCTTATATCGCCATCTCAATTGATGCATCTGGACTTATCAGATACCTAGCATTCAAAGTGCTTCAAAAAGGAGGTGGAGTTGGACATAGGCTCTTTTTCTACCTGTATGCATTCTTCTTCCTCTTGGGCAGCTTCATTGGCAACGATCCGATCATCTTGTCAGGAACAGCATTTCTAGCATACATGACCCGTGTGTCAAGTAACATCGTCCACCCAAGAGCTTGGATTTACACTCAATTCGCAATCGCCAACATAGCTTCGGCTATTCTGGTTTCCTCGAACCCGACCAACCTCGTCCTCGCTGGAGCCTTCAACATCAAATTTATCAACTACACGGCTAATATGATCGTACCGGTAATTTCAACAGCTATTATTCTGTTTCCGTTTTTACTATATATTGTATTCGCTGATGAGTCACTTATTCCCTTTTCCATTAAGATGCACGAGCTTTCAGCTGAGGCGCAAGCGAAAGCTCCGGTCAATCCCAACATTCCAAATGCTCGAGGACTTGCAGAAGAGCAAGAAAAGTCTCTTGCCAACGACGAAGAAGGACAACTGTTATCACTCGAAGAAATTATGAATCCGTTTCTAGACAAGGGCGGCGCAGCATTTGGAGCAGTTTTAATGGCTGCCACGCTCGTCACGATTTTAGCTGTGAACGCAGCAAGCCCAGGAGCAGGCAAAGAACGTCCGGTGTATGAGATTACTTTACCAGCTGCATTCATAATGTTTGTATGGGATATCGGTTTCGGCTGGCATCATCGCCGCGAGACTCGAAAAATCGCACAAGACGGCCGGCAGGAAGTTGAATATGCGAGAGCTGAGGCGGCAGCGCTCAAGGAAATGAGGGACGAGGAAGAGGAGGAAGCTGCACGTCTATCCTCGCAGCAAGAAAAACAAGAATCCACCATATCTCAGTCAGATAGCTCAAACGGCACAACCGACATTTCAAACCAAAACGATAAAATTACCATAATAACCGACCACACCACCCCCTCCGACATCGAACTCTCCACCCTCCCAACCACCAAACCCTCCCTCCAAGACCGCATCGCCCGTCACCTCGCCCAAAACCACTCCCCCGCCCCCGCAACCCTCACAACCCTCCTCAGCAAAACCCACCGCTGGTCCCAAGAAACCTTCCCCACCTGCACCGCAGTAGTAGCCCACCTCCCCTTCGCCCTCGTCCCCTTCGCCTTCGCCATGTTCATCCTGGTCCAAGCCCTCGTCACCAAAGGCTGGGTCCCCGTCTTCGCCTACGGCTGGGACCACTGGGTATCGAAAACCGGCACCGTAGGCTCCATCGCCGGCATGGGATTCCTCTCCGTGATCCTCTGTAATTTCGCGGGCACGAACATCGGTACCACGATCCTGCTCTCCCGCGTTATACAGTCCTGGGAGGAAATCCATAAGATCTCCGGGGTGCCGATCACGGATCGTACGTTTTGGGCGACGGTGTATGCCATGGCTATCGGTGTTAATTACGGCGCGTTTAGTACGGCGTTTAGTGCCTCCCTCGCCGGCCTGCTTTGGAGGGATATCCTCGCGCGCAAGCATATTAGGGTTAGGAGGTTGGATTTCGCGAGGGTAAATTTGCCGATTATTGCGATTGCGATGGTTGTTGGGTGTGTGGTGCTTGTTGGGCAGGTTTATGTGGTTAGGGGGGATAAGGGTCATGTACCGATTCGTTAGGAGGGCTTGGATAGGGGAAGGGTGAAAGTGAGGGTTGGTTGGAGAGGATAAGGATATTTCATGGGCAGATGGGTGTTTGTATCTTGGATTTAGAGCGTATATAACTTTCACGACATATCAATCACAAATTGTTACCGATCCCAGATCCACAGCAGCGAGATCCAAGGCCATAACGACACGTGCTACATAGATCCTAGGCATGATTTTCAGGCTGAAGAAGCAGATTTCATGTACTAGAAGATATACTTAAAACTTCTCTCTAGTTCCTCATCATCTTATATTTTAGAATATTTGTATATCTTATCTCTCTTAACCTTCGTGTTCTTATATCCGAGTGGTATCCGATTATCTACACATCACTCTACCTCTAATACCTGTACTCAACCCTCAGACGCCAGAACACCCCATTCCACCAAACCCCGTCCTCGACTTTCTAAACCTGTAGTCTGCAAACACCTATAATGACCCCAGATATATACATCCAGCATCTATCTTCGCAGTCATAAGAGCGACCTTTTCATCACAAAACCACGTGATCATCCCCCCCTTCCCCCTAGACACATGACCCCTAAATGTCTCACACCAATCATTCTCACCCTCACAATCCGTACCACCCACCACAGCCCAACGCACCCGCGGACGCACCCGCGGACGACAAAATGAGTAGCAGTCACCTACCCGCAAAATTTAGACTACTTAACAAGTCGACTTCGAATAGAGCTTCAAGTCTTATTTCCTTAAAACGGTTGACGAAATAGTCATAATGTTCTAAGTTAATCCACTAAATTACGATATCTCGTCAACTCGGTCGAAGAACTTTTCTGGTTCGACTACGAGTACTGCCACTTATTTTTTCCTCCGCGAGACACCCTTATCTCAAGCTACCATACGCATTCCAGAGTACCGAGCCTAATCAGCCTTATCTGCAAGTGCGCATGTCTCGGACCCTTAAACCTGTGAGCCACATAGCCATGCCCAGAGATCATACGCAATTTCACATGTGCGCGCGGAGGGGACAGGTGATAGATGACTGGGGAGCTGTGGCATGAATAAATATCATGGAAAGGCACCTTCAGGCTCTCTAGGTTCGAAGGCTTCTTTTGATTTACTCTGCTATCGAGAGAAAGCTACAAAGATGTACAGAATCCGCTTCACCCCGCCGTTTCCACTTTGGCGGAACCCGTGGTCGAAACCAGAACTCAACACGACCACCATTCCATCACCACCACGTACACGTTCTCCTTCCCCTTTCACGCTCCCTCCACCTCTATCTCCAGCTCGCACCTCCATCCCGATAACCTGCACAATCTGCTCCCATCCCCTCAACACGCCGCATCCCTCCGGCGTGTGCGAACACCCCCTGATTCTCCCCTGCGGTCACACGTTCGGCTCCCTCTGCATCATCCGGTGGCTCGAGAACGAGTCTCCGCACAAGAACTGTCCGGAATGTAGACGGGTGATGGTGTATCGGGTGTGTGGGCATTTGATCCGGCCTTGTTTGGTGGAAAGAGCGCCGGCGGTTGTAAGGGAGGAGAATATGCCGGAACGGTGTGTAGTTTGTAGGGGGGGTGAGGTGGTGGAAGGACGGTTGAATGAGTTGAGGGAACGGAGAGAGAGGGAGCTGGAGGAGGGTGGGGTTTGTGGGTTTTGGGTTGGGCGAGGGGGGGTGGTGAGGGAGGCGTGGTGGAAGGAGGTGGATGATTTGAGGGTTGAGTTGGAGAGGGAGAGGGTGGAGTGGTAGGTGATGTTGGATTTTGAGCGGGGCGGAGTGGTATTTGGACTTGATCGAGGGGTTTGGATTCGAGCTCTTGTATTGGCGTTTGGAGTTTTATACCCATGCATGTTGTGTTTTTCATGATATCTCGATTAGTCGCTGGCCGTGTAGGCGAGTGTTTAGGTGTCGCTGGATCGAATAGCGCTGGAAGACCTGCTTTCACCGCGTTACAATTCGAGGCTCGTTATCTCTTTCTCGTTCGTTTTCATCGTCGCTGTCATCTTTGAATCCTTCCTCCAGATCCCGACTCACTCTCCTACCATCATCATCTCTCCCTCTTCTCGCGTCCAAAGATAACGCTTCTCTTCGTCGCTCATCCACATCGAATAATTCCTCTCCTTCGTTTTCATCAAAATCGCTTCCGCCGTCCTCCGCGCTCACAGTGTAACGATTCTGATTAAAGTGTTCCTGCCACCTTGAAGGGATCAGTAATCCAATAAGCGCGCTTTGTATCTTCTGTCTCCACGAGGTCGTCTGTGTAGAAATCGTATCGAGTGGAAGGTAATTGCTATATCTTCCTCGGTACCGCTTCCATATCGGTACTAATAGATATGAAATTATGAGGTACAGGATGAGAGAGATTATCGCCGGCACGATCAATGTCTGAATTGGTCAGCTAAATCCGCGCACTATGCTCCCTATTCCTCATACCTTAATGACAGAGAATGTCGCACCCATTCTGCCCTGTGTTTCTTCCTCGTTCCCTGCGGAGTTTGGCGCAGGGTGTGGAAGCTGGATTTCCTCTTCAGCTCTTGGATTCCAGCTTGTTGCACGACTTGTGATGGAGCTGAGAGACCACGCAGCGGAAGTGACGCGCATTCGGGCTGAAAGTGCTACTATTGTTGTCGATTATAGACGGCGATGTGTCCAATGATTTCTAGGGAATGACGAACTCGATATTTGTGTCTTATTTGTGTAATTCGAATGGGCGCTTGGTTGGACAATGTCGATGTTGTGTAGAGGTGGAGCTGCCAGTTGAGGCTACTCTTCACTCAGGGTCTCGATCGGTACTTCGCTAATGTCTGGACCCGTTGCTGCATGAGGTTAAAGCGACAGCCAGTATAAATCTGGGTCAGTATGGAATTGCCAGGATTTTTATACTGGTGAATAAAATTGAAAATTAGGAAGTTTTAAAAAAACTCATGCAAGTCATTAAAACCGGTACAAGATCGAAGAGGAGTCAAATATCAAGCAGAGGCTCAAAATGTGATTGTATCTTTCTTCCTCGTAGCCTTGTCATGCCGCTTTCGTAGCCTTCCCCTTACTCTTCGACGGGCACCATTAAAGGAGAAGCCCGCCGGCTGTGATTCCTCCTCCGCGCTAGTTAAAATAACATACGGACCATTAGAAATAACCGCCAGCATACAAATCTGGAACACACTCCTTTGATTCTCGCATCGTCTTTTTGAGTTTTGTTTCCTCGAGACTTTCCCCACCTAGTCAGTGTCATATATCAGATTTTCGCTATCGGTATCGTGTTTTTGTTTCATGCAACTGTGCCCGAGAAACGTGTTTTAGGAGGTGCTGCAGTCTCCCGTTTCAGCCTTTGCCCACATTATTGACCATTTGCCTTTGACAAGGGGTCAATCACAACCGGTCATAGCACAATCATATCTCCATTTCTCCAGATTTCCTTCATCGATTATCTAGCAAGAGGGAGAATATCAACAACATATCTGCACCGGACGAAATATTCGCGCGCCGCAGACGTGCAGTCGAGGGTACGTAGATCTGCACCTGCAAACCGAACCTCGAAAGAAGGGTCGGCGCCTCACCCGTCGAGGAGATCTTTGAACGTCGCAGCGTTGCAAATCGTTCATGCTAACTATTGCCTGCATTGCAGACACATCTGCCGACGACGATATCACGATTCGGACCTCACTTGAAGTGGACAGTCAAGAGGAGGCATGGTTCACAACACGTGGGTAGGAGAACATTGCTGAAGGAGAGAAGAGGAATAAGGAAACCGGCGCACCGGCGCATCGTTACCATCTGGGAGATTGGGATACCGGGCCCACGTATAATACGCATATTACTGCCCGAAACGTTCCAACTAGACTCGTACGATCATGTCCGCAAACGCCGACAAGACCAGACAGTCTTCTGGCGGTAAATCATCATTCTTCTCACGGAGTAGCAAGAAGGACAAACGGAACGCCAGCGATGAAGCAAAGTATCTTGGGGGTGAATTGGATAAAGTGGGATCTACCAGCTCGAGGACTTCACGCCATACAACAAGATCTTCGATCGCGTCAATAGACCGACCTGATTCCCCTGGAGGGGACCAGAGGGGCTTGAGTATGATGGCAGGAGTGATCACATCGATACCTTACGACTCAGTTTCCGCCGATAGCAAATCGCCAATACCTGTTGATTACCTGCCGAGGAGCGACCAGATGCCAATGCGAAAAGAGCCGTTACCACATCATTTGAATAAAGCTGCGGGGGACTACCATCAATACCCTTCGATCGATCCCAGCACAATGCAGAATGGTAGCTCTCATCCAACAGGCCCACGGCCTCCCCCGAATGTTGGCAATGTCACAATGGCGTCAACTGGAGATAGGAGGACGGCTTTACAGCAGTGGGGACCAAGTAGGGGGAGTACAGCGAGCACCATACAGCATAATCCGCGATACGATTCGATCTCAACTAACAATTCTTCTGCGTACGGACGAAGCTCGATCGATCAATCGAGTATGGACTCCAGCACTGAACGCTCAAGTGTTTTCTCTTCTGGCAGCTCCTCGAAGACGGCCATGCCTAATTCCTATTCCAACAGTTCCTTATCACCATCTTACCCACCGAGTGGTCGCGAGTCGCATCGACTTACCAAATTTCCCTCGCCTCATGATTCGAGATTCAGTTCTACACTCTCATTAGGCAGTTCCCATGACTCTTTTAATCTTAATCGGCCTACAGATGACAGAGTGATCGAGGAGCAATTTTTGGCCTTGATGCAAAAACGAGGATGGCACAACCTACCGGATCAAGCTAGACGGCAGATGATGGCATATCCAGCCGCAAAGAAATGGACGCTGGTTCATCAGGATCGATTGACGGAATGGCAAGGTGAACAAAAGCGACGGACGACACAGAGATATACTGGACAGTACGGAAATGCCATGGAGATGATTATGAATGCAGAAGAAGAGGGAACGCCGGAATGGTTCGTGAGGAAAGTTATGGATAACAGCATTTCGGCAAAGCAGTTGCAAAGTCTGGCTGTAAGTCTGAGAACACAACCTATTGGATGGGTGAAGACGTTCGTGGAATGCCAGGGTCAAGTTGCCTTGACAAATGTACTTGGGAAAATTAATCGACGGCAAGCGCAAGGTCCGGCGCCTGCTGATGGTACTACGAGTGAAAAGGATTTGGATCGAGAGTACGACATAGTCAAGTGCTTGAAAGCTCTAATGAACAACAAGTTTGGAGCCGACGATGCGTTAACACACCAAGGCGTAATCGTCTCATTAGCAAGCTCCTTGATATCACCTCGCTTAACGACACGAAAACTTGTCTCTGAGGTATTAACATTCTTGTGCCATTGGGCTGATGGACAAGGTCACCTCAAAGTTATCCAGGCGATGGACTTTGTCAAAAACCAAAATGGAGAGAACGGCCGATTCGATGCTTGGATGCGTGTTGTTGAGGTCACTGTTGATGGTCGAGGAAAGATGGGTAGTCTTGTTGGTGCCAGCGAAGAGCTTAGAAGCGGTGGTATTGGAATGGAGAACCTACTCATGGAATACGCCGTAGCCACTCTGTTCTTGATCAATATGATTGTCGACGCTCCGGAACGAGATCTCCAATTACGAGTCCATATTCGGGCTCAATTTACATCATGTGGTATCAAACGGATTTTGCTGAAGATGGAGGGCTTCCAGTACGACGTTATAGACAAACAGATTGAGCGCTTCAGAACGAATGAGGCTATCGATTATGAGGATCTTCTGGAGCGCGATAATAGCAGCATGAAAGATAGTATAGAGGGCGAGGTCAAAGATTTGAGTGACCCAGCTCAAATCGTCGACGCTATCATGTCAAAAATTCAGGGCAGTCGCACACAGGACTATTTCGTTTCAGCTATGCAGCATCTTCTGCTCATACGGGAGAGCGATGGCGAAGAACGTCTACGCATGTTCCAGCTTGTGGATTCCATGCTTAGCTATGTGGCCATGGACAGACGACTACCGGATCTAGATCTCAAACAAAGTCTGAACTTGACTGTCCAGAATTTACTCGATAAACTCCATACCGATTCGGAAGCGAGACAGGCAATGGATGAGTCTCTGGAAGCCCGTCAAATTGCCGACTCTGCTATGGCTGAGCGCGATGAGATGAAAGCTCAGATCGAACTTGGGGCCGAAGGAATGGTAGCGAAGCTTCAGAAACAAATAGAGGAGCAGACACAATTTATTGAGCTTCAACATCGACAAATAGAGGCTGCGAAGAGTGAGGTTGATAACCTCCAGACTATCCGCGCCAAAGAAGCCCAGCGTAACGAGCTCGAGACGAGAGAATTATATCTCATGCTTCGTGACGCGCAAGACATTGCTGCTTCGAATGCTGCCAAGGGCGCTGCAGCAGGAGTCTTTGATAGTGACCCATCTCATCAAAATGGCATACTTGATCGTGAGAAACTCATGGACCGTCTGGAAATGCAAATCGAGCGTCAAAAGACACAGTTCAAATTGGAAGGTAGAGTTTGGGGCGACGCCGTTGGTCCTTCGGATCGTCTCCGCGCACTTCGTGAGGAGATGGATGGCGATGCAGAGCCAGCTGCTGCTGGAGTCGCCGCACCAGGCAATAGGGACTTTGCGAACAGCATGCTGGGAAGTGTTTCCCGACAGACCAGAATACCACGAAAGCCTGTTCGCTCCTCGCAAGACCAAGAAGCTCTACTTGCTGAAGAAGACGAGGAGGCCACAGTCTATGAAAAACCTCGGATAGTCGAGATGAAGAGGCCAAAACAGGCTCCTGGATATCTAGATGAAATGACCTCAAAGGTCAAGCGAATAGATGCTAGTGATGATGAGGATGGGGATGGTGTTACGACCGGGCCTTCACATCCAAGTCTCGAGTCCGAATCACCGAAAACGCCAAATGATGAGGGTATACCCCCATCGGTTCCTCCAAAGATACCCACTGCACCTCCACCACCCTCATTTAATGGCCCTCCTCCCCCACCTCCGCCTCCTCCACCACCACCGATGCCAGGACAGATGCCAGGCTTCAACGGTCCACCCCCACCGCCTCCCCCTCCTCCCCCACCTCCAGGGTTTTTCTGGTGGTCCTCCCCCACCGCCTCCTCCTCCCCCCTATGCCTGGAACTCCTGGAATGGCTCCTCCGCCGCCACCGCCTCCCCCTGGCAAAATGTCTGGAGGTTTCTTGGCCCAGCAGCCCTCTTATAGCGCAGGTCCGTCCTTGGGTCTTCCTGTTATGAGACCCAAGATCAAGCTGAAGGCTCTCCATTGGGAGAAGGTTGATACTCCTATGACTACACATTGGGCGGCGCATGCACCGACTCTTGCTGAAAAGGAGGCAAAGTATGCCGAATTGACTAGGAAGGGTGTGCTCACTGAGGTTGAGAAGCTTTTCATGGCCAAAGAGATCAAGCAGCTTGGCAAGGGTACTGGCAAGAAGACAGACAAAAAACAAGTCATCTCGAGTGATCTAATGAGGAACTTTCGTAAGCGTCGCCTGTTCGTATTTCGTTCTATTAATCATGTATTAACACAGTTTAGAAATTTCCCTTGCCAAGTTCTCTAACTATCCTGTGGATAAGATCGTTCAAATGATCATACACTGTGAAAAAGAAGTCCTGGATAACTCTGTTGTCATGGAGTTCCTATTAAAGGACGACATGTGTAACATTCCAGAAAATACCACGAAGCTCATGGCCCCTTATGCAAAAGATTGGACTGGACCAAATGCTTTGAAGGAAGAACGGGAAATGGATCCTTCGGAATTGACTCGAGAGGATCAAATTTACCTCCAGACAGCATATGAACTTCACCACTACTGGAAATCGAGGATACGAGCGCTTAGCCTCACGAGATCATTCGAGACAGAATATGACGAGATATCCTTCAAACTCAAGCAAGTTGTCAGCGTCGCAGACTCATTGCGTGATTCAGTGTCACTGATGAACGTCATGGGTTTGATTCTTGATATCGGTAACTACATGAACGATTCGAACAAGCAGGCTAGTGGTTTCAAGCTGAGCTCTCTTGCGCGACTTGGAATGGTCAAGGATGACAAGAATGAATCGACTTTCGCTGATCTGGTTGAAAGAATTGTTCGAACCCAATATCCAGAGTGGGAGAACTTTGTTGATGACATCGGTGGTGTTGTTACTGCTCAAAAGCTCAATGTGGAACAATTGCAGCAAGATGCCAAGAGATACATCGACAACATCAAGAACGTACAAATGTCTCTCGATTCTGGTAATTTGAGCGATCCAAAGAAATTCCACCCACAAGATCGCGTCAGCCAGGTTGTGCTGCGATCAATGAAAGATGCTCGTAGAAAGGCCGAGCAGATGCAACTCTATCTCGAGGACATGGTACGAACATATGATGATATCATGGTCTTTTACGGCGAAGATCCAGCCGACGAGAACAACAGACGTGACTTTTTCGCCAAGTTGGCAATGTTCGTGAACGAATGGAAAAAGTCCAGAGAGAAGAACATCCAACTAGAAGCGACCAAGAAACGGAACGAGGCATCTATGAAACGAAAACACGCCCAACTCAAAGTCAACGGCACATCAGACCCCAACGTGCCTCACTCCCCAAGCTCAACCGGTGCCATGGATTCTCTCCTCGAGAAACTTCGTGCCGCCGCTCCACAAGCACGCGACCAACGCGATCGCAGAAGACGAGCGCGTCTTCAAAACCGTCACCAAGTCCGTGTCGCATCAGGCCAGAAAATCCCCGACCCCGACGAGATTCCTGAAGCCGAAGAGGGCTTACTAAGTCCCGACGCTGCTAGCGAAGGGTTAATGAGTCCTGATACCGTCAAGACCGAGGGCTCAGAAGACGATATCGCCGAACGCGCAGCGTCGTTACTCAAGGGTATGCGGGGCAACGACGGCGCTGAAGATGCGGAAGGCGCAGATCGTCGACGGAGTAAACGCCGCGAGAACGCGGATGAGGAACGGCAGCGGAGGAGAGAACGCAGGAAGAAAGCTAGCAGTCAGAGTGAAGCGCTGCAGGATGGGGAGGGGATCCCAGAGGAGGGCGAGGGCAGTGTCGAGGCTACGACGCCGACGACGTTGGTCAGTCCGCCGAGTCCTGAGGGGAGTGAGATGAAACCTATTGAGGTTGATTGAATGGCTGTACTGTGATTCAACCGTGAAATAGGGAAGGAGTGGCGAGGGGAAGGGGGTGAATATGGAGACAGGCTTGAAGGGGTGGAGGGATACGTAATGTTTATTACTTCTTCGTAGAGCATGTGTTCTGATACCGTTGTGGTGGTGGTGCGTGGTTTAATACATACCCCAGAAGCTTCTTCTTTTAGTTTATATGTTTATATTGGACTACCTTTTTTTCTGAATCGCAACGTCTTGAGGTCCGGGTTAGACATCGCTGTCTTCGTACTGTGCTGTTGAAGCAAACAGAATACCCATATACTGATATGCTTACATTTCTAGATCTTAGAAATTCTGTTTTGGGGAAATTGCAGCGAAATGTCACTCAATTATTAGGGCAGCACTCAGGGAGTTATGCAACTTGTTCATTATGTGCGAGGTAGAATAGCATAGATATAGAGAGTTGAGTAAAACACGAAGCCTGGAGGTAGGTTTTGTGGGCTACCAGCTGATAGGATGTTCAGACTACGTAGGTATACGTTCATACGTAAAGAATAAATGTTCCAACTCTTTGGAGGAGATCTTTCGTCGATACTACTGCAAGTGTAGACCTCAGCAGTTCTGTCCGTCGCCAGCTTCCTCGAATATGTTCCAGGTCTTTAGGCAAATGCTTGAAAACGCATTTGAACACATCGAAAATCCTATAGAGTGCAAGAGTTTTGGGCTTTGAAATTTTTAGAAGATTAACCTTTTGTAACCTGCAGTCTTTGAAAAGGTTTGTTTCTACTATGCCCAGGTGGTTCCTTTCTCCTTCTTGGTTACCGAGACCACGCTTCGTCGCTTAAAGTAGATGTCTACAGCTCATGGACTTCGTCACCTTTGCACACTTCGAAAACTTCAGACGGCCTCATTCTCAGCCCCGAAGCCTGTCGATAAATTTACCGCCGCGATCTTGATTGGCCGATAAATTTGGTTTAGGTTATGAGGTATTGACTTGTTGATATGGTGTGGTGTGGTTAGGCACGAGTAAGTCGATCGTCAGAGATAAACACTGACGGTATGGGGGAGTCGTTCGAACTGAATTTCGAAGAATCTACAAGAACCTCAAAAGTTTTCTGACTTTTTGTAGCAGATTATAGACAAATCGGATGAATCTAATTTGCGACGGTTTGGAGGAGATCGCGCTATTGTTGACAACTGCACACTTCGATTTCTCGCGGATTCTCAAGGCCGCCAAACTCGAGTTTGCTTTCACGGTCTGGTTCAACGTATGCGAGTTTCCAGTAGAACAACCATACGAATCTTTATCCCCTGTCTGGGTCGCGTTTACGCAAATACATAAAGTTTGCAACGAGTCGACAACCCGAGTCAAAGGCTGCTATGGCGATCTTGTCAGGAAGAGCAGATGGATCCAACGAAGTTGAAGTGCGTGTTAAGAGATGGCCGGAGGATACATATTTCGAAGAATATATTAAGACAGGGGATCGTGAGAAAGCGACTGCAACAGCTTGCGAAAGATACATCGTGCCTGAACCTGGGAAGCAGTATATTATTGAGGTGGTGTTAAAGGCGGGATACGACTTTAATTGTCAAGAAGTGAGGATCGAGTTGTTTTTTCCCGGCATCGAGAAAGAAGTCTCGAAGCTCAGAATTTTTTACCCAGGACCCTGCGTTGGTGTTTCACCAGATCGTAAGTACACTTTGATAGGTACGAACAAATTCGAGGTCGATGGAAGGATATCCTCTGGTGCTCGCTTTGTCTTCAACGCTGTCTCTATAGGTATGCTCTATTGTAACCCACTGATTAATTTGCTTCTTCAATGGAGTTGACTGATAGGTAAAAAGATGAAAAGCTGGATGACGAAAGTGACCTGCTGGGTATTATCCCCAAGAGTTTGGCAAGTTTCCAAGTAAGAGTTAGTCGTATATTTTTTGACACAGTTCCAATGACACGCGTGGAATTTCAAAAGCGAATAGAAGAGGAAAAGGAAGAGGCAAGAAGATTCATTCACTGGCATCCCTCTTCAGCTAACATTTATATGGCAGCTTCAACAAATTACTCACGCGAACGGTCCTTGGAACGCCAAATTAGTGGATAAGGAAAGTTACAAAAAACATGGAATTACTAGTACAACAAAGTTCGAAATCAGTCCAAAAACACGTCTATTTTGCTGACTTTATGTTAGGCTTATTGGTGGGAATCAACTGAAACTAGAGAGGAACAACGCATGGATGAGGAACATAATCTACGATGCAGTGCTTAAGTACAACTTTTATCACCGTGGCTCAGGTATGATGAAGCAAGTCTCTTTTTTGGCAAAACGATATATGCTGACATCCGATTAAACTTTATGGATCATGTGAATATTATTCCATACCCCCCACCACTATATACTTTCAGCTGGGAGGCTCTGCAAGATCGAGAAAGAAAGATAGCTTTTCGCGATATACAAGATGCAGTGAAAGAGACAGTGATGGCTGGCGGTAGCGTCACCAATCCGCTCAGTAACCCTCGCGATCATTTACAGTGGGCGTTCCTAGATGTGTGGGAACGAAGAGCAGCATTTATGCGACTACAAGTACATTACTTATATTTTATACCGTGTGGCACGACGCTGATACTTTCCAGGAGTTGTATAAGGAATATCAACGTGGCGAGGTACGTAGCGTAGTTGAGCATGCACCAGCAGCGAGAGTGATCAGTCTACTTGACGACACAGAAGATGGGGTGGATATCGGTCGAAAGGCCGCTGAGAAATACCGCGAATCTTCAGCCTCAATCATTTCTCTGGTGGGTAATGGAAAAGTCCAACACCGTCGACAACCAAAAGAGTCACGATCTCGGCAGCCAAAATCGGAAATTTTTGCGATCAAAGCAGAAGCTGACACACGGAATGGAAATATCCCAGTAGACTTAACTACTGTTACACCAAAAACTTTCAAAAGAGAACATTCTGCAACCCCTATCAAACAAGAGCTCATCGACATCGACAGCATTGATGTATCGAAGATCAAAATATTTCAAGCTTCCACGATCAAGCGAGACTTGGACGACGAGGATCGCAGGAAAAGAATCAAACTTGAAGATTCTGCGGAGTCTGGTCTCCCAATACTCGATGACATCGTAGTGTATGATGATCAAGAGAATTTGAAGCAGGATGATACGGATGCTGAACAGGTTCTACCTTCTACGGAGTCAGAAGAAGAAGCCTTCGCGAAGGAACAAGAAGCTCAGATTGCGGAAATCGATAGGCAGATGGCCGAGCTACAAGCGCAACAGAAGGCGGATTTTGAGAAATTGTTGAGTAAATACTGAACAATGGTCTTCGAAAAGGATTCAGGAATAGGGTGTAGTGTATTATGCAATTTGTGCATCTAGGTGGTGGGGTGATGATTTAAGATGTTTATGGCTTTGCTGATAGTGTGCTCATTTGTAGATCATGGCGCTGATAGCTACGTATAATCATATAAATATGATCAAAGTTTGCTTCCTGTACATGTTCCGCGATTTCTCTGACAATCCATTCCCCTTACATCCCACACGAAATTCTCGCTTACTGAATCACCACTAAGGGACAGGAACTCTCATCACTCAGCTTATGATGACGACATAACAGATAATTTTGTTCAGTGATCGTTCGTAGCCGTGTCAAGATGACACCATCCTTTCGATTTCTAAGCACTTCAATACCAAAAGTCGCCGTGAAGTGTCCGCTCACGTGATTTACCTTCTCGTTCTGCAATTATTGTTGTTTGGATTACAAAAGTTGGAGATGGGAGGAGGTATAAGTATATCAGTAATAGCTCTTTCGCCTTACCCTTTGCTTCTCAACAAGCACATCACAGCGTTGACAGATCAACCCGCTTCCATCTTTCCCAAACACTAACTAACCGAAGCTTAAATGTCAATACCACCACTTCAAGAACGCTCAAGAGAGGAGATTGAGAGATGGATTCTTGATGTACCACTCCCAACCATCTTCTTATTTCTCTCTCCATCCTCTTTCTCTTCCTCTCCATCCATCTCTCATGCCAATAACAGAACCTAGTTCCACAAATCCTCAGATTCCCTCTCAACATCCACCCTCTCCCAATTTTATCGTCCAGATTCGACGCTGCAATTCGGAAATCTTCCTCGCTTCGAGAGGTTTGAGAAGATTAAAAGTTTCCTTGATGGGGCGTTTGAGGGGTTGAAGGGGATTAGGCATAGGCTGATTGATGTTGGTATGTCGACTTCATGATTTCCTTCCCTTCCACGACTAGTGGGTGGCACACTTCTCTGCACACCTAAGAACTTCGAAAGCAGTAGTATAGTCAAATGTTGTGTTTTTGTTGATATCATAGAGGCGTGGGCTATGGTTTGATTGGAAAGAATTTTGTTTTAGATGTTCTTTCGTTGTTTAATCTTGGTTGTGGTTTCTGGCTAAGCGGGAGATTATCACACTCACTGGTGCCTTTTCCTCTAGTTTGCTATTGCTGATCCAGAATAGATATCGCGGGTGATAGGATTTGGATTACTTGTACGATTACGTATGTTGTGAAGGGTGATAGTGAGGGGGTGGAGATTACGATTCCTGCGGCGGGAGTGTTTTCGTTAGTTGCGGGGATGGAGGTGGAAGGAGAGGATGGAAAGGGTGATGTGGGTGATGGGGAAGGTGAAGGGGAGGAAGGGACGTGGAAGCCGATTATCAAGAGATTTGAGTGTTTTTTGGATTTGAGTCCTGTGAGGGAGAGGGGGGAGATTGTTGCGGGGATGGTTGGAGAAGGAGTGTGATGATTCATGGGAGTGTTGAGAATTGTTATGGTGCTGGTGGTGTTAAATATGAACGTCTGATCAGCCTATCTCAAAGCAGTCCTCACTTCCTTTGTATTAAAGACCATGAGCATCTCACCATCGATGATTAACTCTCATCAAGATTCTCTATCGAAGAGATTATACTTCGCCTTCATTTAAATTGCTAACAAAAACAATCTACAACTTCCTTTTCATTCGAGCTGCCTTTTCTTCTTTTGTTCTGAATACCACAATCGTTTGTTTCGCGACAACCATTCTTCTCAAAGCGACTCATAGTTTCACGCTTCACTTTCAGATGTTGGTATTGTTCTTCATTTTCTAGACTTCAGCTTTCGAATGGTTTGTTTCTCAACTATTCTGGTTTATTGACTAGCTTACGCGATCGGAATATCTAGCTCGATCTATCTTGTTCTCAATAGCTTCTTCACATCAACTTTTGATCATCGCAATTACCGATAGCATCGCCTTGTCTTCACAACCCTCCGTTGAGCTTCTGACCTTCTATTCTCTTTCTGGGAATAACTCCCCTGATTTCTCGAGATCGAGGCAGAGTCGACCCAAATTATCTTTCTTCGATCTATATTCATCTCGAATTTGCTTGACCACAGATTTTCACCATATTACATTCCTTCATCACCAGATTATTAAGTTGCTTTGAATTTATTTCACGATTATCTCATACCTCGGAAGAATTACTCAACATTGCTTCAGGACTTTCCATCATGGTGGTGCTCCATACCAGCGATGGTGACATCGAAGTCCGCCTCGTTAAGCTTGATAGCGATACCGAAAGTTTTGAAGAATACGGTTACGTGGATGAGCTAGACTTTGATATTGATTCAGATGAAGCTATCAAGTCAGTCAAACGTTTGATAGTCGCTCAAGAAGTGTGTTATGGTATTGAAGTCACTTTAAAGAAGGGATTTCGGCATGGTATTTACATTGGAGGGTTTTTCCTTAAGCTTGATGATGTAGCTTCGGGGAAGGAGTTTTTCTAGACAGGCATATTTGTAGAATCTCGCCAAGGAAAAAGGTCAAGCAGAATGGACGACGAGGAAGTTTTCAGAATTGAGAAGATTCCTCAAGTAATGTTAGAAGGGGAGGTAAGGAACGATGTCAGCCTTGCATTTCATGCGTTAAATCCAGGTATGTAAGGACCACCACTGAGTAATATGCCAATCTTACAATAGTACAGAAGACAATATTAGCGATGATCTCAACGATGCACAGCTTGGAAGCTTGAAGGTCACGATCGTTAGACTTGGAAAACTTCGGGAAACAGGAGCCATATTATCCAGTCATGTCTCAGTGCCAGACATGACCAAGCGCCGGGACGATACTGGTCAAGTTAATTACAACAAAAGAGGAGTAACTCACGATATTAGGTAAGTCTGTATGCTTATCTCCTGCCATTTTATTAACAGAGGCTAGCTTCATAGGAGGAACGAGCAATGACAAAAGCAGCTTGACAGCGGGCACGACCGTCAAGAATCTTGTTAATTCTGACACTCGTGAAAGCTATGAAGTTATATTCATTCCCAGAGCAGCTAGTAAGAAATGCTTGATTTCTCACATATTTTTGATCATAGCGAGCTGAACAGAAATAGGTTATTTAGAGCAAAAGAATATGTTCGAAATTGAGAAAACCCCAATCGAGCTTCATCATCGGCCTTGGACTTTGGTGCCTATAGTAAGAAAGGAAATGTGCTTCATAGAACTTCAAGTATGCTAAAACATTATATCCCGTAAGCACTGATGTTGTTAAACTACGCTGACAGGACTCTTAGATCGAGGACCAAAGACTCACTGTGGCGCACAAAATTTCTCTTGCTGGTGAGGAAGCCAACACTGAGGAGATTCGAAGACAAATCCTTCATGAGGGTGTTCGCCCAAACAAGTGGCGAAAGTGGAGTCAACTCATGGCGAGGGAGCGACCAATTCTCTACAAAGAACTCCAGGTAAAGATAGCCCTTAACCTTGACATAAATGAAAAGCTGAATTCAACGTAAGCAACGTCTGCAATACTTCTGGAGAGGAGAAATCCCACCAGAAGAACAACCTTTACCAAGCATCCGGAAGGCCCAAGAACGACCACGCTCGCCTGAAGCAGAACCAATAAGAGCTGTTACCATTAAAGAAGAAGAGCCTGAGGACCAAGCACAACCAATCATCCAGAAATCCGGAGAACATCCTCTAGCAGATATCCAAAAGCCCTCAGAACACTCTCGCTCCCTCGAAGCAGAAACTGCAAGTGCTGTTACCATCAAAGAAGAAGAACCAGAAGATCAAGCACCACCAATTAACCAGGAATCAGGAGAGAAATCCGGCTCAGTTGAAGTTGTAGCGGAAAAAACTCTTACCATTAAAGAAGAGCCACAAGAGATTCTTATAGGACCGCCCAAAAAATGGACAGGCAAACCGGTAGTGATCTCATTACTTTCAGATTCCGAACACGAGCAACCAACCTCAAGGTCTAACAATCCATCCACAAAAAGAAGCAAAAGTGCAAAAGCTGCACCACGCATTAAATCAGAACCTACAAACATCCCTTCGTTTGACACGACATCCTCCCAAGCACCTATACCAACCCCAGGAGGAGTCCTCTCTGTCACCAGTGCCGATAACCCAGCCAAACGTATCAAAGTCGAATCCGAGGCATCACAACCCAGTCCAAGCCGAGCGGGTGCTGACACCAAAAGTCTCGCCTCTGATGTGAACTTAAGGAGATTGAAGGACGAAGACGAGGAACTAGAGGCGGAACTAGCTGCCGCGCAGAGAGTCTCAGCATTGCTTGAGAAACGTAGGGAGAAGAAGGCAAGAATTGCGGCTATAGAGGAGGAACGGCGCAGTGTCATTGATACTCCGAGTGTGAGAGGGCTAGATTGAGATAGTTGGGTTGTGAATATGTAGTTGTGATTTGCTGGGGCTTCACCTTACCAACCAAATGGGTAGGAATGGGTCTGGTTAAGGGTTGGCAGCGGTTTCTTGATTCATGACAGAAACTTTTATATCAGACCGTGACTTTGATATCCAATCCATAAAGAATTTCAAATTGTGCATAATCTCAGATGTGATGTGTGTATTGGACTAATATTGGACTTCCTCATCGCTCCTGTCGCTCCTGCCTTCGTTGCTCAAGCGAGGGAAGCTAGCCACTTGTTCTGGAAGGTGACCTCCTAGAACTTCTTTCCTCATGTTTCCATCACTTTCTCTACAATAAGCCAACCCAAGAAACATCTCTCAGTTCCGAGTTCGCTTTCGAGGATTTCCTTTGGTTACCAACAATAATTGTTCATCAAAATTTTGTCACCGCCAGAGATACAGATCTGCTTCGACATTTTGACCTACCATTAGTACTTCGTCCTCACCTTTGTCTATCCTATGCTGTTCATACAGAATCTTGTCATATCTCCGAACATCAATTGATATTCAAAAACACAATTCGATCACCGTCAACTTCACAGCTGGCCATTTTTTAGCTTCAAGATATCGTGTTGACATCAACGTTCATGTTTACCAACGCAACGACCCAGCATCACTGAGCATCGATGCTCACGGCCAAATTATCTACTCCAAACATTCCTGCACTGAATGTACTCCCAACTCCCAAATTCCAGCCTCGATTGTCTCCATCTATTCCGAAGACTCACTTTCCATCACAATTCATCTAGCAACATACTTAAATCACCACCTATTCAAATATGGTATTGTTTCCAGCGGACGGGGGCCTCATCGAAGTGCGACTTGTCAAACTCACCGGAGACAATGCAAAAGCCGGCTACTTTGAGGAATATGCTTCTATCAAAGAGCGGGACCCGTTTGACGATGCGAAGGTTTTTAGAAGACATCGTTCTTCAGATGACAAAAATTGCATCGTTGACGAGGACTTAATTGGCAATGATGAATCTGACATTGTAGGAGGCCTTGATGGAAATGCTTCACATAATGGGGACAACTCTAGCCAAGGGGCAGACAACGGTGATGGGCAGGACACCAATAACGACGATAAATCCGATGGCCTATCAGAAAACGTCGGGGAGAAGAAAACGCCAGGTTTAGAACTAAAGCGTTTCATTGTGGCTCAAGAAGCATGCTATGGCGTGGAAATTACCTTGAGGAAAGGCTTTTCACATGGTCGTTACTATGGAGGCTTTACCTTGATTTTAATAGATTTAGAGAGTGACAAAGTTCTCTACAACGAACGTATCTTTGAGAAATCCCTCCAAAGATCGTACAGAGCGCTTGAGAAACACGAGCGATTTACAGTAAAAACACTACCTGCAGGAATTGTAGGCGGGGAGTTAAAAGTAAATGTTGCGCTTGCTTTTCACGCAATGAATCCAGGTATGGTTGAACTGTACTCCATACCATACTTAAACCACACTTACATGAAATAGATGAGAAGTCAGAAGACTCCCAAGATGTTGACGTATTCGCCGGATTGAGAGTCCAAATCCACCGTTTCGGACGAATTCTGGCGCAGAAGCCCACAATGTTTGAACTTGACGGTATGACTAATACGCATCAGAACATTGCACAAAAGCTCCACGGCAAACCTGGAATAACAAAGGGGCTAAGGTATGGGCTTGTACTCAACAATCTATGCTTTTGCTAATTGCAGCAGTCTGAGTGGTGGGCATAATGTGGAAGACGAACACGCAGCAAGACGTCGAACACCCTATTACTGGATTACAACGGAAATTGAGCAGACTTTAAAAATCGATTACTTTCCCAGGGCGGCTGGTAAGCAAAATCAGAATTTGTTGAAATATGTAAGCTCAATTTAGACAGATTACTTGGAAAGAAACGGGTTTGAAAAGACTCCGATAAAGCTTGAGCGTCGACCATGGGATTGTTTGAGCGTGGAGGAGAGACCAGGTTGCTTTCGAAAGCTTCAAGTAGGTTTCATCAATTCACGTGTAGTTCCCGATAATTACTAAAACAGACAAAGCTGGAAGATCAAAGGCGCGAAAGAGATCACGAAATTGTACTAGCGGAATTAGAAGCCCATACTGGTAGAATCCGGGGACGAATACTGGACGAAGGAATATGTCCCAACAAGTGGCGCTCCTGGGCCTTGCTCATGAGGCGTGAGCGACCACTTGTATTTATGGAGCTTCAGGTAATTGCGCCACGACATACGCTCTTTGACACGACCATAGACTAACAGGTTTATAAGAAGCGTTTGCGTTACTTCTGGAAGGGCGAAATTCCACCAGAGGATTTGCGCGAGATTAAGCTCCTAGAAAGCAGGAAGAGACAAGCCACCTCTGGAGAGAAGCCAGAAGTTTATCATACTGAAAAAGAGAAGCAAGGAGAAAGCAGCGGCCACGGACAACCCGAAACGATATCTTTGCTCTCAGATTCAGAGGACGAACAAATATGTTCACGAACAAAAGCCCCATGGCAACAGCAACAATCGAAGCAGAGCCTACAGAGATCCAAACAGTCGAACATGTAGTACCTTCACTACCGGCTCCCAGGAGAGCAAACTCGGTCATTGACGAACAACGCCCAGCTAAGCGTATCAAGCTCGAGCCGGCATCGAATAATCAAATGTTTCCCGTTAACCTAAGTCAATTCAATGCCAATACCTCAAGCTCCTCCTCCGAGACAAATCTGAGAAGATTGAAGCAAAGAGCTAGAGAGTTGGAGGAAGGACTTATTGCTGCGCAGACAGTTGCAGATATGCTTCGGGCGAGGAATGAGATGAACGCTAGAATTGCAGCGATGGAGGAGGAAGAGGAGAGGAGACCTTCTGATGGAAGAAGTACGATTGGATGAACTGGAACATGATTGCAGATTGGTGAATGTTAGCGGTTATGAGTTTTTCGAGATTTGATCGCAATTTGATCATAGGGCGATATTTCACAGAAACGGAACAAGAAGCCTTGATTTGGCGATAAGATCATCGATTGTCTTCAATGATGAACTTGGTTTGCCGCTGAGTTGAGGATCTCGAGATATCACTGGGGATTAGCAGGCATAAAGCTTTTATTTCCACAGCTAGATGATATCACAAAAATTCACAAAAGCGATGCAAGAGAAGCTCATTGCATAAAAGTCCCTTCAAGGTATTCATATTCACTGTAATTATCATTACCCAACCCCTCCCCCCTCTCATCCTCCCCCCTCCACCACAATCCCCAAAATATCCCCCCAAAAACACCTCTACCTCTACCACCAAACCACTCATCTAAAGTCGGACCTCACGGGTATTCTTATCACCATGCTCCACATGCGACACCGCAGCCGCGTTCTTGTGGTCTCCATGTGGCACATTTGCCGTCGTCTCGTGGATCTCAACTGGAGCGCGGTGAGCCTCCTCATCAGCAATGTTCTTCTCCTTGACCATGTCCGTGACGCCGAAGAGGTCGTCCATCCTGTGGTATTAATTAGCATGATTTCCTTTATAAGATAGTATGGATGGTGGGAAGTGGTGGAGGGGGAAACATACTTCTCCAAACTCAAACCCTTCGTTTCAGGAACGAGGAACCAGACGAAGAAGAACATGCTAAAGCAGAACGCGCCGAAGATGAAGTAAGTGCCGTATCCATTCTTGCCGACATTCTTCAGCATATGCGGCACCGCCTGCGCGACGACGAAGTTGAAGAGCCATTGCGTGGACGCGGCGATAGCGACGTTCATGGCGCGCAGACGCGCGGTAGGGATTTCAGACACGATGATCCAGCAGCAAGGACCCCATCCGAATTGGAAGAATGCGGCGAAGAGGAAGATGCAGGTGAGTGCGAAGTAGCCGACGGCGGGGATGGGCTGGCCTTTGACGGGTGGGTTGAAGCGGACGTAGAAACCGATGACGAACATGGCGAGGCCTTGGGCGATGGAGGTCCAGAGGAGGGAGCGGCGACGGCCGAGGGAGTCGGCGGCGAGAAGGAGGAAGGCGGCGCAGGTTACCATCTTGACGACGCCGTAGATGCCGGTTGCGAAGAGTCCTTTTTGGGCTTCTGGAATGCCGAGGTTGAGGAAGATAAGGGGTGCGTAGTAGTTGATGGCGTTGCTGGTGAGTGTTAGGAGAAGTGAAACGTGAAGAGAGGGCTAGATTAGAGAAAATGGTGACTTACGTTCCAGTCATTTGTTGACAGACCATAAGACCGATAGAGACGAGAGCACGCTTGCGGTTACCAGAGATGAGCCACATTTCCTTCTGGAGATCCCAGAAACCGGCACCGCCAATCAAAGCACGCTCGTTCTCGAGTTGTTCTCTCATCTCATCAAGTTCCATCTGGACGTATCCGTGGTCTGGTGGCAAGCTTCATCTTGTTAGAAAGGCTCCGAGAAGGTATTCACGGGATATAGCTTACTTGCGAAGTCTAGCCAAAACAGAGGTGGCCTTCTCCCAGTTGTCGGCGCGGGCGAGCCATCTTGGAGATTCGTTGCAGAAGAGAATACCGATGAAAAGGCATACGGCTGGAAGACCTTGTAGTGCCAAAGGGACTTGCCATTGAGCATTGCCCTTGAGGTTTCCAAGTGTTCCCTGTGATGAATGTGAGCTCGGTCAGTTCGTACAAGATGTTTGAAGCTTACGTAGTTGACCCAGAAACTAAGCATGACACCAGTTGCGATGAAGAGTTGATAGATACCAGTCAGACCACCACGGATTGCTCGTGGCGCGTTCTCACTGACGTATAATGGCGTAAGCATACTAGCAGCTCCAACACCGAAACCAGCGATCAAACGACCGACGTAAAGTGCAGAACTAGACAGATTAGCTATATTCGATTGTTTCATCGTCAGAAACCTTACATGTGTCCATCTGAAGCTGTCTGAATAACAATTCCAGCAATAGCGATACCAGAAGCAACCATCAACGAGGGCTAAGTTTTCATTAGCACTAACTCCTAGGGTCGCTATCTGGGATTCCTACCTTGCGGCCAAATTTATCTGCAGCCCAGTATGCGACGAGAGATCCGAAGAAGCATCCAGCTTGGAGTACACTGACGACTGTGAATTATATTAGCGTTTTCTCATATGACTAAATCGACTCAGGTACTCACTGTTGCTCTGAAGATTGGCGGCGGTCTTTGGGGTGATTCCGTACATCCTAAATTCAGTTAGCATTTGCATGCCACTGACTTCAACTGATATTGCCATACTTCATGAATGTGGGCATGACGAGAATACCACCAATGGAACCAATGTCTATCTGCATGTCAGCCTATCAATCGCGAACGAGGGGGGAGCTCGTCTAACCCCATCCGAACAACATGCCACCGAAACAGGCACTGGCAGATAAGAAAAAGACCTTCCATCCTTCGAATATGTTAATATCGGTTTTGAGCAATTCGGAATTCGAGAGTTACCGTAGATTTGGGGAGGGTCGCTGTTGTTGGATTAGTAATAGGCCAACTGATACTTCATAGCGAAACTCACTTTCTCATCGCCTCATTCTTGACAACCTTCTGGAGTAAACCCATCTTGATGTTTTCTTTCGAACGTCTCCTAGATTCTTTGCGTAGTGAAGTTGAGGAGATGGTACTTCAAGACCAGTGTTCGTGAATAGGAAGAGGTTGATGGAGGGGAGGCATGGGATAATATTTATTCTCAGATTCACCCACTGGGTCAACGGACAAGACTACCCACATCGAGCTCGTAACAGGGAAGCACTCGGTCGATCCTAGTGCAGAAGAGAATAGAGTTGATCTGGATAATGCCTGCTGGAGAATACCCATCCAATCAAGGCGCGGATAAACGTCGACCCCAGCGACTATAGCTCGCCGGAAAAAATGAATTGTAACCCACGTCCCCTCGAAGGTTCCCCGCTTAGAGTGAACGCAAGACGGACAGATGCACGTACAGGATATTGTGGGACGACTGAATTGAGATGCTGGGGGTGATGGGGCCCTCCACACTCCTCGAGCAGCTCTGGGGTATGGGGTCCGGGGTACGAAGGCGAATCGGCTCGTCAACGACATCCAACGACCCAAAACCCGCGCCCAGAGATCTGGTCACTCAAAGCGTGGTGTTTGATTATCAGGTAAATGAAGCAGCCACTTCTGTGCCTCTTCTTGGTATTCGAATTCTGATCACGGCTATTGATGGAAACAATTTTCCTGCTCTGCGAAGCTTTACACGTGCTGTCTGGGCAGGAATGCCATGTGGCTTTAGTGGCTTCTGCCGTGCGACAACCAAGACAACACCAAGACAAAACCAAGGCTGATTGCTTTGAATTCAATTATCCACGAACCAGAACACTGGAAACATTGTACGCAAGAAGTGAGAAGCAGGAGTGTTGAAAAATCGCCAATAAATAAACTTGGGATGCGCATTCTGGCCACAGCGCTTCGAGAGATACTTCGGAGAAAGCAACAGACTGAACAGTCTGGCCACCGAGCAGATTCCAAGAGATGCGAAAAGGAAATAAGCCAAGAGTGACTGCGCACTTTGTATCAACTCACGAATGAACCAGTGTACGACTTTATCGACGGAAGATTTGTCAATAATCCCATAATACCTGAATGGGCAATATTTGAAATGCATTTTGAGCGCCAATTTGTGTAACTCACTCTCAATGGCGGGAGTTTCTGATGCGCCTCATGTCTTGAGTATCTCGCTCTTCAACCAAGCTGGAATCAGTGGTTTCTTTTCCCACCCATCAAGATAGCTGGATGCGGCGACTCCTTCTTTCGATGGCTTAGCATAGATTCCAGTGATGTACCAAGCAGTCTCCCCTTTCTTAATCGTGTGCTGCAATGTTGGAATGACAGTTCTAGCTTCCACAATGTTGGAATTTGGGTCCGCATTGACAAGCATTGCTATACGCGGGCTATCCACGTCCAGATCAACAATTCCCACAGCACCTTTGGATACTGCAAATGATCCGACTGAACCGGGCGAGCTACCCTCGGGAGAATTTAAATCATAGTTGCCAATGATCTTTGGCATCGTTCCCTCGCAAATTTTCGAGTCGTAGAGTTCTAGATATCGACGATCGAGCTTTCTCTCATTGTAGATCGCAAACGATCCGTCAGCTGTCATGACTTCCCGACCCGCTTCAATTTTGTGAACTCGCAGATGCCAATTTGGTGTTGATACGACAGGAGGAATTAGATAGGTTTTGATCTTCACGTCGGGGAAGGGTCTCCAGATCGACCTCAGCACAGGTAGCTCCTCATACGTCTCGATCACAGCTTCCTCACACAGCCTCCGAGTTTTCCAGAACTCGCCACCATCGTCGGAAAGTCCGAGTTGCGAGGCGAGTGAATACTGTTCCAAAGTGAAGCAACCTGTTGGGACTGAATATCCATAGGCGCTGCTGTATGCAAAAGCTCCATATTTTGCGTGCGTTCCCTTCATTGGATAACCGCAAGCCTGACCAGAAGAGAGTAACAGACGGTGGCCACCGAGATAGCTGATTATGTGTCCTGGATGCTTCAATGGTTTTGCTTCCTTCACGAGGTGAGTTGGGTATGGCTCTTCTTCTGATGTCCAGAAAGGATGATCTTTAGGGACTGCTAAACATATGAATGCTAGACAAGCCCACATCGGGCTTCCAGGAGAGTTGTAGTTTTCGGCCATGTACATGTTGGGAAAGGTATAACCAATTGTCAAAGTACCTGTTGGACTCCAGATATCATCTTGCGTCTGCCACCAGCGAAAGTTTCTTAGCAACAGTCCTTTGACGATTCCCCAAGTGAGTGGTGTTGGCAATTCCACATCAGCATATGCAAGAGCACCCCAAAAACCTGCCATTGCAAATCGATAACCAACACTTCGACCGAATGGGATTGCTCGACCTTCCTCGTCGAAATAATGTATAAAGTCCAATGCATAATCTTGAGCTCGTTTCTTGAATTCTGCTGCTTTGACGGGATCGTCGTCACCGGCCAGTTTAGCATACAGCAGTTGGAGGAATTGAATAGCAAAACTCCCACTGTAATAATCCTGCTGCCATATGCCTTGCGGGCCATCATTCGACCAGCCCTCCCCACGGTAAAATCCATTTAGGTGTATAATATCCTGCTGAATCTTCTCTTCCGAGTACTTCCCCCCATTCTTCTTCAAACCCAAATTTGCGAAAACCCTGAACCAAAGCCAATTCGTGTTCGGCATGTTCTTTTCATTTATAGAATTCCCCAACCAATTCTCGACATTCGTACGCTCCTTTTCGGATAGCGAATCCCAGAATACCGGTGCCACAGCGAGCGTAAATCCCAATGGACACATCTCCACCATTCGTTGATCATTATCCCTAGGCCATCCCCAAAACTCTGGACTTTCCGGATCCGTACCAGTTTTCAATCCCTCCACAAACCACGAAGTGCCCTCATATTCTCCTCCGCCTCCAAGCAGGCCTGCGAGGCCCCACATAGGTCGACATATCCCTTCGATTTCTGCCGCTTTGTTGTCAAATCTTACTGCTGTACCGCCCGGGACGCGTATCGTAGTTTTCAGCGGAGAGAAATGCGGTTTCAGCGGATCTAGAATCGTTTTGAGGAGGTCCTGCACACTCGTCCTATCTGTGATGTTGACTTTCGAGAAGGGATGTTTGTCACTATATCCTAGGACCAATGGCGTCGCGTCTTGCTGTGTAGATGAAGCCATGATTTTTCTTGAGATAAAACAATTGAGAAAAAGGATTACAGGTCAATTGAACATGGAAAAACCAAGGAAACCGAACTTACTTGATTGACTATATACAACCATAGGTATAGTGGGGTATCAGCCATTGAACTGCAGTACCTTGCTGCAGAGGTGTTGTTCCATAGTGGGGTGTTCTGGGTGAATGGCAACAAGTGCCGGAAGTTTTGTGCCTAAATACAAGTTCGTCCTGCACCCTGCGCAAGCCTCCGAGACACATTGATTGCAGCACTCTCAGAGGCACATGATCCGAATACCGAGTGGCTGATTGGGGGCTTTGTCCGGCTGCTCTACTGCCTTGAAAGTTGCAAAAGATTTGGAGAACATTCAAGCGATGGAAGTTGAAGTTTGGAAGCAACAAGGGTTGGAAGTGACAAAGTGTGATAAATCGTCACGTGATATTTATATTCATTACAGTAAATACAACAAACAGATCCAGAAATTTGGACACAAGGTTGAATGTGTGACCTGGGATATCTTTCAAATAGCAGCCTGAGCCCGATCACCCCGCTCAATACAAAAGAAAGGAAACCACTATTTTGGAGTCTTTGCAAACTCCTCGATGAATGCTGCCAGCTTTTCTGCACCTGTAAGAGGTATCGAGTTGTAGTTGCTAGCACGGATACCACCTACACTTCGGTGGCCTTTCAGACCAGTAAGACCTTTCTCTACAGCTCCTTTTAGAAACAACTTCTCCGACTCGTCGACGGATTCAAGCTATTACAGTCAGCTTTTCGACACCCGTGTCAGTGTGATTCAAAAGAAACTTACATGTGTGACTCGGAAGCATATATTCATCCTTGAACGAGCATCTTTAGCTGGAACAACTTTGAAAGATTCTGGATGGGCATCAAGTGCTGCGTAAATGAGTTGTGCTTTCTTATCCGCAACGGCTTGTTGGCCGTCGACTTTATCGGTGAACGTTGCAAGCAAGCTCTTCAGTACTTGGCCAGCAATGTATACACTGCAAAAAATCAGTTAAACAAATTCGATCCGCTTATACACATTACTTACTCGAAAATGCTGAGTGTATTGTACAGACTGTTATTCTTAGCGATCGTCTCGTACGACAGAACGATTGGTCCAATTGGCAAACCGAGCTTCCGTAGAAGGGTTGGAGCAGGTGTGCCGACAACTGGCGGCAAAAGATTCTTCTTGATAATAACAACCGTGATACCCGTACTTCCAAGATTCTTCTGAGCTCCAAAAAAGATGAGAGAGTAGTTTTTGATGGGTATACGGCGAGACAGAATATTTGAAGACATATCCGCAACGACCAGTGGAGAGTCATCTCCGTTTGGCTCCAAGATTTTGGGAAACCCTGGGAACTCGACACCATCGACTGTTTCGTTATCACAGTAATACACCATTGCTGGGTTTTTGGAAAGTTTCCATGAACTTTCTTCTGGGATCTTCCCGAATTTACCATCGTTGATCTTTCTTGCGTCTGCAACCACATTGACATGTTCTGCGCCAACTAATCGAGCTGCTTCCTGACTGGCCTTCAATGACCAGGACCCGGTAACGACGTAATCAATTTTGAGTTCCTCATCGACGGCCTTTTGCAATTGCTGTACAAGATCATTTTCGGGTATTTTGCTTTCCTCTACGCCCAACTCCTTCAAGATCTTCTGTTTTCTTCGCTCCACCCAGACATTGACCATGTTGTAAACAGTCGCAGAGAACTCCCCACTTCCACCACCTTGCATGAATAGTATTTCATAGTCGTTTGGTACATCGAGGTATTTCGCTAGATCGTCTTTTGTCGTATTGAGAATTCCGGTAGCAAGCTCTGAGCGATGAGAGTGTTCTGCCAGTCCGAGTCCAGTATTGTTGTAATCCACCAATGAAGCAGCTGCAGTTTTCAGGACTTCTGTTGGCAGCAGTGCTGGGCCGGCACCAAAGTATGTGATCTCTTCGCGGGAAGGCATGGTTATTAAATTCGAGTGCTGGGTATATTCGGGTCTGTGATTGAAGGGATTAGGACGGAGGTCGTTTGACAAAAGTTTACAGGATGTATCGTTGGCCAGAAGCGGCTAAATCAACGAAATAATCCGCAAGTTGGGACTTCATTTTAAATGTGTTGCCAATTCGCTCTCCGGTCCCGGACAGGACATCACTTAGTACATTGTATGTGTAGCTCGTGGGGGTGGAATAAAAATACCCCTCATTGTGGTGTAACACAGCGAGGAGCTCAAGGGGAAATGAGAACTTACAAAAGCAAAGCTATCAGAAGCCAATTGTCGGTATGAATACAAGAGAGAGGTATTTCAAAAGAAAAGAAAGCTCATTCCCCGAATGTCTTTTCGAAAATGAGTCAATCGCCGTGACAAGCTTCCCCAGACTTTTTTCAGGTCATAGTGGGGTTGTTTTAGGCAGTGAATCCCCGAAGATCACCCTACAAGCAGCCTTGCACTCTCCCTAATTGCCGAGATCTGGAACAACTTCACACTCCACAACGAAATCTCCTTCAGCCTCGCTGTGTTCTTTGCGTGGCTCCCGACGTTGTGCGAAGATGTTTCAGACCAGTATACCGATCGAGTAACGTTGTCGCTGGCTAGCGGGCTATAGAGCACAGCATGGCGGAACGTAAAATGTCCGAGGCTGGTCCCTCGAAACTTGCTATTCCCCCTCCATCATTCCGTACGTGATACTCTCTTTAAGCCTGGACAATGCTGATCCGATCGCTAGCAACACACAATTCTCCTCGAGTGTGGTTCTTGACTTCCTCGCTGTCACCATTGGCGGTACGCCTAATCAGATTACTCCTCGCTCACGGCGATTATGTTGCAGCTGGACTTCCACCAGCTGAGATCGAGGATGACGAACGGAGCGCAGAATTCCGAGAGTTGATAAATGAATGCAAAAGCGGAAAGAGAGAAAAAGAGGGATGGAAAGACAGAATAAGAGGAATTCGATGTGACGGTAGAATCATGGGACAATGCGGGGCAGCAGTTGCAGAAGCCGTCGAAGTATTTGGGAGAATTGATATACTGTTATGTTGTACATCTGAAGGTTAGTCTTCTCTATTCTATATTAACATCGCTGTCTGACAGTACAACAGCGGTTGTGGGGACTGTCGAAGAGCTCTCAACTACTGCCGCAACACAAAACCTCGTCCGGGATCAGTTTGAAACATTGTTTTTCGGACAAGTGAATTTCATCAAAGTGACACTACCACTACTTCGGGAACGACACAATGGCCATCTTATGATTCTGACCGGAATAGGAGGCCATATTGGAACGCCTGGCATGCCTATGTTCTCCGCTGCGACATGGGCATTGGAAGGTTATTGCGATTCCCTCGCCTACGAAATAGCGCCATTCAATATCAAACTCACAATTGTGCAACCCAACAAGGAGATATCAGTACTCACAAATAAGATAATATTTGCTCCCCAACTGCCTCAGTACGAAAGCCACAACAACCCAGCTCCTGGACTACGAGATATTCTCACAAATGTTGTAAACATGAACCCTGAAACACGGCTCGAATCTCAGCCAAATTCACCCGTGGAGGGCCAAGGCAACTCTGGTTATGGTAAAATAGAATCTCGATTTCCGCGTCTTCCGAGCGAAGCTAGGGATCGACTTGTTATGGAGACAGTCCACGCACTGACTGCAATCGGTGGCCATGAAAATCCTCCAGCACGGCATATTGTTGGGTTCGAGGGGGTTGCCAGTGTCAAAGAGAAACTAAAAACTGTCAGCGAGGAGCTCGAAGACTTTGTCGAAGTCAGCTGTGCCGTGGATATCTTTGCTAGTGATGTTGGCAGAGCAGCATTGAGTGGAGGCAGTAAAATTGATGCACCGAATGTTGTCCCGGGAAGAAGTGATTCTGCTGGATGAGACCAAGCTGTTCTATACACAACAGTGGATTGAATACTCGAAAAGTGAAAACATGTTTATTTCATATCAATGGGCTTAGCTCATCCTTGACGACTAAATGGTATACTACAAACGCCAGTACTCGCAAATCCTTCGACCGGCGCCAAATGACATCCTACTCTATCCATAACTCCATAATCACAAACCTGGATCTAACAATGCCAACCATCGCTTCGCTTTCGCAACTGGCCCCTCAGGAACGCCTTCTTGACCAATAGATTAGAAATCCTATTCTTCAACGTCCTCGGCAGCATTTCACCCTCGACCCCAAGCACCTTATATGGCATGATCCCACACATCTCCAGGACAGTACCGGTAATCCGATGTTCAACATCTAGCGATAATTGGGTGAAAGCATGTCGAAAGCTAGTCTCATACATAACAACCAAATTCTCTGGTTTCAATTTTTCCACTTCATTCACCCAATGCGCACCAACACACTCTTTTGGGCAAAACGAGAAAACCACTATACCCTCGTCATCGATCCCAGGGATGTTCTGTGCTCGGATAGCAATTTCGATGTCTTGGGGATGAAAACACTTTCCTCGCACTGTGAATCTCTCTTCGTATCGCCCGTCGAGTACAATTTGGCCTTGGTCATCGATCCGTGCAAGGTCGCCGGTGCGGAACCATCCGTCTTTTGTGAACATGCGAGTCGTCCGATCTGGGTCGTTATAGTAGGTGGTGAATACGCAAGGGCCAGACATTTCCAACATACCGCTTTCGCCGAAGGGAACGGGATAGTAGTCTTCGTCTACGATGCGGATGGTGACGGCGTTGATCGGCTTACCTATCAAATTCTGAACTTTGGTTCCACGCGTCTGGGTGTGTTTTAAGAAGAGATTTAGATCCAGGCTATCGTCTTTGATGGAATATGTAGAGGGTGTAATGATGTTATATACCGCAGGACCGCAGAATTCTGTCATCCCGAAACCTGGGCGGAGAAACTTGGCAGGCGCGCCATGCTTCGAAAGGAGTTCAATCGCTTTGTTGTTGATCGTCTCGGTTCCTAATGTCCCTTGCGTGATGACAGCCTTGAGATTCGAGAAGTCATAGACTTTGTTCTCAGGATGAAACGGGCTTTCCTTGAGCTTATCATGTTTCTCCAACACGGCAACCATTTCCTTTAGAAAGAAATTCGGAATATAAGTGTACGAAACATGATACCTCTCAAGCGCTTCCAACAAGAGCGAAGGCTTCGCGATCGTGATATCAACCGGAAACAGCACCTGTATCGCACACAAGTACACCGCGTGCAGATGTATCTCCACCAAATGAGAAACATGATCGAAATAACTCCACGCCAGAAAAATATCCGTCTTGCCCGTCCGATGCATCTCCAACTTCCCCTTAATCGCCGCCACGATCTGGCCGCTCGTCAAACATATCGCCTTCGCCTTCCCATCGCCGCCTGTTGCTAACATCAACACCGTCGTGTCATCTGCGGTCTTCACGAACCCGGGCCCGACATCGCTGGAGGGGTGGTTGAATGGTCCAGTTTCGATCGCGGCGGTCGTGAGCACGTTACTACCTTCCAATCCGCAAAACTCTGGGAGTAACTCCTCGGTCGTGATGATGATGGGCCATTTTAGCAGGGATTGAAGGTGCAGAATGTGTTTCCCGCGCGCGGTCAGGTCTTGGGGGAGTTCGAAGGATATACAGGGGATTCCGCCTGCTGCTAGGATGGTCCAGAAATACTGTTCCTCAATTAGTCCACTATATCTTGGATTTTATGTGAATGTAAATCGGGGTTTGTTTGTTTGACTTACTAAAATCGAATCCCGATGATTGTTCACGTGCAGCAAGACTATTTTACTCGCGCTCGTCTCTAGGGCCATACATAGCGCGAAACTGCGCGCCCGTTGTAATGCGCCATTTAAAAGCTCCTTGTAGGGGATCGATTCTACGGGGTTGCCCGGGCCGTTGTCGAGGACGAGGCCCGAGGAGACGGTGGCGGCGGTTTTGAGGAGGTGGAGGAGGTTGAGGGAAGGTGTGTAGGTGGGTGGGATTGCTGGGTATGTGGGTGGCAGGGTCGTGTAGGTATCTGGTAGTGTGGTGTCTGGTAGAATGGTGTAGGTGTCGGGGTATGTGAGGGGGTAGCTAGAAGGGTAGGTGCAGGTTGTTGTGAAGAGAGGGTCTAGGTCGAGGTCGGCTGTGTGGGGTTGGGGTTGGGGAGTGGTGTCTGACATTGTGGGTTGTAAGGATAGATCGAAAGGATGTTGTGATTGTTGGGGGGCTTTTTATCTTTGGGATGCGGAGGTTGAATTGAATGGGATTGAAAATTTCGGGGTGGTGATATGGTAGATGAATGGAATGGAATGATATTTTCATCTGGCCAGATTTGTGGCGCTGGTGAATGAAGTGTGGGGAGGTTTGTTGTCTGTATGGAATTTACTTTGAGGGGATTTGGTGGGGAAGGTGAATTTGGAAGGTGAGGTCGTGCTAGCTGTGTGAAGTGAAGGGTCGATTGGGACTTCGCGCGTTGGAAAAGACGGTTTACTTGATACTCGGTCGAAATAGATAGAAAAATCTTGACTATGAACTCACCAAAATTCACTTCTGAATCCTATTCGATTAGTCCTCTAGATTCTATGTTTACAAGCTTCTGGACTACATAGGTAGACTGTTCTCCCTTCAGAGTGCTATGATGTAATCCGAAGGTGAATAACTGTGACGGATTTGTTGCATTTCGCACATCCACCCCCATCTGGATAGTTCAGCGAGATCAGAGGACTACCCAAGAGTGAAGGTTTGAATATGCTATCTCTTCACTTGGGATTCTCGAAGTTAAGGCACCTTTTGAGAGTAAATGCTGCCATAATATATAACTGTTCTGATGGCAAAGAAAAGAGGGATTACTGTTTGATTTAACTTATTCTGTATTGATTTAAGGGTTAGGCGAGGGGAGTTAAAGTAATGAGACAAGGTTTTGAGACTGTATTGTGACGTGATCGAGAGTATGTGAAAAAAGCAGTGTCCTAACGAGCGGTGATTATTGATTAAAATTGTTGCGTAACTCTAAAAGTGTCGGAGTTAAATTAATTATAAGGAGTTAATGTTTTTATAACCTGATTTATATATAAGTTTTAAAAGTAATAATTAAGATTAACTTAGTAGGGATTTTTCTCCGCAGCATTGAGCAGCATTTTCTTTTTAAAAAAAAGGGGGGAAATAAGACGCCTAGGCCTTTTACATTTATACGTGCGCTAGATATCAGCTATAATTAATCACGAACTTACAATCCCAATAATTATAATGGAATAATACATAGATTATTTACAGCTAATAGTTGAATGAATTAATTTACGAAAATCTTCAATCATCTCCCGTGTTAAGAAGCCTTATACTCGCATCAATTATGGATTAGCTCAGACCCGACGTACTAAGAACCTCATTAAGAGCGAAGCTATATAATTTAGAATCTTGTATATTCATCAATCTTCCTTGATAGACACATTCCTACATATATAGTAAGTTATAGATGAGCGGCCGAAGGTTTTATGCATTTAGATCAGACAGCATGTTGTTTTTCTGCACAAATAACATCTGAGAATTGACCTTCTCCTTTCGCGGCAGGTAGACTACTATGCTCATTCGAGAGACATGTTTACCACCAGAAAGTCTCTTCATTATCTGGCAAAAAATATGTTTCATGATCTTCAGCTGTTGTCGTCTCACTAGGGCCCTCGCTTGTTTGGTGGAGAAGAACCACAGTAAATCGGGTCCGCGTTAGGAGCTTATGCTAAGCGGTGAGCTGTTTCCAGCTTCGCATTCCAAATTCTGCCGTATTTCGAGGAAGGACAGAGCAGATTGAAGAAGCTGGAAGGGCTCTCCAAATTTAATATACCACTCGAAACCCAATTACGATATCGTACCTCCTCGTACCCGTCATCTCGATAACATCATTACCTCAAAAATGAACCACCCAAATTGATACCGCAACCCCTCCATCGTCTCCTCTATCACCTCCTAACATCTGGTGGGAAGGGCCAGGCGCATACCAAATGTTGTTAGAATGCTGGACCAGTTATCGCCTATTGCTCCTGCGAGAGTACGAGTGGTACTTCTGCCAATCGGACAGATTAAGAGGGCAAGATTCTTGAGCTTTGTGGAAAGGTTACAACCAGAAAATGTTGTTCAACTGGGGGATATCAGTCCGGATGGAAGACCCAACAGGAGTAAGATTCAACGTTGTCCATGATCAAATAGACCCAAACTAATTAGCAATAGATATGTTCTCGCCCCTCGCGTTTCCCACGGGTAGCATAGTGTACGATCTCACCACGTTCTATCCTCCCCCGTCCCATACGGCGCTGTCCCCGTTCGAGCTTTACCGTGAACCCTTAGTTTTCCTTGCGATCGCAGATGGTGCTGAGTTGGACAAGATACCATATCGCGGGCATGTGAGACGAAGTCTCAATGGAAACGGGCCTCCCAAACCGGAGCATAACTTGCGAGAGCTGGAACAGGACTTGGAAGATGTTCGAGATAGATACCCCAAAGGCCTCGTCCACCAGCTTCTCCTTTTCGACTATCGCCCGTCACCATCTGCGGGAGCTCTTCCAGATGGACTTGTGCCCGTTCCTCCCCCGGTAGAATGCAAGCGGACAACTATGAAAACCATAATGTGTGATATCTCTTCATTGCTGCTGGCAGAAATGACAACTTTGGCAAAGTCACTTCAGGCATTACATACGATAGAGTCGCCAAATTACTCCCAACTTAATAATCGACAGTTTGACGGAACAGCATGGCAAACAGCTCATACAGAACTATCCAGACGTAATTCTCAATTTTCTTCATCAAATCAAAAACCGCGCTCAGGTTCCCCAGCAGCAAAGATTGATCGCAGCAGTGCACGAATGTCTATGCCTGTGCAGCTTCGTCAACCAGAATCAAATACATCCTCACCTAACCGACCTTCGACTCCATCTAGTGGAGTCAACTCTGAACTTCCTACAGCATTTGATCAAATTGTTGGCTCTAATCCAGATGCAAAACTTTCACAGAAACCGCCATTCTCACGTCTAGTCAGCGGTGAATCTTCAAGAGAAACAAGTCGAGATCGAGTTTCTGTTCAAGGATTTGGCCCCGGTAGCATCAGTGAAAGATCCAGAAACATTGGCAAGGGTCGTATCGGTATAGTCATTGGATCACTTTACCTGCAAGCTGGAAGATGGCTGGATGCCATACGTGAGCTTACAGAGGCTGCTTCCATATCAAAGTATAATCTTGATCATTTATGGCATGCCAAAGCCCTCGACTACATCCTCGTCAGTATGTTGATGCAAGCCTGGACTGGCTTGGACTTTCAAATTCCTCAAATCTGCTATGTTACAGCAGAAAAAGCTTCATCTGCTAGCGACTCTAAAAATCCAACAAGCAGTCGTGCTGTATCGCTACGAAACCTTGCATTATTGCTCCCAGAGTTACTCGATCGGATAGTGAATCTCTATGCGAGAGCGGCCAATAATACTGGGGAGACCTTACCACAATTTCCATTTTCGGAGTCGGTGGTACGGTTCTCCAAGCTGTCTGCACTTGTGCACCTTTCCGGTGGATTCATCAACGATGAAGTTTTACAGATGATGGTGTGTGGTACCCCATTTCAGCAGATGCCTGACTTGAAACCTCCTCGACTTGGTATACGACCTACACGTACCGAAATCACGACCGCATTATTTCGGGCATTACCTACAGCTAGCTCATCCCCCGAATCATTGTCTCTTGTTGATCGTATCATCATTCTCAGTGGTATAGCTTCCATCTTAGGAATGCTTGGCTACTACAGGAAGAAGGCCATGGTGCTACGTGAGCTTGTCATTGTATTGATACCCGGGCTAGTCCAGGCACGCATCAAAGGCGCTGCAGAGATGGGTGTTCACCCTGCTGCTGGCTTGGCTGCGATAAACTCCTTGAATGGCACCAACAATGGCGCTGGAGCTCTTGATCTCGGCGAAGGCGATGTTGAAATGGGCGTCGATAAATTCCTTGGGCTTCTCACTTCAACTTATGGCGTCGTTGCTTCTGAGCTGAACTCTGACGCGGTTGCTCAAGACGACTCTGACGAAGCAGCTATTGCGCGTATAGTACAAAATGCCAATACTCGCTATTTTGGAGGAAGAAATCTCAAAATGGACGTTCTACGCTCTTGCATTAATATTGCTGAGGCCTTGCCTGATTTTCATGGTGTGCTAAGATTTACGGCAGATCTCCTAAGAACTGTAGGAAGTGGCATTGCTCCAGGCGCTCGAAACGAAGACGCATTTCCCACAATGACACGAGAAGAGCAAGTCAGACTTGCAACGAATATTAGTAGGACGCTCAGTGCAGCAAGACATCTTGGCGTCAAAGATCTACATGCTGAATACTGGGATGAATTCCTTGTCCGTGGTGTCGAACTCGAAGCACTACCTGTGGCCAGGACACCTATACCGCATACCAAAAAAGAGCTTCCAGGTGCGACAGCTGTCACCGTTACAAGCAAAACAAACCCATTCATCTACAATCCGTTTTTGAAAGCGCCGGATGCAAGCGCAGTGGAGCATCTGCTCGTCTCAGGTGAAGGCGCCATATTTCGTGTTACCCTACAAAATCCTTACGAGTTCGATATTGAACTTGAGAGCCTGAAGTTGGAGTCAGACGGCGTTGAATTCGTTTCAGGGACACAGAAAACCACGATCGGCCCTTACCGAACTCAGATACTGACCGTTTCTGGCACCCCCAAAGTTGCAGGGCAGCTAAAGATTACTGGATGTATAATCACTGTAAAAGGTTGTCGTGAACGGCGATTCCCTATCTTTCAAGAGGCATGGTCTCCGCAAAGGGCTTTGAAAGTGAAAACCATAGGGGTGGCTTCGGTTTTCAAACCCAAAGAACGGCCAGTGAGCACTGATTCCAAAGCCTTAGTTAACACACCGCCGATGCTGCCACCAAAACCTATATCTCTAGCGCTCAATGTCATTGATAAGCAACCGGTCGTTGTGGTGAAGTCTACAACACTGTCGCAATCAGCGATTATGGTTCTTGAAGGCGAAAAGCGCAAGTTTTCTGTCACATTGCAGAATTTGTCGAAAGAGTCTCCTGTAGACTTATTGCTATTCTCCTTCAAGGATTCTACACAAGCACCCTTACAGAACGCTTTGGGTAGCCGAGACGCGTCTCCTGCAGAGCTGTACGAGTGCGAACTTATATTTGCACAGAAGCAAGCCTTGCGCGTTGTTCAAGAAGGTGACAAAAAGCCTTTCATTGAGGCTGGCGGAACTGCAACTTTTGAGATTGAAGTACTTGGCCGACCCGGTCTCACTCATGCAATGGTCCAGATCGACTATTCGCATCTGGGTGTACCGCAAGACGAGGTACAAGAGCGCTTCTATACCCGCCAAGTCAGCCTTCCGGTGACGATTACTGTAAATGCAAGCGTAGAGTTGTCAAGAATAGATTTCATGCCTTTGACAGGGACTGTTCCAAAGTCGCTCTGGTCGAAGTCATCATCGAATAGCGATCCAAATGACAACCTGAAAACGGATGATTACTGTCTGGTTCTCTTCGATTTCAGGAACATATGGCCATCTCGGTTGAATGTCCACCTGGCGATTGCAAGTCACAACGTGATAGAGGAAGAGGTGTTACCTGGCAACACAGCACGGCTTATGTTTCCTCTACCTAGAATATTTTTGGAAGACCCAGCAGCAGCAATTCCTGCCCTCGATCCTTCGCGAGCTCGGCAATTTGTGGTCAGCACGGGCAGAATTTCTGCAGAGTCTGAACGCAACAGCAGAGAAGCATTTTGGTATCGGGAAGAAATTCTGAAAATGGTCAAGGCAACTTGGACTACCACTTCAGGTCCAACAAGGACAGGAGAGATTGAGCTTCGAGGTATACGACTGACACAGCGTATGATTGATGCAATTAAGGTCGAGGATATAGGCATTGAACTACTCCTGAATGGCACTGGTGGGACGATCTCCAAGCATGAAGTATCTACAGACAGCTTCTCGGAACTAAGCATCAAGGTTATCAATCGCATGACAGAGCCACTATCACCTCTACTTCGCATCCAACCTTCACTAAAAAGCCCCTCTCACAACGCCTCCCTCGAGCTAGCAAAGAAACTTGTCTGGAACGGCGTCCTCCAACAAAGCATCCCACCCATACCCGCCAAAAGCAGCACCGAAATTAAAATCGGCATGACAGCGCTCTGTCGCGGGGAATTCGAAATCAGCGCCTCAATCGAAGAAGCTCGAATGCAACAAACACCGCTGGAAATCGTCAAAGATGCCTCGTCACCCTCAAGGCCACGAGCGAATACCAGGACTATGATGGATGCGCTGCTGGGCGCGAAGGAGCGCAGGATATGGTATTCGAGGGAATCATGTCTGGTTGTTGTTAGGGATGAGGAGGAGACGGATGATGATGAGTAGATGGGGTGTTAATGTATATAATGCATGGCGTTGGAGGGGAAGTGCCCGTTTTGTATATCCTGTTAGATCGGGAGAGGTTGCTTAGAAGTGGCGAGCCACCTCGTTGCGTGGGTTTATTAATATCACTTTTCCGCTGAATATTCAGATGGCTTTGTTCTAAATCTGTCACATCATGCTATAATATTGCTTGGGATTTCGAGTAGTTTACTCGAGGTAGAAAAGTGCTTTTAGTTTTCTGAGAAGTTCTATGCGATGAATCTCCCACATGGACTTTCAGCATGTTTCCATCTCTCGATCCTTTGCGTATAAAAATCACAATCTCATGAAGCTTCATAATCCATCAACCATATTCAACCCCCCTCGCCACCCCACTAACATCAAGAAAAACTCTCAACCTCTCAGGCTCATAATCACAATCCTGAAACATGCCCGGACCAAGAAACTCCACCATCGCTGGCCATCTAATCTCAGGCTCCTTCACCACAATCAGGAATTAAAAACACGAGATGCCGGACCACATACGTTTGAATCTTTCAGCTGGTAAATACCGGATGCATCGACGAGCTGGAAGGTCTTGCCTAGGAGCCGTTCTTTCCATGTTTCGAGGGGTAGATGGGTTTCCGGGGTGGAAAGCACGGTGGTGGTTTTTTGGGCGCGTGGTGAGGAGGGGGGAGTGTTTGGCATGGTGGGGGGTTGAGAGGTTGTGTGGGAATTTTAGAGATTGGCGGGGATATTGTTGAGAATGGGTAGAGTTATGGGGAGGGTTGAGGGTGTTCTAGTCGAATGGCCAGAATGATGAGTAGAGTTGGGGGTTTTCTAGTCGAATGGCCGGTGTAATGAGGAGAATTGAAAGGTGTTCTAGTATGCTCCGCGTGTTTGACGTCTGAAGCCTGGTGTTGGTGGTTCCCCTGCTTTTCTGCCGAACTTATTTTTGGTGGTGTTGTTAAGATTGCTCGTGAAAGTGGCGGTACATGCACGTACAATAGGTCAGTATTGGATGAAATCTATCAAACTCTTTAATTCGTATCTCTTAGTCACGGTAACAAGCCGAAACGATTCGGACCCAAATCCCATGTTTGTAAATCTCGATAGTCTTGTGAAGTATTTATTTTTATGCGGTCCATTCCAAAACGTATATTTTACAGGTTGGTTCTGACCTCCTTTCCACACCTACACACACTGAACTCAACTTGACCATTCTCTCCCAGACTCGCGGTGGACAAAATAAACGGTAGTCGAAACACGGTATTTCTTCGATTATGTTGACGAAATATCGTCGTTTAGTGGATTAATTTAGAACAATATAAGATATTTTGTTAATTGTCTTAACTAAATAAGACTTCTTACGCTCTATTCGAAGTATTCTTATTTAGTCCAAGATTACTAGGCAGGTGACTGGCACTTATTTTGTCCTCCGCGAGCCAGAGTGCTGGAAAAAGCCAAGACCTGACGTTTACTTCTAAAGAATCGGATTTCCCTCAATTCTTCAGGCAACCTTAATAACAACCTTCCCAAAATGCCCCCCCTTAAACAAATACTGAAGTCCCTCCTTCGCCTGCCCAAACTCCCAAACACGATCCACAACCGGCCTCACCCTCTTCCCCTCCATAAAGCGATTCATCTCCTCAAATCGATCCTTTGGACCATTCAAAATGCCTTTCAACGTCACGTTCCGCATTAAAGCAAGCACATTAGTATTAAGTCTATCCCCGGGGGCATCTTCTTTGCCAGAAAGATAGCCGATGCAGTTAATGAGGCCGCCGAAAGCGACGCAGTTGAAGGAGCGGCGGAGGGTGAGAGCGCCGCCGTTTTCAAAGATAATGTCGGCGCCTTTGTCGGAGGTGTAGGAGAGAACTGAGGAATCCCAGTCTTTTGTGGTGCTGTAGTTTATGGTGTGATCTGCGCCGAGCTCTGTGGCGTGAGTGAGTTTGGTCGGGGAGGATGAGGTTATGATTACTGTATTTTGTGAGTACTTGATGGACTTTATGATTCAATAGGAGAAATACCTTTATAACCCAACGCCTTCGCCAAAACCAAACCCATAACCGCAACACCCCCAGTCCCCTGAATAAGTACCGTCTGACCCTTTGCATCCAAATCTCCCATCGGTTTCATCCCATTCAACGCCATCCACGCGGTCAACCCAGCAATGGGAAGCGTACACGCTTCCTCATTGGTTAGATAATCTGGCTTTTTCACAAGACCTGAAGCGGGAAAGACGCGGTATTCTTGGAGACAGCCTTCGAGTGGTAATCCGAGGCCGGATTTCATATCCTCGGCGACGATTTGTCCAGATTGATGGCTTTGGTTGAAGATGCTGAGGACGCGATCACCTGATTTCCAAGTTGAGGAGTTGGAGCTTACGATTGTGCCGCAGATATCTGAGCAGGGGACTATGGATTTTGTAGGACCGCCAGTGGTTTTGTGATCTGTAAATTTTTAGAATTTGTTGGCTTGTTGAAAGGTGTTTCGAGTTGAGTTGGAAGGAGTGTTTTAGTTTGATGTAATTCCCAAGTTATCGCTTTTCACTTACGATTATATAACCCCATCACAACCTCTGTATCCCGATAATTCAAAGCAATAGTGTTAATTTGCACAAGCACTTCATCATCACCTGGAACTGGCATTTCTGATTCTGTTTGTTTGAGGTTTTCGAGACCATCTTGAGCGGAGATCCATTGCTTGTTTTTCGAAGCAGGAGCCATATTGGGCTATGAAAACTATTCGATAGTAGGTACGACAGCGTAGAGGGAAATCTATGTTGATCAATTGATGAAGTAGAAAGCTCAGGATTGGTGATGAAATACTGAAAACAATCAAACTGCCCCACCATAGCTCCTCGGAAAGCCGATGGATAAGAAGTGGGGGATAACGAGTCATGCTAGAGCTTCAAGTGCCGTGAAAACGATCGGGATACGAGTGACGATGACTAATGAATTAAACTGTATGACGTCCATCGCTTCCTCGTTTTCAGAAAAGAGACATGTACTTCGTAGAAATTGGTAGACTCATCTAATTGATTATTAATTTCAAACAATATTGTGTTGGGTATCCGTTTAACATATCGCCGACTATCAACCACCAAAATTCATCCGCAGCGCAATTGTCGGTTCTCTGCCCTCGCTATCGGCATTTTCAACATTCCTAACAGGACCACTCTTCCTGCCGGCAACAATGACACTCTCCATGAAGCTCTTCTGCCCTTCATTTAAGCTTCCCACTACAGCTCTGAATGCAGTCTGGTCATTCGCAGCGAGTTCCAGAAGTCTACTGCTTGTTTCCTGGTAGACACCTTCCCCTTCCTTATTCGCACGTGAGAGTAATGTGGGCATAATGACTGACATGGCGAGACCTTTTTGCGAGCCATTGAGAGTTGTGACATAAGTCGAAAGCGCATGAGATACAAGCGATCTGGCGTTTTCCGGGTCTTCTGTTTCCGTCGTTACGAACGCAATGAGACGAGGTAATAAAAATCGGGCGATGCTCTGATCAGCAGGAGTTTTGGGTGACTGGAGAAGGAGTGATCGAATACAATTGGCAGCCACTTTTGCGGTCTGTGATATAATGGTCAGCTGAAGAATTAGGAATTAAATTTAGTGCACTTACCATGCGGTCACTAAGACAGTCCACGACTTCTTCTAGAAACCTTGCAACAAGTGGCTCGCTAGCTGACATGTAGTTCTTACCACTCGTCAGGAGTAGGGTAGAGGCTAGCAGGGTATTTTTGACACAAGGCAGTGATGCCTCCGTTTCGCGTTTCTGGGCGTTAAGGTAAATCGACAAAAAACGCTTGAGGCACCCTTGGATTTGAGTGAGATCAGTTTCTTGAACGTCCCGTTTGCTCTGTCTTGGTGAAGATATGCTGCTGATGAAGCGTTTGAGGATAGGCAGAGATTGGGGAACTACTACAGCCTGACAACTTGCTGTGCCTAGCACAGTGGCAAATATGTGAATGATACATGCGTGAAGGTCGGTCTTGATAATAGAGGGGAACACCTCGGAGGCATCCACCAAAGCGTTCATTGCAAGCCGAACAAGCAATACGGCTTCATCTGTCATCTGGTGACGAGCCGGTTGCCTAGCTTCAATGAGATTTGGCAATAAGCCTGCAAGTACAAGGACAATAATGCGGGTGAGTTCAAATAATTGTTCGATGTCCTCCGACAAATCTCCATTTTCAGGATCCGATCCTTTCGTGGCGGAAGGATGAGATATACAAAGTCCACGGGCAATTTGGACAATGACTCCCTGTACATCTAAGCCTTCGGTAAGTACCAGACGATCGAGGAGATCCATAGTCTCTGAGAAAATCGCCTCGCGATAGATCGCGTGTCCAGAAACACTTGGGTGAAGGATCTTTTTCAAAGCCTGGAGAATTTCCAAGGTTTGCTCTTTAGAAGCGAGTGCATCGCTTCCTGGTCTGGCCACCAAAGCTTCGAACGCGATACCAAACAGGACAAAGAAGAAAGCTACCGGCTCATCTCGATAGTTGATGTCGTTGCCTTTTGAGAGCCCATTAGTGGCTGGCGCATCAGTCTCCTTCCCATCTAAGGCGTTGAATACAAACTCGCTGTCTTGTTCAATCAAGCTAGCAATCGCATCAACCAATTTTAACCAAGACTCTTGATAGAACCTCAATAGTGTCTCGCGGTTAAGAGCAGAGTAGATACTATCCAAACTACCTGATAAGGACGGAGGACCTAAACTCATTGAAATGTCTGGTTCAAATCTCAATCGTGCAAACTCTCTAAGCGATGCAAGCCAAAGTGGTGTAAGGGTGCCAATATAAGGCTTCAAAACATCAATTAGATATCGTTGTTCTGTGCTGGCAACCTGAAGCTCGGCCCAAGCTGAGAAGACTGACATCTTCACCATCACTTGGGCGTTAGAGCTTAGCCCTTTAAGGTCACCAATAGACGCGACTTCAGATTCCGTTGAAAAGTTCTCCAAAGCTTGCACGAGCGTCTTTAGGATACGTCCCATGCGATCAATGTCAGTGACAATACCAGTAGCTATGAAAGCTGCGCAGACATTGACAGCTTCAGACGCCAGTTCAGGAGAAGAGTCCGCTGCAAAAGCGGGTGTGAGGGCAGAACTAATCTGAGCTTGATATTGCTCTAATAATGGTGCTTCAGAGAAATCCGGATCCGGTGTTTTGCCAAACATTTTGAGGACTGCATCAATAATCTTGAGGCCCCAGACGCGTAGCTCAACGACATTTGACGTTGAAGCAGAAAAAGCCATACGAATGACGTCTGCAACACGCCTTTGTAGAGCCATTTCAGCAGGTGTCGTAGTATCTGCAGACGAGGCTTTGCTAACGAGCAGAAACATCTCGCCCAAGCAACTCATTGCGAATGTTCGAACTTGCCATCTCAGCGGCTCTCGTCCGGAATCAGTTGCGGTACCTTTATCGTCTGAGACCCCTCCAGCAGCAGCAAAGCCAGCAACCTCTTCATCTTGCAGATCTGGCACGGCGCTTACTTTCGTAGCTGCTGCAACGGTATCCTCGGCTTTTGATCTCGTCATTGTCAGCACTCCCTGGCATCTCTGTAACCATCGAGCCGTTTCTGAGAGACAGGACTGCTGCATCCAGTTTCTGATGACATTTCGGATGCCATCATGACTTGGCTCAGAATCAAGTGCCAGCCATAATTCATCCTCGAATCCGTCTTGCGCTGCTTTTACCACATCCTCAGAGTTACGCTTCATCAGATTATATAGTCCATCGATTGCAATATCCCTAAGCTGCGGATGGATAGAGTTGAGCTCCTTCTGCAACAAGACAACGTAATCATTGAAGACCATATGACCTGGTGCGTATAATGCAAGATGTTCGAGACATTTCAAATTGCCCACTAATACTTGTGTGGAAGTTTCGGCTTGGAACTGGCCCATTAGGTTTAGAATCAAATCGCGAGTACTTGTCATATCCTGTAGATCGGGTCCTAACACATTGATCATAGAGTCAACACATCTTGAGATACTGGCAGTCGTTGATAGCTCCAATTCTAGGTTTGATGTTGGTGCCGATGCAACTGACTCGTTGTGTGTGTCAGACACATACATTTGAGAAACAATGGCCAATGTATTGGAGACATAGCCAGAGAACGTGAGGCCCGCGGAATCTGCAACACGAATCAATCCTTCCAGGGCCCAGTAATGGACTGTGGGATGAGGATCTTGACACAAAGACATCAGCACCCCCGTAATGGTCTTCAAATGAAAACCAGCCGCCATGCCACCCACTTGGGAGTGGATACATCCCAGTGCCATAGCGCAGCCTGCTCTGGCGGTTGGCTCTCTATTTGCAACAATCGTGTCGATCAAGTATTTGATTTCTGCATTTGTGTATGCATTGCCGGAACTGTTACATAGCCGCGCCAAAGCCTCGTATCCGATGCTACGAACATACTGATCGGTATGGATAACGAACGGCCGGATGAGTTCCTGCATCAATTTCTCGACAGCCAGATTACCAATATCTCCAGATGGAGATTGGGTCTCTTTTGTAGCCACCTTCAAGGCAGAAAAGAGAGCCGTAGAAATGTTGACATTCATTGCAGCTCTGCGTCCCGGATCCCTTTGTAGCGAACCCGCCGACATAAAACTTGTGACTTGTTCAAGAATACTCTCTTGTATTTTGGCCGGCGTAAGAGGAAACGCAATAGCAAACAGCTGAATGGCTATATTGACAACTTCAGTGGCAGGCGGATCTGGCAGAGATTCAATGTCTTCTAGTGTTCCTAAGTATAAAGACAACGAATCGTGCTCCAAGGAGTTGCAAATTGGGGATAGTAGAACATTTGAAATTGCAGCATCATAGCCTGTTGCGCCCGCCCACTCATCTTGCTGGCCGTCATGCTGATTTGGAAGTCTTTTGACTTTAAAGCCGCGGACCATCCCGGTAACACCAAAGCCACAATTGTCACCAGTATCCCAAATGGTGTCAAATGTATTGGCGGAGTTTGCGATGGAGGAACTCAGTGTACTGGGAGTGTAGTTCTCTGGGTCAGCAAAGAAAGAAACAGCAAGCGTTAGCAAATTTGATTGGATCAAAGCCTCGCTGCCACCAGCAGGACTGAGATTGACTAATTTTGTATAACACTGTAGCACCCTCCGCTGGACCATCAGATCCAAGTCCTGCAGCTGCAGCGAAGGCGTCAGTCGTTGAGTTATATCTTCGGTTGTCTTCTTTTTGGGCATAGTTTTAAGAAATGCGCTTGTGTTTTGAAGCATTGCAGCAATGCGCTTGGATACATCAACGGTTAATAGCCGACTGTTGAACTGCAAGAAAGCCAATATAGAACCAAGAGCGCACTCTCTGACATGTGTCAAAAAGGATGACTCGAGATAACTTCGTTGTGAGGTGTTGTCCTTCGCTAATGGTCTCGGCAGGGCATTTTTCCACAGGAGCAGCAGTTGGGAGAGATGTATTTTGACAAAGTTGGGGCCCAACGACATGAGACCACCTATTAAAATCCAAGCCACTTGTATCTGTGTGCTGGATATCCGAAGTTCAGACTTACTGCTAGATTTCAGTAGGCCTGTAGCAAGTGACAAAACACGACTATTGACATCAACGGAACCGTACAAAGGTTGCAATGGAGCCGTGCTAATCATTGCCGCAAGGCCATTCGCGTAACCAATGCATCTGCGAGGTGAGTTTCGCCCCGTACTGAGTAATGTCAGCTCCCTGCTAACACTATTCATACAGATTGTTAAACAAGGTAACAACTGCTGAGGACATGCCAGAGCGAATGTCCGCAAGCAGTGCGATACAAAAATTTGGACGGTATAACTTGGATGCTGAAGAACTTGTAGCAAGCCATCTCGACAGGACTCTGCGAAAGCATTTGAAGCGGACCCAAGCGTTTTTACGAGTGATGCCAAAGCGCTTAGAACTGCAATTAATGCATGTTTCGATGGTTCTGGACGCTCCTTGATGACCTGAGGATAATTCTTTAGAATATCGTTTATGAGCGCTTTGGCAGCATCGATTTGACCAGCCTCTCCGAGAATTTTTGCTCCAATGACGTCTTCCAATATGATTTGAACAAATCTTCGAGTCGTCAGTAGTCGGTATCTATTATTTGTAATATTTGCGTGACTCAAAACGTCAATTGTGAGATGATCCACAATTTTCATATAGGAGGATTCCACCGTCCTTTCACTCAGGCTTTTCACGATCCTGGTGTAGCACACAGCAATACCTGCTCTCGCTCTACTGCTAGTCGAGAATTTGGTGTAAAAATTGGAAAGCTGGCGCAGCATATCCACCAGTGTGAAAACAATGACCTGACTTTTCTTCGGGCCAGGACTCTCGGGCCTTTGAATCTCCTCATCATCGGCTCCAATCATGGTGGGTTGGCGCTTCGTGTTGGTTCTCTTGATCTTTTTGATTTTTGGAAGGTCATTTTCCAAGAAAGGGGTCTCTGAATAGTTTTTGACCATACTTTCAGCTAAACAATCGCCAGCGCCTTGCCGTACAGATGGAATAGGCGAGTCTATGGCCTTAAAAACAGCCGCCTTGAGGTTTTCGAAGTCGCTGCTGTTATCAAAATATGGAGTATGTGTCGATAGCATTTTAAGACAATGGCAAGCGGCAATCTGTACGAGTGCTGATTTGTCGCCGGAGGAATATGCCCTTGCCTGCTTCCACGCATCTCTTGCCATGGCTTCGTCCATGCTTCCCTCTATCATTCTGGCGATTTTCCCCCATGCCTTAAATATGGCCGCTCGCAAACCAGCATTGTTCTGCGCATACTTGAGCAACTTCAAAAGCGCCGAACATGCCAAAGGGTGTAGTCCAATCGCGCTGTCCCCTGCCGCGGCAAAGACATCTCCTAAACAGTAGACAGCCGCATGTTTTAGCCTCAGATCCCCTTCAGCTTTTGCCTTTCCACTGCTTATAATCCCAACCAAATCATTAATCGTTTCAAACAAGAGTTTCCTGTCGCCCTTTCCAAGTATATGTGCAAAACATCGCCCGAGATTGTTGCGAATCACCCTCGTCGGGGGAGGGGCAGCAAGATTGAGAATCTGAAATAGCTCCTTTTTGAGATAAAGTTGCTGCGCCGTACAGTCGTCAGGTTCGAGACTTTCGACATGTTTCGTAAGAGTCGAAACGAATTGTAGAAGGTAAATGTCTTGCTTTTCGGAAGGTAGCGACTGTAGCTTCTTGACATCTAGTTCAGGAGTAGAGGCCAGCTCTGATCGCGAGGGTAAGGCAGCTTGGGAACCATTCGCAATACTGGGGAGGTTTGTTGAGGACATTGACACGTCGTTGGGGAGTCGGAGAGGACGTGAGAATGATTATTGTTTTCGAAGGGATTTGGCAGCGAAGACGAGGAAATGTTCCAATAATACCCCAGATTGTCTACCCACGGAAAAACCCCGGGTCAACTCTTGCTGTCTACCAAAATATTGTTGATCTTGAAATCAAGCAACCAGAATACAATTTGCCATGGCGAGCTTTTCCAGAGGACTACGGTCCTATTCTGCTACCATCAACTCAGGTTGCTCACGATGTCTCAAATTTTCTACAACGTCTTTCGTTCAATCAGGTCACAGTCGTTGGTCAAAGATCAAACACGAGAAAGGAGTTACGGATCATAGAAGGTCCAAGGCAAACGGGATCCTGGCGCAAGCAATCGCATATGCCTCCAAAGGTCTCACACCTTCTGCCCTTGGTACGATATGGACTGCTGACAGTAATGTAGTTGGAGGTCCTGATCCGAATTTTAATTTTGGACTAGCTCACGCGCTGGTGATCGCGAAGAAAGGTATATGATGGGGTATACACTCCTCAGCACGATCAATTGCAGCAAGCTTACAAAAATTTAGCTGGATTCCCGAAAGCTAGCATGGAGGCAGCAATAAACCGAGGCCAGTCCAAGAGTTCTACTGGTGCTGCACTGAGTAATGTTGTTTTGGAAACGATGGCGCCAGCACAAGTTAGCATGATTATCGAAGCCGAAACGGATAATTCCAAACGTACTCTCGACGAATTGAAACACTTAGTAAAGAAGGCCGGTGGGTTGTCTACATCCGCAAGTCATCTGTTTGAGAAGAAGGGGAAAATCACCTTCGAAGAGCACGAAAATCTTGGGGTTGATGATGTTCTGGATGAGGCTATAGAGGCTGGCGCCCTCGACGTAACGCAGGACGGAGGAATTGTCGTATGGACAGAGCCAAACAATACAATGGCTGCAGCCGAAACTTTGACAGAAAAATTGGGCTTGAAAGTCCAAACCGCAGAGATTGTGTGGGACGCCAACGAGGAGACGAAATCGCCTTTGGATAATACAAATCGAGAGGCAATAGCAGCGCTGAAGCACTTCCTCGATCAAGTACAGGACCATGGGGATGTCTCGGCAATATATGCAAATGTTGCACAAGGAAACCTGAGTGACGATGAGTGGGAGGAGATACAAGACAGGCTGTATTCATAGACCGATAGAGAGATACCTAGACCATTAGATCTGTAGATTAGATGTACACCGACTGTAATTATAAGATTTTAGTGGAGCATTTCCGTCTTGCTTATTATCAACACCACTCGTACGCCTTTGCTTTCCAATCCCAAACGCCCTAGAATTGTACTTCAGAGTTCCTCAGCTTGCCTCGTATCTTTTGTTCGTACATATCGCATATGCGGTTCCAGAGTCGTAGATGCCGCGCATGCGCGATCTCTTTAAACCCACAGCTTCAAACGCGACGCATAGTTCTTTCACTACCCCATAAATCATGAATCGCCCGCAGAGCTATCGCCAGCTCCTTTACCCTCAGCCTTCAACCTCTTATCCCTCAAATATAATCGCCTCTGCCGCAACCTCTCAAGCTCACTTCGTATCTCATCTTTCTCGAACGGAATCCGATTCGTTTGCTCAGGCTTGGGCCAAAACCCAGGAACGGCGAACTGGTTATCGAGATTGGTACCGTAGTAATACATGATTGCGATTGGAAACATGATGTACATGCCAAACTATGATCAGTGTTAATTAGGACGGCGCAAGATTGTGGAGGGGCAAATTGCACAAAGCAGATCAGGGGAAGTGTACTTTAAAGACTTCCAGATTAGGACCCCCCATGTTGAGAAATGGCAGGAAGAGTCGTATATTTAGAGGTCCAGTTCTTTAGTTCGTGTTGCGTCTTGTCTTCCCTCAACAATGTCCTAAATGTGCTTGTATCAAGTCGTAACGTTCGAAAAAGATCCGATTGTACCTGGGCCCACAATTCCGACAGTCGACCCTTGTAACACTTTAAGCCAATCATCGTCGTCAATATCGTACCGAGGCACGCCGGATAACGTCTCTTGCTTGGGAGACTTCCCCAGATTTGGAGGTTACTATTACTCTCCGCCTTCTTCACAAATATTTATCGACATAGTAAATTCAGACAGATCAAAGATATATATACATCATGTCAGATTCAGTCACAGTCGAATACAATGGCAAAATTGCTGTAATCACAATCGATAATCAGAAGAAGCTCAATGCTTTAAATCAAGATGAATATTACCAGCTGGCTAAGTATATGAGGGAGGTAGCAACACATGATGAGGTATTTGTAACAGTGTTAACAGGGAAAGGTAGGATGAGCATTCAAAAATATTTCACGGCTAATTCTTCTCAGGACGATTCTTTTCTGCGTAAGTTTCATGGACTCTAGTTTTATATGTATCGACGAATCCTCATACAAATCTAGAGGAGCAGATGTAGGCATAAGCAGAGACCAACCAGATGGCACTGATTTAGCCCGGCATTGGCTGAAGAATTTCGTAGCCAATAATCTCAACATCACACACGCCTTCTACACGCATCCTAAAATCCTAGTCACCGCACTCAACGGGCCTGCGATTGGGCTCTCCGCTGCCCTAATTGCATTCTCCGACTTCATCTATTGCGTTCCTCACACTTTTCTTCTCACTCCCTTCTCCAGTCTTGGATTGGTCGCTGAAGGAGGAGCTTCGAGGGCCTTTGTCCAACGGCTTGGTATCAGCAAAGCGAATGAGGCACTCATTATGAGTAAGCGAATAACTTCAGAGGAATTGTTGCAAACCGGTTTCGTCAACAAGATATTCGAATGCGGCAAGGGCGATGACGAGAAGTTCCGTAAACTAGTATTTGAGGAAATCGAGGATAGACTAGGTGATCATCTCATTGGAGATAGCTTGACTAAAATCAAGGCGCTGATCAGGAAGCCGGATAGAGATATCTTAGACGCGCAAGGTGTTGCAGAGGTCTTCGGAGGCCTGGAAAGGTTTAATGCCGGGATTCCACAGGAGCAATTTAGGAGGATTGCAAGTGGGGAAAAGAAGCATAAACTATAAGCCAATATTAGAATATCAATGCGTCAAACACCCTCTATCCCGCACCTTTAAAGCCATGGGAAGCCTGTCCTGAAATCATATCGTACGTAGACTGAACAAACAGCCGCCAGCCCAGTTGCTTATTTTATTGCGGTTGGACACCCTTATTACTCCTTACGCCCCAATAAACCCAATGAACTGCTCATCTATCATCATCAAGACGTCCTTCTTTCTCTAGGGTCTCCATCCTTGCCATACGCTTCTCGTCGTTCTTCTTCCAGTGACTTCCTTCCTCGTAATTCTTGCTGATACCCAGAGCGCTCCTGAACTTGTTGTCCTGCTTTATTTTCGCTTCGGCAAGTTCGTGTACCTGATGCATTTTCAGACCTTTCGCACTGGTGCCTCCTCCTTTGCCTCTCTCCAAAGCCTGTAACAACTTCTTTCGAAGTGCTTCTGTCTGTGTGTCAATCTCTTCTTCGTCAACGCTACACCAATTGTCAGTAACATGATATTTATAGTCCTAGAACGAAGCATACCCCTCATCTTCAAGCCTGTCCCTCAACTCAAACACTTCTAGCTCGACCTGTCGTTTCCGATCGTGTTCTAAAATTTCCTTGTCTGGTTGGCGGGGTCGATGCCTCATGCTGTCGATGTCTGTAGAGTAAGGTTTGCCCTGGTCGCGGTGTCGGATATGTGCAAGATTTCGCTGCACATAGCCAGAGGTGCCACTGCCGCGAGGGGTCGAAAGCCCAACATTTGATGACATGGTGATAATTGCAAATTGGTTTCGACTGATTGTCGTCCTAAAAATTGTCTAGATCCTAATAAGTTGTCCCGCGACACATGCGAGGTGGGCCGGATTACGGGACGGTGTGCTAGGCGGTGAAGTTTCTGACGCATCTATTTTTGCCCCTCGAACGCATGGAATATGACTCTTTCGAAGCCCATTCACAGCGCTATTCCCATTTCTCTTAAATCACTTTTTCTCTTTTCTTCAAATAGATCCTGTAGAAGCCAAATTTATCTTTGAAATCTGGTAAAAACCACAAAATGCCTGCTCTAGAGGTGTCAAAATCGTCTGAGGAACCACAACCATTAACCCAACTGCCTTTTGGTCCAATATCTCGATCTCATATACTTCACTGCTCCTACGATTATTGGCATCCTAAGTATGAATTTCCTATTCTTTAACGACACATATGCTAACATGTTTCAGGTATCGCAGCTCAACACTCAAATCGCGCATAATTCCTTTGTCGCCTGCTTTCCTCTCTTACCTCCGCGCAGATGGTATTGTCCTACCTTCCGAAACACCCACAGCAAATCCAAATGCCACAGACAATACCACAAGCGACGGCTGGGACGAGGATCCGGATCCAGATCCGTCCCTCGAATTTCTTGAAATTCACAATCAGATTAGAGAAACTATAGCAGAATTGGGAGGTCTTGTAGCTCCAAAGCTAAACTGGTCATCGCCCAAGGATGCGACCTGGATTAGCATGACCAAAAACTCTATGGAATGTGCAACACCAAACGACATATATCTCCTTCTCAAATCCTCTGATTTTATTACACACGATTTAGAACATGCCTTCGATGACTGCGACGAGGATAACTCCTTGAAGCAGGAAGATATCAAGTACGTTTTGGTATTGAGGAAGTGGTTCAAGGCAAATCCGTCATGCGAATTTCGATGTTTTGTTAAACAGAGGAGAATAATAGGGATTTCTCAACGAGACTTGAATCATTTCGACTTCTTATTTCCAATGCAGGACCACATTCGAGATACAATACTAGAATATTTCGCCAAAACGGTCAAGACAACATTTCCAGATGACAATTTCGTGATGGATATATATCTTCCCGACCCCTACGATAAAGTAAGACTTATGGATATAAATCCTTGGGCACCACGAACTGATCCGCTGCTGTTCTCCTGGTTGGAGCTACTCACGATGCCACTTCCGGCGGCATTGTTGGGTGTACCTGACTCGTCTGAAAGCCCTGCGCTTCCTATTTCCAGTAGTGACGAAGATAGTCAAGACGAAGATGTGGAAGAAGTAGAATGGAAACCCGAGCTTCGCTTGGTGAGGAAAGATGACCCAGAAGCATATAGCTTTGCAAGTCCACAGTACAGCGCACACAAGCTACCAAAAGACGTTGTAGACGCAAGTCTAGGTGGCGAGAGTACTATGAGAGAATTTGCGGATCAGTGGAAGAGAATGATGGATGGTGGCGTCGACATGCAAACAACGGAGGAAGACGATGATAGCGACGAGGGCACTATTCAAGTAGAGCCTGCAACTTGAATAAACGGAATTTTACAGCAAGCTTTGATGGATCTAACGTTCTTCCTATGAGCAATTCTCGGTGAATCACAGTATAATGTGCTTATGATAACCAACAGTCGGACATATCCACAATCTATAAGAAGATATGGTATCTTCAAACACCTTATTGTAAGCTGATCTAAATAGATCAAATATGCCTTGTCTACTTTCAGATTCAAGCTTATTTTTCATGTAGGCGTAGGTACAGCTGAAGTTACAGTAGTGGGGAGTCGGATCTCCGCTTTATCGCCCAGTCTAATCCTGCCCCACTTGCTTCCCGTCATCACAATTGAACAAAGTGAAGCTCAACTTGGAGAAGAATTCGCAATCTATTTCTCCAGACTCTAATTGATTATATTTTTACTTTTCATTAAAGATTAAAGCAAACATTTGAATCTCGCTTCCAGAAAATCATGAGTCAATATACAGGTGTCGCTCTAGTAACTGGCGCTGCTTCAGGTAACCTTAATGTCTCTCATCTAGCGGGTCTACTTGATATAAATTTCTGGTCTCCATTGTTCTCGTACTAAATCATAATCAGGCATCGGTCGAGCGACTGCAATAGCATTCGCCCAAGAAGGATGTACCAAAATCTCAATCTGTGACCGCAACCTCCTAGGTCTCCAAGAAACCCAAACACTCATCTCAGAAATCTCAAAAGATGTAGATGTACTGGTGATAGAAGTCGACATGCTAGAAGAATCTCAGATTGATAATATGGTGAAGAAGACGGTGGAGAGGTGGGGCAGAGTGGATTATGCTGTTAATGCTGCTGGTGTGTCACAACTACTCTCTACATCTCCTCACTTCACTTAAACACAACATAAATGAAAAACCACCTGTTAACTAAGGATTGAATCCGCAAAGGCATCATAGGCAACAACGCCCCCTCAACCCAAACAACCGCTGCCCAATTCGACCTAATAACCAACATCAACTACCGCGGCACCTGGCTCAGTTCCCGCTTCGAGATCGCCCAAATGCAAACCCAAACCCCGCTGGAATGGGGCAACGGCAAGAAGCGTCAGAAAGTGAGAGGCAGTATCGTGAATATCGCCAGTCAGCTGGGTTTGGTGGGAAGACCTGACGCGCCCGCTTATTGTGCGAGTAAGGCGGCGGTTATTGCGTTTACGAGGGGTGATTCTATTGATGTAAGTACTTGGTGATTTCGGGAGGTTTGAGGGGGCTTAAAGGGGTTTAGACTTGAGCTGATGAGATGTTAGTATGCGAAAGATGATATTAGGGTTAATTGTGTTTGTCCGGGGGTTACGGAGTAAGTCTTTCTGTTTCTTCTGTTTCTGATTGTGCTAAGTGATTTGAATAGGACGCCGATGACGCAAGGAGAACCTAAGTTTAGGGAGGCGCTGAAACCTGCCATTGATATTGCGCCTATGAAACGGATGGGTACGCCAGAGGAGATTGCTGATGCGTGTCTGTTTTTATGTGGAAGTGGTGCAGGGTTTGTTTGTGGACATGCTTTGGTATGTTCTCTCTCAAAAGTGATTGAAGGGTTTTGTTAACAGAATGTTTAGGTTGTTGATGGCGGGTACATCATAAATTGAAGACTGTTGTTGTTTTCAGATTGATAAAAAGTTGTTCGAATTATAACGCCCCTAGCTGTTGAAATCTAGGCTCAATCTACCAGATGTTAGTCTTCTAATGTCAATTCCGTCTCAGTGCTCAATTGACCCCAAATTCCAAACTCCACCGTACCCGGCCAAAAAGAATCCAATCCAATCCTGCCAGAGCACAGGGTTCAAACACCAGTCCCAAACTCCGTGACAACCCACTCACAAAAGCTCTCCCACTCAACCTTCCACTCCTCCATTCTCTTCGCTCTGACACCAGCACTTTCATATCCCTTCTCAACACCCAAGTTCCACTCATCCTCACTCTCATCTTCAAACGCCGCCCACCTGATGCTATTCTCCGCCAGGCTTCCCAGCCCCTCAATCCCCAAATCCTCCCATCCTTGAATAGCCTGCCAAAAGTCATGACTCAAGCCACTCGTTCCCTGTCCCAACAGTGCCGGATCATCATTGCTCAATGCAGCCTTTACACCTCTGCTGATGAGTGCAGGGAGAGGATGAGACATAATACTCGCCGAGTAGCGAAGTACTTCGTTGGATATAGGACATGATTCCACAAGAATGTTCTGCTTTTTACACTGGTCTATGAGCAGAGGGTGCTTGTAAAGAGAGAATGCGTGGCCGAGACGTCGACTGCGCAGGAGTATTGCGGTGTATAGATTCTGATCAGTGGGTGTTCCGCAGCCAACAGTTTCGCCGGCGTGGAGAAATAGGGGGATGTTGACTGCTTGGGTCTTACATTCTTCTTGGAACCACTAATCGCTTTTAGTAATACAGATTTGTACAGCAAAATAAAACTTACGAGAAGCTCTGGTGTGAGCGATTCAAGCGTCCGGCCGGGATCCTCGTGTCCGACTAAGTCATAGCCAGAAATAAGATCAGGGTACAGCTTCTTGAGTCGTATGCAATGGCTCATGTCTGTTAGAGAATCAGCATCTCCTCCATTATTATGCAATTTGTTTGTTAATCTTCATTCACCTTGAATAATCTTCTCAGTCGGCCAAAACCTCAAAGATGCCCAAATCATCCTTGCACCCCAAAATCCACGTCCAGCGTCACTGGATTTGAACTTCTCAATCTCCTCATTCAGTACACCAAGAAGTACATCTGGATCATCGCTGGCCTTTTCAGCTTTCTCGACGGTAAAAGCAGTAAACGGCGCCGACCGAAATTCGACCCAACGAACCTCATCTGCCACCAACGTGGTGAAGAACTTCTGCAGGAATTTTCTCATAATTGGCTCATAGTAAACAACGCCAGTCAAGATCGAGAACGCAGAATTTAACTTCCGCCAAACATCATCAACTCCAAGATGATGTTGAATAGACTCTGTTTGGGTCACGGAACAGCGATCTTTCATCCATGCAATGAACCCTTTGCGACCGGTCTCTGGAAAAGAATCTGCAGCGACAGAAGTGGGAATCAACGAGCCTGGAACATATCCTGCGCTCCAGATCGATTTCTGCTCCAGATGCGCAGAGCCGGAGTAGACATATCGAATTCCAGCCTTGTCTCTGACTGAATCGTCAGTAAGTGGGACATCCGAAGAGATGCACAGTCCCTCAGTCTCTATTGCTTGCGCAAAGACCCACTCTAAGTCAACCATAGCACCTAAATGGCAATGCAAAAGTGCGCCTTTTGGCATTTTCTGGATGATCTTCCATAGCTTGGTCGACTCTAAAGCTGGTTTGGCGATGTTGAACATCATTCCAGGGAATAGCTCTTCGGGGTTCAACGATGGTGTCGCAGAGGTTGACCATGTTGATTTGAGTTCCTCGGATCGGATATTGGAAATGATTGAGCTGGCTTTGATGGCTGTAGGAGAAAGCGCAGCTCGAAATTCATGATCTAAGAATTTATAAGTAAATGCAATGACCACAGATATTGTGGAGTTACTTACCACTTCTTTGCAATCTCTCATTTGACATGAGTGTATTGCGAGCCTCCACAAATTTCTGATAGGAAGGATGAGTCAAATTTGGAACACCTTCTTTTGAGAGTAAATCATTCCCAAAAGACTTCTCGGATTCTCCTTCCATCTTGGCTTAAGTATGGCGGCTTCACGTTATTTTAGATGTCAAGCATAGAGCTTGGAATCAGCGTCTCAAAAAGCGGCTAGTGTCAAGATAATTAAGATAAAAGTAAGCGTTCGCAGGTACATGTAAGAGTGGATGCCACTATGACTCATCTGATGTTTTATTGTGGGTCACCAACATATCCTGTACCTTTTTCGTTTGGTAGGTAGCCAACAATGACAAGCTGACCTGTTGAACAAAATACCTCTGCGTTTTCGTTATGCTCACGTTTCTCCCCAGGTCGCAATTGAATTGAAATTCAATCATTAACTGCTCAACTCAATATAAGGCTCATCGAGGAGATATTCACTCCTAAGACAATTCCCATATAATCAATTCCATAAATGCCCGTTTGGTAGGGCCTTGCGTGCGGATAATTGCATATCAAAGCGGCTTTCAATGATAGTCCTCTGGGCCATACTTGAAATCCGCAAAAGAAGAAGAAAAAAGCTCCAGAACACCAGCCAATGCACACATCGCAAAGAAGAAGAGATAGCATATCCTGTCGTTGTATGTAGCATTGGATTTCGCTTGTGCAACAAGTTCAATGAGAATTGCTTCAGTGCACGATAACTTTCCCTTGCGCAGGAATCGTCGTACCACTCGATTGTTTTTCACGCAACCGTCTGTTCGTAATTTCAACACTGTATAATCTCCTCAATGAGATAGACAAAATAGATTCATGTCAATCAAATCAACATAAATATATATCTAAAATGTCTTCACCTGGAAAATAGATCTGTGTTTCCGTGGAAGACATTAGCATTTCGTGAGTCAAGCAAGTTAAGCACCGAAAACAGGGGTAACTATGCAGAAGGCCAAAGCAACGTATCAATGATCGGAGTTTTTACTACTTAGATTTCCCATCATCAAAACACCGATACAACGCAAATCGAGCCAAAAAGCCAGAAGCGTTGTCTGCCGGATGTATAGTCAGATGTCTGAAGCGGGATACGTGCCTCAAGCTCGCTCCATTCTCAAACCTGACACTTGGCTAGATTCCAAGAGTCACGTCAAGAGTAAGGAGCACGCCGAATGTAACGAAAAAAGCTACATTCGCCAGAGCGTAACTACAAAGCACGCAATGCAATACTCGAGAATGAAAGTAGAGATGGCTTCTCCAATGCTTGAGACAATCCCCAGAAGGCAGTGATTTTCAAAATAAATAATTTGTAACTTCGGGGGGTTTTGGGAATACATTGACATGTGGAATATGATGCACGCTTGCAGAAAACCGGACACTACATAAAGAAATCTCGGAGGTAATTGTTTGATTTCGACAGGTGCAACCAAGACTCTGTCCCAACTGCATAGGCAATAATTGTACCTCTCAGAGATACGAGAGTTAGATGAGGATTGCTGGACGATGGCCTTGCATATGTCGCCTGGTATTTCCTCTAACACAATTATTAGTACGGCACTTCATGTCTAGAAATATCAGGTCTTCCACTCACATACATCGGTACTGATATAGTTGAATTACTAAGCTCCGTTTCTGTTAAACGGCACAGGCACTTCGAGTATGAACATATCCCTGATCATAAAATACAGAACAACTTGGGAAATAAATGAAAAAGTTGCTTCCGGTTCTTTAAGCGTGCCTAATAATTGGTGGCCTACTCTAGGCGAACGGGATATATCTTAAGTAGTGGATACATATCAATGCTTCCTGGCAGTCAAAAAGTACTACATCTCTTGCACTGTTTTCCCCTATTTTTTAAATGGATGACCGCCAATCTTTTGACAGTAGTGCAGTCCTGCGTGCTTTTGGAGGTTAAGGCAACCAGCAAACTCAAGAGCCGATGGAGCATGGCAGTCATCTTGCCACCAAGCGAAATACCCTTTTTATCTCCGGAACCGAAGAAGAAAAGTCTGCATGCTGTGAATTTGTGCGTAGCATCGCTGTCAATAACACGTCGAAGCGCGGTTCATGATAGCAAGAACGCGACGACGTTGAAGGAAATCAGACCCACTTCTGCTCCGTGCTTGCTCACGTGACTTTCTTACCCCATTTCCGACTCCATTCATGCATCGTCTTTCTCACTTCCAAGGTTCCTGCGGAGTGAGCATTCATGCTATCCGAAGCTTGTAGCAAAAGGAATTGTTTTATCATTGGGCAGAAGACTTAGCCAAAAGCTCATCGTCATTGCAACCCACCATCCTTATGACTTTCTCGACGACTCGCATATATTCAGAACTATATTGCCATCTACGAGCAAACACTCCCGGCTTTCAAGTCAGCTTTTGACATCATTTTTGGATATTTTGAAGCTAAGGGAAGACTTCCGGTTAGCACAATGCAACAGACCCATGCAATTAACACAGGATCAGTAAAAGACTTGGATAAGGTTTGGCAGATGTGGCAGTACATCTTTCCCAAATGGTCCATTGACCGTCTACGACTTCAAGCCATACTATCAAGTCCGAGCGCTAGACTATATATCCATGAGAAAGGGTTCTGCCTTGCATTCTTTGTCAGCCCAAACGTGGCTAAGATTGCTATCATGGGGGTATTGCCTACTTACAGAGGTCATGGTATTGGTACAGCTCTATTAAAGACTGCTCATAAAATAATGAGCTCAGAGTGTGCTTTGAGTTCCTTTGGAATTGGCTCTGTTTTTCCAAGGCTTTGGCCTGGAGTTCCGATTGATTTCCCCCAATCTGACAAAGACTTCTTCATACACCGAGGTTTGTTCCATAATCCTAGCCATCAGTGGTTTTAACTGGGATTTAGGGTTTCGGAAGTCACTCTCTCCAACGGCGAAGGACCTGTACAAAGATATCAGATCGAAAGTGGTACCCGAGAATATTATGGAACAGGTTTCAAAAAGTACCTTGAAATTCTCGCCTTGGTCTAAAGAGTTTGAAGAAGAGTGTCTTAGGAAACAGAGAGCGAATTTTAAAAATATCGGATGGGTCGAAGCCTACGAAAGACTTGCCGCAGCGAATCAGCATCACGAAGTTATGGTGGCATTCGACGAGAACGGCATGCAGGTGGGTTGGACCTTGATGTGCTCACAGGAAGCTACCGTTACCAAGACCTTTGCATTTATGAACTTGTTACCAGCAAAAGAGAAAGCGGGCCTGATAGGCTGTGTTGGTGTTGATGAGAGTGCGAGAGGGAATGGAATCGGTCTCGCACTTCTCGTCAAGGCGATGGAGAACATGAAAGAGCGTGGGATGGAAGGTGTTTTCATTGATTGGGTTGTGATCAGAGGCTTCTATGAGAAACTTGGTTTTGCGTCCATCTGGGAGTATGAGAATTACGAATGGTGAACAGGACAAGGTTCATCCTACCCGTCTGAATCACTACCAGTAACGGTTTTTGGTGAAACCGAGGAACGAAACGATCACCCGATGTTTGGTGGTTTCTGGTAAGGTCCTAAAATTTGGGGTTTCCTTTTTTTTCGAAGTCCCACCCGCGCCCAAATGAGCTTCATAGTGGTGAAAGTTCGACCTCTCTTGTTAGAACGAACAAGTGTCGACAGTCAACGGTTCCGGGTGAGGGCTGGGGGAGATGCATGCTTCGCTCTTTCCAACTTTACCAGTCCCCAAGATCACAACATCGCTGACCTCCGTGATTTCCACCGCAGCATCTTAATCAACGTTATGAGACGTTACAGTCTCGTTATTCGCTTCCGAGCGACTTCATTCTTCGCCGAATAAACTCCTATTATCACAACACCGCTCTATGGAGAATTGGCCAGGCGCCACCGTCGGGGTCGCATACGCTCTGACGGGAGTGTCATTCTTCATTATTATCTCGAGAAACATCCTTCGGCGCCTGAAACATGAGGATCAATTACTCGACGATTGGATGATATTAGGGTCGACAGTTTTCTACGCTCTTTGCACAGCGACAAACCCAGTTGCCGTATGCTAAAGTCCTCCAGCTTGCTTTCCCGCAGTCTCTAATTTTAGGCAGTATTTCAACGGAACCAATGCCAGAGTGGAGGATGTTCGGGAATTGCTACCGGGGGAAATCCAACATGGTAGGTTATTGACACCATCAATTAGCAACGTGCTAATACAGCGTCAGCTACGCTCGGATCCCTATATGTCTTCCTTGGCCGGCTGTTTTACACTACTTTCGTATGGATATTGAAAGCCTGTATGGCCATTTCCTACAGTCGAGTAATTACAGACAGTCACCTCGAACAGCTCCTTATCCAAGGAACCTTTCCGCTGCTGGGAGTAACGTGGCTGGCTTGCATATTTACGAATTTCTTAGGATGCAATCCATTGGAACTCTATTGGCAGGTGATACCAAATACACCGCAATGCGCTCGAGGCTCGGCAAATTCTTCCGTGTTCGGCTCCATGCATATTTTCACGAATGTGGTTCTTATGGTTTTGCCGATTCCAGCGATACTTCGAGCCAACTTCCCGATCCGGTCGCTCATCCATCTTTCTACCATCTTCCTGGTCAACCTTTTTATCATCATCGTGGCGATCATTAGAATGGTCATTGTCCATAGAGGCAATCCGCAATGGCAAGCGCAGGATTTGATCTGGAGACAGGTTGATTGTTTTCTCATGACCGTAGTAGTCAATAAACCTATACTATACCGATTCTGGCGACATGGCTTTAACCACATGCGTAAGGGACAATTTGGCGTAGACGCTTGTAGCACAGGCTACTGCCCGCCAGTTGAGAATCAGGAGCCACGTGCCGATTCTGGTCGTAGCACTGATCGTGGGACGATGAGTTCTCTCGGAGGCAAGATTCGATCTTCAGTAAGTTGACCGTTCCGCAGCAAAGATCTTAGTCAAGACTAACTGAAGTCTAGGCACAAAATCTGACCAACAAGGCTCGCAGAAGCGTGGGTCTGCAAGTAGAGCAAATTCAATGTACGGTCGAGTTGTTACAGACATCGAAAACCGGAAACCTCGAAGCGGAGGAGGATGCAGAACTCTTTGGGCAATCTGACGATGCTATGTTTGGGGGAAAGTCGGGACCGATAGCGAAAATCAGCACGAAGATATCGAGAGCTGAGGACCATCTCGCCGATGTTCCCAGAACTCAGAAGGCAGCCAAGAAATTGCTGGCTCTGAGAAACCACACTGATGATGAACCATCCGCATTGGAAAACAGTGTTGCCGACATTGCAAGGTCTCAAAAAGCTGCCAAGAAATTTCTCGCGTCGCATAACAGAACTGATGAGAGTACACCTGCTTTGGAAACCAGTGTTACGGATGTTGCAAGAACTCAGAAGGCGGGCAAAAAGATCACTGCTCTGAAAAATAAAAAGGACAACCAGGAGGCATCTGCGGAAGATACAGCCGAATGATATATTGGGGGAACAGTCACTTCGCTAGTTGTAAGCTAGGAAGATAACAAACTTGGTCCGGTGCATAGGGCGTTATTCAGGAGTGTTCCTATTGATGGTTATTTGGCTACTGAAGTGAGAATCAGGTGTTCTTTACGCATAACCTAATCCTATGAGAACGTTATTCTTGATACCTCTGAATTATCTCGTCCTCTGTGCACTTCAGGCATTATTCAAATTAATACAGGTTCGTCCAATAGTTTGCAACCTAACTCTGATAGTAAACACTGTATCTGTTATATTTTCGTCATACATCAACATTTTTGAGACGTAAAAGACTTGATTGAGATATCACAGGATTCTCTAAAGTCACGGAGGGAGGCGTTCCGGCGGGGTACAGCAACGACTCAAGCTTCGGCCCGCAGTGCCATGACATTATCGTCACGTTCTACGATTTCAACTAGCCCATCCCAGGTACCTTCTTAATCTACAGATGTTCAAGGTGATCTTTCCGGTATGAAGCCGAGATCTGGGCACTGGCTCCATGCAGGTACTCAGCCTCAAGGCCGGCTTCGCTAATCACAAGGTGCGAAATAGACGATGCACATTTGCAATTGATTGCGAGTAGTGGAAATGTTGTTCCGAAACTAGTATGGGTTATTTATTTTCCTTCGGCTCTTTTTGGTGATGGTTTGATATCGGGTGGGGAAGTTGTTGGTTTTGGGGGATGGTTGTGTACATAAGGGTTCTGCCATGCCCTGTTATCTTGTTTTCGGCTTGAGTATTATGCTTCTTGCGTAGATATTTCATCATGTTGTTCTCAAATACTCTTGCGGCTGCCGCTTTGCTTGCGGTTAAAGCCTCGGCTACAATTTTCTACGCTGGTGTTGCGGAGAGTGGTGGAGAATTCGGTGTTTACAGTATGCCTTAAATGACTTCTATGTCTACTGCAAGGGTTTAACTAGTCTTAGGTGCAACCGCTCAACAAGGTTATGGTCTCCCAGGAGTATTTGGACAGGATTACTCCTTCATTGACAAGAAGGGCATTGATGTTTACGTCGACAAGAATAAAGTAAGCTCAACCATCTCGAAACGAATCTCCCGAAGAGAAAGCTAATAGAAGTATAGGTCAATCTGTTCCGTGTTGCCTTTTTGCTTGAAAGAATGTGTCCATTGAGCTACGGACTGGGATCCAAATTCAATGAGACTGTGAGTTTCCCCAATTTCTTTTGCAGAAAGCTGCTAATCGAATCTTAGCATTTCAATTACTACGCAGATGCGGTTAACTATATCACGAAGACAAAGGGAGCCTATTGTATCTTGGATCCTCACAGTTACATGCGATACAACAATCCTAGTCAGCAGCCTATGACTGGAAGTATCATCGGAGATACCAAGGATGTCACAGCCGCGACTACTGCTCAATTGTAAGTTTAATCATGTATGGAGAAAGAGTCCTGGATACTAATGATCATAGTGGCGCATTCTGGAAGGAGTTGGCGAAGCGATTCGCTGGAAACGAGAAAGTGATTTTTAGCATCATGAACGAGGTAAAGTGCATTCTCAGTTGATATTTGTGGATGTACAATGCTAATACCCGATTACAGCCGCATGACATGGAGACAAATCTTGTTCTTGCAAACAACCAAGCCGCTATTGATGCAATTCGCTCCACAGGTGCTAAGCAATTGTAAGCTTTTAACAATCCAGGAGGAAATTGAAAACCGCTAATCTATTCTGCAGGATTATTGCACCAGGAAACTCATGGTCAGGAGGCCATGCTTGGACCCAAAGCTACACTGGATATTCTCCATCATCAGCAGATGCCATGGTTCATCTCAAGGATCCATTGAATAATACCGGTATGTTTTTATGATGAAGTCCTAAAATAATTCCAAGCGCAATTGCTTACTCCAATTTTAGCTCTTGATATCCACGAATATCTTGATGTCGATTACTCCGGTGGACACTCCTTGTGCGCTTCCCCAGCACCAGAAAATCTCAAAGACCTTACCGCCTGGTTAAAAGCAAACAAACTGAAGGCCATGATCACGGAATTTGGCGCGTCGAACGGCACACAATGCGAGAGCTACCTCACGGGTATGTTACAATACATGGCTGATAACGAAGAATATATTGGCTGGACTGCGTGGGCGGCTGGGCCTTTCTGGGGAACTTACTCACCTTGTTGTACCGACAGCCAACAGTGGGGATCTTTGGAACCAGGAAGCAAGGCTGGCGATGGAAGCCCTGGAATGTATGAGACTGTTTGGTTGAAGACTATCCAGAAGTTCGTGCCTAAGAAGTTGGTTTGGAAGGGAACGAGTAGTGTTAAGGGTGGGCCTTTGAGTAAGCGACCTTGAGGAGGCGGCTGCTACGAAGAAGGCCAAGTGCGGCGAGGGGTGGGATGTAGATGAAATGTGCTTGTTGAGGAGAGCTGGGAAGGTTGTGTTTAAGGGGGGCCGCTGAGCTAAGCGACCTGACACGTGACTTGCTTCTTCTACAACAGGTGGTTTGGGGAGGTAACAGGTGCCTTAGACTGTCAAAAGATCGAGGTAGTATATATGGGAAAGTTTGTTGTATATAGAGAGCTTTGCGAGGAGTGCCAAAAGTTTTTGGTGCTTGGCACTTCTTCAATGTATATATTTCAAGTAGCATTATGCATACTTTCTGCATCTACCTTACTTCATAGCTTTCATCATTGGCAGGATAATGGTAATACCAGAGAGTTATTCACATAATATCTTGACCAATAATGCCAGTCTGCCATGTAAGATAATCTACCAATTGAAAGACTAGGAAAGCATTTGTGTCCAGTGGTTCGCTCATTTTGTCATATATCACTAAACAGTCAAGCTCATTAGCTTCAAGTCCAACAATGGATGCCTAGATCTATTCTCGGACATGATTCCACATCGAGATGAAGATCAATACTTCATTCGATAAAGCCACATCTACATGCAAGTCATTCGCCAGTTACCTGATGTAAGCGACACTTCCCCTGTCACGCCTCACCTCACATCGGCTCTCCTCTTCCACAACACATCGTCAACACTCCCAGCAACCAATCCCTTTCTCAGTTCCACCCAAGATACCATCTCCCTCCTTCCCTATTTCTGATCTCTGGACTTTTGTTGCACTTCGTACATTCATCTAATCTCAATCAATTAAGGTTAGCTTCCTTCCCGATCGGGCGGGTATCGCACGTCAGCATTTCGTAAACTCGCCCTCCTTCCTAAGTAGGTGTAATTTAGGTTTCTTGGGGCCCAGATTCTTGGGATCGCCAATGGTGATGGGAGCGATGGAGGGGTACGGAAGCGTGAGAGATTTGTTGCACGTCGTGCGGTTTAACGTTTTTGCTTGCTGCCGTCTTGGGTGCGGGTGGCGAACTCGTGAGGGAAGTGTTCTAGGTGGAAGGTACGAAGAAGGTTCTTTTGTCCATGTGATATTGCAGTATGTCGCAGTATATGTAGCCATGTTGACCTCGAGACCTGATTTATAATCGAATATGATTTACAGTCAAGCTCCAACTGACAACTGTTCAGTTTTCCGATACTTTGTCTATCCAAGCCCGGCATGTGAGACTCAAGTTTTCTTTTAATTTTCCACTATGCAGGTCATAGCAGTAACTTGCTCGAGTGGCGTGTGTCTTAGTCCTGCTTAGTAGCACTTGTTCTACTGTCGATGTTCATCCCGGCTGTATATCTTGTCCTGTTGCGATGTATTGATAGTGGCTCCGGGCTCTGTCGTATTAAGTATCCACTCAATTGCTAAACAGGTCTGAGGTTTCACGGAACTCATTGAGACGAGCTGCTACCGTTGTCATCCATGTATTGAAGGTTGCTTCCTTCCCATGCTGGGGTTGTTCTTTTTCCGGGCAAGACAGCTCGTCGATCGTACTTTTTGGATCGCTTGATTCAACTTTGGAAACATTGGAAGACTCCGTGTCTTCAGGTAATATCTCTGCAGTATTTACATTGTTACCATGTTAACTCTTCTCTCTTCGAATTTCCAGTTGGAGAGTTTCGTCTTTTCCACCAAAGGTGTTCGAGTTTTCGGTCGAGTCAGACAAGCCTTGCTTTTCTTGCCTACATCACTTTCAGTCTGCGGTCCTCTTTTGCATCCTTTATCCCCTTCCCACCCCTATTTCGTGTATCCTCACCCCATCCTAAGACCCTCCATCTCGATGTGCAACATTTCCCGTTTCGCGGTGCCTAATTTCTGTGGATTCTCGATTTTGCTTGCGCAATGCGATGCGGATTCCGAATCTTCGTTGCCGTGGCCAGGTCCTTTTCGTCAACTGGATTTCTCGAAAAGACAATGTTGTGTTGCTATTATGGCATCCTTGAAAGAAGTCACTTCCCTATTTTCTTGTATAGTTCTCACGAAACAGTGGCTGTGGATTCAATTCCATACAGTATAGTTTATGCTACAGTTCAGTTAGACTAATTCATACACTAAGTGGAAATCGTCTGTTTTACTGCTTTTTCTTTGTATGTTTGCTCTGTGGCAATCCGATTGTGGTACGCGGCTTGGAAGGTGCTAACTCGTGAAGCCGCTCCCCTTGTTTATTTACCTCAAATTGCAGGGAAATTGATTTGTTTCCGGAGATTTATAACTCTTACCATGGCAGCCTGTATTCTACACTGCTGCTCTGTAGCCTCTCTTTCCAATGCTGTCCATAGGAAAGTCCAGTGGAGAGTTATGAGTGTCGGTGTTGTCGCTTCCGAAGAATACCTGTGACTTTTAGATATCCGGTGCCAATAATCTAGCTTCAGTATATGCCTCTAGCGGTCCGTGCAACAAGGTGTATATGTTGTGTCTTCGTTGCAAATTAAACTAAGAGCTTTGCTCGTAACTTGGAAGTCAATTACATTGATGAGGGTCTGACTTGTAGGCCGCCGACGCGTTGTCAGCCTAGGAACAGGTGAATCCGGTCTTCCGTTAACGGTTAACTAGACTGCACATCTGTTTGTTCCTAGCACTTCGATCATCTCGGGAAATCCTCGACTCGCTTCTGCAGCCAAAACAAAAGTCGAGCGCCTTTGCGCGTCTTTGCTTATTGTAAGAAAGAACACACAAGCTAATTTTATGTTGTTTATCATCCATGCTTGATGCTCAGAAATCGAAATCGCTATCAAACCTCATTCCTCAATTTGTCAACATTCCAGAACATCCTCAAAACGCATATCAAGTCCAGCAACAATGGCAATGTTCATCAAGAACAATCGTCTTTTCTTCGCATACAGTCTGCGACTACAAAACAGGAAATAATAGCGCCCCACCAAACGTTTTCTAGAAGGGCGAATTGAGCTCTGCACTCCGCCTCTGAAAATCGAAAAATATTTCGTGCCACACCTTCCAAGCAAATTGGACTCAAAGAACCATGCCAGCATAAGTCGACATATTACGCTATGGGTTAGTGATCTCTTATCTGGCTTAATAATGCAGTAGGAATCTGAACATGATCGAAAATAAGAGGGGGTTCGAGGAAATTGGCGGCTTGCGGGCTTCAATCGCATGAACGTTGAAACACTTGGATCAAAATAAACAATCAAATAAAGATACCGGGTTAAAAAGGACGTGCCTTGGTATCATGATAGTGTGTCTCTATTTGTGCTTCGGTGCAATGAGAAAAGGAAAAGCGGATTAGAGCTGGGTAAGTTAGTCCTTCTTTTCAAGGCTCCAGCACTCTTTGCATCTTTCAAAGCTTACGAAATAGTAGCCAATGACATACACAGACTGTCAATAAACGAATCCAAAATATCTGAAGAGCGAAACCCTCACTGCAATTACGAAACTCACAGGCTTTTTGGGGAGACCTAGTCTGGTGCAATGGCAAGCCCTTCGAAATAAAGAATAGAAAGTCCGTGAAGCCAGTAATTCTACCCGGAATACACATGCGTAGAGTTTACAATCGATAGAAGAGCAAATAGACCTTCTGATGGGTACGGAAGTGGACACTCGACCATTCATGGAATAAGCGAATACTTGACGAACAGACGCATATCGATCGACCTGTCTACCTTTCTATCTACATGAATACAAATACCTATAATACAATTTTGAGTAACTTTGGCGTTGTCATAAAGACTGGGGTCGCGACAGCTCTGTGGCTGGAGAGACACCTGTGAAGTCGAGCCGATAAGGGTTGGTGCGAGCGAACCATTGAACATCTGCCATCCAATGCACGAATACAATTCATTAAACACTAATTGGAAGGCTTTTGTTTTCCATTACGAAACTCAATATGTTTGGGGAGAAGTTTGGGGAGAAGTCAGTAAGGCATAGAACGATCGGGACGGAAATATTACTATCTGTAGAATGGTGTGTCGGACTTTTGTACAAAATCACCAAGGACGTGATGAGCATAAGTTTTGGAGAATACAATCATTTTGTACGGAATATTTGGCTACAAATGATCGAATTCTAAAGCTTCTCCTGTATTTGAATGTCTGGTAGCTTGATTTAGCAAGATGATGATCGTCAAGGTGTATGAATGACCGAGCCACCACCTCGCCAGAACTCAACGCTCCTACTTTCCACATACCACAAAACACGGATTGCCAATCCGTTGCGTGCAACATCCCTTGTGATATCAGTACCTCGAGTGGCGCATTCTTCCAGTTCTGCATTCCTGAACACCTCATTTCGCACGACTCCAGACCATCTACTTTCACAGCCCTGCGCAGCCGTCAGCCGAATTAGAGCAACTACCCTGAAGCATGAAAATACGACAGAATGTTTCTTGAATAGTTGATATTGCCAGGTTGTATTTCTGCTATGCAACGGCAAGTGAACGACATTACTACGCTGTGCGTAAGAAATGGTCCAAAGGTACAATCACTTGCTGAAGTACCCCCAGCCAGCAGAACCGTACAATCTGACTAACATGGTAACATCTCTAGATACATCCCAACAAGCCATTGATGGGAGACTTATCAATACAGCGTAAACCATACACTTCCTCTCGATTTGCGAGCTCCCCCTCTTCCTATACATCGACTTCCACACATCTTGCTTGGATTACCCTATCTCGAGAACTCGAAATGAAGTTTTGGACATGATCATATCCTCTATCATACTGCTTCTTTCCGGGAACAGTAATCGTCTTGGCTACCTGTGCATTGAATTACTGCAGACTCGAGTAGCTGGAGGAACGAAGTTTCGCGCAAAGCTAGCTCCCCAGTCTCCGATGAGGAAGCTAAACATAAATACTGTAACAACTTATGGGAGTGCCAAGGGTACACAAGAAACGAAGGACTAAAGGCCCTTGAATTGAGTGGTAGTGCTACACTTATTTTACAACAAGAGACACAGAGAGGACTAGCTCTTTCTGTCCAACCCGATCCTTAATTTGGCAGATCAGTACTACGGCATTATGTTAGCTTGCGTACACAGCCTCATTCTTGCAAGGCTTTATGTGTTGCAGGTCTATAGTTAAACCTTTGGGCCGAAATCATCACAATTGTATGACGAGAAGAACATCAACGTCGGAAGCACTTGCAGCACCTAAAAGTTAGTCGACCGTTGGAACAGTTCCCCAATAAATAATGATCCAGGACGGCGTCGAGAGTTGCACAAACACTGTAGTACCATTTGCGTGTCAAAATCAGGCGCGGTAAACTAAAGCTGCTGGGGTTCCATCATCAGAACGTCCTGTTTCCCAATCGTCGGCAGAATAACAACGCCGATACGGATATACTGAACACAAGGCTAGCTTCCCAAGGTCACCAGCCTTCTTACCCCGGCAAGCTTATCACTAACAGACCAAACGGGTCCCTGAGCTAAAATCCCTGCTATTGAAGCACTGGTGAACGTTCTGCCAACCCATCAGCCGCATGTTACTCCCTGTTAATTCCTCGTTTACGAGCGAACTCAGTACTGGTGGGCATATAGACGTAGGTTTATGGAAACTTAATCCTACATTTTGGATCACTGTGCTAGTGAGACAGTTCTCAGATCTCTGCGGCCTACTATACGTGAACAAGATGATGCAGAAGCAGGTCAGTAAGAGTTGTCCGAACTTGATGTACTATACTGACATGTTTGCTAAACTATACAATGCAAAACCAACTCTTCGAAAGCTTAGAATCTATCACGAGTTCCAAACAGTATCGCCTCAAATCTTTTCCTGTCGCTATAAGAAATAAGTCGGAAGTCGAATACGCCAATCCACGAAATGAAAATCGATCAGGGGGACTCCGATGTCGATGTCAAGTAGAAGGTCAAGGCTGATGATAGCGATGATCGCAGTGCAGACTCTACGGGTTTGTATCTTTTGAATCTCCTACAGTCTTATTTCTTTGCCTGGTATGTTGCTGTTTATCTTTGCTTGGAATCCCTGGCTGGATTATGTACGGAGTGGGTATGGATCGCTTTACGCTTTTACCTGGTGATATTTAACCTGTTTCGGGCGTGTGATAGTACTGAGAGCACTGCTACTCTCTATTACACTGTTAAATAGCCATTCTAGTTAGAATAACTTGCGGAATGAGTTGAGGCTATTCCCACATTACCAAGGTTTAGCTGACAAATTTCTCATAACTAGATTAAGTCCGACAAGACAAAGACCACATTATCTACCTCCGCTTACCAGCTCCTCCTCCTTATTCAATCTACGTACGATCACTTGGTCGGTCCATACTGTACACTTCTCGAAATTCGAAATACCCGGTACCCCTTACCCCAAGTTTCCGCTCTGTCTCTTGTTAAATCACGACTTTTGCCTATTATAGCTATGTAGGGACTAACTACATATGCAAAGGATCACATGGCAGAAGACAAAGGCAAACGGTAAAGCCAAATGGGTTCTGGATCCCGCATACCTCAAAATTGGCAGTAGAAGCTTCGCCTGCGCTATGATTGACATTAGCGTCGGGATTAAGAAGAACAGTTTGGCCCTTTAGAGTAAAACAACATCTCAGATCACACATATTGACAATACGATGGCATAACACTCTTTGTAGTATTCGATTAGTCTGTCAAGTCAAAAAAGCGCTGCTGTCGTTGCTATAATCGCTGAAGTCATATTCCTATTGCCTAAGCTCCCGGCGACCAATACATTCCCTCGCTTCTATCTTTACCCATCCTCCCCGCCTTTGGACCTGATGTTGTTTTATTTACATGATTGACACGAGGATTACAATTGCTCAGTAGACAGATGTTTATGACCCCTAGTCCAGGACTTGTCACAAATGCATTCCACCCAAGTTCCATAGCCTATTTTCTTCCTTGACCGAAAGCTCTGGGTAATCTTGTCAAACTCTGTCTTGGATCATCTCAAGAGCTCTTGGAGGTGCTTCTGCGCCATCGATGCACCGAATCGTTGATTGGACGGTGGCATGACATTTTGGGTTTGGAAAGTTGTGCCTTTGCCTTCTCGCACCGGCACGGTCGACCCTTAATGAGTCTTCCTCGACCCTCACGAATTGCACAGCCGACGAGGTTTGACCCAAGCTGTGCTTTGGCTTTTTCGCAGCGGCAGGGTCGGTCCTTGATTAGTCTGCCACGACCCTCACGGCACCGTCCACGAACGACATTTGTGCGAAGCTGTTTGAACTTCGACGCAAGATACCGTAATGAACGGGCTGCCCATATTGCCACGATCTATTGAAAGCCAGGTTGAAACGGATGCCACGAAACCAGAAAAAGTGAAGAGACGCCATGCTCGGAATTTCCTGGCGTATACACAGAAAGGAATGTGGAAGCTCTCAGTGTTTGAGTTCAACTGTATTATGGTATTTGAAGGTGGTTTGAGTGGAAGTGGCCGAGGCCGCGAAGAGAGTGTGATGTGAAAATCTCGATCCGTGTACGGTGTTGACGATTTTGACATTGGTTCCGTCTGGTAGGTAGCTGCGATGACAGTCAGTACTCGAAGTTCTCCCAGAGACTTTCGTATATAAATCAATAAGACTTACTGGGTGATGCCGACAGCTTCAGTGAAGTTGATACAGTTTGTCTGGCGCGTCTATCTTCAAAGAAGACGAGGAGGACCAGTAGGTGCTCAATGGTCGAAACCGAGGAAAGATCGAGTGCCGAGTGTGGGAAAGATTGAAGCGAGAATCTTTGTTTATTCGAGGCTATAGAAGCCAGTAGAAGTGAAGTTTCTGAGCCAGCAATAGCCTGGCTCGCTTATGCTCGAGTATGACAAAGAAAGATGTATGCTGGCAGCTTTTTCCTGTTTTCGTAACCCAGAGTCTTTCTGAATTCTGTTTCCATCGCGATACAATGAACAGCAAAACTCGAACAGGGTAGCTTCGGAGTAGAAGTAAAATGTGCCATCTAAGCTCTCCACGCATGTGAGATAGAACTCGGTAGCAGTGGTATTGATGTTGATCGCGGGGAGACGGCGGAAGCATTCCGTCCAACAGTATCAGAGACATATAGAGACGTCCTTAGCCAGCCATAAGGATTTAGAAATTCTAGGGTACAGGTATATAGGTGTTAAAAGGTGCAAGTAGAATCAGGGACCAATACTGTGAACACTGATGTTCTCTGTTCGGCAAACGGAATCTGTGCTTCTAATCAATTCAGCTCTTCCAGAATTCTACAATAGCTCTTTTCTCCGGACTGTAAAATGTTTTATAAGGGATACATGGCTTTGGCCTATTGAACGTCTCTAAAACCCAATACCCACCAATCTTCCTATCTTCCAGTCCACTGTGCACCTTCTTCGTCCCAATTATTTTGTGGATAGGAAATCATTGATTCCGTGGCCAAAGAGCTGTTATTTCAAGGTCTTTGTTCTTAATGATCCATGATTTACAGAACAAGCCAAAACTGGTTCCAGAATAAATTAGGAAATCCCATCGGTAGCGCTCCTCCATATCCAATAACCTTTACCAGTACTGTGAAACCAAACCACCGTCAGCTCGTCTACCCAACCAGCTATAAACAATGTGTTACGAGGGCCGTCGATTATGTTGAGCAACGTTCTTCGCTTGCAGAATAGACCGTCGAGGCTGGCGAAGTTGCTTGCGAGCAAGTGTCTTGATATCCGCCCAGCTGGGTTCGATGTGTTTCGTAAGGACGAGGGCTAAGTCCATTCATGATAACTTATTCGTTTTTGCCCGGCTTGATGTCATTAGTTCGTCCGAGTTCGAGCAAGTGGAAAATATTGGTTACCCCTTAAAGAATGTTATCTGCAAATATCCAGTTAGCTCATCACGGCGTAGGTTATTGTGCCAGCTCTTACCACTCTATTGGCTGTCCAATGACTGTTCGAGCCTAATGTTCGCGGTCCGAGGGGACACCGACGTAAGAGGTAGTTGTAAACTTTAGAGGCCAAGTAGCTTGAGAGCACTGAAAAGCCCAACCCGTGCTAAGGGTTTTTATTGCAGTCAGTAGATTGTTGTTCCATAGCTAAGCCTTCTTTAAGATAGTCAGGGGTAATTCCAAGCTGGTAGCCTCTGTTATTCGTGACAAGCGGGTGGTTTACTTCTTTCAAAGATGGTTTATTGTACTCGGTGACCTTCTCAGAAGTCATCGTCCGTGTATAGCGTCCCGGTCCACAGAAGTCTCAGTGGAAAGGGCGTAGTTCGCTCGAGTCCTCTTGTAGCTGATATGCCAAGCTGTTGAGCCTAGAGCATAGTTCGTTTCGGGTGTTCTCCAGTTGAGTATGCGAATGTGTTAGGCCAGTAACAGCGTTGGTGGGTCAGATAGGTCAACAAAGAAGTGATGCGCAGCGTTATTTCTTTGTCGCAGATCCAATACCACCATGTTCCAATCATGAATCTACCTATAGGCACTTCGCTCGAGGTGTTCTGTAGCTAAATAAGGTAAGAACTTGAGTCAGTATCAACGCAACCTCAAGTACTAGGCCCAACTATAGAATAGAGTATAATGTTATTTCTTCCTCGCAGATTCAGGTCCAGTATGCTCCAACCTTATCTGGTTCACTCGAGGTGTTTCATCGAATGATATAGAAAGATTTTCAGCCTATAGTAGAGCATGTTTAAGGAGATGCTTTAGCAAAGGATCAGCGCGCTCTGCCAATGCTGGGCGAACGATTCAGCCTCGGGCTCTTCCAACTATGCTTCTAGTTCTCTTGGCGTGTTCTACGACTGGAGATAGGAGGTTGCTGAGCCAGTAGTAGCGCACTTTCAGCTGGATAATTCGTCAAAGGAACTGTGTGTAATGTTGTTTCTTGATCGCCGACTCAGACTTGGTGTGTCCCAACTGTTGCAAGTTGCAACCATGTACGTATGCGCTGCAATAGCTCTTGAAGGCTAGTCTCGAGATGTCGATACTGTAATCGCGAACTACAGCTTCGTTCAGGGGTTACTTCCATTGGATGTTCTAACATTTTCCTGCTGTTCTGAGCAGTACCTGATTCAATCCAAGCTCTGGAATAGTGTTAGCAAGCTCAATTCGGATTAGTGGGAGACTCTACGAATATGTCTAGATCATGGTGTATAGTGAAACCGCTAACGAACCTCTGTCCAATCTTGAAGCTAATCATGGCACTGGGTAACTAACAGCATATAGAGCAGAGTTCGAGCTGTATCGCTTTCGCACTGCTCGCTAAATCAGTCAGGGCAATGAGTGGTATATTCACATTCATTCTCACGGCACGAGCTAGTCCCGAGAAGCGCGGTTATCCTCCGCACACTGTATCAACAAAAATAAAAATGGGGCGCTAGCACAAAGGTCTTCCTTAAAATTCGGCCTCGTCTCGTACCACTCTACATCCTCAACTTTCCATATCAGCACGCCTTCGCACACCCGATCCACCGCAACGACTGAGTTTCCAGCACCATTGATATTGCTTTAATTTCGTTATGTAAGTTTCCATTCTCTTCCTCCCATCGGCGCGTCAAGATCTGCCCCCGTCCCTGGTTGCTATGCGGCCATCACCCCTCACAAACACGCACTTCCACATTTCTCGAGATTGCGGAGGCAAGAGAACTAGCTGTGAAGCCACAACTGCATCTTTGCAGTCGCAGATCAAAGGAGAGTATGCTCAGAAGGAGATTCTTCGAGGCTACGCTCCAACGGTCGGCCAGCTTCATGGGGGGCGTCTCTTCACCTCCGCACTTCTCAAGATTGCGGAAGAAAGCGAACAGCCTTTGTCACAAGGATTACATCTTTACGATCGCAGATTGAAGGAGAACATTCTCAGAAGAAAGTTCTTCGAGGCTGTGCTCCGACGGTCTGTGGGCTTGACAAACGTGAACCTCTCACCTCTGCACTTCTCGCGCTTGTAGAAGCAGGAGAGCTACCCCTAGAGCTTACCTAGTATTATCACAACCTTGAATCAGAGGAGAACATGCTCAGAAGGTGATTCTTCGAGGCTGTGCTCCGACGGTTGGCGGGAATGATAGTCGTGAGATCCTCACGTCCGCAGCTCTCACGATCGCAGAAGCAGGAAGACTACCCTTGGAGCTGACATAGCATTACTACAACCTTGGATCGAAGAAGAGCACTCTCTGAAGGTGATTCTTCGGGGCGGCGCTTCAACGTTCAGCTAGCTACGTGGATCTATCTCTGTGATTTTCGCACTTCACGCGATTAAGAACTAGGCAAGACTACGGCGATAGCGAAGACTAGCATCTTTGCGATCGTGAATCAGAGACTTGTGCGCTCAGAAGGTGATTCTTCAAACCCACTCCTCGATGATTAGCTACCTTCGTGGCTCTATCGGCCACTTTCGCGCTTTGGGCGATTGGAGGCTAGGAAGGCTACGGCGAGGGGAAACAGTAACGCTGGTGATGTGAATCATCGTATATTGCGCTCAGACGGTGATTCTTCAAGCCCATTTCTCGATGGTTCGCTAGCAGTGATCCCACGTGTCACTTCATACTTCACGCGCTTTCGGGCACGGGGCGACGACGAGAGCACAGCCTAAGGCCGTTGCAGTTGTGAATCAACGAGGGCTACAGCTGTGAATCAGATAAGGCTACACTCAGGTCTTGCTTCGGTTCTATAAAGTCAACCCTCGACGACTCACTTGCTCCCGTCCATGCTTCAACCGTCAGTCTTCCGCCTCAAGCGATTGTGGGCGATGGAGACTCCACTGAGGGCACAAAGCAAGAAGACCTTTGCAAAATGAAAGGAAAAGGACTATACTGAGAAGGTGATACTTCAAGGGCAGTCCTGGCCCATTCGCTAGCTTAGTGATTCCTACGAATCAAGGACTTCGACCTCGCGCTCTCGGACTTTTGCGATTGACACCCAGAGGGACTATTCCACCGAGGGTAGAAAGCAAAGCTTCTATGATCGTATATCAAAGGGAATGGGCAGAAGAAGCCTCTTCAAGTTCGCCCTTCGACGATCACCTAGCTTGGTGGCTTTACCCCTGAGTTCACTTTGGCGCTTTCGCACTTTACGCGAGTGTGGCCTCAGGAGATTCGGCTAAGAGCAACAGCAACGAGCATGCAGTCTTGTTGTGTTTGGAAAGAAGGCTTAGAAGGTAAAGCTCTGAGCCTACTCTCCCGCGGCGAGCAAGGAGTAACATCTGCGCAGTTTTGAAGCCAAAGGCATACTCAGCAGATAGTTCTCTGAGTTTACTTTCGCTGATCAGCTCGCTTGATTGTTATACGATACCCTACCCCTTTCACACCTCAAGCGAGGTTACCTCGAGCATCCAGTTTGATTTCCACCACGTATTTTTGGCATATTCATGACATTTTATTGCGATATCTCTACTACGTTCACACATTTCTATTCTGCAAGTTGTCATCGAAGAAAAATGCTAACAAAAACAGAACATTAGATATTTGCTTCATATTTACAACGTCAAAATGAACGGGCGCTCTCAGGGCAAACATCTAACACGGCGGGAACTGTCTAGGCGGCGGGAACAATCAGTTAACCAAGCACAACCTGCACAACGACAGCAGCAGCCGGTTCGTCGGGCAACCGAAAATATTCATTGGGGGCTGAAGGTCCCAGGTCGACCACCAACTCCGAGTGATGGAGCGGCGCAAGTAGGAAAACATGACGCTCTGAAAGTGCATTGGATTTGGCTAATATTCCTCCAGTCGTACCGCAGGGTCGGCAACGTTTCCAGGCAGCAAATGGTGCGCTACGACAATGGGACTTGTATTCAATTTGGCCTTGACGTATGTTACTTTGACTTGCCCTCCTGTTCGCCCAAGCTAACCGCTATAGGACCGAATTCTGGATTTCCATCCAGAATCACACACCCCATTCCGCGAGCAACATCTGCTAATCGACAATACTATCAGAGAAATCAAGGCCGTCCGTCAAAGTCACCCCGGTGACCAAAGCGACCCGTTCGAGCACTTCCGCAGCCACGAAGCACCGGAGAAGGATGTCACCTACGTGGAAATGAATGCCCAATCTGGTGGTCTTTACGTACAAGTACCTTCATACTACGCAAGTGTTCATGACACAATTTCACTATACAAGACAGCTGTCAGCTTGGACGGAGAACGAAGTTCCACACCGCCAGCTAACGAAGACAGTCGATATGGAGTTGTTTGTCCACCAAGTGAGCCAGTTTACAAGTACAACAATACCCCAGAGCCAGCTACCACCGCCTCATCGGCCGAGGCCAAGGGGGGCAACTCTAGGAGTAGAAGAAAAGAAAGGCGGTCTGCTCAAGCCATTCTGCGAAGAAAGATGCTGCGGGAGCAGCAGCAGCGGGCAGCGGGAATTATACCACCTGGAAACGCCGATTTGAAAAGCTCCACGGCGACAGCGAATGTTACAGGGTCAGATGTGGCACCAGCCACCACAACACAAATGTACTCCGAAGAAGCACTGAAGGACATCAACATGCAGCTCGCCGAACAAGAAGAGATGCGCCGCCGAAAGGTTGAGGAGCAAACCGTAACAGTTACAAATGAGCAATTTGACAAGGCAATGGAAATGCACGCCAAAAAGCACACCGCCCAATCCGCTCTCAACGAGTTGCAGCATCCGGCTTTTGAGCAAAATTTCCGAATGGAGGAGAGCCGAAGACAAAGCCAGGTCGAACTTTCACAGGATCGCAACCAAAACATTGCTCGTAACCCAAACATTGCTCGTAACCAAAACATTACTCGTAACCAAAACATTGCTCGCATCCAGAGCGGTTCTCGCTATCAAAACAGTGCTCGCGTTCCTGGTGATGCCCGCCTTTCTGGTGGTGCCCGACATCCTGGTGATGCCCGCCTTTACGGCGAGGCTCGCTACCACAACGAAGCTCAAGATCACCTTACCGATTACTACTTGCGACAAGCGTCTCGAGCTTCTGAAGAAGTTTACCGTGGCTCGACTGCGGTTGGGTCGTTCTTTCCACTTATGCCGCACATGAACGCCAACCCAGGCAATGTTTACGAATTTGCAAACTTGAACAATGAATACGCAAGACAGCAGAATCAAACTCAGCCATTTCAGCCAGAGAACCTGACGGAGAGACTCAGAGCTCTGGAAGAGCCTGACTATTCCCGTGAAGTTTCGCCGTTCGAGCAAGTATCTCGCCGTCCAAGCAGTATTCAAGCTGGTGACATCAACAACCCCGATCTTGCTTTCAGTTTGTCAGCCCTCCGTCTTGGATCTGCTCCGATTCCTCGCGCACCGCAATTCATCAACAGCCCGTTTTCAAACAACAGTCCGTTTGCACCGCAATCTAACAATGGTGCATTCCGTCCGCCACCAATTGGTCGCATGACATCTGCTTCTTCCGCTGTGACTTCTGGTTCGGACAGCCCTCTAGTACCACATCCAGCTATTTGGAGCCCTTTGCCAAATGGAAGCAGACCAGGTGGTGACGTACGTGGGCGAGCAGCTGGTCAACGTCTCTTCGAAAGAGGTGGTTCATTGGCGCCACCCACTCCTGATCACTTCCCGGTCGATAGGCGTTCCGCTTCCGAGGACCGGCATTAAAGCATTTGCTATATTTACGCAATTTGCTACTTTCACTGCTTCATAATGGGCTATTACTGACAGCTCTTCGACATCCAAATTGCTACAATCATTGTCAACGACTTCCTATTTGTTCACATTATAAAATCAGGATACCTGCAGACGTTTGGTTCGGATTCTATTTTCAGTTATTCAAGTTTCAATTATTCGGTTTTCACTTCTTCTGTTCTCAATACATTAGTTTTCATTATGATATGCGTGCTTGGAGGGCATTAAAAGCTTCTTGAATCCTCAAGGGCACATGGAGGGAGCACGGGAAGGGAGTTTTCATAAGGAATGGGAGAAAAAGCACTCACTTTTATGACTGTACTTCTGGCTTTGGATTTATTCGTTCTGAACTTCTGGGCCGGAGTAAGGGAAATATTGTGGATAGGGACGTAATTTTGACAGAGGGGCTACGAATTTGCTTTGATACACCAGCGTAATACCAATTTGCTAGCACAAAATAGAATAAAATTTGCAAAACACAAAACCCTTATTTCTGAGATCCATTGAAGTAATTCAAAACCTGAGAACCAAGTGACTTGCACCGTAAAAACGTTTGAAGCTGTTGACCATGAAGAGATGTCGTTGGAAATCTGGGGAAATTACCGAGGGCTAGTGGCACGCGTCGGCGATAACAAAACAATACTTGCTCCCCACCATTGGCTGACTTGTAAACCATGACAGTCTTGTAAAGATGCGGTTCAAGACTTCTATAAGGAACATCCAGACGTTTTCCAGTATGTCGACATTCTCCAGACTTACTGGCATTCTTAACGCGTTCAACAGAACTCACTGCATCATTGTCTTCATTGGGAAAGGTAGCATGGGTTCGTCTTGATGACCTCAATGTACGGTTTACCATAATACCAGAAACTGGAACCCAAGTGTGGGCGTAAGTATAATTCTTGAATTTCCTTGCTAGAAGCTGAACTGCTGTTTAAGGTCTCTTTCAATAGACTCCATCTTCGAGGATTACACTATCCAATCCAATGCCGAAAACAATGCCATCAACCTCGAACTCCCTCTTCCACCCCTCCATCGCGCTCTAAAGTCAGCAATCAACGCGTCATCCGCGTCAATACGCCTCACAAAGAGAGATGGGGTGCCTGTTCTCTCGTTGACAATCATTACGAATACGATCAGCAGCGGCAATACTGCGAATGGCTTTCTCAATGGCGCAAGTCAGGATCCGTTCGGAGACAATGCTTTCAGGGAACAGGACCTCAATGCTGGAAGGGAAAGAGAAGCCGTGGTTACGCAGGACATTCCAGTTAGGGTTTTGACTGCTGATAGTGTGGAGGGCATACATGAGCCTCGAGTCCGCGAGCCGGACGCCCACATAATTCTCCCCTCGCTCATCCAGCTGAAGGCTATCTCGGATCGATTTACGAAGCTTGCATCGGCCACCAGCACGGGGGCAATCAGAAGTGGAGGGGCGAACAATATACCAAAGCTGGAGCTTTCTGCGAATATGCATGGGAGTTTGAGACTTAGCATTTCTACTGATGCTTTAAACATATCGAGCGTATGGACCGGCTTGACAAATCCACTACTTGATCCGAATCAAGTCAATCCAGACGGAGAAGGCCTCGAGGATCATCCAAGCACCTTATTGAGAGAGAGAGGGCCCGACGCCTGGTCTACGGTACGCATCGATGGCAGGGACTGGGGCAAAGTCCTCAGCGTAGGCAGATTAGGCGGACGCGTAATTGCTTGTAGGTTTTGATATTTGGTTGCTGGAGCCTTGTCTAATGTCTTAGGTTTCGCGGACGACCACGCCCTGATTCTTTACGTATACCTTGCGAATTACGAAGACGGAACTGATGAGTCGGTCTTGACTGTGAGCTTACCACTTTCGTGCCCACCCACATTCTAACGCATTGGTAGTATTATATCTCGTCCTTCAGTGCATAAAGCACTCATGTTTCTACGAATTGATCTTAGCGATGGCGTTCGGAACAATACCTTAAATTTGCTTTTTCAAACAATTCTATACCAATATCTACTTTCAATATTGCTTTTCTTCAATCATCGAGGAACTCGGTTATAATGCTTGCTATTTCACGTCGCACTGCATTACATTCCGCCCGTCATTTAAACCGGCCGAGCGTACACCACCAGTGTACATTCAACCCTACCCAAACGGAGCTAACATACCGCTTTAATAGGTGATGGGCACTGTACGCAGGGTCTAAGTTTCTTGGTTGTCAGCACGCTACAGCCAGAATTCATGAATTTAATGTCAAACATGCTGATTCCCGTTATAAGTTCCTTTCTATCACATATCTACGTTGAATAACAGGCCATCTAGATACTTGTTCAGACAGTAAATTAGGTGGCGGTGTTCATGATGTTACACAGGAGGGCTGACCGAATCGACCAAGATGGCATCAAGACACAACCGATATGCAGTGATCACAAGATTCCAAGTCAAAGCAGGTTTCAATCCCCCTTCCATATAACAACAAATTACTCGATATGCTAAAAATCCCGTAGTTCAGTTCTTCGTATGCTGTACTCCATCATGTCATATGTAACCCGAGCACATGAATCATGATAACTCCCATAAATATGCCAAGCAATATGCTAAAACCAGTACAACTTCATGCTCCAACCGTCGTTTGCTCGTGAGAACAAGAGCTCAAATCATCGCGCAGAGGATCGCCGTCTTCTCGTCGGCTTGTCTCTCAGTTTCTGTTGCTCAATCTGTCGGCAGGGTGGTCAGCATCACAGCCCGTAATCACAACACCCATGTCTCACTCACGTCGGTTATCCTTCTAGGCGCGGTTACCTTCCAATAACCGGCGCCCCGGTCATTATCTGCCTATACACAAATGACATCAGTTGCTGAACTCTTATCGCAAAGGAAAAATGCCTTCGACAAACCTCATAGAATGCTGTTTCCCCAAAAGTATCCCAAAGCCATTTACCCACGATGTTTTCGAGAAGGTTCGGGATCAGTACCGTGATAACTGCTGATCTCTCGATATCGTAAGCGTTGGGATGAGTAGTCGTCTGCCACTCCATAGGTAAAGACATAGTGCTCGCAGTCAAGTTCGTGCTGCTCTAGTTATCTAAGAAAACAGAAGAGTATCAAAGAGAGAATACAAACCCCTCGGCCTCCGGAACATCCTTATATATCACCACCCATCACACCACCAGCCTTGCCATATTGTTATTTCACGAAACCCGCGATTCGCGAGGCCACGTTCGCATCATGTATCATAGCTGAGCCTCACACTGACCCAGATGCAGCACACCCCTTCTTCTCAGACACACACACCGGACCCTCCTTTTGCCCGACCAACCAATACGCAGTTCCCGAACACATGCTTTTCGGGTACTGTCAGTTCGGTTCGGGGCAGGGAATAGCCGTGTTAGGCAAAATATCTTGAAGATGCACGGAAAGCCGTGATCTTGCTTTTTCCTACGCTGTTCTGGAGTTTCAACGCTGAGGAGACCGCGGGTTCAGAAGTCAAGATGCGGTATGCTCTGCTCCTCATGTTAGGCAAATGATGCGGACTCTCGGTGCCTGGTATGTCGTGGTGAGTTTGTTCGTTACTCTAGATGGTGTTGTGTCGCTTGTGGCGGGCTGGAATGATGTCGCTGCTTCGGGATGGAGATTATTCCTGCGTTGATCGTGATAAGCGACATATTGGCGTCAATATGGTTAGCTGATCTGTAGCTAAGATATGTGTGTGTACGAAGCCCATTTCTACCCGTTGCATGCTGCTGAACTCGACGGTCTTGCTGTAGATCTTTATGCATGTCATCTCCCGTATCAGCTCATCTCTTGCTTTTGCTCGTCGTACTTGGACATCAGTTTGCTTACTTGGGATATTTAAATCGCCTCACATTTCGCTCTCTAAAACACCTAACTTATATTCGTACGCGCAAATCCGGCTTCATATTCGTGCTATCAAACGACGCATCGAGTTCTATCATCTTGGCTTATATCCCACGTTACATATCGTACGTAACGTCTTTCGCGGATATTAATACTGAAATGACATGTCTTCCGTCTTAATATCTTCAAACTTGCAAGATCGAGATCGTCGGTATTTTTCGCTTTTATTGGCGCGCAAGTTACATCCGTGGGTGAAGAGTCACAGATGTTTTGTGCTACGGAGGGAACAAATGGGAATTTGCTGACTGAGAAGTGCGTTTATTAAGGTGGTACGGCAGGGAGTAGTAAGGAGGGAGGGTTTAGTTGTTGTTTAGGGGTTTTGTGAGGGGATAGAAGGGTTGTGGTATGAGGCTGGAGGAGGGAGATTTGGGATGTTGATCTCGATTCTCTTGTAGCCATTAAGGAATCTTCTGTTTGAGCCCTCATACGAGGTCATGAACAAGATTGCGTGATTATCTTACTGCCATATAGCTCTATCACATCAAATTCGTAGGGCAGGGCACATCCGTATCTTCAGTTGTCTCATGAAGTGTAAAAATCAAATAAACATGCATGACTATAACTCAACAGAAACACAACAGCTGCATGGATGAATAACTTTTGTCACTTCTAGATTCGAACATAGAAAAGAGGTAAAATCAGGAAGTTGAATGGAAGAGGTAATTGCGAGGAAGGAGATGTCGTGGATTTTGTGTATGATTTCTACCGAGTCGTGCATTTCTTTCCACTTGATAATGTATTGGCAAATCTAAAAAGCAGGGGATGCAAATATTAGTGTAACAAGTATCAAAATTCAAACATTTATAAGTACAACGCTCAAGCCACATAAGCTCAACCAATGTATGCTACATCGAACAATCCGACTAACATTCTTCCCCATAAACCTCAAGGCATGCAATCATTAACCCTTTCCCATGTCAAAGCCAGCAGTGTCAGTCGTAGAAACGAGTTCTTCTTTAAAACTCGACAACAAATAAATTGCAATCACATGAACCCAGTAAATTCCCGTATCCAGCACAAACTTCAAACGCCAATCCTAGCTTGAGCCAACTTAAGTTGCATTCCAACTTAATCCACAACTTAATCCAAGTTAGAAATAAGTTGGAAATAGGGCGCAATTAAGTGCACACGAGAATCACTTAACAATCTACAATCTCTCTTCTACAAGACCGATAAGCCCGACAATAGCTAACAGTACTAAAAACAACGTGCACTGGGCTTACAAGCCTGACACGGGCCTATATTGATACTATGTTAGTACTCGCTAACGACCTTCTTAACCTCGAGGGCGACGGGGTGAGAGGGTGTACGATGTATTATTAGCTATTAGAAGCGTTACTGATTCCAACTATTCCTCATCCTTTAGCCGCTCTTGGAGTTCCTTTTCTAGATATACCGTAAAAAAAAGTACTAAATGATATTAGAACCACTAAAGTTATACAACTGCAATAATTACAGTATTTGAGTAAAAGATTACATTCCCAAACTAGGCCAATTGCGTAAAACTTTGAAGCAAGATTTGGGGTACATTCCTACTTGTATAGATGGGTCGCGGGAGGGTGTAAGTCAAGGCGATATTAGGATGTGAGAAGGGCTGTACTTGACTAACATATGTGAGAAGGATCGATTCAATGATAAGAAATCTAAAACATAGTTTAACGAGAGAGTAATTTACGGACTAAAGAGACTTACAAAGAAGTTAATGAAACGACATATATTGCATCAAGTGTCCGATGTATTGAAAGGTATCCATATAAATGTCTCTTCCTACATAATCTACAACACAACATTCCAACCATATAAAACCCCATAAATTTTTTTTTACACAACCCATCCACAACACCTATATACCACAAAATCCCCCATCACAACATTCCACCCCTTGTTTCCCCATTCCCAGCTCACCCCCACCCAAAAATCTCCCCCACACTCCCAGAATTCCACCGCACACCCGTCAACGCAACCGCGATCCCGAAGAGATCAACAAGCACCAGCGCCGCCGCGGCACTCATGAACTTCGGGCAGAAGATGCGATAGAGCATGAGATGGCGTCTCAGATGTCCCGCCCACATCGTCGTCGCCAGACTGATCGTAGCGAAATACGCGACATGCCACGCGAGCGCCGCGATCAGACTCCGCAGGATGCCGCGTTTCTTGGGTTTTTGCTTCCATAGTATGATGAGAGGGAGGAAGACGACGCCTAGGATCTGCGCGCCGTAGCTGTTGAGCGCGACGAGGATGGGGGAGTAGGGGTAGAGGATGGAGTGGAGGGGGATGAAGGCGGATTCCCACTGGATGGAGGCGAGGGTTGCTTGGTGGCCGGTCTTGAAGAAGTGGAAGGAGGAGAGGAGGGCGAGGGTTATGGGGCCGATGGGGGAGGTGGTGAGGGAGGTGAGATCGAGGAGTTCGAGGAGGGAGAGCGATTGCCAGGTCATGAGGGAGAGGGCGCCAAAGCCCATGGGTTTTTGGACAAGGAGGAGCGTGAGGAGGATGTTCAGGACGAGGAGGAGGTAGCGGGTTCCGTGGACGTTGGCGAAACCGAGGATGGTCACGGTGGCTTTGGCTGGGACGGGTTGGGATGCGGAGGTGGAGGCGCCGGGGATGGTAGTGATTGAGACACAGGGAGGCGCGTAGATGAAGGCTGTTGTGCCCGCGCCAAGGGCGATGGCTAGGATGGTTTGAGCGATTGGAACGCGGATGTTCTTTAAGAGTCCGCTGGGTAGGTTGGGGAACCATTCGGCATCATCAGCAGCGTCCAGTGTCCAGAAGATAGCGCTCAAGACGAGACCACCTCTGAATACCCAACCAATCCATACTGGTGCAAAGCCTTCGTATGATCGACTCCCTGCGTAGTAAGACTTGATAATAGAAGGTAAGAACCCAGCAAGAACAAATGGAATGAGAAGCTGCCATGGCGCTGATGTTGACGAATTCGCTGTGGCATAATATGTCGAACGACAATATGGCATCTGCTCCTCCCTACAAAGTTTCGAGAACGACGCCAACCATCCCAGAGCGATAAACGCACCAGAGTGATAAACACCCAAAGTCCTATCAGCAATCTTCTCAAGTCTTAAAGACTTCACCGCAGCAGCAACCCCAAACGTAGTAAGAAAGAACAACAGAATGGAGTCTTCCCAAATAGTATACGAATTCGACGCAAAGCCAATCGACTGACTAATCGTAAAAGTAGCCGCCAGCCAGCCCCAAAAGGTCTTTGGAAAAGGATTCGTGACTTTCATTCTCCCCTTCCCTTCTTGACCCAGCACACCGATAAGACCACCAATCGCACCAGGAGCCAAACCAAAGTTAAGCAATGAATCCCCTCCCATTAAAATGCGGAAAATTGGTCCGGTTGCAACACCCAATGCAGTGCCAATAGCAGCAGTCCGAACCATATCTCGACTCGTAGTCTCAGCTTCCACAGGTTCAGCACCTTTAGCGAAAACCTCAAGTTCCATCTGTTGCTCCGCACGCTCAAGCTCAAGATCCTCAATACTATCCTCATCGTCTGAATTCGTATTCGCGTAAAGCATCAATGACAGCACGCCTGCTGCAAGTATACCAACCCCCAATATCATACTGGGAACGTCAAAACGAGCCCATAGATCTCGACATATCCTCAAAGTCTCCTCTTGATAGGCAGAGAACGCAAGATACGGATCTCTGAACATCTTGTCCTTGACACCGCCCTTGACAAGCGTCTTCTCCGCAGTCTCCCAAAGATCATGAGGAGAGCCTTCAGCAGTACTCGTTTCAATGCCACGAGCAGCGTAATAAGCAGCTTGATATCTCTTAATCCCCGCCGCAGCCATTCTTGTCACCGCAGCAAGGTTACCCCTATCATTGCCATTCTTGCCTGCGAACGCCTCTTCTATAGGTTTCCCCAGATTATTAAACGGGATAGGTAATCCAAGCAACAAAGACAACGTCGGAAGTAAATCAATCTGCTGAACCGGTCGGATCTTAGCCGTAGCAGGAGGCGTGACAAACGCAGGATCAGTGCGACCAAATATCCCCTTCTTCGAATACATCCACAACGCAGCTTGCACCTCATCATCACTTTCCCCGCCATGATCACCCTTACTATCCATCCCATGATCGCCCATAATAACCAACAACGTATCATCATCCACCGAATCGATCAAATCCCCCACCACCGTATTCATCTGCTGCAATTTCGCAGTCATAGCAGGATGATTCGGTCCATACCGATGGCCAGCATGATCCACACCCAGGAAATGCGCAAACATAACATCCCACTGCTCCTTCTTCTCTTTCTCCCGTAGTAACGGCATGATATGTTCCAACACCCCATTATCCAACGTATGAAGATCATACACATTCAGACTCGGATACGCTTTACTGATCCCCTCCTCGAAATATCCAGGGAAAAGCGCAGTCCACGTATCATCCCCAAGATGTACCATTCTCTTCCCCTCCTCCTTCAAGCGCATAAGTAAATTATCCTCCTCAATAGCTTCGCCCGCGAAGTTCGAACCGGCATCAATGAACGTCGGCAGAGTCCCCGTAGTCAACCCTTTCAACCTCTGTAAAGTCGTCGTCGGCGGATCCGCAATGAATGGCAAGAGAAACGCATTTTGCGGCTGCGAAATTGCAGTATCGTATAAAATCGGCAGGGAATTATGGTAAGCCTGCGCTTCACTTTGGTTTGTGAAAGGGATAGTAAAATCGTAGCGTAAAGCATCAATAATAACCACGACCGCTTTATCAAAAGTCTTAGGATGCCAACACCCCGCTTCAACCGTCCCAATGCCCTTAAAGCTCGTGATAGGAGCAATCGGCGGCACCGCACACGCAGAGTGTTCCTCAAGAACAAGCCGTGTAAGGAGGAAGCCTTTCGTAAAGTAATAAAGACCAGTAACATGAATAAACCTATCCCACATCAGTCCTACCCTTAAGCTTTCTCAAAACAAATTGACTCACAGAAACCACACAAAAGCCCCTAACACCCACCACCACTCGCTCATGAACCTCTCCTTCTTAACCTCATTCAACCGCTCCGCCGTGCTCTTCTGCTGTTTCGCCGACGCAGCAGGCGCGGTTTTCGGTTTCCCCTCTGCGTCTTTCAGCGCCTTCGCCCTCGCGTATTGCGCTGCTATGGTATTGGAATTTTGAGATCCCGGCGCGGGTTTGGGGAAGTTGGGTGTAGCCATGATGTTCCCCCTCCTTGAATTGAAGCTTAACTTTTGATTTTGCGCCTCGGGTCGGAGGGGATTATGGAAGGAGATTAGGTTGGAAAGGAAACTGGGATGGGTTCGCCATGTGCTGCGTAAGCTGTTTGAAAGAATGATTGTATGGAAATTTAATTGGAAAGGGTTTGGGGAGAAATACGTGGTCGGAAACGCATCTATAAAGTTCTTTGGTGGGACGCGACTTAAGCTTCAGGGTCCGTCGGAGCAAATGCCGGTCTCCGGTGGGTACAATGACGGTTAGCTTTCCTGTACTTAGGTAGGCAACATGAAAAACTATCAATTAGAAAAGATACATTCCTTCAGTAGTATGCGGTCAGGACTCTTTTTTCTTGGAACAAATGTTGCCGTTTTGGTCAAGTGAAAGCTTTTACTTGGGTATTAACGCTGAAGAGGGAGCTGTCTCAAAGTAACCCAGCCCAATTGCAGTGCACAAGCTCCAGTAATCATATCATATCGCTACTTGTACTAAATATAACAAATGCCCACCACGATCCAACGCATGCCCAGCAAATTCCCATCCCGGTCCTAGGTAAGTGCTTCATTCTGGCTTTCTTTCCCAAACCAAACCTCGTCCCAGCTTGAAGACCTCACATCTAGCTCATAGAGCCAAATTATAAGCATACTCATCCTCCATATTCTGGCTAATCCACAGCACAACCGAACTATAACGCACCAATTAGCATTCACTTCCCCTTTCCCCTCTGTATCAAACTCACCTCAACATAACCAACCCATTCGCCAACACATTAGCCACGCCCATATACAGCGTCGGCCACACCGTCTCCGTAACCACATACTTCAGCACTAGCACCGTAACACCGCCAGCCATTCCCCCAGCCAGGGACGCAAAGCCTAGGAACAGCACCACGCGCGCTTTCCAAGCGACGCCGGAGCCGGAGTAGGAGAAGGAATCGGCGGAGAGACGCGTTTTCTCGATCGAGTTGATGATGAGCATGCCGAGGGAGGAGAAGATGAGGGGGAGCCAGTCGATGAAGGTTATGTGGACGTCGCTGCCGTTGAGGGCCGAGTGGGAGAAGACGGCTGCGTCGAGGAGGGTGAAGAAGGAGAGGGAGAACTGTGGGGGAGTTAGCTGTGTACTTGTGTTCGCGTATCTCTTGTAGTTTTGTCTGCGCCCATGATAAAGATGCTCATAAAGCTGTCTCTGTCCCCAACCTAACCCATCACGACCACATCCGCTCCCTCCAGTCCTTGCCCATCCTCTTTCAAACCCCTCCTCACCTCCAGCGCTCTCTCCCCTCTTCCCACTCTCTCTCCAACCTCCAACCCAAAGAAGCAAATAAAACATACCAGCGCGCCCGCGGCATAAACCCCCGCACTTCTAGCCATACTACTATTCATCCATTCCGGCTTTCGAAACTTCCAAAGACGTTCTTCCGACATCTTCCCAGTATTCTCTTTCCCTTTTACAATTCCTTATATTCTCTTGTTATTCGAATATCCTCTTCGCAAGCTAAATCTTATCAGACTGTATTCGTAAAGTTCGTCGTCGCAAAGTCGTAGGTTGTTGTAGTTCCCAGGTTGTAGTTCCAAGGTCCACTAGCCCCGAGCTCGAGCTCCTCGATCAGCTTGCGCGGCTCAAGAGCGCGCTAGTGAATAATCCCACGTGATACACTTCGATACGGGATACGGATTTGGTAGGGCGATACGAGATGATTTAATCTAGATCTAGAACGACGTCTCGTATTCTACATGCAAATCTTTCTTTCGAGTAATGATATCTAAGGGTTTGACGGACCTGAGTTTCGACATGAGAGTCTTGTCCTGATCACATATTTGCTTGTACCAAGAGTTATACCACATTATTAATAACCTGGAAACAGCTCAATCCGCATCAGAATATTGGATCGTGTTGTAGTGAAACGGTGACATTCGTGAATAACACCTCAAGGAGTGAATACAGAGAAGGCTCAAACTGAATCTTTACAGTATCTCGTGTTTCTAATACTAAGGACAATATACACACTCCTCTTCGAAACCACAACTCCGCACCCGAACCCTCAAAATCAACCAGCATCACTAACCATAAACATAAAAACCAAATTCACAATCCTCACAATTACAGGCAGCTCATCTCACAAAACCTTATCTTTTCAATCATTGCTTTCTCTCATCAATGTACATACAAAGTGCCCCTTCACTTGCCATCTCGCTCAATTCCGTTCCACACGCTCTTCTATATCCTCTTCTCAATTTCACATCCGCTCAATCTCAAGAAACAAATCACTCGCTCGCTCCTCTCATACAACATCATCCAGACCCCACTCCCACTCATCATCGGATCAAACCCCCACTCAATTCCATATCAATTGTACAATCTGTAGGTCCCTGATCAGGCAAACCAACCAGATGATCGAGAAAAGGAAAACAACAACTGCAAAAGAACCCGCTCTGCGCATGCCTAACCTGCGGCGTCTCGAAACGAAGAGAGGCGTCAAGAAACAAGAAGAAAATTCGGGTGATTTCGTCTTTGGAACCATATTAGAAGAGTCCCTGCATCCTATCCCCATTGTATATGTGCGTCATGAACAAACTCAATTACGTCCCTCATCACATCTAGTCTCAGATGAGATTCGCTCGTTACTCATTCCACTGGCAGATTTCTCGAGAAAAGGCTAAATAAACCAAAAGAAATATCCCGCCCATTGCGATTGCTTTGAATACTTCATTATGCGAGGATCTCTGGTGACGACTTCCTCGATGTGTGCGCCGTTAACGCCTTTATTCCATGTTGCTGAATGCAGCAATTCAAGTAAATCAGGAAAGCACTCTTATATTTCGATCGTCTTCATCGTAGTATCATCCTCGACCGTGGCCTTCTTCGCAGTGCCGTTGGCGAGTCCGAGGCTGGTAGTATTGGCATCACCAGCGTTGGAGTTTTCCTTGTTGTCTTCCAAAGAAACAGATTCTAGCGCAGTGTCCAAAGTCTTCGCCTTGGTGTCTTCACTTGGCCGAGGTGTTTCGACTTCGACGAGTTTCTCGATTGGCATATTAACAGTCTGGATCTTAGAAGGTGTTGAGCCCTCTTCTGTCACTCTGGCTAGCGGACTCGACTTTCCGTAATTTGGTCTGTTTGGACTTGGTACAGGTGAAGCTCCGCTGAACCTCTGCATTGATCGTCCACGAGGCTCTCCACCAACTTCGGCCGTTGGGCTTGCATATGGCGATCCACCAGGCGAGGAACCGGCTGGTCCAGCAGTTCCATTTGGTCCAGTGGAACGACGTCTGCTTTGTCTCCGACCATACTTCTGGTCCATCCTCCATCTTAAGATGTCCAAATATCCAGGCTCGACCTTGCTCGTTCTGAACTCCCTCAACTTCAGATCATTGGTCTCCTCATCCACCCAAGCTTTACCGCTGTTGAGGTCATCTGCCACAGTGGCCAAGAAGGCGGACCAAGATCTCGCAACTACATACTTGCAGTCGTAATCACGACCGAAAAGAATTACTTGACCCCATTTTCCCGCTGGACCTGGTGCAAGGTCGATTGCCAGATTATTTCCTCCCCAATCGCGGACCATTGGAATCCATGCGGGATGAGCATACACCTTTTGGATAGCATTTGGAGGCTGGGAATCCTGCCGGGCGAGGAGTTCCTGTCTCCAATGTGGATTTCCTGGCTGGTTAGATGGGGCCCTCGATGTGGACGAGGAGCTTCCACCAAGTGCCTTGACTGGGATCGCGGGCTTATAATTAACTGGCTGGTTGAGGTACTCGGCATTCACCTTCTTCCAATTTTCCCACTCTTGTACCATCTCTTCGCAGTCCAATAACATGCACCCAAAAATAATTCCCGTCGGCATACCGCCTCTCTCTTGTCCGTCGTGGATCTGCAGGGACTCTCGGACCTCCATGGGAAGCGAGCAGTCTAATTGATGTTCTAATTCGTTTAGGTCATTATTTGTGCACCCTTCGCACAATTGGTCAAACAACTCCTCGTAGTTGTCTTCAGCCCAGCGATCGATTCGTTTCCATGAGTGTCCCACTGGTGGTGGTGGTGGTAATCCTTCTTGAAACGCCTGTAGTTGAATCTCGCCTGGTGTGACGTTTTCGAAATTTTCGTTTGTGTTCGTTCTGTGTAAAGCCGTCTGTGATCTCATTCCAGGAGAGTATGGTGTCGGGCCCGGACTCTGTGGCATTATCCCTGGTGAATTTGGGTAACCGCCGCCATTCAGAGCCGATGTTGACATCCTCCCAGCCCCATCTTCAAAGTATGGAGAATTGATATCGGCACGGGATTCCGAGGCGGTCGTAGCGACAGAAGTAAGAGCCTGGTGTCGACTCTGTGGAAGGGGTACGTGTTGTCCGGTTTGGTATGGGGAGTCGTAGGAAGAATCTGTTTATTTCGTTAGTGCCGTCTGGCAAAGAACAACAAACAACCTACGTCTGTCATAACTGGTCATCGTATGCCAGAACGACTTGAAAGCAGAGCCTAAACTATTGCAGAATAACTGTTAGCGATGCTCTTCCAGATCCCAGGTAAATGATAGGGATTGACATCGAGTGCCGCCGATGCGCAATGAGATAGAACCAAAAGGGGGTACTTACGACGCCATGTCTGGCGATTGTGCAGTAACGGTAGACAGTTGAGAAATGGTGTTATCGTGATCGAGCCGTGTTGGCCAGTATTGTCGAGTCGGATTCGGAGTCTGCGAGTGTTTGTCGAGGTCGTGAAGGGTTGTTGAAAAAGAGCGTAAGTGGTTGAAGTCGCGTTGGTTGCAAGTCGCCAAGGAGCTCCTTGAATCGCTCCCTCCTTCCTCTCGCTTTTTGGGATGAGCGGTTACCGGGGAGTTGATTGGCCGCGCGGACTCTCCTGTTTTGACCTTGGTCTACCGCGAAAATGCCGTGACAGCGCAAACAAGGTTTTGTTGCTTTTATTATTAGACGACCGACAAACGCTTAGCTCCTTGTGAATATGACGGAGGATAAGTTTTGGAAGGTGTTGCGGAGGCAAAAGTGGTATTTACGAGAATACGGCGTACTCGACGCGAGGGAAATGCTTGTTATCTTGGATCAACTACGGCATTTTTGACCTCTTTAGCTACTGTCAAACACGACCCGAACTGTCAGCTCTAGCTCGGCCTTCACGAAGTAAAGCTGTCATCAGCTCAAGCCGCAAATGTCTTTAGCTGAAGCACCGCAACGACTATAACGCCCAAGCAGCAAATCTCGGTATGAGCATGAGTGAGTATCCGTGGTATCAGCGAAAGAGCGGTGACGTCGTGGTTGAGGAGGACCGAGTTGGATATTTTTCAGACGATCCGACAGGGGCAGCCGACGACGTCAATGACAAAAGAAGACGCATCTTACACTGCAAAGTATGGTAACTCTCACCCATCCAAAACGCATCACAGGAAATCGAAACATTCTGGATGAAACATCACAAAGATACCAGAGAAACAATCCAACCAAGGCGCAGCGCAGCCTCGACCGAGAAACACAATCCTATGTCCAAGAAACAACCTTCCAAACAACCTTCCTCAGCAAAGAAACACCCCCTATCCCCCAACCTCGAGCCTCCCCCCGTGCATCGAAACAAATCTCCCTCTCCCAGAACTCTAATAACCTAATAACCCATCATTCAGGCAAAACCTCAAAAACCCAATTGATCCTCTACGTATCTAATCTCCCACCCTGTTTCAGGTACAACACCAACATCTGCATGCTCCCGAGCGCAAACAACATCATGCGTTTCTCGAGAACTAACTCACCACCAATAATCAAACCATGAATACCTCAGCATCTAACCTACATAAGGTACTCAAGTACATTTTTTCCTGTCCCAGGCGCTTGCAAAATGTCAACGCCCATCTCACGTGGCTCCATCCCAAAATAGATTCCATCTCGGAGATTTAAACCTCACAATTGAGACAATCCAAATCCAACCAATACGCCCCCGGTCGTAGATCCTGAGTGCGCCACAATGTGGTGTTGCTTGATATTCGCCACCTGTCCGCAACACCAACAGCTCAAAACCACACATAAGAATCTAACGGTACATTAGACTATTAACCTTCTTCAATGGGAGTGCGAGATCGACTTTGCAGGTGGCGACAGCGTATCTGCGGGGGAGACTTATACGAAATGGAGAGGATGGGGGAATTTTAACAGCGTATCATAGATATTTTTAATACAAACAAAGCTATCAAGCTCATCCACACCCAAACGCCACGCCCAACCCTGATGACCTCTAATACGAATCTCGTATCGACCACTCTCACTAACTCTGCCACATATGCTCACTCAACTGCAACAAATGATCCCCCATCCCACGCTTCGCCCCCGTACTGATCCCGCGCTCGGGACTCGAGATCTTCTCGCTATAGCAAAGTTCCACGAGCGTCTTCAGCTCATCATAACTAAACAGCTCCTTGCCTCCCTCCTCCTTCCCAGCCTGCGCTTGTTGAATCACAGCGTCGGGGCCTTCAGTGAAGAGATCGAAGAAGCGGGCCGCGCGCGCGAGACTCACGTCCGCCTCGATGTTTTTGAGGTTCTGCTGGAGCACGAGGATGTTGAGCTGCATGCGTTCGCAGCCGCGACTGTTCATGGCTCGCACGTTGCCGGCGTTGGTGACGAGGAAACTGTCGATGAGGAGGCCGAGACCGGTGCGGATGAATGCGATTTCCTTGTCGCGGAGGAATTTGACGACGGTTTCTTCGTAGGCGGCGAGGTCGGCGTTAAGACTTAGGATTTTGGGGTCCGGGTCGCTGACGACTTGTTCGAGGAGGTAGGGGGCGGATTCGGGGGATAGGGCGATTGTTAGGGCGTGGATGATCTGGCAGCGGATTTCCATGTGGAGGGTCAATAGTACCGTTCCAGCGAGTTCCTGGTATGATGAGACGATGGAGTCAAATGCGCTAACAAGTTAGTGAAGAGTCATGGTAGAAATGGGTATTGAACTTACACTACGGTTTCCTGGGTCATTGGAAGGTAGACCGGAGTAGAATCATCTTGGATCATTGAAGGATCATTGAGGAGAGTCCAGCGTTTGTTAGACGGTTTTTGCGACGATGCTCGAGACGAATCTGTGTCGTTGCGGGTTATGTGACGGAGCTGATCTACCTTGATAGACAGCCACTTCATGCTGGTATACAATACACACAAGGAGGATATGGTTTCTCGATCCAAGATGATATCATCCAATCTCATGGGGTTTTCGTTCGTTTGTAGAATGAGCAAGCCTGTTTCTTTTTCAAGCTGGTGTTGATCATCTCCCTCCGATGTCCATAGTTTCTTCATAGTGTCATGAATTTCTCCAGGTCCAGTCGCAAGTAGAGCTGAGAGCTTCAGCGTAGTCCCATCCGAGCCTTCGACCCGAGAAACCAATGACTTGAACCAATCGCAACATCTATCATAATATCTCATCATTTGGGTAATAATGAGCTGACTGAGAGCTTGGTCATGAGGAATTGTGTCAAGCATCTTACAGAATGCAGTAATGAGAGCAAAGAACGCCGATGTTCCTTTAAATATCGGCCTCCTTGCAACATTTGCCCACTGACTGTCTTGCTGAAATGAGTCTGTTTCCTCAAACACCGAGTCGCTGAGTTTTCCCAGCGTCTCATCCAACTGAGGCAGAAAGACGTTAACGAGAAAGTTGTCGAGAAAAGATGTTAATGTACTCGTAACAAGGTCTGAACCAGGTGGAACTATATTCTTCAAGCGCTGGAGGAAGCCCAGAGTCGGTGGTAATAATAAGCTCATGTTGAACACACTTGGCTCTACCAGAGACTTGTGGACACCGATCCCTCCAGGTTTGCCATCCGCTCCAAAGTTGCCCATTCCCCCACGAGAGCGATTACGGGCATCCATGCCATCATTTCTCACATTTGGTTTCTTTCCATCGCCTTGTTTTGACATCAACCCAGGAACCGCCGCTCGAATGATACCTTCCAGATCCTGGTATTCTGTTGTCATTGCAATGGATTTAGAATCGGCGTCTGAGAACTGGAACAGCTGTTCTCGTTTCGTACTCTGCTTAAGTGTCCCTGGTTTTGGTGCAGAATCGAATTGGTAAACATCCGCATCTGTGGTAACATAATTATGCAGTAAAGATCGAATCTCGTTTTGATACAAGTTCCACAGCTCACGGAATCCCCCTAACAAAACAGATGGGTTGCTCGCCCCTTCTCGACGGACCACTGCCTTCACAGCATCGTGGAAAACACGATGGCTTTCTGCAATTGCTTCGAACTTTGCATACAGCGTCCATAAAAGATCATAAATGACATCGGCTCGTATGCTGTTTTCTCTCCCCCCAAACGTCTGGTTACCGTGAGCTTTGGATATACCGCCCCTAAGTGAGCTGGGATGTTTCTGATCGACTTCTGTATTTGTCTCATTAACGATTCCAAATAGCTCTACAGGAAGTCGCTGCTTAATCGTGTTGACTGCAGATTCAAGTCGACCAAGCTTATTAAGAGCTTCGACTAGTAAAGCAATATAGTAGAATGTATCCGCTTCAGAATTCCTCGATGGCTCCTCTACCATAGGATTTTCGAAGTCGATCGCATCAAGTATCTGGTAAAATGGTCGAAATGGAACCTTCGCGTCCAATTGCGCCTTTCCAATCCCTCCCTGGTCCTTCGCAAGCGTTTGCCATCTTTCCTGACAATATGGAGATTTCAGGTATAAATGATCATGTAATTCCTCAATCAGAATGTCGGTCAGCGCCGTTTCCTGGTTGGTAAGGTAACTCTTTAGCTCGCTCAAAGCCCCGATTTCGTCCAGCGCAGGCACTCTTATGCGCCTCAGCGCAGTCTGCAGTATATCCACCGCCGTAAGGAACCGCTTTTCCGATATTCGTGCTTCCAGTTGGTCAGGTACAAGTCGTAGGTCTTCTATCTCGGAGAGTGTGTGTAGTAGCCCATCATAGCTATTGGATGCAGCCGCTAACTTGCGCAACTCAGGGTCCGCCGTCGCAAGACTGGCTTTGGATTGTACCAAGGATTCCTTGAGAGATCGTACTCGTTTTTGCGACGCTTGTATACTCGATTGAATTTTGTGAAATGTTCCGATCGAGCTGTTGAAACCTTGGTGATGTTCATGAACAATTGCTTTCAGAGAGTCCTGGAGGTAATTGCGCGTCCGTTCAAATTCCCTGTATTCATGCGCTCTTCCAACAGAACTTGTATCCAGCAATTGCAAAGCTATGTGAACCGGCACACACTCGCTCTGGCACATTGCAGGCCACGCATCCTTTATATGTTCGAGGGCTTCCCCAATCTGCTTCTCCGCGCTACTCTCTACTCCTCTCTGCGGCCGACCGTATCCTGCTGAGCGCGACGCTGGAGGTGTAGCTGTTGGGACTGGGGGGGTACTGAATCTCTCCTCGTAATTCGTACCATATGGATCATAATCATCGTCTTCCGCTGGGAGATCGTATCCAGTCGGCGCGGCTAGTGAGTTCCCATTGCTATTCCCATTCGTGTAGGGAGAATCACCGTAACCTCCGTACCCGTTACGGGACATGGCCTGTTAATCGCGATCGCGGAGGTTTTCTCGTTGTTTCGAAGCCATGCGCTGGTGTTGGGAGCTATGTGTATGCTATTTCGTGGTGTTTCGGAAGCTTGGGATGTGGTTGGACGGCCAGAAGTGTCGAGGCGATGTTGTTGTATGCTTCCGCAGCGACGCCTGGGCTACCAACCTTACAGAATTACCATTCAGGACACATATTATGGTTGAGAATCCAGTAAAAATTATTGATTGCTATCGCCGAGGCCTACAAATCTATTTACACACATCAATTAAGAAAGACAGCTCTCATATGTTGTTGTTGTTGTCACTGGAAAGTTACCCGAAGTAATTCCAGCTTCTTGGAAGAAGCAGAGCAGAGCAGACTTACACCCTTATGCGGGTATCCTACCCACCAAGTTATACCAAGAATCAGTGAGTAGAAGAAAGAATTTGAAATATCGCAAAAAGACCGAAAAACATACATGAAATCATACTCTAGCGTCCTCCATCCACCACTTCATTTTGGTCCCTCAACATGCCGCCAAGATTTAAGTGGGTCCCTGCACAAAATAGTTTATAAAGCATATTAAGCATTTTTTGAGCCAATCAGCATTAACTGTTCAGTCTTCTTGGCTTAGTTGGTTAAAGCGTCGGTCTCATAAAGCTCTGTTTATGATCAGTTTGGTAACAATCTGGCAATCCGAAGGTCGTGAGTTCGACCCTCACAGAGGACAACCGTTTTTTTGTGGCAAATTTTTCTCAATCGGCATACTTCTCTACAAGTGAACGAGAACTGTGTTTTTTGACAACTCTACCACTGAGAGTCTCGCCCATTGAACCAAATCCTCGGGGCTTCGCAGAAAGAAGAGACGTACTCTGATATGGGCTCGCAGAAGAAATTCTTCCTTTTTGGCATCGTGAGCATTAGATCTGCAGCGCCTGTAAAGCTTCAATGCGTCTCTTATAGTTCTATCCTGAGCAAGATACTTTTCACGCGCAATGAAGACGCTACAAATTACCAAAATCGCTACAACTCCCAGAATTGGAATCTGCCAAATTATCCCACATCTCACGATACGTCGCTACCACAAGCTTCATGCACTTCAGACATCGAAACTCAATAACCCCTCTTCCATTTTCTGCTTGAACACATTCTCTCACTATCACTCTACGAGTCTGCATACTTGCGCTCAGAACCTATTCTCGCTTGGGAGAATCGGGTACATTCAGAATGTAGGTGTTATTCTTTGCGATTTTCCGTCTATAAGAAAGTTCAAGGGATGAATCGGATTTGTATTCGAAATCATATTCTATTTACTTTGAGGTTCCAAATGTTTAGAACACGAAATACATCCATGTTCCCAAAGACACAAGCACAAGGTACCAGATCCCCGCCTGAACTCTTCCAGATTCAGCCTCAACGGCAGACCATCCGGTTGGAGAGAAGGGTTTTGGGATATATCCCATGACTTCTTCACCTCTCCTCTTTTGTCCTTTAGTATTTCCTCTATACTTCTTCACTTCTCTTTCTCTTTTCTTTTAATACACCTCCTCTCCTCCCCTCAACCTCCCGTCCTCCTCAATCCTCCGCCCAACAACCAAAATGCACATCCTCGCCCCCATCCTCCTCGCCCTGACCACATCAATAACAGCACATCCCACGCACGAACTCCTCCCTCGACTAAAACCATATCAACTCCGGGGCGTTCAGAGTCCGATATTCCATCTCTATCTCCAAGCGTTGCCCAGTAATAAAAGCGTGCCTGTTATGGGTCCTGAGAAGACTTCTGAATATTTGTACGTGCACTTTCTCCCTTTCTCTTTTCTCTTTACCCTCTTCCATCCCCTTCTTCATCCTCTTCTCCAATTTGAAATCTCTGGTTTGTGCAAGAGAATGTGATATGCTAACATCTATATGATGGGACAGTAACATCGGCTCTACAATCCAATCCACGAATACATCTCAATACCTCAACATCGGCACGAATTCCAGATCCTTCAAGCCCCTTTCTTTCGGACCGACCGCTACGACGACGGCGTGGGCGTTGGAGGGGGATACGATTATTACGGGGACGGGGAGTAGTTATGGACGACGTGCGTATTCATTACCCATATTTTCCATTCTTATTCCGCTGCGAATTTTAGAGGAAGGAGAAGTTGTGAAAAGAGTTTGATCAAGTGAAACATGCTGATAAGTAAACAGAACTTAATTTCCTAGTCTGCGCTAACGCCGCAAGTGGATATTATGATTTATTCTTGCAAACGGGGAGTGATACGCCGAGTGGGAAGACGTGTAGTAATTACCAGACGATCCATTTGCCTTGTTTGTGTTAGGTATGTTAGGTGATCGGGTGTGGTATAAAGTGATGAGTGATTGTACATATGGAGAATCGAGTAGCCTGGTAGTGTGAGAAGCGGGCATTGTGTATATAGGGCAATTGAGATAGCGTGGTGGTCCGATGTATATATGAGTAGATCCGCAGAAGAGAGTTTTGTACATATGAGGGCTGTGAATGTAACTTTAGAAAAGCAACCATTTTAGGTACCACCGATTCCTTCTTTTTCTCACAACTCTTCCTCGAAACTACTCATTACTCCGTCGCGCATCTCAAGGTGACAATTCATAAAAATGACTAAAACTCAGCAGCGTCCTTCGATGATCAAACCCACACTTACGAGCATATCTTATCTTCCCAAAGTAATTGTGCATTTGCCGGTACGAACAGAAAGCTAAACCCAAACTCCAAAGGTTGGGCAGAAAGATATATCTACCCTCGAATGAAACAGACTCGCCTACCTATATAAAAATTGTTAACCTGCAATCACATGTAATCTCCCGTCGGCTCAATTCCACACTATTCGCGTATATATTAGCTCGTACAAGCTCTACTTACTGACCTTCTTTAACCTCTCAATATATTCTTTCCCCGCTTACCTGCTTACCCACTCAAATAGCACTTCTTACCCTCTAAGAAGGTTCACAAAAAACAATAATCCCAAAACATTTTTCAAATACAGAATCACAAGGTTTTCTCATGAGTATGTATACCCCAACCTAAATACCCAATCCCGAAATCAGATTATCTCAAACTACCAACCGTCCGACCTAGATCCCATGAAAATATTGAAACCCGTGAAAGACCTCCCTCATCCCAAGATATTTCAAAGTTTACTCCCCACCCCGTTGCCCTTCCCCATCCCCCCGCCCTCACACAACCCCTCACAAACCCCCCACAACCTCCCGGCCGCCCCCTCATCAACCGCCCACTTCGCCGGTCTGCGGATCCGACAATCATCTAGATACACATCTCCTTTTCGCGGATCTAGAAATCATAAGCCCTTGCACAACTTACCAAGCATATATGCTACAACTGAGTGGAAGAGGATAAGTCGAGGAAATGGTGAAAGATGAAGGAGACGGGTCAGGAAATAGAAAATATGGTCTCACGGTTTAAACTAGGGTTCAAAGCAGCAACCAACAAAGTCGAGACTCCTTCGTCTAGAGTTTTCCAGTCTTGAATCTGGTTTAGACTTTCTCTTGTCTGAGCGTCTAGGTCGCGGGGGAGGTTCGTTAGGATATCTAATTCTTTCATTAGCATATCCCACTTATCCCCACCATATCATCTCGTTTCGTCTCCCAAACCCCAAGAAAGTAAGGAGGAAAAAAAGGAGAATCAGGGGATACGAACTCCCCGGATTCACACTCCACGCCCCAACACCCATCCCCCTCAACCTCAGCACATGCAAAATATTCCCCGTCTTGCTCATCCCATAACCAACATTCCCTTCATACCCCCCATCAACAACCGCTCCACCATCCCTCCCATCTCTTCCCCTCAGCATCCCCTCCGGTAACCCTTTCCTCGGCATTTCCTCCAGCGGTACATCCCAGAACCGTCCTGGTTCCTGACGTAAATCACTGAACCGAATTGGCGAAATACGATGAGCTTCTGATGATGTATTCACGACCCTTGTTTGGTATGGAGAAGAGGAAGTGGTTAGGAAGGGGAGGAGGAGTTTGGTGAGCAGGTATGGGCCGAGGACGTTTGTGGCGAATTGGAGTTCGTGGCCTTCGGGGCTGAGATGGCGGGTTGAGATGTTAATCCCCGCGTTGTTAAACATGACATCAATGCCCGTTCGTTTCTTTTTCAGGTACTCGATGATTTCTGACGCTGCGGTACGGACGCTGGAGAGGGACGAGAGATCGAGGATGAAGGTTTGGATGGAGAGGTGCGGGTGTTGGGATAGGATGGTGTTTTTGACTTCCTGGAGATTCGATGGTGTGCGAGAAGCGAGGAGGATGTGCGAGGGTGCGTGGTTCGCGAGAATATGGGCGAGTTGGGTGCCCAGAGAGTTTGGAGAGACGCCTGTGATTAGAACTGTTGGGGGTGTTAATTTGAGATGACTTTGGTAGCTAGAGAAGGGAATATTGTGATGGTATTAAAGAAAGACAAGATGTTTTCAGAGCGAGAAGATTGAAATAGCAGGGATTGCAACCTTCGAGGAGAAAATAAGTGTTAAGAGAGGGCAGACGGAAGTTTGAGATTTTCAATTAATACCACAGGTGATTGTAGGATTCGATGCAATAAGTGAGTTACGTAAGAAGTTAACACACACATTCAAAACGAAAACGAGGCACCAATAGCTTCTCCTTTGAAATACAGATTACATATTCTAGAGAGTGAAAAGAAAGCAAAGTACAGAGCGCAAAGATGTCTATGTTTACTGAAGATATGGGATGTTGATAGCATACGGTACGTTGGAGAAATCGGGGCAGACTTACAACATCGTCCCTGAATCCCATCTCTGAACCTTTCCGCAACTTCGGCACCAGTCGTATCTTTTCCAAACACCACTTTCTCACTAATATGCTCTTTCATCTCACCCTCCTCGCCCTATTCCCACCTAAGGACGTCCTCACAAGACCCTAAGTTCGAACCGTTGAACGCCTCCCCCACCGAGATCTCGCTCTTACTATCACAGTAGTCACGCAATGCAAATAAACAAACGTCTTAGCATAACAAACAAATTCGTATGGAGAATAATAGGCAGGGGAAGGCAGACAGTCTGACATGTCGTCCAACTTCTGGTCTTCACAATTCGCAAGCGAACGAATCATACAACACGATGTTGGAGTGAGGCGGGGAATTTACCTACCTCGAGCCCGTCACGACATCAAATATATTCATACAACCACAATCCCCATCATTATAAAAAAATAAAAGCGTGTTTTGGAACGCTTAAAAGCGACCGTCTTTTCAACGAGTAATCCCATCTCTGAGATATATATCCAATCTTTCGTTGTTAAAACTAGATATCATATCATCCCCGCCCATCAGCACGCCACCCACCTCCAAGTGCCGTCAATCGTACCTACCATGACATAAAAAAACCGGAGCGCGGATGTCCCATCAAAATCTCATTCCACCAATTTCCAAAGGCCATTCACCATCCATCCACCTCCCCCAACCCCATCCCATCCCATCACAGCCAAACCCCGTCCAAGACCTAAACCTCGCTCGCTTCCTCCAACGATCAAGGAAGCAAGAATACAAAACCCATCATCATAACATATCAGATAGAGAAAGCAAGCAGGCAATAAGAAGACCCAAACTTACTTACCCCTTAGCGAGCGAACAAATTATAACCTACCTGATCATACCCCCACTTTGTTATCTATTCAACTTCTCATGGATGGTCTGTCTGTGTGGTAATATCCAAACACCAAGGTGTGTAGTGCTCGATGATCTGACACAAATCAGATATTCAAGTAACAGTCGACCCTGAGATCTTATGGTGAACAGTTATGTCCTTCCTGCAAACTAGTAGCTACATTGGCATATCTGTTGGAACAGTCAAGGTGTGTTGGAAGAATGAAAACGGCCCCAGGATAGTACAGCCCCATATCGCCGCCACTAAATGAGAAAAAGTCAGCATATTCAGGTCAAATCACATACAGCAGTCATAATTTAAAATGGGTAATTCTCTGTAATTATCAAATCACTCTCCCATAAGAGGAGAGTACTATCTAAAACCACAGAAAAGCGAGTTCCCCAACATCAAACATGATCCATCCCCTTTCCCCTTACCCTCCACCTAATCATTCCTACTTAATAACTCTCTCCTCTTGATATCCCCCAATCCCAATCAATTCTTGTGCTAAGCTGAGAAAAATATCTTGATAAAAAAACCAACAAAATCATCCATGATGAAATAATAATCTGAACAATTGTTGAGTAGTTGATGTTTTCCCTTTATAACAAGGTTTGATGATCGGTGGTGGTGGTGTGTTGTGTCGTAGAGAGGGTGTAGAAAAAACAAGGCGGAAAACAAAAGAAAAAGAAAATCAGAGCAGGCTTTTTGCCAGAAAACTACAAGTGAAGGTCGGTGAAACCTCCAACCCATTCTAAATCACCGAGAGGTCCAACAGCTTTCCGGTGTGGCCTATCTCGGACCCTATCTCCCCGATCCTTGACCCAAGGACAACCATGTCCCTTGTCTTTAATCGGTGTATTGTACTCCTTGATTGGTGTAGTATGAACTTTATTATCCCAAACTCCCGCTCCAAACCCAGTGAAGCCTAATCCAACGTTCTTCTGTCTCTTCCATAAATCAGGAGATCTCTCCGATTCAGATGTATTCGCACGACGACGCTCCCCGAGCGCGGCCCACTTATCGAAAGTGGTACGTTTAGATGGTGGTGAATATCGTGCGGGTGTGATGGGAGAAACAGATTTGCGTGGGGCTTCGTGAAAGAAAAAACCATCCGCAACAATATCTCCATCGATGTCTGCAGATGATACAGACTTGGCAATATTTACAAATGAAGAGCTTTTAGGCTCTAAAGGTGCTCGAGTAATCGTATCATCATCGGTCTTGCTCTCATGGCTCCAGGTTCTTGCGTTGGCCATTTGACGAGCTTTGATTTGCTGCTCAACTTCTTCTTCCTCTTCATCCTCATCCCAAAGGTCACTCCAGCTCTTGGATACCATGTCATTCTTCTTACCAAAGATGGAAGACATCGATGGAAGAGGCTTTGGCTTGGACATGCTGATTGGCAGAGATCCGGAGACGGTAGTCGGGTTGGCACGTGGTGGTCCGGCCTTGGCTGGGCGTCTGATGGCCATCGACTTCATCGAAGCACCAAGAGAAGAGTTGAGGACGGAAGCCAGTGATGGAGTTTGTTCGCCCACCGAGAACCAATCTTTGTTGCTGTCTTCGGACGACTCGAACAAATCTTCGGTGTCGTAGAGACTCTCGTCGTCCATGATGGCGGAGAGTTGACGGAATTGTTGAGGTGGGCTGGCGTGCAAGGCTTTGGCCCAAGGGAAAGACCCAGTATCCATTTGTGGACTTTGGATAGAAGGAGTACGAAGTGGCTCTCTGTTGGCGCTGGGAACAGCACGTGTAGCAGAGTCAAAGTCATCCAAACTCTCATCGAACGTAGTAAAGCTGACAACACGCTCAAGTGCTTCGCGTGCAGCAGCAAGGGATCGCTTGCGCGGATCCAAACTCATACATTGTGCGATAACCTCGTAGGTATCTTGTGACATGGTTGGAAAGACATCGAAAAGTGATTGCTTGTCACGAGTGAAATCCAAGAAAAGAGGATCAGACTCGGTTGGGACGGTGAATGGGTTGCGCGAGAACAAGATGTTCAGAAGGCAGATTCCAATGGCCCAGATGTCAGCATGAGCTGGAGAGTATCCGGCACCAGCTGAGTCGTATTGTTCTGGGGACATGTAACGATCACTGCCAACGGTGGTCTCATACGTCCACTCTTCAGATGTAGCCAAACCAAAGTCACCAAGCTTCATCTCGCCGGCTTGGGTCAGGAAGATGTTCTCTGGTTTGATGTCTCGGTGGTACATGCCCTTGGAGTGAATGTAGGCAACAGCATCGATCAGTTGAAGCATGAATTGACGAACACGCTCGGTCTCGAGAGGTCCGGTACCGGTACGGATTGCCTCATACAAATCACCTCGGGAGCAGAACTCGAGGACAATGTAGATGTGGGCCTCGGTTTCGAAGGAGGTGATCATGTTGACAATGTTGGGGTGGCTTCCTAGACGAGCGTGGCAGGCCAATTCTTCCGATTGCTCATCGATAGCAAAAGAAATGTCCATATCGTAGTTGGCAGACTTCTTGGTCAAGCATTTGATGGCAACCAATTCGCCATTGGTCAAATCCTTGGCCATAAAGACCATACCGAAAGAGCCATGGTTGAGAGGAGAGATGGTCTCGAAACGTCCATTCAGGACGACTCCATCGTAGAATCTGTCTCTTAAACATTCCATTTCGACGGTTGTGGTGTGGAGTTGGGTGAGTGTGATGTGACGAGTCCTCGAATCCGAGGAGGTAAGATTAAGTAAATATTTGCAAACCAAACGACGTAGTAGTTGTACAACCGAAATGTTTTTGTGCCCTTGGACTTGTGATTGAGCAATACAGCGGGAAATGCTTTTGTCTCCTCTAAACAAAGTTGTTGGCACAGCGAGCAGGGCTCGAAATGGTTGAAGGCTGGCGGGGTGGTGTCAAAGGTGCCAAACCGATGGTGGGGAAGGATAAGGCGAATAAACAAACAGGCAACGCTATATAAAATGTATCCCAACCGATGAAAATTGATAATGTTCAAACTCCGGAACGGTACTGGTCGTAGTGAAAAGGTCAGAGGCTCATTGATGGGTATTCGAATCGCAGACAAAAGAGATGTGTAGTAGAGTGGTCGTAAATTGGTGACAAGGGACTGGAGGGTCCGTTAAGGAAAGGTTCGAAATCGTTAAAGTGACATGGAAGTCGGAGTAGAATTGGAGCGAATGTATTCTGAGCGTACGCCTCGGAGAAGAGGTGTATGCTGGAGATCGACGAGGACGAGTCGATCAAGGGTTCGAATTAACACAGTTGACAGAGTCAATTGAGATGAGTCGATGGATTATCGTGACGTGGTGATGGTAGGCAGGAAGTGGTGGTTGACGGTCGATAGCTTGGGTGACCTTGCGGGAAATATCCGAGGCTGTAATCTTGACGATGACAGTGTTTCAAGTGTAGGAGTCAGTCTATCTAGAGACAGTCTCGGATGGGTAATTGGAAATCATATGTTGTTGGTTTTGGGGACGTGGAAGAGGAAGTCGAAGAGCTTGCTCTTCGTCTTGCCTTATCCGGTATGATGGTAGAACGAATCTTGCCGGCCGTAGGAGCTGTACCACGAGTGGAGCGGTAGCGGAGCAGTCGGTGGGCGGTCGAGTCTCGAGCAAAGGAGGGATGAAGCGACCAAGATAATCGACGGATGTCGGTTGATTATGATCTGCGAAGCTGTTGCACGGCTCTGGAGGTGATTGTTGGTTGAGGAATGTGGTTGAAGGTTGTTGCTGTGAGCAACTGTCCTGAATCAAGATGGGGTGACGACGGGCGTTCAGACGTCAACAGGAGCAATGGATCCCGTGTACGGCGAGGTGAGATTCGAGATTCGAGGTGGTGAAGGTATGGTGATTAGGTGATGGTGAAGAATAAGGTAACGAGGGAGGAGGAGAGAAGAGGAGGAAGGAAAGAAACTGCGAACGACGATAGATTGTGGCCAGTCTTAACCATGCGCAGCGGTGTAGAGTAGATGAGATGGTGGATAGATGTGGAGGAAGAAGGGCAGGAGAGCAGCAGAGGAAGGCAGGAAGACAGAGTCAACAGACAGCAGCCAGCGAGAGCGAAAAGTGGGTCTGAGCCAAGCTGACTGGCTGTCAGTCCCAGGGCCAGTGGATCGCTTAGGATTCTAGTTCGAGGCTAGTGGGTCGCGCCTTTCCACCAGTCCAGTCACGCCAGGAGACTGGGAAGTGGGTCGATTCGACGCTATTTGGAGCGGGCTTCGGCTGCGAGCGAAGTGCGCCCAATGCCAGGTGTGTGGCAGAGGCAGTCTGGGGGAAAGAAGGCCAAAGAAAGCGCTGTCTGTCTGCTCGACGTCTCGCCCGCTTCAGATGGCAACACAAATCAAAGGGTCCACGCTTGACCGCCCTCGAGTGCAGCACGCAACTATTCACCACGGCCAATCCAGTCACCGTCCAGCATCGACAGACAAAGCAGCGACTCGTTCTCATTCCGGATAAACTTGCTGCACCGTTATTGTGGGGAAATATCTGGTCAACGACCATTCACGTGAGCCGCAGCTGAAACTGGGCGACAGAGGCGAAAGCGCTGTCTCGCTGCTTTCCCGCTCGTCATCCTTCCATCAGTTTCTGTATGGGCCTTGGAGTGGCAATGATTGGTAGGCACAACTAATGCATACTGCTGCAGCTGCATGCATCACGGCCGCTTCGTGCGTGGTGCCTCTTGTGCCTCGAACCAGCCCGTCCTTTGATGCACAAGTTCAGGAGATGCTGAGAGAAGAGGGCACGCTTGGCTGCTTTGAGGAGCTTGCATCATACCAATCCAGAATGGGCTTGGCTGGATAGCCTGGTCGTCCAAAGTTGGCCGGTGGATAAAGCTCCATGAAAGGTGTGAAAGGCTTTGGAAGAGATCTGGAATGTCGAATCCACGCCTGTCGGTGCAGTAGAAGACTGCCACGCATGCCACTATCGTGGGAAAAGGGACTGCTAAGGTAGAGAGGTGGGCCATTCGAAAGGCACGATACGGCAGATTCTCATTGGAAAGATGCACGATAAGATTGAGCACGGTGAGAGGTGCATTAATTTGTTTACTTTGCCAGTTGCTCTGTGTACAGCCAGAGGAAGACGTTGATGTCAACAAGTCAACATCAACAAAGACCCAAAGGCCACCTTACAGAAACAGAGACAGATCATCAATTCCACAAGTATCACAATCCGTACGACAAAACACATTGACGCCTCTTTCCAAATCTCCCTAGTTTCCATCGCATCCAGGCAGACCACGAGGTCACCACCGACCACCGTCACCCATCCGAACGAACCGCTTTCGCCCAAACAAAATGAACGTCAGCGGTCACCTGCAAATTCGTCCATTCAGCTTCGACCAAGCCTTGAGCGAGTATCATTTCCCACCACCACCTCATAGAATCTGCTAGTAACAAAGCATCGTGAAATCCCATCTGTCACATACCAAAGCAAGTCACTCCTACATCCAGACACATACTCCATAGAAACCAGCAGAATCTCAACATCTCATCGTGTGACCTTACCTCCGTACCAAGGTCTCCTCATCATCAGTCGCACATCTTGAAACCGGCCTCCCATTATCTTCCGCTTGTTTCGGCAATTTCGCCATTCGCTCTTGACGACGTCCCCATTTCCTACCAATGGAAATTCAAAATCTCGTCGAATTATAGTTTAAGAGGTCTCGTCATCGCATTACTCGCACGCAACCACTTTACACGTAAGTCGTGGTGATTTGTCTTGACCCCACTAGACATCGTGACTTGCACCGAGGTCAAGCTCGAGCACGCGATTTCGAATGACGACGATTTATCTGGCCACTTCTGATATGACAATTATTAATTAGAATCACGACACGACAGTCACCATAACCGCCATCATGGCATGTTTTCTTGCACGCAATTAACGCTTCCTTTGTAACACAACTCCTGCGTGCTATATCAGATCTGATTACCGCATGCGGGTAAAGTATACCCGGCTTTTACCCACGAGCACAAGCGGATAAAGAAATGCGGATTGCCAATGAATGGTGGGGTGCCACGAATTCATGTAAGGAGTAAGGTAAGGAAGGGAGATGCTTTGTTTGAAACGTATGCGGTGAGCCTTATCTTGCTCGTGGGCTGGAATGGCCTGCGGTTGTGGTTAAGGTGGTTTGAAACGAGTGAAGCTTAGCCTGGGCCTGGATGGGGATGTCATTGTAGGCCTTTGTTACTTATCAACCCCTCTTCACGAGAATAGATGTGGATTGATGGTCTGAGATAAGTGAGGTGAGGTAGGTTTTGAGATAAAGAATTAACCTCTAACAAAGAGTTAGGGATATACCGGGTGATAAGGTTATGGTTGCATGATTGGAGTGTGAGGATAAGGTTGATGGTCTTGTCGATCTGATAAAGAGGTCGGGAGTTGGATGCCGATGATCGCTCGCTCGGTAGAGATGGAGTATCTATTCTCAATTCGGAATAATACTCTAATTGTCTATACAAACTCAAGAAAAGAAGACTGGCTTAGTATTATAACATCCTGTAGCTGAAGACAGAATAGACGATTAGAAGCTATATTGATCTTGATAACTTAGACTTAGTAGCTCTTCGTACTTCGATTTTTTTACTTTCGTACAAGTTCTGTTTTCGTAGACGATTAGATGTATAATGAGGTAATCAATTAGATATAATGTAAATAAACAATCCGTATATAAACGGAATTATATTTACTGTAGGTTCTATTCCTTAAGGGTTCTTACGTACGAAACACGATGTCCTATTTCTACTAATAATATAAAATGTGTCGTACAGTACTGTATGAGCTTACCTACTTACACGTGTCAACATAAAGCTCTCTCGCATTTTCCAAGTAGCGTCTTGTCTCAAGCATCGTGTCGGCACTATTATTTTTCCTTTCCCCCAACCACATGCTTTCAATAATAAAAACATACTATTGCATTCGGAGATTAGACAAGCGGTGAAGTCGCAGGATTTGCAAAAGTCGGTAGGGAGATGGGATGGAAATGCGGGTAAGTGGAGTGCTGCGAGATCTTGAAGAAGGTGGGTTTGAGGCGGGAGGGAAGGAGGTCTGTGAGTTGGTGAGTGCTGGATTAGGAAACTAGAATTTTGAATTTGATTTTCGGTATTGGGTTGTGGGTGGGATTTTGTGTGGCGAGTTTGTTTGGGGAAAGGAGATGGAATTGGTGGTTAGATTTTTGGGTATAACGGGAGGTTTGGATGTCGCTTCGCGGTACGTTTCTAGTCTTCGCTTCAGTTTTTAACCTTCAATCTTTACAATCAACAACAACACAACACAACACACATCAAAACATCTCCACCTCCTACAACCCAAACTCGAAATTCCCTATCCACCACAAAAAAATCTTCCGCGAAATCCACCCACCAGCCCGAACCGCATACACGCCCTCAGATCCTGCCCACACGAAATCTTGCATACATGCACCACGGAAACTAGCCGTTTTGGCCCGCACGCCTTACCGAAACCCACACACTAAACCGCCCAACCCAGGAGTGTAAAAAAATCTCTTCATCTTCACCGCTGATTTGGACGACTAGAACAACCGCGATAAGAGCGAAAAACAGTGCAAGGTTGGGAAGACGGTGAAGAAGGGAAGAGATTTTTCATTCAAGGAAAGAAGGGAAAGATAGAGGAGATGGATAAATCTAAAGTTGAGATCTCGGATGTTGAGGGGGTGATTTTGGATATTGGTGAGTCGCATATACACGTATTGGGTTAGTACATCTGACTAACGATTGGTAGAGGGAACTGTTTGTCCGATTAGTTTTGTTAAGGATGTTTTGGTGAGTTGGAATGTTTTTCCTTATTTTTGGTTTTTTGGTTTGGGGTGAGGTTATTTGGTGGGGAGAGGACCGGTGCGCGGTGTGCGGTGCGGGCCGGTTTGATAGAAGGGGTTTGGGGTGTGGGGTTGTTGATTTCGAGTGAAATCTCGAGTATATCTTTCTAGCTTGATCTGAGTATGCAACGATATGTTCATGCCCTACAATCTCGGCTGGATTGATTGCAAGTCGCAATCTCGATCCGATCACAGAATTCGGTAGAGATTTTCATCCTCTGCGACTTCCAGTGAAGTCTAGGCCGGAGATGTAGAAGCATTTCTACTCGTGCGCGGGTCAAGCTTGATTCGAGGATTCGACGACATTTTCACTCCTCGCGATATCAAATCGTGCCGCACCAATTGCAAGTCGCAATCACAATACATCAAGGAGTATCTCATCGAATGCGATTTGGAGTGAAGTCCAAGGCTTCTGCAATTTCGCTCCACGCGATTTCAGCTTAGATCAAAGGATCCGACGATATTTTCATTATCTGCCGTCTCATTCGTGCTGAACCAATTGCAAGTCGCAATCTCAACTTCATCACAGTACTCGGCAGAGATTTTCAATATTTGCGAAACAACTCCGATCTCGTTCATCCTTCAAAAGCAGTCAGCACACCATCTTTTCACCAGCTCAAATGCATCGCAGCTCAACACGGCATAGAGGGGTCAGTCAGCAGGTCCTGCACAAGTGCTGCCATACCCGCCAACTTTGTTTACCTGGCATCCAACCAACGTATCTCGTTGCTATGCACGAAGCCACACAGACTCTGTAGTGTGTCTGAGGGCTGTTGTGCATGGTGATAGGTTGGGTTGGGATTGCGGGGAAGATTTGTGCCAAGTGGTTACATGTTTTACTGCCACGAGGAGGGGTAATTTTCTGTCATTTAAAGAGGGGAGATGTGATAGTTGGGACGGTATCAGTTCTCAGAAAGGGCTCGGTAAAGGTTTTGCCACCTGGTACGAGGGCATTAGTGTGCTACCTTTTAGGGACCGTTGTTGTGATGTGATATCGGTTACTGGAGTTACAGTGTACTTCGTGGAACCCAGCTGGTTGATGGCTTTTTCTGAGAGATCATGTGCTCGAAAAAGCTCACGCATCTGAGGCATCTCCGAGAAGCTAAACAATTCATAGGATGTTTCAATGCGGTTAAGCCTATTGGTTTCCGATTTCGGTTCTGTTCTCGAGTAGCTGATATGCTAGTGCTTAGTCTAGCTCCTTTCTCATTTTGCTTTGAAAATGTTAGCTGATCAAGCTTCTTTCGAGATCTTTCACTATATACTATCATAACTTGAACGATTGGATTTGACAATCCGAAGTACTGGTAAACATGACTACGGATCTTCGGTCAACTGACTTTACACAACTATAAAGTAAAAGTCACCGTAGTGCTAGGAAAACACACACAAGTACTAGCATGATCTCCTTATCGAGATCTCCACTTTAAAGTCTTTTGGCGACCTTGATATCAGTTGGTCCTATTCGAGTGTAAGATCAATAGTGTACTCGTTAGAAAGTACTGAAGGGCCGATAATGAATGACAACCTCAAGCAGACGCCAGTCGTAAAACACAACGTTTTCACTTATTGTTAGCTATTTGTGTTAAGACTTTCAAATTTAGTAAAATTATACGTATTTGTTTTATCAATATCATTGCTTGACGTCTTATATGAAATCTTGCTAAATGCGTTACGCGTGCTGTTCAAAGTAGTTTGCTCTTAAATCTATCACAGTTTCCATTCATGTGCAAACATAGCTTAAAGTCAATTCCTTCAATCCATGGTCTCACATCCCTTTTCTCTTTACATTGCCAATTCCAGCATAACCAGCACAAACCTTGGGAACGTACAAGAATACTTCACTTTTCTACCATTGCTGAATTCACCCAATTCCAACAGCTCTTTCTAAACTTCATGTCAATTCAGCTCACATTATTCTTTTTCCTGCATCACTAATCTCAGAAACACACCCGACGTGTATTGTTCTTGTAATATTACTGCTTACTGTCTTCCATATCGATTTCTACGATATCTTTACAAGTAAAAACTCATAATCCAGTTGTTTTCATCCTAATACTAAGTTATCACATCCAAAAAGCCCAACCTTACTCTCACATCTCATTCCTCATCCTCTCTTCTCTACATCCTGTTAATAACAAGCTAACACCCTCCACAGTTTCCCTACACCCTCTCCATCCTCCCCACAGTCCTCCGTGAAGAATGGGACACCCCAACCTTCCTCCCCTACCGCGCCGCCTTCGACCCCGAACATGCCACCTCCCCTTCAACCCTCGAATCCCACATCCGCGCCCTAACCGCCTCCGACACCAAACTCCCCGCTCTCAAATCCCTCCAAGGCTACCTCTTCCGCCGCGGCTACGCCACCGGCGAACTCGCCTGTCCTCTCTTCCCTGACGTCCTTCCCGCCCTCAAGCGCTGGAACGCTGCTGGAAAAAAGGTAGTCATCTACAGCTCCGGCTCTGTAGAAGCGCAGAAATTGCTGTTTGAACATACGACTGAAGGGGATTTGAGGGGCTGGGTGAAGGGGTGGTATGATACGCTTAATGCGGGGGCGAAGACTGAGGGGGCGAGTTATAGACGGATTGTAGAGGAGTGTGGGGTGGAGGTGGGGGGATGGGTGTTTTTTAGTGATAGTGTTAAGGAGGTTCGGGCTGCGAAGAGTGTAGGCGTGAGGGCTTATGTGGTTGTTAGGGAGGGGAATGCGGGTTTGAGTGTGGAAGAAAAGGAGGGACAGGTTTTGGTGGGGAGTTTTGAGGGGGTTGAGATTTCGTGAGGGGATTGAGGAGGGTGGGAGTAATGAAGGGAGTAATGGGTGAGGGTAGATGGTAATTGACACTGATCAAAGGGAAAAGGGTAGGCTATTCTATGTTTTTATGGATAGATTCCCAGTTCTTACAAAAACTCAAGAATTTGATAGCGTAGGCTTCGCAAGCTGGAATATTGAAACAAGTGGCATAGCACATTAAGCTTTATATCTTACAGATTCTACTCTTAGTTCTAATTTTCATGCCTGTAAGCGGATGCAGAAAGCCTCTGTAATAAAAGCATAAACTATAAGCTCAAGATCCCACCCTACCCTCAAATATGGTAGTGCTTACTTCCATGATGTGTGTCACTTATATTCCAATTAATAATAGACCACCCCAATCTATGCTTACCTCTACTTAGCTCTACTCTCGCTGAGGATTTTCGGTGCGAGAAAGAGTAATATCGTAATCTAGACACCAGAATATTAATTACGAATAAGAAAGCTCCTGTAGTGTACAGTGTAGTTGAGGAGGACAAAGATACGTGATACTGCTTTGGGAGTGGTTTTGTTTTATTTGATGGGTATGGGTTGTAGTATATGGTAGAGGTGTGGGGAAGAAAGATGCGTTGGATAGGGGAATGTAGGGAGGTGGAAGTAAATACGGAGAATGGATGGTAGATTGGAGGAGTTTGTAATATTTGAGAAGATTGTGGTGGGGGTGGAGATGAGAAGGGGATTTTGCCTTTTTTTTAAAGCTGGGTTTGTTGGATGTGATATGGGGATGTGGGGATGAGGGGATGAGAATATAGGTATTGGAATGAGAATGGTGAAGGAGATGACCGCTTGATTTGTGGAAGGGAATTTGGAATGGTAGTGTGGGTTTACTAAAGTTCTGAGTTTCGTGGAAGTGATGTGATAGGTTTGTGATTGTAGATGTATGTGGTGTATATCTTATTGGGTCTTGTATGTTATAAGTAGCTTAATGCCATGCCGAGTCGACTCTGCTAGAGTTAATTCCTTGTACATTCTATAAAAATATTTCACTAGTTAATAATATCAGAAGAGATGTTTGCTATCTTAACTGATATTTGAAAAGGTATAAATCACATTAATGCTTGTGAGGGTTAATGAGAAAATTTGTATTTCAGTCGTAAATCTTGTTTACATCTGATATGATCCTCTCTATTGCAAGACGCTTTTGCTCTGCTATAAGATGAAGCAGCCACCATGTATATCTCTACAAAACCTAAACGCCAGCCCAATGCAGCCAACTAATTCCCCCTTTCTAATTTCTCAATCATAAACTCTCCCAGCTCTACGTCTCCCCCTTCCCCTTCCCCTTCCCCTTCGCCTCTTCCCTCAACCTCCCAATAACCCCATCAACAGCATCCATATCCGCCGCATCCACACTCCCCAACTCCCCCCACTCCTCCTTCTGTTTCAACTCCTCAACAAGCACATCCATCGCAGCCTGAAAATTCCTCACCGCACTACTAACCGCATAAACCGCCTTCCTCCTCGTCTGACTCTCCTCCCCCTCATCCACCGCCACCTTAACCAATGCCGGCACCCCACCCATCGCCAACAACCTCTCCTGGCTCTTCTCATTATTCTGCACCGCCGTGCCCACACACCACGCCGCCATCATGCGCATCTCACTACTCTCGTCCCCCAGACACGCCAGCAGCGGCGTCCACAACCCCAGGGGACTTAAATTGTTCGCGTTATCCAGGTTCTCGATGAGTTGTTCGAAGTTGTCGAAGGCGATGAGTTTGTTGTCAAGACTGATCTCGGGCGAGGTGATGGCTGTCATGGATTCGACCATGAGGTCTGCGTCTGAGGGGCCGCCGAAGAGGGCGGAGAGGGCTTCGGGTGTGAGGGAGGATTTGGGGGGAGGGGCCGATGGGTCGTTTGTGGTTGCTGAGGAGTGCTCGACGGACCATTTTAGGAGGGAGGAGAGGTTTGGGTCTGCCATTTTGGAGGTGTGGGTTGTGAGGATGTGAGGGTTTGGAGGTTGGCGGGGTAGTGTTTTGGAGGGGTAGAATGGTTGATTTTTGAGATTGCGCGTTTGATACTTTGGTATTTAGAGTTGTCTATGTAGAGATTGAATATACTGTGGTGGAAATCGCAATTGTGATGTTGTTGTTATTTTCGTAGTCGCTATTATATTTGTGATGTATTCCTAAATCTGGCTTTCTTCTCGATGCTTCTAGTCGTCACCAGAATTTTTATATCCCGATCAAGACACCCTGCGTGATTCTACACACACCCCGCCGCCTTCAACATAGAGTACAAGCCCTAATCCATCAACACACTTTGGGCAATACATCATTTTCAATAAGCGTACCTCATACAATGATTGACACCTACCTCATGAAAAGCATATTTTCTATTAATTGAGAGATCATTGCTGACTTTGTATTCATCAAGCAACGTGGCATGTATACCCGACACGTTTCCTGCCTACGCGACGGACGCAATGTTCAGTTCAATCTTGTTCTTTTGAGCGTACAAAATGCTATTGAATTATGAAGAGCCTACAAGGTGCCATTGAATCATGAAGAGGATAGGAACTACTCGGTAGGTATTTGAAGGTACCGCCTTTGGGAGTCTGGTAGCATTCTGGTTGGTAACGTGGATTTGAGATGCATAAGTCCACAGGTTTTCAATTGTTTCCTTTATTCAAGCATATTCCAAGCCTATAGATTCTTTGGTACTTCCTAGCTCACAAGTCTTAGAAATCATGGCAAAAAGACTGTTGTCTATATACATGCCATCTCTCTCATCGAGATCTCGACTCTTTGCGTACAAGCAGGAGAAACATGTCCACGAGGATTTACAGATATCTGCAGTCCTTGACTGGAATATTTCAAGACATCAGATACTCTATCTCACAAATGGCCTAGGCTTCGCAATGTTGGGTGTCGGCGTAGGCGTAGGCGCACTCGGAGCCATCGTAACGCCATTAACAACATCCGAGATATTATAATGCCCGAAAAAGGGATCCCAGCTTGGATCACGATGCCAATCGTACTCCGCGCCCACCGCCAGGTCCTCCGCCGTGGTTGCTCCCCAAACGTGTTGGATCCAAGCAAGAGTAACATCCATACCCGCACTCACGCCTGAAGAACTCCAGACATTCCCATCTACCACCCAGCGAGCCTTGGAATGCCACCAGGTTCGCGGTCCATGGTTCGCCATCTCGTAAAAGGCACGTTTGTTCGTCGTGGCGTTACGTCCGTCTAGGACACCTGCACGAGCCGCTATGCCAGCGCCGGTACAGACTGTGATGAGATATTGCAGTGACGGGTAAGTCGCTCTTACAAAGTCGATGCTAGATTGTATGGCAGCTACATCACGGTTTCCCACTCCCCCTGGGACGAAGAGGACGTCGAGAGGTGGAGCGTTGGCGAAACTGTGCGTGGCGAGGACGACTTCGTCGACGGTGGAGTTGGAGCGGGTGAAGGCTGGATTTGAGGTCCTGATAGGAACGGGGAGGCCGTCGGGGGAGATGATGGTGAGGTTTAGCTGCGTACGGAAGGAGAGGATGTTGAGGAAGTCGAGAGGACCCCAGGCGTCGAGGGCTTGGTAGCCTGGGTAGAGGAGCATTCCGAGACGGAGTCCTAGGGGAGATGCTGGAGGTGTTAGTATGGACTTTTGAAGGAGATGAGATCTTCGTACTTTCCGATAAAACATTGCTTGCGAGAGCAGCACCGAGAAGAACTGAAGAGATACGCATATTCCTTATTTTCCCAATCTTATCTTTCTAGATGAACAATAACCATCACTTCCCTCCCCAACCCTCTCATTATATACCTCAACCCCATCTTCCCCTCCAAGACCTCAAATCACCGACATCCAGCACCTTTCGCACATCACTACATCACAAGTCCGATATTTACGTCAACCAACTCAAACCCTCTCTTACAAGAAACGTCCCAAGAGCATCGGATATTGCTAAAACCTGGGTAAACACCAAGGACCCAGAATCTCGGATATCGAACCCCGGTTCGCCTATATTACATGCATGCGGAGTACGAGGGGACGAGTAGGGTGGGAGGGTTGTTTACCCCACACCTCCACACTTAGAGAGGATGGTCTAGAGAATGTACGAGTGAATAGTGATGGGTCAGGATGCGCTTATTTGAGCTCATTGCTGATGCGGATGGGGGTGGAGTGGTGGAATTGCTGGGCGAATCAAATATATTATTTCATTTCGGTTCAGATGATAACTTACTACTGCTTGTTTCCTATGTCGTCAAAATACCACGATAACTATCACGATACGGAGAATTCTCGAAACAGCGGAGTAGGTAATTCCGTTGCTAACATTCTCTCGTGAACAAGCGAGATTCACACTCGAGGAACATTTTTCATCATTCTACTATGTTTGAACACATATCTGTGTTGTAGAAGAATTGTGTGCATTGACGACCTATCATATCTAGAAAAAAGCTTGTTTGGAACAATAGAACTAATCAAAGATTTTGATTCACAACCTAGGACTTTTATGGAATGAGATATTTAGGCACTAGCAAGAATGTCCAATAAGAAAAATTGTTCAATAATTAGGAAGAGAAAGAGGAAATTCTACAGACTCACCTCTTTTACTGATATAACATATCTTATATACTTCAACATAGTAATCTCTCTAAACTTAAAAAGATTTCTACAGAAGTCTTGACTTTTGACAACGATACATCTAGTAATTCATAATTAGTGAGAGGTAGACAATGTCGTTGTTAATTTCTACTCTCAATAACACATCACCGTTTACAAAATATTATAATAGAAGAAAATGAAATAACCACGAAATCCAAGACATTGTTTAATGACTTATTGTGTTCTTATAGTATTCATTAATACTATAAACGGATCCCTGAGTTCTACATAACTAGATAACTTTCAACACACATTGTAAACATAAGACTATGGTCTTCGAAATTTACGCTTAATGAAGGGACTAAGAGCTTATTTCGAATAAGCTATGGATCGTAGGGGGTTTCCTCTCAAGTTTCTAGTTACCGTTGGAAGAAAAATCGAGTGAGCAGAAGAACATCCTATTCTAGCGATGATCAAAAAAGAACAGACGGAAGTTGTAGATTCTGAATAGTAATGAGAAATGGCATTCCATTACCTACGAGCAGGGAGATATTCGGGCAATGAGTCTTTTCAATGTTGAGAATAAATACACACAGACTCGTAATTCGAAACCACACTATCAAATACCAAATTATTACTAAAAATCTTATATGATACTATGATATTATGTACTTAACACCCAACACACGCATGCATACATATACCAACCCCGCGAAGCTATGAAGCAAAAAACCCAATCCCATGCTTAATGCTACCTCGCAAAATATGCAATATACAACGACCTCCCAATAAACAACATTCTCATAACGAGAATGCATTTCACGTCATTCATCCCCCCACCCCAGACGAGCATCATTCAACACCCAACACACTTTTTCTCAGCACCAGAAAACTTATTCCGCACCAATCAAACTCTTCGGCAAAAACGCAAACACCGTTCCCACGGACGCGAGAACCGACGAAACGGTGATCAAAAAATACGCAAGCCACCTCTCGCGGGTGCTTACCTCCTTCCCAAAGATCTTCAAGTAAAAGAGTAGAGGTAGGATAACGCAAATAGTAAAACACAGGGTACTCCCCATGAAAGCCATGATACTATCGAACGCCGGGAAGAGGATAGCGACTAGGACGAACATGAGGATGACGAAAATACGGATGAGGACGCGGAGGATGCCACGGGTGTAGCCGGACATGCCGGTGAGGACGGGAGTGTCGGAGACGGTTTCAGGGCCGAGACCGGTGAGGGTTTCGATTGTGGAAACGATGGGACGGGCGTTGAGGGGGACTTTGGTGAGGGGGATGATGGCGATGAAGATGCAGAGGAGGATGGAGAGGGTGCGTGGGTAGCCGGGGGAGTCGAGGATGTTGCCGGTTACTTCGTTCATGACGCGGTCGCCGAACATGAGGAGGCCGATGATGGCGATTAGGAAGTCGAGGGAGTACTGGGGGGTGTTAGGGAGGATGGGGTTGGGGAAGGAGGGGGGCTTACGGTGAAGCCGAATGTGACTTTTACGGCTTGTCGGAATTTATGGGGATGCCGCATGTCTCTGTAGATATCTGGGAATACAGAGTGGCCTCCCCATGGTGACATGAGTAGACCGAATGAGAGAGGTAGAGTGAGCCAGTTGTTGGGGAAGAGGTATGTTGCTGCTGGCTCTCGGAGTGAGCCTGGGTAATGTGGCTTAATTAAGCCGTCAACGAAGACGATGAGGACGACTATTTCAAGTCAGCTTGAGGGAACTTACAACCGCGCCCAATGCAAAGACAGTGGCCATTGGAGTTTGAAGAATTGAGACGGGTAATACTTACTGCAAAAGCAAGAGAAGATTCCAAGTACACTGCTAAAGCTCAAAAGCCTCAACGGAACAAAATTCAGGGGTATCAAAATCAAACCACACAATATCTTCCACTGAGTGACACCAAATCCCGGTAAAAGAAGATTAAGAGTGTCTCCAAAGAGGACAACCAAGGCAACACAAGCAGCTAGCAATTCCATCGCAAACAACACGCTCGTAGCAATTCGTGCCTTTTGTCCATAGGATATCAGAGCCAAATCTGCAAAGGTAATGGCATGTGGATCTGCATCCATACACTTTGCCAGAATGGTAGTTGTGTAAGCCGTAACTGCTGCAGCGAGGAATAGGAAAATCGATCCGCAAACCCAACCGGCGTATTTCATGCCCATCGGCAGACTCAGTAATCCGACACCAATAAGGACGTTTGTGGAGTTGAAAATCGTTTGTGGGAGCGTCGATTGCCCAGCAATAACGTAAAGTTTCTTTCCATCTTGCTCGATTTCCTTCACCAATATGGGCGCTCGCTCTCCTTCCAACCGCGCTGCTTCTTGTTCTCTCCATAATTCTCCAGCTCTGTTCATGGAACTTCGGCTAAGCGTAGACTGAAGTGTACCATACGATGCGCCATAACTTCCTGCAAGTGGTGTAGCGAGATGTGGTGCGATGGCAAATATCGAATCTCGTCCCGCAATACTGTTCATCTCACTTCCCAACCTAGTCCTATTCGATTCCTTTCGCATGAGCGGTTCTGTCTCCTCTGGTGCTCCATTATCATCTTCAATAGCATTTTCTGGACTTCCACTCGCAGCGATATGTTCCCTGATCAAAGACCTGTCGGTCCGTCCTTGTTCGATATCCTGCCGTCCATATTCTGAGATTAGACCTGACGGTACAAGTGGTCCTTGGTCATCGCGAACAACGAAGGATGGTCGGTTCGGTGCAACTTCCGCGAATCCTGCTGCTCTGGTCCAACTTCGTGCGAAATTCTCGATACTGTTTACTCCTCCAACATGTGTCAAGGCGTTAAAACGCAGTGCCATCGAGGACCTGTGAGACTGGAATTAGTATAAATAGTTCGACTTCGAAAGCACTTAGTATATCCCACCTCCGTCTGCGCAGACCGTCCTCATTCCCAGTCCTAGCTGTCGAAGGATCAAGATTCGAAGCTCCATCCTCTCCATGTTCGCCCTCACTGAACCGCACACTTCGACCTCCAACCGAGCTTATCGAACTTCGATGTGAGTTCTGAGTTCCATATTGATAATCTTCCCACGTTGTTGGATTTGCGTTCCGCTTGCCGGTCATTTTTTCTCAAATGAAGCTCTTGCGCTCAAAATAATTCACCTACACATCCACACTCTTTTTATTCCGTCAGGGCCTTAGGGTGGGGTGGTGATCTTCGGAAACTTAAGGTTCGCAGCGAATAGCTCACAAAGTAGCAAGAATTAAGTATTGAGACAATGAAAGTAAATGGCAACACCCTTGAGAAAGGACAGAGAAAATTCTGGACAAGAAGAGGAGAAAATGACGAGGATTTCATGATAGTCCCGCTGCCGCTTCCGTCTGCATCTTGCACTTGACTTGCTCTTATCGTAGCTCTGACCCCTATTGGTCAATGCTGCTTGTAATCGAACGAGATGACGCCACCAACAAGCATTAAATGGATGAGGAGAATTGATTATCTTTTTAAATTTATGTTTAGCTATTAAATTCACAACTAAATTCGATATAAACCATAATTCTGCTTCTTTTTTCCTCTCCAAGCTTTCTCACATTCAATCTCGCTGCTTCCGTTAGCTTTGAAGCCGTCGCCTCGAAGTTAAATCGAGACTCTCTGGACATGAATTATGGGTCTTTACCGAGCAAGCCCCGCAGGTTAATTGTTGCACGGACGAAACAGACCTCCAGACCGGGGACGCAAGAAACTTTCTTCCATAGCCCCTGTTCCACATACATGAGTTTTGGTGGGTGTCACAAAACCGATGCAAGCCATATGCATGGAATCTATGGCGAATCTGATATTTCAAGAGGCTTGAAAATTTGCAGGCCTGAAGACTTCCACGGGAAAGAAACGCTGTATCAGGTTGAAAGTGCGATAGTGTGCTTAATGAAGCGTCTTTAACAATCCATTCAGCTAAAAGATCACTGGCCATCTGGAAGCTTGCATACATTGTTATGCTTCAGCCGCACTTATGCTTACTGAGTGCATTGAATTTCGAGTGGATGTGACCACATGACACCCTCCCTCATGTATTGATATCAAGCAGATACATCAAAACTTTCGGTGTGACAACCCTCTTTCAGCACTTGATTTGAGGGGCCGTTAGATCGAGTCTACTTTTCCCCCGACCAAGAACTCTTCTGCCGTGATCGGAACAAAAGATAGTCCCCCGGTATACTTCTCCTGGAATCCTCGAATTGAGGGAGTCTCTATGCTGGTTGTCGGCCGTTCTCTAGTGGCCTGGAAATGAGGAATGGTCTGGTTATCAACTGAACTTCAACCAAGGTTTGTTTGATATGATGTGTAGGCGAGCCAGATTATCCTTAGAATCCGAGCAGTTGTGTCGCTCAAAAGAGGATTCGTCGCATGTTACAAACTATCTCCAAGCTCGTTCTCGTGTTTTGTCTGTCCAATGCTTGTTGGGCTTGCTCACTTCAGAACGATAGAGAAGTTATTCCTATCCTTTCCCGAGCGAATTTCCTCTTTCTTGAACCCAAATTGTCGATTCGTTGTCGGCGACTCTAGTTTCCACAAATAGTAAACCAGCTTATTAGAAAGCTTCTTCTTGATCTGAACAAATCCCAAAGCCATCATGATAGACTCTAGTTTCTTTTCGTCCATATACCGTGAGTTCAAAACACAGGGTGAAGGTAATACCAGGAACAGACAAGGAAATACCGCCTTCAAGTCTTCCGTGTACATCTTGGACTTCAAGAATTTTAGAGTGCGAAGCAACATTGCACCTTTGCCTATGGCATCCGGGACGTAATTGAGGACGAGAGACAAACTGACAATGTCGAAATATTCCGCTTGGCATGTGGGAAGTGGTCGCTCCATGAAATCTTGCTGCTTGATCCCGTCGGCTTGGCTATTCAAATCGATTCTTTCAATGCTGAAAAGCTTGCTTTTCGAGCATGCGTTGGTGAGACTCAGAGCTCCGACTTCCAGTAGTCGAAGAGGTTCGGTGGCTGCTTGCTCTTTCAAAGCCTGGACGGTCGGTTGCAACCACTCCATCAAAACTCTAGAACTATCTCCTCCTCTGTCATTGCTCTGACCGAGAAGACTTGCCTCTTGATATCGTTTCAACCCACCTTTGGATTCAATTTCCCTAGCGATTGCTTCAGCTTTCGCATGATCTCCGTCCTTGATAGCTTGCGCTTTCTGCTTTTCCAAGGTGTGATGAGCTCTAATGAGGGTCCTGGTTGCTTTATTAGATATGGATCGAGTTGATTTTGAAATCGGAGGTCTTCCAGATGACAAAGACTTTAATTTCGTCTTTTTCGTTTTCTTTGTTGCCATCTTTTACACAGAGTCATATTTTGAGGTTGTTGATAGAAACCAGAACCGAAAATTGAGCGGGTCAAGCCAGCACGTGACAAACTTTTCCCTGGCGCTAGCGAAAACGAAGCTCCCACACAAAATTCTACGAGAGATTTTTGAATTATTCCCCATCGCCAACATCGCCAACCACGACACCGACGACAACACCTTCAACATGCCACCAAAGGACCAAAAGAAAGGTACAGCTTACTCCATAATGAAACTTCATACTCCCCATTGAGGCGCAATGCGATTTTGAACTCGACTTTCAATCTTTCGAGAAACGAAACTTCAATCACTCATAATTGCGATGCGCCAACATTGTGGGGAGCAGACATCCGCACCAGCAGCAGCAGATATTGCGAGTTCATCAAGAGCGATTGCTGATGCGTAAGTGATAACAGGTGCCGCCGCCAAAGGCAAGGCTGGCAAACAAGCCTCCGCTGCTGCTAAGTCTGCATTGAAGGGTGTAAGTTGATTATCTTCCTGAACTTCTTTAATCTGATGCTGATAATTTCTGCAGGTCCACTCCCACAAGGTTCGAAAGGTTCGCAAGTCGACCACCTTCCACAGACCAAAAACCCTTCAACTCTCCCGATCTCCAAAATACCCACGCAAGTCGGTTCCACACCAACCCCGTCTCGATGAGCACAAGGTTATCATCCACCCTCTTAACACCGAGAGTGCCATGAAGAAGATTGAGGAGAACAACACTCTCGTCTTCATTGTCGATATCAAGGCCAACAAGAGACAAATCAAGGAGGCTTTGAAGAAGCTTTATGACATTGATACCATCAAGATCAACACCCTCATCAGGTAGGTCAAACGTCCTTAATTTCCATAAACTTTTCTAACATATACTAGACCTGATGGATCAAAGAAGGCCTTTGCCCGCCTTACCCCAGATGTTGACGCTCTTGACATCGCTGCCACCAAGCTCGCAATTGTCTAAACGTATGTCTTGGAAAACGGGTTGGGGCTAGGAATAATGATACCAATATGGAGCTTATGACATTTTGTGGCTGCCAAATAGCGTTCGTCACTTTGCATTCTAACGGCGTAAATGAGGGTACATACCAAATCAAAAATGCACATGAGTGCTTCCTTTCCAACCCGAATTAGTTCTTTTTCTTGACATCTGTGATGTGCTCATCTTGCGCCGCTTCATGACCTCGACCTCGTGGCAGGCTAGTCCCCAGTGCCAACATACACCCTGCGTCGAGTATTGAACCCAAATATGGTCAATTATACGATAGCAATCAACTTGGCTGGTTCCGTTGACTGCTGCCACAGACGCCAATTTGACGCTCTCTTTCTCAAGCAAGATACAACCAGAAATAGACACAGTTTGAAGTGTAAGTGAAGAAACATCCCAGAAATAGGACACTCACTTGAACTTGATCATGCTATTTTCCTCTCGCCAAAGATTGTCGCCATCTTCACTTTCGGGCTGTTCCTTGAGCTTGTGACGAACCACTCCATTCAACTCGCGCTTATTAACTTGCGTTTGCAGACCAATTTGCACCCAAACATTATACCAACCATGGTCTATTGCATACTAGTCTATTTGATTGAGAACTTGCGCCTATAATTCGTGTCCTCAACAACAGCACTTCTCTTTCTCGTGACATTCGAGACATTTCCCCCTCCCCACTTCTAGACCTCAGGTTGGAGAGTGTTACTCACTTAGACTTGACCCTATTCTCTTTCTTTCATACCTCAATTGCCGTGCAGCCATTCCCGTCTATCTTTGGATGTTTTTAGCGAACTGGTATGTTCCAGGGACCAAAACTCACGCTACATGAAATGAACACAGACGTCGTAGGATTTTGAATAGTAGCATGTTGGCTATTTTCTTACTCTACTAGTGGCAAGCGCTTTCCTGCCCTCCAGTCTCCAAACCCTTTTTATACATGAATACAGCTATCATCGTACAATCCATCGACTTCGCCATTCCCGAAACCTCCCTTCCTCTTCCTATTTCATGCCAATTCCAATTGATGAACATGAGCACCAATTCCCACCTCATCCCCCTTCCCCTTCCCCATCGCTTTCATTCCCCCTTTACCCCCTCCCCTTCCCCATCCCCTCCCCCTTCCATCCTTTCACTCTCCTAAGCACTCCCCCTCATCCTCTCCAAATGTTTAATAACCGTCATATTGGCGTCCAAAAACCGATCCACGCAGTTACTCGCGCACGCCTCCTCGGATTTATCTAGTTTGCCGTTGCGGATCGTGCCCGTGACGCATTTCTTAAAACAGGTGTCTGTCAGACTATGAATCGCTAAATCCCGAGGAATCAGTATATTATTCTAACATCAAAGGCCCGCCCAATTGCAACTACGTGAAGAGAGAGGCAGGAGGGGACTGGAGAGATGGGGG